CATCTCCCCCTACTTCACTCCCCATGACCCCCCCATCAACCCTACCCCCCCAACAGGCTGCAACGTCACCCGGGCCGCCTACCTCGTCCGCCACGCCGCCATCTACGCCAACGACTTCGACTACGAGTCCTACATCGAGCCCTTCGTCGAGAAACTGCGCAACACCTCCCAGGACTGGACACACACCGACTCCCTCTCCTTCCTAACCAACTGGACCGCCCCATCACCGACGATCACCTAGAGAAACTCACCCTCGTCGGTCTCCAAGAAGCAACAACCCTAGGATATCAATTCCGCCAACGATATCCCCATCTCCACACCAACAAAATATGGTCCTCGACCGCCGAACGAACCACCAAATCCGCCCAGGGCTTCATCTCCGGCTACACCAACAACCAGACCCACATGGACCTGATCAGCGTCCCAGAGAGTAACACCACCGGCGCCGACTCCCTAACCCCATACAAATCCTGCCCCGCATACAGTTCCAGCTACGGCAGTTCCTACGAAAATGTACCCCCCCCCAATCCCTCCCTCCCTCCCTCCCCCCAACTAACCAACCAACCAACCAACCCAGACCTTCACAAAAACCTACACCCCCCCTAATCACCCGCCTCAACCACCTCGCCCCAACCTTCAACTTCACCTCCTCCGACATAACCGCCATGTTCGAGCTCTGCGGCTACGAGACCGTCATCCGCGGCTCCTCCCCCTTCTGCTCCCCCCACCTCTTCACCCCCACCGAATGGCTCTCCTTCGAATACGCCAACGACCTCATGTACTTCCATAACACGGGGTACGGCCGCCCGCTATCCCCAGTTCTAGGCTTCCCGTGGGTAAACGCCAGCTACTCACTCCTCGCCTCGAATACCTCGGACCAAGACATCTACGTGTCGTTCACGCATCGCGAGGTTCCCCCTACGGTGGTCACAGCGTTAGGGCTATTCAATAATAGTGCTTATTCGGGGCGGATAACGTTAATGAGAGTATGCCCGTGGGGGAGGTGAATTATGACCGGGCGTGGAAAAGTAGTCACATTTTGCCTTTTCTGGGCAATGTGGGGATGGAGAGGTTGGAGTGTGGTGGTGAGGGGATGGGTTTGAGGAGGGGGTGTATTTTAGGGTGCTGGTTAATGGGGCGGTTAGGCCGGTGGTGGGGTGTAGGGATGGGCCGGGGGGAGTTGTAGTGGGGAGGGTTTGGGAGTTTGTGAGGGGAGGGGAGAGGTTTGGGGGTTTGGGGGTGGTGTGGGAATGGGTCTGCCGTGGGGGAGTTGGGGATTTATTCTAGTTGAATGGAGAATGAAGTGGATGGTGTTGGTTGATACATACATGAGAGCTTATATCATTTTTTTTTACTTCACATACATACCGATTCAGGAATGATTGGATTTAATATCGGTTGGGATACAAGCTGGCTAGCTTGCGGTTGCGTTGTATCATACTAATGGATGAGTAGGGGGAATAGTGTTATTGGGGATTTTAATGCTGTAGGCCAGGTTATAGCTATCACAGCGAGGGCTGGTAATTATAATTATTCAGGTCCTATCCGGTCTTCTTCTGGTTAAAGTGCAAAAGTCCTTTTATTTTGTCTGGATCTTATTGAGTAATGATTCGGGGAAGGAAATATCAATGACCCACAGGGCTGTTACTATATAGCCAGAACATGGTATGATCTCTATATGCGACGTGACCCACAATTCGACGGTTGGAAGCTGATCTGTGTAGCTAATCATAAGTTCCGTTTCCACTGACCATAGAAACTGTCTCTGCCTATCTGACGTGGTATATACGTGCAAATGTGCAGCACTGAGGAGGCACACAAGATTGCCACTCCCTCAATATCCATCACCATAATCATATGTCTCATCCTCTGGGTCATAATACTCATCTTCGTACTCCTCACCCACGTCGTCTTCAGCAAGATACTCTTCATGCCCTGGAGGGTCTCTTTCCGGAGGAAACATGTTTCTTCCGAGACCAGAGGCCCTTGGTCCGGCAGCCCGTCTTGCAGCAGGGCCACCCCGGCCACGGTACCCTGGACCAGCAGAAGCGTGGGTAGATGACAACGGCCCTTTTCCTGGTTGCGGTACAGTTCGTGGTATCGCCCGAGCTTCCTGTTGGCTATCGAGATACTCCTGTGACGGCGGGTCATATTCAGGGAGCGGAGCTGGTTGTCTTTGAGTATTCTGGCGGTAGACTGGACGGGCCCTTCCACCTCTGGATTGCGCTCTCCCTCTGCCTGACCCACGAGGCGGATAGTAACTTCCTGGACGTTGTCTCTGGCGCGGCGGGTTGGGATTATAGACCGGACCGTCATCGTAATCGGCTGGGTCGTAATCATCCGCACGGATGGTCATATTCAGTGCTTGTTCCGCTTCAGTCTCCCCCGTTGTCTCGAGGAGGTAGTTGTCGAATCTCTGGATAGTCTGGGAAATTAGCTTGAATTGGCGATAGTCCAAGACATACTCTCCTTCCCGGGAAGGGGGGATATTCAAGTCGACTTCGTCGTGGGGTTCATCGGAGGGTCGATCGTTCTCTTCCGTGTTTTCGTTCCATTGGTCGGGTTTGGCGGATTGTACGTCGAAGTGTGCAAGGGAATATGCGGTCTGAAAGGCGTTGCGGATCTGTCGGCCGTTCCATCGATGGTCTGGGTTTCGTTCAAAGTGCCACTGAGCGTAGTGCAGAATACTCTTTTCATTGATGGTTATGGTCGGTCCTGGAGAGACTCCTTTATGTTTGGCGTATTGGTTCCGTGTGTTTCCCACCTTTTGTAACCGGCGGATGTTGTTCTTGAAGATGGCTAACGTTTGATCTAGATCGAGATGTTTGTAATACAAGCTCAAGTGGATACGTGACTTGAATGCCTCATCGAGGATACCGACTCGATTTGTGGTCAGGAACAGAACTCCACTGTAGTATTCGAGGACCCGGAGAAACACTGCAATGAATGAGTAAGTCGACGATATAGTATACAATAAGACTGACATACCTGACACCAGAGCATTCTGATTCAGATTGCTCAAATCACGACGAGTCAGGAAAATGTCGGCCTCATCCAACAACAGCACGCAATCCCAAAGATGTGCCAGGCGGAAGATTTCCTTGAGTTTGGACTCTACGGTACTGGGATCGAATCCAAGATCACCGCAGGTGATTGCAAACAAAGGCTTCTGATTTGCTTGAGCGACAGCTTCGGCCGTGGCTGTTTTGCCCACTCCAGGCACTCCATGCAAGAGAATGACAAGCCCAGAACCTTTGCCCCGAATCAAGTCCAGATTCAACTTTTCGTTCTGAAAGTGTGCCTTCACTAGAGCACGAACCATTCCCTTGTGCTCCTTGTCAATCTTAAGATCCTCAAAGACATTTTCAGCCTTTGAAATTGGCCTGAGCGATTGCACATCGAACCGGACAAACCTCCGCTCGTGAAAGGTATATCCGACGACGCGGCGAGGGAGAAGAATCAGGTCATCAGTCCCAAGTTCCTTGACTGAGCCACTTTTGAATTCTCGTAGGAATTTGTTCGTTTCGTAATCGCGGTCACTGAACTTGGCAATAAAGTCTTCGGATATCTGCAGGATCTCAGTTACCTCTCCCTGCAACAATCCTCCTTGGGAATCCCAATGTTTTATCATGTATTCATCCTCTCGGTCATCCCAGACGGCTTCCTGCCATCCTCCAAGAGTATGGCTTGATTTGGTGGCAAGCTCATCGTCGGATTTATGAGCCTCGACAAAGTCAATCATCACTGGACCGTCGACGTGCTCAGACCCCCCTCCAGTCGTTGGCTGCGCAGTTGTTGGTTCGTAGGCCAGAGTCCAGCCTTCGTAGTAGAGATATCTTTCAGCCAATGCGGCTTGGAACGACAGACCAACCTTCTGCTGCGAATCCAGTAGCGTTTCCCTCTCTTTGAGAAATCGGAGGGGGTAAACCTGCAAGGTTGTTATATCTTTCTGACCTTGGTAGGCCCTAATGCTAAATCGTCTTGGATAGGGCTCGTAGGAGACACCATTGAAGTCAATGAAATAGCACCAAAGATCTAGCTCTTGCCTGGAGTTCATCGGAATATCACACTGGGCGCCGCTTGGATACGTGTCGCGTGTAATCGTGTGGAGCCTCCAAACTTTCTGGGCGAGACCAGCTGGCTCAGGCCAGATTTGACCCGTGGGAGACTCCGATGCAGACGGAATGTAGACAAGCTCTCCAGGCTGAAATGTCATCCACAAGTCCACAAAGGAGACTTTCCGGTGGGTCGTTCCGGCCGCACGCTTCCAAAGAGGCGAGATTTCGGTCTCCACGAACTCGATGTACTTTCGAACCTGGCGTAGAGTGGTGACAGAATCCACAACCGGTCCTACAACTGATTCCACGGGAGCCATCGGCCGGAAAGTCTCACTCTCGGGATCCGAGCCGCCTTCAGAGGTTTTGGTAGATTTGGGCACGGCCGCAGAAGGGAGAGGCATATCAGGTGCCCCTCTCTGGTCTATAATGGACCAGCGTGACTCTAGAATCTCCAGACACTCCTTCATCTGCGGAAGGTAGTAGTGGAGGGCCAGAAAGGGCCGGTAGAAGACCCGTGGTCCGAGATTGGCCCATTTATCTCCATGGCCGGTCAACCGGGAGAGAAGGAGAAGGAGATGAGGCGACTGGATCCTCACACGCTGAATCCATGTGTCGTCATCTTCTCTAGTCTTGGATGACCCTCGTGGCGCTCGCATTCCCCAGTGTTCCATGCGGCGCTGATTGATTTCTTTCCATATATCTTGCGAGAGGCCCTGGTAACCGAGCAGAACCTCGATAATTGCGAGACCATCGTCCGGGGCATACCGATTTTTGAAACGATCATAGTCAAGATAGTCAACCTGGGCCTTCCAAAGCATTCTCTCCCGCCTTTCTGTCCACTCTTTCATCCTTTGCTTCTTGGCGTCCTCCGATTCTAGGTCTGCCGGAGGCGGGCCCACCAGTCTGAAATGCAGGCCATCCTGCTGGGGAACATCTCCGAGGAAGCTATTCACCGGTTCCTCCAAGGTTGTGGCTTTGGCGGGTGTGGAGGGTTCCATGATCAATCTATCCCAGAGAAATAAAGATATGCCCGCCACCGAAAGGCTCTGTCTGAGTAAAAGGTACCAGCACTGCTCGCCACGTATACCAATAGCCCGATGGTCCTTAGTTCAAGACGAAGACGGCCTCGGGAATTGGGCTGGACTTTATGGTTGGAACGAGATGGATGCGCCATCAGCGCCATAAGTGCTTGGCCACGTGACCCTCCCTCAACTGCTTCGCCGCTGCGATGGTCTCTGTCTTGCCTGCAATGAATCCGAGGCCACCGGGCTCATTCACCAATCACCTTGTGAGCCATTGCTCTAAGGATGTGCTCTGTATGGCCGAGCCCCTCAATCTATGACACTCCCTTCCTACTTTAGATTAGCGTCGAGATGCTAATGCAACTAACATCTTGGAGACCGATAAGCCAGGCCCATCCATGAGGGGATTTCCGCAACATGCCCAACAATGATTGTTTGCTCCGGAGCGGGGTGGAGTCAGCTGAAAGGCAGGCAGGTCCACATCGGCCACGTCGCCGTCAGCACTAGTTACCAGCTGAGCCAGCCTCACGATGCCCCCTCCCGTGTCATTTCTGGCGATAATCAGCAGCATCACATTCCCTACAACAATCAACAATGGTATATCCACGACAGCGCGAAGTGATAATATCGGGGAGGAATTGATTGGGCGATGAGATCATGAAAAAAAAAATCCAGCAGTCCATCGTATGTGCGGATGCACCATCGCGCACCATCCCTACTTAGTAGGTAGGCTATGCAGCCCCTCTGGGAAGGATCAGCGGGCGACTTCTGCTGCAGTGATATTCCATCGCTCATCGACCCCGAAGGTGGGACATCACCGTCGAGCATTCAAGTGCAGCCATGACTACGTCTATGGGGAATTCCAATCCCTTAGAATATACTGCCTCAGCTGTGGCCTTCATCAGCTCCGAAGGCCCCGACATTCATCAAGGACTGGGGGGTTATTCACAGTACAGCTTTCAGCAGGATCGATTCATGCCCGTGAACTGTCATAGGTGAGTCGGGCACGGTACTTGAAACTTCAAGCTGCTTCCAGCACGTTTCTGAGACTAAGCGATTACTAGATCCCTCGAAGGACTCCTCCAACAGTATCTACCGCTGAATCTAGGATTGCAGCTTCCGAAAAACGCCAATGAACTCGAACAACTGTCCGAAAGACTCGCGGGCGCTGAAGATCGATACAACGGGGAAAAGAACGGATTCTGGCATTCCATCTGGTACAACCTTGGCGAAGGGGAGGAGGTCATTAGCAATTGGATCGGTCTCATACCCAATGAGTATGGTCTTGCTATTGTGAAGACTGGGCTGGCAGTCGTATTCAAGGTGAGTGGTAGCACCGCCGTTGGAACAATTACTCTTTCCTTCTTAACCTATACACCAGCTTGCCGAAAGGTCTGCCGAACGACGACAGAAAATCCTCAATACGTTTGTCGCGATCCGAAATGCTCTCGCAAAAGCCGATCCAAAAAGGCGAAATTTCCGAGCCCATAAGGATGTCGCTGCTTGTGCGGAAAGGCTCACTCAGACCATCACTCAGAGCATCGAAGACATGATAAAGTTGACATCGGCTAAGCCCTCCTGGCTTAAGAGGTTGGGGAATGTCCCCAAACCGAAGCAAAAGACGCCCCAAAATCCAGACTACATCTTGGAAAGGCTAGCTAAGTCGACGAGGGAGTTCGAAGACGTCGTCAATCTCGCACGGGATAATACAATTGAGGCCACTGGATACATGGCCCAGTCCATCACATCAGCGCTGCCGGTGATGGATGACAACATACGTGGGACGTATAATCGCTTGCAGACTATGGATCGCAAACAGGATGTCCGAGACGAGGAGAGTAAAATGGAACGTCAGAACCTTTACACCATAATTGAAGAACATCATGCGACTCTGCTTGGGATGGCGAGGGAGCAACATGAAAACCAGCTGTTGGCCCGAACCACGATGGTCCACTTGCTACGTGAGACTAAGAGTAAGTGCTAGCTAAGTATGAAGACAAATACTAGTTGTTGACTTTTTTGAAACAGGACTGGAAGCCGAGAACAAACTGCTTCGCCGCCAACAGAGATTTACCCCCAATTTCGGAGGCATCATTGATGAAATCCAACTTATTGAGATCCTCACCCTCGCACCAAGCTTTGCAGATGGCGAGTCATCAGACTCGACCTACATGCTCCGCCAACCAAACGCCGACTTGCAGCTGGCGTTGACATACAAGGGAAAATTGAACCCGGAAAGTCTAAGGAAGGTTCAAACCGCAGTTGTGACAGATACCCGTGTTCTGGAATGGCTCCAATGCGCTGAATCCGACCTCATCATGGTCGATGCGAAGGCCATCAATCCGGGCATGACTAAGATATCCGCCATCTCGGTATTCAGTGCCACCTTTATTACCAGCATGATAACCGCTCGCCCGGAGGATGTGGTCGTTCACTATTTCTGTGGACAGCATTTCCGTCCCAAGGATACTTGGCACGGGCCCAACGGACTCGTACGCTTCATTGCAATGCAGCTGCTCATGAAGCTGATGGGAATGAAGCAGGTCAACCTGAGCTTCATTAGAAGGGAAACTTATGTTCGAAAACTGGAGGAATGTGACACCTGGACTCTTTGTCATCTCCTACACCGCATAGTGGCACAGTTTCCCCACGAGATGACAGTCTGCGTGGTTATTGATTCTATCTCACGAATTGATACATCCAGAACCTCTGACGAACTTGGAGTCGTGATGGACCACTTGCACCGGATTGTGACCGACCCATCCCTCCGCCCAACTGTCAAGGTCTTGCTGACCAGTCAAATGAATACCAGTCGAACATTACTGCAGTCAGTGGTCTTCCAGGATGATCCATCTCGCATTGTTCGCCTAATGCCGAATAAAATTTCCCGACCTTTAGCAGACATGTCTGGGCGAGTTGTTCGTAATATGATGTTCTGAGATAAATTGAGTGGGGTATCATGCTCGATCCTGATATGAGCCTCTTCTTGATAATAGCAGGTGTAGATACATGAATTTTTCCACCTCTTTGATACATCATAATCCTCAAATCTAATGCTACCGTGTGAGACAGGTGATGGTATATTTATGATCTTACTGGGAGTGTTCGGGCCTTACAACGGGATCAGACGTGGGTTTTGATAGATATCTGTGGGTTGCATGGAGAGGGATTTTATTAAAATAGAGAGAAGGATTTATCTTTCATAGAATATATTATGTATCAACGCTACCAACGCTGGGTTAGGTAGGAAGTAGAGTAACTTTGTTAAATCCCACATCAAATATACAAATACCTCCATCCTGTGTAAAGCATACTCCATATCCCCCCTCTCATTACCTTTCTACCACCATGCCTTATTGAGAGATGGACGCAGAGATGAAGATAATAACCATATCCAACCATCCGTCCTTCATAACCCAAATACAAACACCCCAACCATCCCAACGATCTCAAAGGCAAGACCCCTAACAGCGGTAGAAATAAATCCTTCCGAATTGGAAAGAACAGGATTGATTGTGGCTCCCAGTCCATTTATCTTCACAATCCCAATACACACGACTGACTTTGCGCGTGGTTTCTCCCCGAAAGGCATTTTCCTCAAGTAGCTTTTGATGTCCTAGCCGACGACGCGACGTGTTCCATGGTCCGGAATTTCAACGTCTTGTTTTTCTTGTTTAGAGACGAAGGCGAGTATTGGGAGGAGACATTATTCGTTTGCTGAATGTAGTATGACGTTATCGAGCCATATTGCTTTCGATAGTATGGAAGGCCAAGTAACTAGCTATCTTGTAGTAAGTTGATGAGGTGAAGGACCTTCCAGGTGGCGTTTGAGGATTTGATCGTGTGCGTAATATGGTGACGAGATGTGAGGATAACCATGGCACAGGGTTTGTTTTTGAATACTTTCTCATATGCCCGCCCATTCCAAATGTAATATGGTTCTTGGTATCAGGTGGAACCATAACAACGGTAGAAGTAAATCTTGATCTTTCCCCGTTGGAAAGAGAATAGGATGATGAGTTCATCAATCCGATAAGGTCCTTGATTATTCCACCCCATTTATAAAGATGCTTCCAATCTGGTATCTGATAGTTGTTTCGGGGACCTAAACACGACACGACATGACATGCCATGGATCACAACATCCCCAAGAACCCCAACAATGGTAGAATTAAACCATTCCCCATTGAAAAGAATAGGATAATAAATGCCTTAACCCGATGAGATCCTCAATCATCTCATCCCATTCATAACAAACGATCCAATCGACTTCCAACCTGCGATGTCTCTTCAAATATCCTTCATCCTTTTTACCCCACTTTTCCATCTCCCGAGAAGAAAGAGTGAAAAAACCAGTTTCTTAGTTAAAGACCCCCCGCATAATCACAAAGTCGAGAGTTCCTTCATTACCCACAGGAATTATCAATCCTTCGCTTTTGTATGGAAGGAGTGTGTCGTATGGCGTATGTATGACAGGGATGCCATAGAGCCCGGTAGATCATTCTTCTTCTCAGCGGAATGTAAACCCACCCAACCAACCAAGTGACAATCTCATTGTACGCCATCGAGGTGAAGGACTTCCCAGGTGACGTTTGATAGGTTCGATGAGATAATTTGCGCAACCTGATGATGTGTGCGATGTGGGGCTTTGCCTCCTCGTACATCCATCTAACTCAATTCAACCCTTGTTTGATTAAGTCCGCTGAATATATTCACGACGATTCCCATCCCGTAGTAGAGAAGGAAGTAGATAAGGAGTTGATCGGTCAACCAGCTCATTTGGACCCTTGACCTCCCCCACATCATGGAACAAGAGGTGTTTGGCTCTTCGATAACTCGCGCAATTTGAGGATATGCGATGTGGGAGTACCCATACCCTATTCGTTGAAACTCTTCCTTCTCATACTCCCACCCAACTCAACCCACAAGTCCGCCGAAAATATTCACGAACTTCGTAGTAAGAAGAAAGTAGATGAGTTCTTAGACAGTCGATCAATGGGTTCGCCATCACCCAGACTCAAACATACCCTCTTATTCAAAGCCCAGGACCAGACCAGACCAGACCCTATGACCGATGATCCGATCAGGTTATGCTCGACGCACGAGGCAGGACATCACCATCCTGCCTTTCCGGGTATAGCCATGCCACCATTCATCAAGTGAAGTGACAAGATAGATTTGAAATGGGATGGACTGTTCAACCTCGGTAGACTATGCCAATACCATTTTGGTTAATGAAAACCCAAGCAGTGAGATTATAATGTTAGACAGGACCGGAAAGGCACTGAGTGCACTGTCCGAGCCCATGTTTGGCATATTTGCTCGTTTATGAGAATCTATCGGCTGGGTTCGATAGATCCCGAGAATCATTGACAGGTGAACATGTGGTTCGGCATTGTGTGTAGTAGGCCACCACCCTATTGACAAGGGTGACTTGGAGTGCGTGATCAATTGCGAGAACAAATGCTGTTGTCTCGTAGATATCGGTTGATCGATTATCTTCCTTTTGCGGATGATTGCAAGATATTCTTGACATCTTGGTATAGAAACTAGGACATGGTGATTACTGTGAAGACTAGAGCAGACCAGACCGTCCAGGTGCGGAACTTCTTTTCAGTGAGGCTGTGTTTGGGGATGGGGTGAGGGGATAAGCCCACCGAGCCGATAGGAGGAACAGATGATAGATGTCATTGTTTGGTAGTTCATGATTTTTCTCGCTCCAGGGATTCGTAGTTCTCGTGGATGTGGGTGGTGCTGTGTTTAGGTAGACCAGACCAGACCGTGCGTTTGGAGTTGTGATTTGAGAATAACTCATGGTGGGATGGTAGTTCATTGTCGAGAGTAAATGGTCATGGTATACACCGCTTGAGATGGATATGTTGTATTGTATTTTTGTGTGGTTTCGTTTTCAGACGCACCATGTGTTTGCAGTGATGCTTTGGGAATACTTCGCCGAATGATCGCATTCTGCGAGGTTGTTATTGTGGTTTATACCTTATAGTAACTCCCATTCGAGTGCTCCATACTTGGTGTTGGTGGGTGGATTCGTATGTAGGTGGAGGATGTGTCGAGCCATACCCTGGAAGCCGCTTGTGGTTTGTATATATGTTGCGAAGATATACCATGATGAGGTTTAAGAGCCCGTAGTAACTCCCGTTCAAGGGGTCGAGACTCATGTGGACGTGGGTCGTTTCGCATGCTGGTGGACCTTGTATGTTCGTTCAGCAATGCTCTGGAAATAGCTAATCGTTTGATGAGTCCGCAAGATTGGCCATTGTGCAGTTCAATGCCTCATCGTAATCCCCATCCAAGATATCAAAGAGTGATGTGGATGTGGGCGGTTTCGCATGACGAAAGGCCCCGTAGGTTCAGCCATGGTCTGGGAATTGCTCACAGTGTGATGATTCCGTAAAGACTGTCCATTATAGAGTTGAAAGGCTTGTCGGAAACCCCATTCAAGGGATCCAAGACCGGTGCTTATGGTATCGCTGTAGTATCCAGCTGATTACTGTATGTTGATACCTGCTCTGGAATATCACGCAGCCTGATCGCATCTAGCGAGAATGTCGAAATTCGAAGCTGGAAGACAGCTCAATGCAGAAGCAGGAATTGACGGGCTTGATTTCCCGTCTATCCGATGTGAAACTCTGAGATATGGAAACGACGACATAGTGCGTGGAAATAGGATCCAGCAGTGTAGACGGCAATATACTTGGTTCCGTGGTAAAGTCCCCCTGGATGAGATGTCTGCACGCCACCTCCAAGCCGATTAAAGTCGGAAGTGATGATATAGTGGGTCCCGTGGAGATGGTCTGCCATGTCGTATAACATCTTGGCGATAGAGTATGATGCCATCGAAGGAAACCCTAGGCAGGCGCATTCTTTGAGTATAAATCGTCCGAGAACCTCTGCAGGCTGTGCAATAGATGCACGGACGTCGCCCGGAGCATGAAAGAAAGGTAGACACATTCTGGTCTGATCCTTTTGTAGAGTATTGAGTAGGTCGCTAGTTGAGGTATACCTTTATCGCACCATGAGCCTGTTTCCATTTTGACGGCCTGAAGACATCAGGTAGCTGTCGAATCGGGTGGAGGAAACAATGGAGTGTCCGACTGTTCATCACCCATTCGAGGATGAGAATATTCAACTACAAGTGAAGCACAAAGGTGATAGCTTCGCCTGGAGGCGGAGATAAGTGAGAGCCCCGGGTGAGTCTCCTGGTTCGCTCTGGCTCACCAGATGTGACCGGGAGATCTGCTCTTGGTCTTTATTGTAGCTCCCCGCTATATTGGGGACACGGTAGGATGGAGCTTCAGGGATAATAGAAGAAACCGTACCCTGTAGGTCTCATACGCCGCAAATAGGTGAGCGCCACGTCACAGCTCGGACATGATCGGACATCCTGATCACTGTATGCGATAATGTCTATACCTGGTGACGGAGGTTGAGCCAGTCTGCAGTCGCTTGATTAAGGCCGACCTGCAATCAACATCGGGGTCATGTTCAAAGTTTATGAGTATATAATGAACCTTGGTTCATCAGTTCAACACTGCACAGAGCTAAATGCGTGGAACGTTCGTAGTCATATTATGTGTTTGTGATGACAGAGAAATTGGACATTGGATGTCACGCATCCGCCAACCGCCAATGGACGTGGAACTTGCAAGTATCCCATAAGAACCGACCGAAGATGTCTCAGCACCATAGTTCATCACTTCTGGTGGAAAACGCGGTAATACTGGAAGTGCCAATTCCAATGCACCTGGTGCGAGATGAGGGGAAGCAAGCCAGTCAATCCTCCCTCTTCGTCCTGGGGTTATCAATGGAATCGAACCCAGATCATAATGTGCCGGTCGTAAGAAGCGAAGCGTATGCTCGGTGGCCAGTTGCAAGCCCGGTGTCTTGTGGATCATACTCTAGGTTGCCTTCGATCTGTCCTAGGATGAGGATGTCCCATGGACATTTCGTCCTCGCCTGGCTGGAAGAAAATCCCGTTCCTCGAGATCGCTTTCTGTCACTCTCTCTGTCCTCGTTGTTTCTTTTGGTAATACCGCAATTCCAGGCAAAGAAACTGAAAGGGCAAGACTATCCCTTCTGGAGCATACGACGCGAATATGGGTAGCCCGTCCTCATTGGCATGCTTTCAAAGATGACATGTTTTGAGCTAGACTTGATCCAGTCAGACATATCCGGCGGCGAAATACCACCACGCCAGCCCGACGCCTGACCATTTCTTGGTTTCCCCGTGGCCTGCTGCTATCCTTGCTGAATATACCAAAATGTCCCGGGAATGTTAGCTGCACAAACAATGTCCCCAGGGCTGTCATAATTGTAGGGGACTGATCCCCAAACGTCAGACATTGTGGATCAAAGTGGATCCACCTAGATAAAGGTCGGGTTAAAGGCTACCGCATATGGGTACGCCATTCTCATAACCCAGAAGTATGCGAAAGATAAGATATCTTCGAGACGAGGTCATGTTTGCTTGTAACCCGTATTATCCAGACCACCTGACATAGGCTCTCGATTTAGGATCACCAATTCTCGTAGAGTAGGCGCTTGCGTGCGTCTCGTCAGGCGTTTAGCCCTCCTCTGCTTGGAAAGGATACAACGGTATGGCTTGCTTCGTTTGCGGCAACGCGTTTGCTATGTCTTGCAGCGAGTGGAGTATGCGGTTCGCAGTGTGTATGTTGTTAGATGAGTTGACTATTGAATGGGAGAAGATGATGCGTGCATTTGGACCATAGGTGGGCAGCCAGGCCGTTTGTATATCTGGGTCATGAGCTTGAGTTCAGTCGTGGACAAAGACTTCCGGTAGGAGCGGCTTGATGTGGTGGTAATTTATGACAGATCTGCAGGCAGCGTTGTGACTCTCGAAGTAAGAATAGATAGGTCCTTGTAGTTGAAGATGTTCAACGTCCCAACCAGCTGCACGGTATACGGGGTCTGCTCAAGTTACTGTGCCAAGTGCAAGAGCAGTGTTGTATACTTGGCGCATCACAACCGGCTGGAGGCATGATTAACATTGTCCGCGACAAAGAATCAAGAATAGCTAGTATACTGCGTAGGCGAGTTGTCAAGGCTGGACGTGAGCGAAGCTTGACTTGAGATCTGTGTTTGGAGGGAATGTGGTGACTGAAGAGTGCTTCTAGGCCTCTGCTCTTGTGTTCTCAATGCCTGGATGAACTTTTGTCTATCCCAGAATGAATATCCTGGGATCATAACCAGGTGGATGCAAGGCAACTTGCATAATGCGATTCCTGTCCCAACGGTGGAATTCAATGCATCATTGCATCCGGACAAATCTCCCAAAGTGGGTGATCCCCTGGAACTAGCCCAAGGGCAGTCCGCAGGTCAAAGTGACTCAGTTGTGCTTAGGGTGAGGAAGCCAGAATGGGACGCCCCTGCACTCTGCCACATGCTGTAGCTGAACCTTTGTCGTTTCTGGTGTAGGTAGAGGTCACATCGCCAGATATTAGTATGATGTGCTCGGATAGAACAATCGCCCAAAGTAAAGTCGAGAGCACTATCTCACGCCCATCAAAGGAACCTTCCTGATCGGACAAACAGATGTCAAGCCTTCAATAGGGAAATTCGATTCCACGACAACCGCTTGTCGTTCCTCTGACGGATAGAACACTGGCATATCGATATAGCTGAAGCGTTTAAGCAACACTCAACCTTGACTTGGTGACTGCCCAACACCCGTTAGGCAGATAAGGACGCAACTATAGTCGATGGCGTCAATGCAGCTCCATGCACGCATCATCTGCTTTCTGGAAGCCGATCAGACACCACCAGCCATGCAGCTACTGGGTGAATATCTGAGCCTTGAACCCTGCAAGGCAGACGGAGCCATGTCCTGCTGTTTCCAGATATTGTCAATCCATTGTGACAGTCTAATTTATCCCTTGGGTTGACCCGATCTTGCAGAATGCAGCCGCATTATTTCAGGCTTCCTTCATCCAACCTCGTGATGCTTCACATCGGCGGATTACATCACTGAACAAGAGGTTGGTCACCATAATGACTGTTTCAATGCCGACGGCCGGATAGTAATTGTTGTTTGCAGAGGTGTCTTCTAACCTGCTTCATGGTCGACTGGATTGCGTTGACAGCGAGGTTGTCCGCGGCGAGGCATTCAAATCGATCACGGCCCCAGTCACATGAGATGTTGATCCGTGTACATGGATTGCTCTTGACGCTGTAGTAAGCCACAAGCAGCGGTGCCACCCGGGTCACCACAAAGACTTTAATACGCATCGTCTACTGAGAGTTGCTTCAAGTCTCAGCCCGCGGGTGAGTACCACCGTTCACGGAGAAGGATGCTGGAATAACCATTCTGTCGGTAATGAACCCTCTTATCCGAGCGTTCGAGTCATTTGGTCTGGGAGGGCGAGACAAAGTCGTGATGTCGCGCATATCGAACAGCCGAGTATTTTGCGTGAGTATACTCCTTCCTGGCTGTGACGATCTCCAAGACTTTCGCAGATCCCCGTCATCAGAGTCATTTCTGTTTTTTGACTGGAGAATGATCCTCACGTCAGACCTCAGCCTTGGCTTCTTCTCGTAGAAATCATAACTTCCGTCGAAGACAGATCTATTCATCGTATTTGCTTGGACTCGGGTTATATGGAAGAGGGTCACACAATGTTTCTTAATTGGTGTAACCACGATTACGGTAGTTTGTCCATAGGAGCCGAGCTACAGAGTTCAAGAGCTGGATTTGGATCGGTGGTGAAGGTAGAGGAGTCGGCGAACTTCCACTGTATCCCATATAGCTGATACAGTTCATCGTCCGCTGAACGAAAGACAATAGTCGTTTTGTCGTTGCGTTTCAGACCAAGCCAGCTTGAGATTGGGCTGGTCAATGAACAGAGCATCGATTGAAGCCGTGCTCTACAGAAGCCCTTGGTTCCGTAGAATTGGCCATAGCCAATATAGTAGTGGTGGTAATGTGGTGCCGTTGAGATGCAAATCCCAAGAGCAGCCTGACAGGCTGTGATAGTCTATCATCCAAGACCCATAGAGTATGGTTCCAACAGGGTGTGGATGTTCGATAGAATTGTTTCGCTATGCTGAGTTGGAATCGGCTCCAGTTAATGAGATAGATTTGGCCATTCCTTACTCAAGGCCCTAGTCATCTGTATCAGGACCCATTTGTCCTGAAGAGCACATTATATCCCCCTTCTAATTGGCCAGTTTGAGCTTTTAGGGCTATCACAGCATGTGAAAGTCATTGACGGGCCTTGTCCCAACATAGCATGAATAGAACAGTCGATTTGGTATGCAGCATGGCGTTGCACCTGATCCCATTATAGTCAACGTTGACTACAGTATCGCTGGAGAGGATGGACATAAGCAGCGACTTAAGCCACAGGTGTCCCGCCACCATTCTATTTTGCAATAGGCGAGCTTCCAGGCCAGATCTTGCGGACCTTCTTTAGTGATGAGGCCCCGCAACGGACTGTGTTGCTATGGATCGATTGTCCATGGTTAATTCGACTCCAGTCCAGCCGACTGTAACGTGTAGAATATATAGATTCGTATAATAGGGCAGGGTGACAGATATCGTAGTTGTCGAAGATTTGTCTTCGAGGATCACGAGGCGTTGATCCGCCCATCGAATGGATTCGAGAAGATATGAACTCCGCCTGGCGGATCGTGGACAGCCATTCGAGGAGTGAGTAGTTCCACTCCATACATCACGATAGTGTCACCATTGTATATTCCTCGCTGTCGAGCTCCAGCGTCATTTGGTTGTAGAATCGTGTAAATACGATCATACTGAGTCTAGCGTGACGAGGGATAGCAGGTGTCCGGCTCATGCACGGCCTTGATGTTTCTGTCTTGTTCTGGTGGTGAGTAGACCTGTCAAATCCAAACAAACCTAATGAAGAGTCAGTTAGGATAAACCCAGAGAAGCAAAAACATACAACAGAAGGGATTCGCTGGTGGTCACCCACCCAACTACTAACCTCCCGGCGTGTGGCTTAAGTACGGCTGAGCGGACGGGAAGCCCTGTTCTCCACACCCTGTGGTCGTATGTGCTGGATGACAAAGAAAAAAGACTTACATTCTTGCTTGATCACCCTCCAACGATCATACCACTTGTCCTTCTTCTTCCCAATGGCACCAGCCATGAAATTGGAATGCACATCACCTGCTCCTCGAGACGCACAAGCGTCCTTCTGGACGCTGTGTAGGCCGCGTCGGTATGATGAATTGCACCCAGGCCGATGAAACCCCTCTCCAGACAACAGTGTCATCCTCTTCAGACAGCTGAATTACCCCGATTCCGAGGATTCCGAGCATGTAAGGAAACTGAGTCCAATTGTGATCAGAAACCTCCTCCGCTGAGCAGGTAGATGAGGGGATCAAGGTCTTGTTCGCCTGGACTTGGTCCGTTCCACTGCAAAGAGACCAACTTCGGTCGTGACCTTCGCCAACGTTCAGTACACAGGTCTGCAAGCTATGCAGTGTCCCTATTGCCCTGCTACTGTTCATCGTCAAAATGTATCGTCTGAGCAGGATATTGTGGACTCCCGAGACATCGGCGCAGGGATATAAGACCCAGTGTCCACCGGGGACCGTATCTTCTTCTCCTCTACATATGATGAGAAGGAAGCAAGACCGTGATTCTTCGATAAACATGAGACTTCGTGGAGAAGCTGACGTTTGCTCGCGGCCCTATCCTCACCGTAATCCTGAATTTGGCCCAATACAAGTGTTGTTCGTTGGTAAGCTCGGCCGGCAACCAGACAGTTGTCCCAATATACATACGATGTATATATACCAAGGGCAGTATATAATGACTTCGCGGTCGCGGCGTCTTCCCATTGATGATGGGTAGGTAAGAAATCGGATCATCATGGATGATTATTTGGGTGTCCGTTTCAGACCATTCCATAGAGCCTGGCTGTTAAGAATAATTGCAGCGCAGTTGGTCTGCCTTGCGGGATCCTCGTCCCAAGAAGCGGGACGAACCGCGACCATCAGTTTCAGGAACACATCAGCGGCCGATAATTGATCTGAAAAGTCAAAAGCTTCCCATGTTTGTCGACCACTTGCATCTATCCCCTCTAGTTGGCATTTCCTCATAGCGGGTCGTCTGGTAATGGGCGCCCTCAGTATTGGAGCCGACTTTCTTTCAGAGGCCCTGAAAGCCACTTTTCGAGGAGGAAATCACAAGGTGTGATGCTATCAGCATGGCGATGAACCCGTAGGTGACGAGCAGCATGTTCCTGAGCACTATGTTGATGGCAGAGTACATATCGACCCCTGGAGCTGGTCAATGTTGGGTGTGTTGAGCAATCACGAAACCGAAGAGGCATTGCGCGTTCACCCCGTATCAGTGATGTCGCTCATGCTGTGGGCAACGTCCATTGCCAGTAATCTCCGGAAGGTCCCCATGTCGCTGTTCGTACGCAGTGGATGAGGTGCTTTTCTCCATGGTAAGACAGACGGTTTAGGATTAATTCTCTTGTGACAAATCCCGCAACACATTGAAGAATGGAAGGGGAGTCATTTTCAAGTCATGTCGCTATCTCACCACCGGCAAATGGATTGAAGTACTGAGCCAGCTCGTACCAGTGTAGAGCTATATTGTGCCCAGCGTATTTGTTTTCTCTGCATCTTTTCGTCACTCAAAGTAGGGCGAAAGATGGAACCTCAATATCATAGCGTAGTCCGATAAAGGCCAATGTATCTTCGTTTTGTAAAGCCACTGACTCGGATATTTGCAAAGGATTGGCAGAGAGCTTTCGTAAGAATCAATGATAGTGAAATGGCTTCGAGGAGGCGTTCGGCGTTCACTGAGCGCAGGACAATTGCTGCTCAGATGTGGACACTCTTATCAGATATGAGGCTTCCCTGGCTTTCCTTTTTCTCGGGCTGCCACTGACCGCATTAATCTCCCTTGTCGCTCGAATCTCACTGCATCCCGGTGAGATTGCTACTCCTCGGACCAGGCCATACCTTCCTGGGCTTGAGATAGATAATGTGGGGGGTGATACAGCCGTTCATTGTTGAATACATCTGCATGATCGATGGGGTTATCGGTAGATGTGGGCGCGATGTGTTGACAGTGTCCATGCATCGCTCAGTTGCCACTTGGCCCATCAAGCCAGGATGGGGGTCATTCGAAGCGCCGGACGGGTCTGCTTGTTGATCGCATCTCATTCCCATAGTTGGTAAACCGATTGAACCCTTGTATCCCACTGGAGCCAACCTTGATGTTCCCCCAGTGTGCTGAACACGGTGATCACTAGCCAATCTCCCTCTAGAGACATGTTGTGACTCTGACCTCTCTAGTAGGTCATCCAGATTCTGCGATCGATCAGGGCCAGATCTATTCTCAAGTGGCGATGGCACTCTCTTCTCCCGTTAGAAGAGATCAGTCCCAAACTCCATGCCATACCGACGGCCCAGGCTGATGTACTGAGCGTTGCAGTATTCTGGTGGCGACAAGACCTGAAGGAATAGACTGTAACGCCTTACGAATGTGACTATATGAGGTCAAACAGGCGTAAGCGAGATGGACGTGCGTGCATGCGCAAACGAAATCTGTCCTGGCCTCCTGGAAGTGTGGGATTTGCTCAAAATCCAGGCGAGACGCCGCCGCATCCATGTATATGGCCACTATGCGCCTTATCACGGCGTCGCTAGTAAGCACATCGTTTCCCCTGGGATTTATCATCCCGTTGGTGCCCAGTGTTGCAGAGCTACGTATCAGGCTCCGGAAAGGACCTAATGTTACATAGTCACCGCTTACTATCGTACGCAGAGCATGCACGTCAAGCTTGTTGCTGTCCAGGTCTACATCGGCACACGTTACCATTCTGGATGATAACAACTGCTTCAGGACCTTCTCTGTGACATGGCTAGAGCCTGAGGTGAACTGTTTCCATCACAGACTGAGTCAACTAAGGCAGATGACTTAGTGAGCCTGTCTGGTTGTTTTGGCAGCAACGGAGTTTTGCATTGTCGCAGCAACAGAGATGCCAGGAGCCAGCCCCCCAGACCATAGGTGGGTTGAGACAAGATGAAGTGAGCTCTTTAATGCTGATGACAAGTGCATCTCGAATATTCAAGTGTATCCGTACAAATTCCGCCTCGGACAGTGTCGATATTGTCGTCCGGAACTTTTGACGCGGGCTGTCTATAGGCGACGAGTTCTTCTTTATGTTCTGTCGTGGCGACATCAATCCTCACACAAGGTAGCCTGGTGAGCAAATAATGGGTCCTGTGGGAGGGAATCTCAAATCATGGAACATGAGAACCGACGATGAGTAGGCGCTGACAAGGGAGACCCTGTGCCTCTGCACTTCCGACAAAGTGATTTCAGTGTAACTGGTTGGTGACCCCCAAAGGTAGTTGTCCAATGAGCCATCGCTTGGACTAACGAATCGTCATAAGCATAATGGAAAATGTATATAAAATAGACGACCAGACATTTGCCCGATTGTGCATTTTGTCCGGATTTCTTGCCAATGATAGGGGATTCTGAAATAAATAGGAATAGGTCGATAGCCCAGGACGCTAGGTCAATCGTTTGCCTGTGTGTCCAGCGGTAGGCGCCAACAGGACAAGGCAGGCATTGACAATCTTGGTTGTTTCTCGTGACCCATTGTGGGGTTGGTTGGCAGGCTGTAAGACCGAGGCATGTCAACGCCCTCGCCTGTCTCTGTATTCATGTCTATGGTGTCCCTCGGTGTCTCACCGTTCTCTCAGCGTCTAGGCACGCATGGTGCATGCCGCAACCTTCTGTACCGGAGGGCGCTGTATGGCTCAAAATCATCGTGTCTTTTTGGGACTTGGTGTTGGCTGGAATCGCAAGAAATAGGAGCTGTTACCTTTTCCTATTCTGTCCAGCTTGCTCCCTCACGTTCAGTAACGTGATTACATAGATAAAACGAAAGGAAACATGGATAAGGAGATGCAAAACACCATGTAGACAGTATTAGGGGAGAATGTTTGACATGGTAACGCGCCGTTTCAACGTCATCTTTTGTGAGCTTGGGGCTCCCTATAAGACAGCATATGGACTGAGAGGGATACAAGATGATCAAGAAGTGTCTTCCGGAAAAGGTCACGTCAAGCGTATTGCATGACGACATTATACATGTCCTTGCTCAAAAGCCGCAAGGGTATCTCTGTTTGTAATGAAAGGTTGGAGGAGAAGATATAACACGGGGGGTGTTAACAGAACAATAAGAAAGGAGTGGGTGAAAAGGGCGATTTAGGTGGAAAACATAGCGTGTTACCTATCGTCGTGACAACCCCATTGGGGTTGACGGTGTAGCACATTGTGCAGATAGGTCACGCTATGGCACTGGAAAACACATCAAACAGTTAAGCAAGCTAACACCAAGTAGAGGGTGATAAGTATAAAAGAACATTATAGCTGATAGAAATAACATGAACTGTGAGATGATACTATCTTAGAATGACTGAGGCATAGAAAGAGAAAAGAGAGGAACATCTGATGAGAGAAGCAGGAGGACTTGATGTGAGAGGAAAGAGAAGAGGAAAAAGAGGAGGAGATGAGGGGGCTTTTATACCTGGCCATGGACCCACTTTCATGACCTGGCCGTGACTGGATATACCATCGTGAATCGATAGGCAGTAACCTAAAAGCCTCATCTGTGCTCGTGAAAGCATCAAGGCTCGTCACTGAACCGGTTGTCACTGAGGAGGTCCGTGCAGCCGATTCACGATGCACCAGATTCATCTGAGATGTGTCACTACAAACGCAGAGCATGATTGTGAGCATCACTGGGAGGAAGAATATGCATGTCGCGTGATCGGATCCTACCGAATGTGATGCAGTTCAGCGAGCACTTCTAGGATTATGAAGCCTGATTGAGGCTTCACTGGTATGTAAATGGATAGATCAACGTAAGCATATCACCCAACTGTCATGAGTGCCATCGTAGCATGGAACAAGAAAAGAACAAGCGCCACCAATTTATTTACAGGCCCGAATACCCCTGCAGGCCTTGAACGGCTGGTCCAGCTGCGACATGTCCGGCTTTTCTAGGAATCTTCTCCGATATTGGGGGCAATGGCCGCTGATCAAGAGCTGTCCGCGGCAGGATTTGTCCAGGGCATATCGGAAAAACTGCTGATTGGCCCCCACCATGCCATTTTCCCGGAACATGGCATCGACATCTCTAACATAGGCCAGGCAATCCGCACAAAACGCGACATTGGCATCGGGGGATCTCCATGGATATAGCAGGGCAGCTGAATCTGGTTAGCCGACGGTCGGAGACAGCAGGGAATACCCACCCCAACCCAGAAGGAATAAGCCGATAGCTGCCAGAGCGACGGAGATGAGACGGACTATCATGGCTGGAAACGGCGTGGATGGATGCCTCAGAAGAAAAAGGAGAGATGCCTGGGAAATGGCCTGAAGGGTCAGGCGGGAGTGTAACCCTTTCCGGCTAGCTGCCAAGGCCGGAGCCCTCGGCCAATTGTCGCTACCAACTGCTGGCCAGTTGCCAAGTCACACAGGCAGGCGACTACCGCTCGAGCAAAACTGCCTTGGCCAGTCCAGCCATGGGCTCAATCGCGATGGCAAGGCCGCGGCCACCCCACTGAGCAGCTCTTGGGCCCGGTCCTCCACAAACCAGTAGCCACGGAATAGGTACAGCTGCGCACAGTACTGCGCCAGCAGGACCAGTCCAATCGGACTCTTGTCCACGAGGAAGCCGACAAATTCATCGCGCACGCTGATGGGCCAGAAGAAGATCATCCCGCATTGGGCGGGCTTCTCGCAGGTCTGGATTTTCCTGAAGGATTTCTCGAGACACTCGATGGCCTGCTGATAGACTAGTCTCGTCTGCTCGCTCAAGGGTTCGGACGCGACCAGCTGTCGGATTCCTTGTATTTGATCGTCAATGCCGGGGAATAGAACCAGCTGAGCATGGTCCCTATCGCCGTTAGCATGGGCATCGTCGTAGGCTGGGAGCTTACCGTGGCGGGCTTGGGTCGAATCGGAAGTCCCTTAGAAACAGGGGGGCCAGAGACCCGCTTTCGATATGCGACATGAACGGTTTAAGCGTCAGGATTCCGCGGCATAGGTTAAACAGCCGGATGACGCTCTCCAGAGGACGACTATCGCCGAGATCGGTCGGTGCGCCACAGGTCCACACCATAACCAAGCTTGAGAAGCAAAAGAGCGCGCGACAATTTTCTTTGGTCGGAGTCTGCAGGATGATGCGGAATGTCTGCAGACCGAGCGCCATGTGGAAGTTGGAGGTGTCGAGATAGTGGCTATATCGTTCGGGCCGAGTGTAGGCCAGGTGCAGCGCTGACAGCGACAGGATGCCATGCATGAGAAATTCATACGAATAGGCGATTTTGGGCACCTCGATCTGCCACACGTCACGGATCGCCTGCCGATCCGACATGGTCCTGGAGGTGTAGATGCAATAGTGGTGCATCAATTCAGGGTCCTGCGCGCCCCACTCACGGACAAAGGCAGATGCATCCGCAACGTGAGGCTGTAAGGAGCTGATGGCATTGTCGGTCCGCAGCGACAGGCCGGGCGAGTCAGGGGATTGGTCGGATTGACTGAGAGGACTCGGACCGGGTTTGGGAGGACGACGTTCAAAGGTGCAGGCCAGGTTCCGTTTGACGCAGTTGGCACACGGACACGCTTCGTCGCACTGTGGGGTCAGCGGAATTCTAGCAATTCTAGACCAGCCGACACACCTTGACCCGGCGGGATTTGCACTGATCGCATCCGTTCCGAGATTTCGTATGGGCGCGACGTGGAGGCATAATTGACTGGTGCAGGGACGAAAGGGAGATGTGCAGGCATCCGAAGGCTGCGGGGTGGCTGATATACGACCACGAGAGCGGAAACGAGAGCGAAACCGAGAGCGAAACCGATAACGAGGACGAGAACGAGGCAGAAGGCTGATAGGAGCGACGCGTCCAAACGATGGATCCGGTGGAGCCGCTAGCCCTAGTCTCCGCAGCAGCCAAATATAGCCACCCATCGGCAGGAGAAAGGCACATTTTAGATTTATTTGCATATGCCAGTGGATGTCCAAGATTCAGATACGGCTGTTCCAGCACGAAATGATCTCGGAAGCTACTGCTGCCTATCGTATCTCGTTCATTGCTTTGCACAGCCTCTCCAGATAGAAGGTCAAATCCATGACAATCCGACTCGTCTCCACCTTTCCCTGCCCTAGCTCAGACACAGCTGGATGTATACCACCAAACAGCCGACAGCCAATTGCCGGCGGAAGCGAATGCGAGAACGAGATATTGAGCGGGGAGCTGCGTATCCTCTCAGATTAGGCTCCGATTCAGATAAGTGTAATCCAGCTACCATTGGCACGCTCTATATGCTCAGGAGATAAATTTCACGATATATCCTTACTGTGATACTGGTTCACAAGTGGAGATATAAAACGATTGACAAGAAGCATTGAGCCAATTCTACTATGGCTTCTTCATACGAGCTATACCGGTATACTCCATCGTTGGCAGCTGCCGTTCTCTTCATCATCTTATTTATCCTCATAACGGCCTACCATGCCTATCAAATGGCCCGATCACGGGCTTGGTACTTCACCTGCTTTATACTGGGCGGAATATGTCAGTATCTCTATACGATTTTGGAGCTATGCTGACCAGAGTAGTCCAAATAATGGGATACGTCGCCCGGGCATTGGCGCACAGCAATACTCAAAGTGTATCAATATACGCTATTCAAGCGGTTCTCATTCTCCTCGCGCCTCCTCTATATGCCGCAACGATCTACATGACACTCGGCCGTCTCATCGCCTATCTGGAAGCAGAAAAACTAAGCATCATTTCCATCCGATGGCTAACCAAGATTTTCGTCATGGGTGATGTGCTATCATTTCTCTTGCAGGGAGCCGGTACAATCCCTCCCCTCGTAATCCAATCAAGCTAACGTTATAGGTGGTGGTCTCATGTCCAGCGGAACGGCAAGCGGAATGACCACCGGCGAAAATGTCATCATGGGCGGATTAGCAGTCCAGCTGATTTTCTTCAGCATTTTTGTCATAGTCGCCACTCTTTTTCACTATCGTATTCATCAAAACCCTACGCAGATATCTATATCGACTAGCATTGTGCGCAGTGGCTGGCGTAATGCAAATTGGGAGACTACAATGGTGGGATTATACATCGCCAGTATACTTATCCTCATCCGGTCGGTATTCCGCATGATTGAGTATGCAGGGGGTAATGATGGGCATATTATGAGCCATGAGGCGTTCAGCTATATTTTCGATGCGATGCTTATGTTTTTTGCGATGGTTGTTATGAGTGTGTTTCACCCGTCCAAGGTTTTGGGTTCGGCGGGGAAGGAACAGAATGTTGGTTCGTCGGAGAGTGTACAGTTACGGAGGATCTACTCTAATCCAGCGTGAATTATATGATGAATGCCAGGTTTGGTTGATGATGGATATTTCCCCTTTACCGAAGGGATTTCCCGGCGAGGCAGTCGAGATTTGATGGATGAATTTTTGTAATTCAATACAGCATCAATACAACTTCCAGCACTTGACATATTCATCGCTTCAGATAGTGAAATCCAATTTACATCACTATCTATCGTGACTGAAGATCTAGTCCATCCACAACATCACTACCGCCATTCAACACCCCACAGTGACTCCTTTAATTAAATTATATGTTTTCACGTTAATTCGATGATTATAAATCCCAATCTCGCAGTCTAGATCCCTCCTCTTTCTTCTACCCAATAAGCAATAGCCAGGCAAGCCACCTAGCATATCATTTCCTAGAATATATGGATCATACCGACTAAAGGTCGTATTCTATACCATTATATCACATCTAATCTAATACCCATCTACAAACGCATCGAGGTCGTCTTCTCATCTCTATGTATCCTGAAAGGATATCCTCCGAAAGCCATTGACTACCCTCTTCAATCTCGTCACTGATCGAGATAACCTCAATCAATAAACAATAGAACAAGGATCCACATGGACATACTTCGCGTTTGACTCGTTCCCTTTCCACTCCCGGTTTAAATGCCTCCGATATACGTTTCGCTTCTATCCATCGTTCCCACGATAAACATCCTTCCCGCTGCCTTCATGAGCTCCAGCCACATCTCATCCCCTATAACCACTACAACGAGCGTCTCCAACTCAATACCAGCCACCATATCAATACAAAACCCGCTTATATACGCCAAATGCGCGCTGAACCCCCCACTGCATATTACACCAAAACCATCTCGACCATATTGCACCATCCCCGCCGCTACTCAGCGTCTACATATCGTTCGATTATATGCGTACGATATCCTGTGTTAGCTAAGTGTATACCAGCTACAGGGTCATTATCTATCACCTCCGACACCAAGTGTGGTTGTTCGTCTGCCTCTGTGCAAAGGATATACGTCGAATCATCTCCGGTGTGTGTACAATATACCCATCTGGCTTGCCCTAGCGGCTCGAAGTTATCCACCAACAATCACCGACTGGATGATCCCTTGTCTCATAAAACAACAGCAGATATTGGACTTGTACCAATGGTGAAGTAGAATAGGTACTACATATGCTACCTTAATAACACCCCTGGATCATGAAATAACAAGATAAACGCACCGGACTGTGGTTACTAAAGGTTTCTACACCACTTGCTGCAACCAGAGCAAAGCGCTTCCATTGATATCTTTATCTCGATATTTACCAGTGTCCCCGGGGGAGGGGGGATCATGCCTACCAGCATCGTGAAATGGGTGTTATCAAACACCAATCTATGAAGTGTACTTGGTGCAATACACTAGAGGCTATACCAAGACTCCAGAACCTCTTTCTCCACGGCATGGCTTGATAGTCGCCCGAAACTGGCAGAGCTCCTTGCCTGGTTACGGAACGAAACGCGGAAAGATATGACCAAAATAACCGCTAAGCGTGTGAGAAATTGCGCCGTGAGATCACAACTTACTCGATATCGAAATACCACTTATATCATGACACTTCATGGTTAATAAGATGATGTACAAGCCGTCAGACTTGTTCTGCAGAGGGGCACCAAGTTGATCGTGCTTGGGCAAGTAACCTGGATAATAGCCAAGAGACACTTGTCAGTATAAAACATCTTCTACAAACACTACGGGGTGTATAAAGACCGTGGAAGGTATTATCCTGTGGTGGGGAAGAGTGATCAGCCTGGTTTGTTGTCATATGCACACGACGACTCGGACCTAATCTCACGAGGCATCGACTACGAGCGAGTGTTTACGGATCAGGACCAAATCTGCATATCAGCCTCCATGGAATACGACATTATTGGCGGTTAAAGCGAGATTATTAGCTGTTCTGTGCAATGAAACACATTAGGCTACATGATTTGAAACCCCACCAACAAGTACAAATACGTCAGGGATGGAAACACACAACTCGACGAACCCTCGGACCCAACGGAGGGAAGCTCGTTGTCGTTGCTGTACGATGATACACATACCCAGGCTATCAATCCTGATGGGAACGTATCATTTGATCACGAGGACCATGGTCAAATTCATCTCTCTACCGGCAGATTTGTTCTTTTCTGTGTCTGGGGGAGACCTACATCTAATCAATTTGGGCTACTGTGCTTCTGGTGAATAGCACATGTTTGATACCGACTTGAGAGGATTGCTAGGAGAACATTCCCGACAGGGCTGCTGAAAGGCTAAAGATGAAGTTTTTTTGTGGAATAACTGCCGCAACAGGTTGTATCTGGTGGTCTACAGACTACCTGGGATATTTAAAGTGTTGGATAAAACAGTTATCGTTCTGTCAATCCTGGCAGTCTGGCGACTATAGACCACTCTACCTACTCATAACAGCAACTCCATTCTTCAACATGTGGGTGCAGACTATATGGCCTATATCCAGCTCTCACTCCACTACAGAAAACACCCACTTGCTTTAGCCAAGAAATAGTGGAGGGTCATCAATCTAAAGAGATGCAAGAGAGTTTGACTCTGTCGGGCATACATGCAAACATCCAAAGAAAGAGCACATGAAAATGCTCAGCCAGCGACACAGAATCCGAAGACAGGGGGGACTGTACGTGATCCTATCCTTATTGAGGATGTAGAAGGACATAATATCAACCAGCCCATCTTAATCGAAGAAGATGGGGATGAGAATGGTCCTATCATTCTCTAGATACGTATAATTTTAACTGTTTCCTTGATTTACTGTACCCCAGTTGTACGGGATACCTGTGTACGACACCCTGGGCAAGACTTGTACCTCTTCGTGGTGTTCAGGATTAGTAGCCATCTGTATGACGAAGCCAAGCAAGTCATCCAATGATGTACGTACAGCTTTATATAGATAGATATGTTAGATAAGCTACGCGCGATCTAATCAGACTTCCTACTTATTCTGCTGGCAATAAACATCAAGAAATCATTATTGCCCGATGGCTGCTATTGCCCGCTGTAGACATCTTCACTAGAGTTAACTAATCCAAACTGAACCCATTAAATAACAACTAAGAATATCAGCAGCGCCGGGATCAGCTTTATTCAATGAAAAGAGACACTGAACAGGTAAAAAAGAAGAAAAGAAAGATAAGATAATCAGAAATAATCAAAAAAAGAATTACAGAAGAAGAGAAAAGAACAGGAACTATAATGTATATCTTAAACATAATACCGCGAGCAGAATACACGCTACGCTGACTTGCGATGATATTAAGTGTACTTACTATCTAACCACATCGATCGTGACCGACTGAGGTAACCGAGACCATTGTATTGTAAGGTGTTCAGTACTGATACTCCCTATCATACTAAATTCCTCAGGGCTTAATTTCCAACAACTCTGTCAGAAAGTCCATCTACCGGGAATTATTATCCCCAAGAATATAAACTCATATATATTTCTCAAAACGTATTTATCGACCACTATATACTAACCAATTCTTTCCTCGGATCTGAAAGAAAATATGCTTCGCTTGTAGAGTTGGTTTCATTACCAAACTCAGCTACCTACTTATATGGCCAAACATAGAGACACCACTTATAAGTATGTATGTTTCTGTTCGTGGCCGGTCATATTTTGTAATTACCGTTCGATTTGTTCTAGATCAGTGAGGGACCCAAAAGTGGGACTCATTGTGTTGTTTATCGTTGATAGTAATATGGAATTACTGCGAAAACGGTGGGGGGTGGATGGGCAGGGGTTGATGTGGAGGTGAGGTTGGTTGGCCAAAGAGAAATCGTTACTCTATGAATTAAATATCTGAATCTTGGATTGTGCATACATTGTACACAGGTGGTAATCTAGGCATCAAAAAGGGCTTCGTGTAATTGATAGCATTATTAAACATGACAGAACACGCTCAATGGCTCATATCACATGACGGAAACAAAACAGCCGACCAGACACTGCGTGTTATTCCGGCTTCTGCCCATACACTATGTGCACCTTCGTATATAAATGCAGGTTCAGGTCGCGTAGCTCCTGTTTCATGCCTGCCACGAATACCTCAATCTCCGGTCGTTCCCAGCCCATCACGCGTGTGAACAACGCATAGCAGTATGGCCCCAAGGCCTCGAACATGTTGACCTGGTGGTAGCGACCCAAATCCTTCATTTTTGGGTCCTTGGGCCAAGGACTTTGCGGGAGCTGTGACCGTCAGTACGGATGATCAGTACGGATCAGTCTGGAACCCACCTTCAAGATATCCTCCCGGACGTTGACAAAGCCCGCCCTTTCCATACTCTCCTTCCACGAGTGCACACTGGCCAGGTCCTTCCCATACTCCCGAGCCGAGTCGTGCATGTAGACAATGCCCTCCAGCAGGGTCTTCGCCCTCAAATGTGTGTCATCATCCGAGTATGTGTTGACCTCCATGGAGGCAATCTCCATCCATCCCTTGGGCTTCAGGTTCTCCAATCCCTGGCGAAAGAGGTGGTCGACATCGCGGATGCATCCCTCCAGTTCCCGACCGTGAATGTAATCGAAAGGCTTGCTGTAGGACCATGGTTGCTCGAAATCATCGACCTCGAATCGGCAGTTCGGTGGGATCCTGCACGGTCAGTCGCGAACTCACAAACCAGCGGAATACCTACCATGACGGCTGAATGGGACTGAGATCGTTGCCTGTATCGTGTTAGTGTCGTCACGACATCGCGGCTGTCCTCTTACCGATCACTTCGGACTCGGGATGCTCGCTGCCACACATTAGCGCTCGCCATCGTCCAGGATTATATTGCTCACTCGGCAAAGTCGATGGCCCAGATTCCCGTGCCTGTTCCAATATCCAAGACGCGTGCGGGGTTCTGGATCGGCGCTTTGCATAGTTCTCCCTTGAGGAGCATGCGATAGATATGATGACTCTACTCCGGTCAATTATGCCCCCTCGATATCCAATGCGACTAACCAGGTCGAGACGGTCTTGTTCTTGTTCATCGTTGGGCTATGGGATCAGCAGAGGATCGGTATGCGGGGTTGGAAGGCATACCAGGATGTATTCGCCCTCGTGGTAGGAATGGTATCTGCGACCGTTCTGCGAACTTAGCCGAGGCTCATCGGGGGTGCTGGATCCTGTACCTCATATCTGGAGGGGTCAGTGGTGGCATTCACAACGGAGAGAGATACGTACGCATAGTTCATGGCACTGGAGGTGATGCTGGTGGTGTAGCTGGCATCGCCCAGGCTGAATCGCGGTCAGCGCCGTGGAACCGAGTCGGGAAGATCGCGGGTAGGAACTTACGAGCCGGGATAGGTGGAGTCATTGTCGCTGAAGCTCTGGAGATCATCAGGATTAGCAGGACAAGCGGATGAAATGGGGGAATGGTATGATGGGATGACGAACGTCGGCCTCGATGAAGCTGGGGTCCTGGGGAGGAGTGCGGTCGGAACACATGGTGGAAGAAGAAGTGACGGGCGGGAGAGAATTGGCTAAACAGTAATCCGATCCCCACTCGGTGTGTCGAGTACCCCAGAGCTGCAAATCCAGCCACAAACAGGTAAATTTCTAGAACAAAAGGGCCAGCTGATTCAAAAAAAGTAAAAGAGAGAAGAAAAAGGTGAAAAATATGAAGTGCGGCGACTATACCACCGGCGCGATCGTATCGAGATTAGTACAGCGACCCAAGCGATCAAAGCGATCAAAGCCACCAAAGCGACCGGGGAGGAGCGGTGGATGAGAAGGGGGATGCAGGAAAGTGAATGAATGGAAGGAAGGAAGGAAGAATGGATGGATGGATAGCAGAAGGCAAAGGCCCAGTGTCTCCAGCTGCAGCCAGGCCTGTTGATTAAGAGGTCGCGCTGGACCCATGCGGGATGACCGTTTTCTTCCCCCATTCGCCAACCGTAGTGCCCGAGACGGTCGGCCAATACCTATGTCAATGCCAATGCCAATGCCCAGATACTAGATCAATACTGATCCTATTATTCAATACTACTACGAGGCAATGACTAGGGTCTTGACAGTCGTCCAGAAGATCGCTGGCCGGGGGGAGATACTAGTGGAAAATCCCCCCCGGCGGTTGGTCGGTTCGCTATGAGACACGGCGGCGTACCGGGGTCTCCCGCATCGAGTCTCGCCTGCAGTACGCATGCCTTGCTGGCCTCCTCCCATCACCGCATCACCATCCTTCTTTTCTTTTCTTGCTTTCCCATCAACCAGGCTGACTCGAAGTTTAGCCGGCCCCCGCATCTTCCACCCCCACGTGTACTGAAGAACAGAAGGCATCAGTACTATGACCATCTGTACTGAAACATCCCCAACAGGGCAGACTCCCTCATCGCTACACTTCAGTGGGATCGACACTGGCCTTTGCCTTCCGCACCCCACCAGCGAATCGCAGTTGCAGTCCCGGCGGGCCCGGTGTCATGCCCAGAGTCTAATCTTGCCATGTGCCATGGCCTCGTCCTGAAGAACTGCACGTCGGAGACAAGTTTCTCCTCGAGACCCCCGTCGGATACTACTCCCTGCCAGTCCCAGCGCTCCACGAACTCCAGCGAACCCTTGCTTCCATCCTCAGCTGACTAGTGGACATTGGTGATCGGTCGAAGGGAGGAAGGAATGGCAGAAAATGGAATGGCTCTCGCACATCACCTTCACATGGATTGAACTATTAGGGAACTATTGCTATTAAAGATAACTACCCAGGAAAACCCCTGGGCATCGGCAGCCGTCGTGTTCCCTGTTTTTCACCCGGCGTCAGCCAACTTTCCTTGGTGGCCAGCAATGCCTCCTCCTTTTTCCTCGGGAAACGATGCGTGTGCTTGAATAATGAAAACCCTGCTGGTCCATCGCCCCTCAGCAGGGGTGGAGTGGTCCCATGCCTCCACCCCTAGAAAGGATTCTCACCAATAAACGGACGCCACCGTCGACCAGAACTTCTTCCAGTTCCAGTGGCCCCGTCATTCTTCAGGCGCAACTGGGTCCATTCGATTCGGCTCGTCCCAGGCCCCGCGGGCCGCCGTTATGCCAGCAGCCAGCTACTCAACCACAACCAGTTTGTCGGTCGGTCTTGATAGAGACGGGGCGTATACCCTTGAACGGATGGCCTGATCATACCATCATGTATACGGTGTTTGTCATTGACTTGGCCTGCATGTACGTCGGCTTGGCATGGCAAAGGGATTCCCGCTGGTACCTTAGAGTATTAGCATAAGGAGATTAGACACATGGCCAGGCAGTTCAAGAACAATTGATCTTCTGGAATTAATCTCCGATCGAAGATATCCCCGTTGTTGGAAACCAGCTTGACATTACTCTGCGGGCTAACCATTCCTTGCCAGGCACTGTTAAGCGAGACGGGCGTTGATTTGCCGACGTCGAAACTGAGTGGTGAGCCAAAGTACCGCCCAGACTGCCAATGCCGAACCGACTTTCCACCAGCGTGTCTGCACGTGAGGCTGTGTTGTTTACATAGGCATCTGGGTGACACTGCTATACGCTCTTGTCTCTGCTACCTAGTTACTGCCCAGTTTGTTCATCTGCTCCCACTCCTGTTTAGAATACCATCCCACCGTCCTTTCCGACCGCTCGGTGAACCACTCATCCTGCAAAAGCTCCTTCGCCGTAGGTCGATCTCTTGGGTCGAGCTTCATAATCTTGAGGACAAATGCTTTGTCGGCATCGCAGATCTCTCTCTTGCCGATAAATCGAAACGGTTTCAGTTTCTCGGGCGGGATAACAGACATGATGCGCATAATGGTTTCTTGTGTCTCCTCATCGGCAATCTCCTTGTAGGAGATGGGAAATGGCCCAAACCACTGATGGTGCAGCACCACAATCTTAACGTCGTACAATTTGTGCCCTTCAGGTACATCGGGCTCGAACAGGTGGAAGTTGAACCCCCAAATCAGGTTGATCAGCTGTTGAAGTATTAGCTCTGCCACGACAACTTGAGAAGCCGGTCACTCCAAAACTCCAGATATCTGCAGCGGGGCCCCATGGTATCTCAAGATGAACCTCGGGGGCCCGAAAGAGACTAGTTCCGGTCGGTACGCCATCCACGGCGTACTCGGAATCACTAGGGACAACCCCCCCCCCACAGTCAGCCAATTGGACGTCCGAAAATCGCCTTTCGCCCTGGCCGTAGTTGACGAGAATGTTACTCGGTTTTATGTCTAGAAGGACTGTCAGAACAGGCACACCATCCGTGGAGGTATGGAGATTCTCATACCTGTATGGACATAGCCATCCTCATGCAACACCTGCAGGGCTTCCAAAACGTTCTTCGCCACGTATTTGATCTCTTGCCTGGTAAGTCTCTGTTTCCTGGAGGCCCGTGTCACGTCGTCATCGAGGTATTTCAGTATTATAGCTGGGGGCTCCACCGGATCTTGTATCTCATCTAGGAGAGGGCGCAGATTCGGGCAGCGACTCTGAAACCGGCTGAGGATGTCACGTTCGTTATGAAGGCGCCAGTGTCCTTCAACACTCTTCACGACAACGCGATTATCGTGTTGGTCCCTATGGCCTCTTAGTATCCATTATGAGCCGACTTGGGGATGACAGGTACGGACGCGGCAAAATAGACGAACTCGGAGACCTGCCGGGTAATCCGGTATGTGCTCGCCTTACCTCGCAGGCACTGGCCTAGGCAAAAGAGAGACTTTGACGACATTACATGTGTTGGCTGTCAATTGTCCTACGTAGAAGACCAAGGGGAGTCAGGAGTAAACAAGGGCTCTACGGGAGAGTCCCGGTTGCACGACGATCAACTTTTTAGCCGCACCTCACCCAATCGGTCATCTTGGCATATAGTACAGATGGGACACCAGTGTCAATTCCGATTGATCCCCATCAGAAAGTCCTAAGTGACAAGTCAAGTAAGTCGGCTTCCAACATATGATGCAAAAATAAAAGATGCTAAGATGATCGGTAGGAAACAAAAAAGAAATCTTGTTAAATGCGTTAGCTGGGAGTCGAACCCAGAGCCCAACCTCACAATCCGAATGGAAGGGTTGAATGTTACCGCTACACCACTAACGCTAGTGAATGAAAACATACCTAGAGCTTTTGTATATGAGCAACAGCAGGGAAGATCACCAGCTGTCCCATGAAATAAGCCCTCAAATATTTCCATTGTCTTTTGTCAATCTGCGCCATTAGAATTCAGCACCTTGACTCCTATCACTGCGGTCAATAACAGCTCGATGCTACATCACCCGACCAGTCGCCGGACTCTATCTGTGCAACCCACACAAGCAGGGATCGGTACTTCCGATGCTGCAACATCCTAGCATTTTCCTGGGTAGCATGACCTCGCGCATTGGAACAACAATTATCCCATCACACTCTGTACTCGTTGCTCACACGGCAAATTGTGCCGCTGCAAGAGCCATTCCATGTGGTTGACAGCCTGTGGACCCCATAAGCTGACGTTCCCTCTCCTTCACCGTCTGGACAAACGTCGTCTGTTGCCCAAAGCGGCAACTGGTCTCCGTGGAAGGATTCCGTGAACTTTTGTCTGCCGTGTGGAATCCTGCTGACGCCTATAACTGTTCGGCTTATTACGGTCAAATGTGGCAGCTGGACAGTTTACGAGCTGGGGAGTGATACATCGGCCTGGGGTTAGTGTCGGATAGTTACCGCGGTGGAGCACTCACGCTGCCTTCTACAAAAGGCAATAGCAAGGTAGGTATCCCCTATGGGTGCATTGCACGCAATTGCACGAAATCAAGGACATCTCGAGGCTAGCGAATGCTGCATCGTCTGTGCACCGGCTTATCCTGACAAAGGATTACCCAATGCCGGCAGCCAAGATATTCGAGGGTGTGGTCACGGGACTCACCGGCTTGGGATGCGACACGGGATCTCGTTGCGCGCGGCCGACTTGTCAACCACCCGCGCGGGGTATCTCCCCTTGGCGACAAGTCATGTCGGAATACGAGCATCAGCAACAGGACCAGTTGCTCCGATGCAGGCGGCGTGTTCACCGTCCTTTATCACTGAGATGCTCGTTCTCACCCCACACCCTTGAGTCAGTCAGTCGAGGAAGCTGTGCCTATTGGCAGCTAAGGTAAGTATTCTTTGTTGTCAGTGCTTCTTTTATGCAGTCATTTTCTGATGAAGCTTTGGCTCTTAGTTCGATCGAATGTGATCTCCATTCCTTAGCTACCGATCGATGGGATCGGTACTCGCATACCATGAATCGAGTGCTGCTGCAGACGGTCACGGACGGGCTTTAGAGCTGCATTGTCGATGACTTTCGAACGTGCCAGCCAACCGTCCTTTCTTACCGCCGACCAAACGTTCAGAACCCCAAGGTTAGGACGGTCCGGAGTCGCTACGCTCAGGACTCCAATGCGCCACGTCCGTATGGAGACTTATCCTCCACTCAATCTGTGTGATGACCTGGGCAGTTGTGGTCTCTAGCGCATAACATAATGGCAGCTACAAGCACGGTCGCATAGGCTCTATTGTGACACGTCGGCGCGAGCTCGAGAGTCCAACCCTTCGGCTCGACAATGAAACGCCTACTGGTGCGATAATTGGGTGATGCAGATTTAGGCTGAGGCGGCGGCATTCCTGTCTGGTCTGCGGTGAGTGTCAGGGTCTTGTATGGATTCAAAGTGGACACGCCACGACTGTGGCCCTCGTCATCGCCTGATGGGCACGTCGTCGTACTTGGGCTTCTCCGGATTATTGTCCCTGTCTGAACTGGGTGGTCTGTCGGTGCGCTACAGGTTGCAATTGCGCGACAAGTATGCCAGAGATGATCCAGTCGAGCTCCCATGACGCTAGTCTGCTATCAGACTACTCAGGTGGCGACTTGGTTTACAATCAGGAAGTCTGCACAAGGAAGCTCGGGGATGAAACAACCTTGCACCTCGTCCTCCAGCGAAAGCCAGCAAGGCAGAGGGTAAAGTCCTCGCCATGGCTCTGAACATGGGTCAGGGCAGTAGGACCTTCAAAACTCATTAGCTCCGTTTGCAGGCCCGTGGTCTCCGTTGTGCCATCATCGTCTGATTTCCTGGGTACGACCAACGGTCCTTACATAGGAAGAGGTGTCCCGGCAGCGCCTCCCCATACACGCTGTAGACCCATCCACGCTGTAGAGATATGCTACCCTTAAAAAGCTCGGACCAACAGACCATCTCTTCAACTCTGGCCTTCATGCAGCTGTTCAATCAACACTGACGACAGACACCTACCCACGTAGTCGAAACCATTCACATCAGCCCTGCCACATGTTCTCACTTATCCCAGCACAGGATAACCAGAATTGTACCAAGCTTAGCACCCGATCACAGTCCATACCCTCTATCGCAATGAATCCAAGAGACATAGAAACAAACACTGCCTCAAGCTCTTCCAAGACAGCAACTCGAATACCACAAGCACTTGCACTTTTGAAATATGCTTCCTCGACATCAACACCTTTTCTCTACCCGTCCCAAGTCCCACACAATATATCCACTCATTCATCTTCATCTCAATCCATGGAACAATGCTGCCTAAACTCTGGATGGATCGATCAAACGCCCCACAATTTCCATAGTATGGATACCTCCAAACACCTCCAGCGTGGATCATCCACACCGTCTTTTCGCCTTGACTTCTCCCCCCCCCTCTCTCCGTTATTCTCTAGATGTGTATGGAGTAAAGTCTCGGTGGATCCGGACATATCCTTCTTCAGGGAGTTGTCCCGACATGGGTATATACGTTTCTCCAAACGTGAAACTTCTCTACTGATGGGAATGATTGACTTACAAATATTCCAGAATATTATTTATGTAGCTCAACTATATCCTCGAGAATAATAGAGTATGTGATGAACTGATCGCTTGATTGTGGTATCAGAGTGGTTTATCTTGAGGATATCCATGCCAGGAATGGTTTGCTGAACTCATATTCTGAAGAGCTATAGGATTTACCACGTATGTGAAGGATTGATTGATTGATCGAGAGGCTTTGTGTGAACCACATTGTTGGACGTTTTGTTTTCTCCTATCATATAGCACATGTAAGCTCAATCTGGGTCATCCAAGCAGAGAATGTTTCAAAGTGCCATGCCATGCTCACGTATGACCATTTCATACATCCACTTCAGAAAAAGCTAAACCAACAACTAACCCTGCAGGAACTAACAGCACTGCCATCAAGTCATTGCGTATTATGTACGACGCATAATCTAATCTTAACACAGATATCCACCTCACGCCAAGATTATATTCTGTCAACATTAGCTTCACACTTTCTTGATCTGGAAATTAATTCCGATAATCGCGAAACACTAAAACCTGATGGCTCTCCAATTTCAGGCCCACTGACCATGCCATATTGACGTGAGCACCTCGAGGCACTTGTTGAATATTGGTAGAGTTATGCTATCTACTTAACATATCACTGTCAGTATCACACGTCTGTTCCAACAAGTACAGGGGAGAATCATAGGTTTATGCAGGGCAACACGCAGTTCATAATTCCTTGTGATCGACACCCCTGCATTAAATCCCTGCGGAACACTCTCGGAAGTATTCTTTCCCTCATGCGTATTCTTTGTCCGAGACATTCCCCTACCAACTGAGGCGTAGCTGAACCTCTTTTATCCAACGATATGCTGCTTAGTGGAAATCGGAGTATTCCTTGTCCGATTCTCACTATTAGTTAAAAATGGTGCCAATCCTGAGGATCGATGAGTCAGATCAGCGCTGACGATATCAATTCGTCATGATAGTCATCGTGTGATTGAAACATCAATCTGAAACTGTTACTATATGTAGCCGACACGGGCCATAGCGGCGCACCGCCTCGTTGACCCCGTCGTTCGTGGTAAGGAACGGCAGAGGATCGCTGGGGCGTGATCAACATGTGACCGGGTTTCAGATGTCACCATGACGGGTGGCTATGAGAAATCCCTTCTCCCGTGTCTACTTTCGGTAGGGATAAACCAGACGGATGGGGAAGTGACAGCCTCCACTCTCAGAACATCTGAAAGAATAGCTGTCCCCAGCCAAGTTCCGTGGCGGGATCCAGACCATTCTGCATCTGCACCAGACCCTGACCAAAGCGGCCGAAGGATAAAAATACACTCTGCCAGGAACAGCCCGAACATGGTTGCCTAGACCAGCAATTGCCACGGCCTCAGCCCCGTGCTTGCGCGGCCCATCTTTTTTGCGGCCAGGGAAGAACCCTCTCTGATTGGTGGCATCCCCGGATAAGCCTTGGTTTTGCGCAGTAGCGGAAGCTTGGCAGTGACCCAACCAATGGGCCACGGCCTTTTGCCCCCAAAAAGAGGGCCGGCCAACGTCACGGACCCCCCGGACGGCCGCGTCACAGAACCGGCTGAGACCTCACCATCTCATGCCCTTCATTGGCCCGTCTTGCGTGATGCTGCAGCTCGCTTCCACACACAAAACTCAATCATGCTGACTTGCTGCAGCCGTCCATTTATAGCCCGCCTGTCTGGCTCTTTGTTTCCTGGACTTCCGGCGCCCACCGCACTTATATCAACCGTGGTTCCTCTGCCTAAGATTAACCCTGACACTACCAAACTACACCACACCACACCATACCATACTACCAACCACCATGTCTGCTCCTGACGTCGCCAACGATCGTCCCGAAACAGGCCACTCGGCCGGGAAAAGCTCCTTGTCTAGCAAATCGGACCCGAATTCAGCCCTTCGAGGTGAAGAGGCCGGTACGTCAACCCGTCTGTCCCTCTCCTACAGGGACCTCCCCACTAACAAAACATAGTCTACAGCGTTGGCTCTACCGGATTCTCTCTACGCTCGATGCAGCATCGCGATCGCGAGGGCAAGGTGATCAGTATGTTACCCTTCCCACTCCCCCTCCATCACCCAAGGCACACTACTAACAAAACCAGCCGAACCCGACCTATCCAACCCCACCCGATACCGATTCGAGCGACCACTAGAAACAATCCGATCATTCGAGGCAGCTATCGAACGTCGTCGGAGAGAGAATATGTGATACTACGTGATGGATATGATTTATTTGTTTATATGGCGCTGGATGACGTATGGATATGTTTGGGTATGGGTTTATTGAGCGTTTATGTACATTATCAGGGTATGGTACCATTTGATTTTCGGGTGTGTTTGATGGTGCTGCTATCTCGTAAATTATTATCCTCCTGGGTATTACTCTGATGCCTACGGTCTCTTGGCAGTTGTCTTGATTGTGGGGATTGGGTTGTCGAGCTGTATATGTTTTATCCGCCTCGACCCACTATTGCTCTGGGGGTAGATGGCACTCGCGATGTAAGGTGGTATCCACTGGAAGTTCTGATTGTATCTCACCGTTCCACCCATCGCAGCTGAGTTTCGATTCAGCGAACCTTATCGACGCCACAGTTTCGCTGACGAAGTACTCTGTACTGGCCGAGTTGCACTATCAACCAATCCAATCCAGTCATCCTTATATTCTTCTTTTCTATCAAGAGAAAAAAAAAAGAACATCAAGCTAAACATGACAGTCAAAAAAGTCCTCATCGTTTGTACTCTAGCGAATATCAGCGACATACACCCGCAGATAGGCCTGTCGTATATCATGGAGGCTGGTTGGGATGTCAGAGCTTTTTCTCCAGCAATTACAACGCCCATTTCTAACCACCCCATATCTAGATTTGCCGATCCTATGATTAAGCTATATCCTGGAGTTGACTGCCACCTCATCAATTTAAGTGGACCATTATTGACCCCCGCAGAGGTACATGAGAGGATTACTGTCGAGCTATACTCGCCCCTATCGAGGTTACTTTGCGTTTGCGATATTCCTATCCCGCAGAAAGTCATCGGCAATGTGATCTGTTTGTATGCGGGAAAGGTTGTACTTGAGTGCGTGCGTTGCTAGTCAAGGCAGGCATTTACCATCTCACACTCGATGCAGTTGATCGAAAAAAAATTATTTTCTCTGCGTGGGAGACAGCCTGTACACACGCTATACCCACGTGATAGTCCAACAAATTAAACGCCCCAAGTCTTTCGCGGGTAATGAAGTCATCAATGCCATCGATGACAGCGCCTTCGCGATAAGAAGACCTATATCAGGACCAGGATTAGTGGTCCATTGCTGTGGGGTACGCGATTAACGACAATTTTGATCCCAGGGTTAACACTGCCGATTACTCTGACTGTGCGACTGGGGAAGAGAATATTGATTTTGTGGTTTCAATAGCCACTCTTGGTGCAAGGAATCCGGCTGAACCGAGGCTGACTACCCGCTGTTGAAATGAGTAGTACGCCAAGGTGATGAGAATGCAAGAGGATCTCAGGGTAAAGGCAATAACCTTTCTTGGCTGGCTATGGGCTCCTACATCGTGTATGCCTTATTAGAGGACTGTCGGGGGCAGGTCCTCTCTTGCCACAGTCTCCAATATTGACAATAGATATCGCCCTCAATGGCTATCCTATCACGCAAGCTCTCGGCCTCACTGGCACCTACCGGGGCATTATTCTGTGCTACTCCGCCGCAACCCGGAGGTTAACGATGCTTTCCTATTGTGCCTCGCGACAGGGTAGATAATCGGTGGTTCATCTCCTTCGCAGCGCAACATGGCCCAACAGTATCGTCATTCCATGGATGGCCGATCATGCTCGTCGCAATCAGGACATGAACATCGGTGTCACGCTGTTCATATTTTCCCCCTCCAACCCCCTTCTTTGTATTTCTCTCACTCTAGATAATGGATCGTCATCTCCTAGCTTGATCTCCGTCTGGACAGGCGCAAAACACAAGGTGTATCCGCTTCCTTTTCTCATCCATCTCTACGACTCCATGCCGTTACTTCCATGACCATTCACTAACAAATGAATATAAGGTGGCCCCCTCCATCATATTCGCCGCCTTCAGCATCACCAAAATTATTGGTCTGCTAAGCCCAAGGTCCCCGGGGTTTATCTTCTGTTCAACAGTCCAGTCATACATACACCTCACACGTTGGAGCGAGCAGTTGACTGGGGTACCACGCTGCATTTGTTTAAGATGTCCTGGTGGCCGTCTTTTGCATGTGATTCCAGGAGCTATCGCGTCTCTGTACCCTCGAGAGGTCCCAGGATGTTGGCAGAGCCAGTCTCCGCCAGACATTAATTGATACTTCTCCTACGGCTATTACGATCGATCAGCACCCTAGCTACCTCCCCGTCAAGATCACCACCATGGCAGTCACCTCTGGGGCTGATGCTTCTCTATGGATTGCGCAAGGCGCGGGCTGATCACACCGAAAGGCTGGCGTGGAGTTGCATGGACAGGATTGATGATGCGTATTGCGAATACGGTGATAGTGATGGATATAGCGTTGGAATGCAGGGCATGTGGTAAGTATTTAATGTTGTGAGAGTGACCAAACTGGAGCATGTCAACCGAGAGGAACGGTTAGTGAATGTAGATCACCTGATGGTCTCGCCTTTTCTGCTGTATCTAACGCGCCTTTCTGATCAGGTTACCGAATTTGCATCTCTCCTACTCACTACTATTACCTGTATAGCCTAGTTGTTCTCCGCTACACGTGCTATCGTCCTGGTGCATTGAATATTGACAACGGATAATGCTTCAACCATTGAATGCGGCAGGCTTGTTATTTCTAGCTACGAAGCCTCACTACAGCCGTGCCCTTCGGACTCTGAAGCTTTCGGATACAATACAAAGCGACGTACTTCTCCACGTCCCTCACTTATGCAGGTGCCTGGCTACATACAAGCATACGGAGATCCATCTGACTGAACTCGAATAGGTCTAGAGTCCGCATACCCTCGAGTGCAACTAGTCGAGGCCGTCTCAACAACCAACAGACTTACAATGGCGCCACAATTGATGAAGACCACGGCAGATATCGTGCCGTCTGTGACGACGCCTGGTATGCTGCATCCACCTCATGTTGGTGATATGGCCTGCTCACTGGATGAAAAACTGGTAGCGGTTTCAACTGATCGGAATTGATAAGTATTCCGACGATCAGTGGGTTCCAATAAGAACAACACCGGAAGCATATTACCTTTTCCTTCGCCTGGTGCAGTAGTGGGATCCGTCATCTGCCGTTAGGGTTGGTCGCTCGGCGGTAGTTACCCTTCCGGGATGCAGTCGGAGATAACCTCGACCTCCACGATACCCCAGCTAGTCCAAACGTGTCTGCAGATGTCTGCAGATGCCTGCAACCGAGCAGCTTATGCAGACTATGCAGTAGTACTGCCTCGATGACGAATGAGATGTTCTCGGCTGCAGAAACTGCATGTGCGAGGCAGCCGATATCGCATTGGTCAAACGAGTTCAACCCACGGTACCTTGCACTGCCAAGTAAACCATACTCTAACCTCTGCTAGTTTGATATCTACCTAGTAACTGATATCCTGCGTATCGTACGACGGTCTAATCATGGACCCATTCACGGTCACACCGTCGGCTGGAACCCAACAGTGGCTTTCCAAGAAACGATCTACTGCAGCACTCGTCATCAGTCCCACTGTACTTGATAAACCTGCGCTCTTGGCCTAGCTGACTACCCTGCAAAACTATATAAACCCGTCCAGTGCCAACATTTGATACACCACTCTCATCCTCACAACAGTCAAGATGGTCAAAGCTGCAGCCTTCGGCCTTGTGGCTCTCGGTGCTCTTTCTGGAGTCACCGCCACCACCTCCTATGGTCTGCCCGACCCCATTCTCATCGACTTTGACGATGATGGAGTCGAGGGCGGTCTCTATCGCCCCAATGCCACCAGTCCGCTGTCCCGCATCGGTGTCTACGTGATGCACGCCGAGCAGGATTATCTCAACTTCTCGGCCTGCCACGAACTCCCCAAGCGCGGCTTCACCACCTTCTGCGCCAACAACGACGCCAGCAAGAGCGGCTACATGACCGACCTCAACTTCGAGGACATGATGACCAACATCGCCCAGGGCATGAGCTACCTGCGCAACCTGAACGAGATCGACAAGGTCGTCATCTTTGGCCACAGCGGTGGCGGCGCCATGATGACCGCGTACCAGAACATCGCCGAGAACGGCGTCAGTGCCTGCAATGGCCCCGAGCGCATCTACCCCTGCTCCGACGCCATGGCTGACCTCCCCGCCGCCGACGGCATCATGCTCATCGACGCCAACTACGGTCTCTCCACCATGTCCCTGCTGAGTCTCAACCCGGCCATCATCGACGAGCACTCGGGCGCCAAGATCGACCAGTCCCTGAACCTGTACAACCCGGCCAACGGCTTCTCCGAGACCAGGGCCAACTACACCGCATCCTTCAAAAAGGCCTTCCAGACCGGCGTGGTGGCCCGCAACAACCGCATCCTCCAGCACGCCGAAGCCCGCCTGGCCGCCATCAACAACGGCACCGGCATCTTCAGCGACGACGAACCCTTCTACATCGTCGACTCGATGTACGTCGGCTTCAACAACAAGTTCTTCGCCCAAGACACCCGCTGGATCCACCACACCACCCACCCGTGGCCCTTGCTGCACCGCAACGGTTCCATCACCAAGCAGATCGTCCCCTCGGTCCGTGTGCCCGCCAACTTTGAGAACTTTGCCGACAACTTCGAAGGCGGTGCCATCAAGACCACCATCAAGCGTTACCTGTCTACCCTGGCCATCCGCGCCACCGACGACTTCGAGTACAAGCCCGATGGTTTCGAGGGTATTGTCTGGAACTCCAGCCAGACTGCCCCGCTCGGTAACATCGGAGGAATCACCGTCCCGCTGCTCAACATGGGCATGACCGGCCACTACGAGTACCTCAACGCCGAGAAGCTCCACTTGGCGGCGGGGAGCAAGGATGCCGCGATTGCGTTTGTGGAGGGTGCTCAGCACACGATTGTCACTTGCACCGAGTGTGAGTCGTACCCGGGTGAGTTTGGCAATACTCTGTACACTGCGTACAACTTTATGGGCGAGTGGTTGAGCAAGGAGGGACGGTTCCTGTAAACATCAGCATACCAATGCGTGTACAATAGTTGTAACTATACCCGGATAATTAGCTAGGTCAGACCTAATAGCTCAAATAGTCACTCCTTGTGTCACAGTATACCATCTGTCCTTCCTCATTTTCCTTTATAGTTGATAGTCACAAGTATCCTATAAGTCTATCAGATAACCGTACTTCAAATCCCTCACCATTCCCACAACCAAACCACAACATAAGAGCCCAACCCCAACCCCAACCCAGTATCTATCTCCGAGATTCCATCTCCCACCCTGCCTTGTCCCTCGTTTTCATCCTTCCCTTCTTCCCTTCCTCCCTCCCGCCCGTCCATCCATACCTAAAACCACCTAGTCTCCGCACTCCAACACCAACCCCTACTCCACCCACCACCCCAAATGCGGGGATATTCATGGCAGGCCCCTCCTGACCTAAAGTACCAAGCATCTCTACAACTGCATAGATGATATTCCCCAACCCCGGAAATATTCTCTCCCGCTATCTTCACCCATCACAGCCAAGCCAAGAAACAAAGAACCGAGTGGGATATGTTGTTCCGCTGACTAATCGGTTCCTCACAATAAGCAATAAGTTCATTTTATTTCCGGTTTTGTGTTGGAAAGAAAGTACGTACTTTATTCGTACTTTACAACATACACGTATTGGTATGTAACGCGTATGTTTACGGTATTGTAACGATGAAGGGCTGGGCGATGACTCAGCGGGGTGTTGAGATAAGCTTTAATTTGCTTTTTTTAGGCGGTTGGTTGCTTTGGGGGTCTTTTTGGGAGGTATCTTTGGGTGTACCTTTGGGATGCGTACTTCTGATGGGGGAAAGTACGTGTAACATTAGTATTGTAGGTTTGGTATGGAAATGATGTATGGGATGTAAGGGTTGGCGGGTGACTAGGTGGTATTGGCACGCACCTTCGGAAGGGTACTTACACGGAAGATGCATGTTCTTTGGTGTGGTATGATGTAGCACGGATTATGTTATTGTCCTGATAAGGTAATTGTGGCTACCTATTGATGGTAACATCTTTATGGAGGTCTAATGGATAAGCTCATCCATCATCAGGCCTTATCTAGGATCTGACCCGTTGTGATATTTACCATGTTAGTCCTATGTATTTCAATTCTAGTATTGAGTTGAGTGTTTGATAATTCATTAGATTCACTCTTCAGTCGCAAAGTGAGAATCCTTATCCACGGGCGGGAATAAGTGTAAGATAACATACACTTCTTTGGATAAGCACATCGTTCCTTGACAGGAAGGAGTAGAGCGGATTCGCTCAATCTCTATATACGCAAAGTGGTCAACGAGATCGATTTGTCTCACTTGTGGGTATTTTTCTGGCCGCATGTATGATATGCTCCCCTGAAGACTCTATCGGATCAAATATTTGGCGTGTATGGTGGAAAGAACTTTCCGCTGTATGGACTAGAGGTGCATGGGAACATAACGGGCTTGTCAGAGGAAGTGCTTAGGGTGAGGCGTTACTAATATATGAGGTGAAAGGAAGGGCCCGTGTAATGGGTAATGTTGGGTAGGATATGAGTTGTCATATGTCTAACATCACCAGAGAGGATATGGAGCTCAATCACACAAGAATATTGTTTGTAAAAGCCTGTGCTGATTTTCTTAATATCCATATTCACTGCAGAAGTGATGTTGTGGATGACCTGGGTCAATGGTATTTATCAGCAGACTATAATTATCTATTTTTCACCTACCCATGAAGTGAAGGTGTTGGTCCAATTTCAGAGGTGCCGGGCCTATCATCACCTTTTGAAGTCGCTTTAAAGCCTAGTATGCCTAAATCACAACCTAAACTGTATGAATTCATAGGACAAGATAATTTACCACCAGGGAAATCATCCGCTTCATGGAGTAGAGATGCAGGAAAGCACATAGGGCGTTAATTACCTGTTAATCTCCAAATTGAGATCAACAGTGGTGACTAGAGTCTGCCTGGTTAGGCATAATCAGTGTAGAGAATTCCCATGTGGTAGCAGATCCCAGGCATTCCTAGAGAGATCATTGCGGTGCACCAACCTGAATGATTATGGTGAATGTCAGTCAAGGAAGTTCTCGTGGACTATCCGGAAAGTAACGACTGGGTACCACCACCCCTCAACAAGTCACTATACCTAGGCAGCAGCTCCCAAAATCTCATCAAAGACCATGCCCTCCTACACAGTATGTCCTCAAGTGTTACTGTTGACAGCCAACTCAAAATGGAGCATTCTATCGGAAATATTATCAGTGACGCCGTAACCCGGCTCGTGCGGACCCTGCAGGAAGATTTTCGCAAGGAAATTAGAGACCAAATCCAAGTTTTCAGGGAGAATTTGAAGGGTCTCCCCTCTGAGACTGTTATGAGTGACAACGAAACCAGAAAAGAATTTCAGACCTTCCGACAGGATCTTCAGGTCTTGAAGGATGAGTTGAAGGATCTTCGAAAGACAACCGAGCGAAATACAGAACATCTTCTGAGTTTGGGCACGAACTTCAAGGAAACGAAACAGCACGTTCACAGCTTGCAGAAAGACGTTAATGAACTTCGCAGACAAACAGATCGGAATACAGAAGAGATACGGACCCTGCAGACAGAACTTAGATATCCTTGAAATGGAAGGAATCAGAACACGCCAAAGATTCAGTTCCTTTCCACGGATGTCAAGAAAACCAAGCAACAACTAAGCGCTATTCAGGAGGATGGCAAGAAAACCAAGGACCGATTTTAAGCCTTCCAGAAGGAAACTTAAAGCGAGCTCGCGATTATTTACGATCGGTCTAGTATCGTCGACGCCAGGCTAGATGCAATGTATGCCACCATCGCCAACTCAAGACTCATCTATCCATTTCAAAAGATCAAACCCTTCTCCATGTTTGACGAGTCCTACGATCTTCTTCCAGTTCCGAAGTGCTTCCCTTCAAATTGGCGGGACTGATATCCCTCAAGTACAGAAAGAACTGTGGGTTCATCTAATAAACCTGTATGAATGTGACTAACATGAACAAAGGTCATCACTACGAGAACTTCTCACTTATTATCGGCTCGGGGCTGTCACAATTCAGGCCAGCCACGATCAGAATACCGGCTTTGAGCCTACCATGAGCCAACATCAATTCACACAAGGGCAACTCCAAACCGCAATCGAGTCCGACCCAGACCGTGCTGTATCTATCCTAGGTTCTCATTTAGGTATAGCCTCCGGTGTCCTCAAGAGCTGTTCTTCGTTCGAGTCCAAACAACCAGTGCAGCAGCTCGGCAAGCGCGCTCGGCAGGAAGACAGTGAATCCAAAGCCGTTATCAAACGAGGGCAAGAAAATACTGGAATGGTAAAAGATAACAAGGAACAGGAAACCCCTTCAAAGAAGAGACGTATCGACAAGACCCCACTTAAACTCCCTGAGCGGCATGTCACGTCTGAGTTCGAACATGGATTGGGATGCGGATACTGAAGGGAAGCGCTCAAATCTAGTCGACTCTTCTAAATCTCGACCCGGGATACTCCATCCAAAGCCTCCCACGTATGATTATGTGATGAAAGAGTATGATGGCTCTAAGAGCAATGAAAAGATGGACAAGGTGCGAAAGTCTGCGGAAGCTAGTTGGGTCTCAACTGAAAAGAAGCCCAGTTTATGTGAGGGAAGTCAAGGTCATGCTGATGGGAAGTCTTGAATTGACAGGAGTGTTTTGCGAGCGACAGGTTCTTCTTTTCGTGACACATTTGACACCATAGATTGAGTCTTGGAACGGAATCTTTGGAAAATGACAAATTCGGGGGTCGTTTTCGGAGTTATCTCGCACGCATTCGGCAATGTCATCGCCGTATCCTCTCTGTTTGATAAAAAGCATGTGTCTATGTAAAGTATGCACTGGTAGAGAAGACTTGGTTAGCTGGTCAGCTTGTATCAATACGATGACGTCACACTCCTAGAGGGGCCCTAATTGGGTGTTTTCCTATACGAATACGCTGAAGGAGTGGACTAACATATCAAACAACATTCCAGCCACAGAGTCAGTCTCTGTCATGAATGATACTCTGCAGCCGATCTCATCGCATAACCAAGGCAACTAAACCCCCTGTTTGAAAAGTATAGGCTCAGAAATACTTTGTAGATGACCCATCTTCAGTCATGTCGTCTGTGCTTTTGCTTGCCTTTACATCTACACCCTCATCGAATGCTTCGTATGTTTTTCAAAATACAAGAGTTTCCGGGGTTTTGAAGCGACTGTTATTGCTATTTTATTTATTCGGGATTTGAACCAAAGAGGTCCAAAGCCATGGAATCTGCATTAAGGTCGAGCCTTGGAAATGAGTTACCGGGTTGTCCTGCCTTAACACTGTTATATATTCACTACATAATTCGATCAAAGCCTCGGAAATGCCTAATTGGATGAATTGGTAATCTAGGCTCTGGCTGAGATGGAAATATATCCGAGCAATTCTCTACAAACTAAACTGCCTGAATACGGTGCCTGTTGGCCGTGATTCTAATCCTGATGCCGAATTATTAAATCTTCCAAACCCTTCTCTCGCATTATGAGTTGAATATGGGGTGATATAGCCCTAGTCTTTTCCTGTTCCTTTTTTGTACGTTCGGATGCCTCGAGGACCGTATAGCTGCCTGGGAGGGGTGTGTTTTCACGACGATTGCTGTCCTCTAAACACACTGAAAGCTGCCAGAAGGGTGGAAGGATAAATTATGTGGTAATAGCCAAGTTCCATGCAAGAATGATGACTTTGTTCGGTAAATGTAAAGGACTGGATAGAGAAGCAATGTCAAACTATATTAGGCCAAATCGGTTGGAAGTTGAGGATTAGATCAAATAAAGATCCCCCATCAAGGGCCCGTCAAGAGAGAATAATTATCATCGAATGGAGATGTGCTTTCATCAATAAATAGGGGAAGGGCCATAACGCAGCAGAAAACCCGAGGGACAACTTATGGTGAGGGAAATCGCACGAAACAACGCTAGAGCCTGAGGCATAATACCGCAGGTCACGTGTAGTCGGGGTGTTTTCTCCGGGCTTTCTACCTTTCTTCCTCCAGTCATCAGATTGTCTTATCATCACGCCTTCGCAACCCCCTGAGCTAGAAATCCCTCATTGATATATTAAACAACTGCTGCAGACTGCACTAATTGCCGGCATGAGCTACGGCAATATACTTCTATTAGTACTGCCCACTAAGTGAAATCCAAGTCGGGACTAAGGATCATTAGTATGTTCCCGGGTCGGACACGCTTGTGAGTCTGACTCAGGTTCTAATCAAAGGTAGAATTACTTGACTCTTGTTGACTTGGAGTGCATTCTTCCTAGGTCCGACTGCATATATGCCCAAGGGAGCGACCAAGATAATGCTTCAGATTATCCCGGCACGTTCGGCGCTGAATCAACATCTCCACGGTCGAATACGACCAGTTCCACAACACCTACTGAATAGATATCCTATCCTTATAGCCAGTCCCGAATTGTTAATGACAAATTAATACCGTTTCGAAGAACCTTTCCGGGCTGACTGGATAGCCCACTATCCAATCGCATCAGCCTTTGCCTCCGGATATTCGCCGAAAGGGTGACAAAATGGTCTGACACGCAACCCGATGAGGTTCATCTATTCTTTCAAGGAAACTGGCTACCCCATAAGCATATGGAGGTCGTGCTAAGGTTCGACCGCGAAGCTTGGTTTGTCGGAGGGCGTCCACGGCCATGTTGTTCCGGGAGACGGGTGCTTCATCACAGCACATTTCCACCAATTGTGACCCAGTGTACGCGTAAGTGGAGGAGGGGAAGCCCCTCGTGATTCAGGAATGGAGGAGGCCTCCTGGAAACTTGGAAGGTAGAAACTCAATGGGAAAAAAGGAAGGGCCACCCGGACGGGAAGATTCCATGGATAGGCGCTCCTCTTTCCTAACTGGGCACCCAAGAAACACTGCGCGAATATCGTCCGATCCTTCCGGTTGGTGGGGGCAAGACAGGAGATAACGATGATCAAATGCCAATATTGCTCTCTGCCGTCTGCAGCAGACCCATGGTAGACCTGGTATCACACATCTTCCTTGTACTGCATCCATGCCGACAATGGAATGATTACCTTGATGCTGACATCGACATGTTCTGGACCGCATCGGCCCCCACATGGTTAATCGGCACATCTTATCGGCGGCTTCCGAACAGCCCTGGCACGCGGAAAGCCAAGAAGCCCCTGTCTCAGACTCGCAGCTATGGGCTTGGCAGACTCCAGCGTTCATTTCCTCTTGCCAAGCACTGTAATTGAACCACTGTCAGCTAAGTTACTTAAGCAGCTGATTATCATCATCTGATATAGGGCTAGGGTCTGCCGTCATTTGATCCTCGAGATTGCCTGCAGATTAACACGTCTTAGCAGGCCGCAATTGGTGGAACCCCCGGGTCCACTTGCCCTAAGAAGCTTCTTCGAACGCCTCCACTCGGTCAACGGCCGGCCGAATTGCCTGAAATTCCCTAGCCATCTCAGATATAGTTATTCAGTGCCCCTTCCGGTAGTGACGAAACCCCGCCGGCGTCTCCACCCGGAGGTCCTGACCCATATGAGATGGATGCTTCTTGATAACAGGAGCCTATCCTAGCATGGGATGCGATTCCTATAAGAACCAGGCCTGGTCGCATTCTCTGGTTCCTCCATCAACAACAAACTTAGGCTTGCCGATCAGTCGATCCTTAACCGCAATCATGGTCAAATCCGTTCTTTCTTCCATCATTTTCGCGACCACCGCGCTGGCCGCCAGCCGCATGACGGCTCCTTCCGGTGCCATTGTCGTTGCCAAGTCCGGAGGTGACTACTCGACGGTAAGGATTCCAATGCAGATCTCATGCCGAGAACATGGCTGATGAACACTGAACAGGTCAGCGATGCCGTTGCTGCCCTCAGCACCACCTCGACCGAGACCCAGACCATCTTCATCGAGGAGGGTAGCTACGACGAGCAGGTTTACGTTCCCGCTCTCAAGGGCAAGCTGATCATCTACGGTCAGACTGAGGAGTATGTTAATTCTTACCACTTCGGGAAGAACGCGATCTAATACATTTCAGCACCACCACCTACACTGAGAACTTGGTCAACCTCACCCACGCCATCGCCCTGGCTGATGTCTCCGACGATGACGAGACCGGTTAGTCATCCCACACTCCTAACGACAGCAATTCGCTGACCGATCAGCTACTTTCCGTAACTACGCCGCCGGCTCGGCCGTCTACAACCTCAACATTGCCAACACCTGTGGCCAGGCTTGCCACCAGGCCTTGGCCGTCAGCGCCTATGGCTCCGAGCAGGGTTACTACGGTTGCCAGATGACTGGTTACCAGGGTAGGTACCAACCAAAGAAGCGTTCCGACCTTTGCTAATGCTGCTCCAGACACTCTCCTTGCCCAGACCGGTTACCAGGTCTACGCCGGATCCCTGATCCAGGGTGCCGTGTATGTTGCCACATCCCCAACATGGACATGAACCAGTGACTAACATCACAAGTGACTTCATCTTCGGCCAGCACGCTCGTGCTTGGTTCCACGACTGCGACATCCGCGTCGTCGAGGGTCCCACCTCCGCCTCCATCACGGCCAACGGTCGCTCCTCCGAGTCCGACACCTCTTACTACGTGATCCACAAGTCCACCGTCGCCGCTGCTGATGGCAACGACGTCCCCTCGGGCACCTACTACCTCGGTCGCCCCTGGTCCCAGTACGCCCGCGTTCTGTTCCAGAAGACCTCCATGACCGATGTCATCAACTCCCTCGGCTGGACCGAATGGTCGACCTCCGAGCCCAACACCGAGAACGTCACCTTCCAGGAATACGGCAACACCGGTGCCGGTGCCAAGGGCACCCGTGCCAGCTTCTCCGAGAAGATCGATGAGCCCGTCTCCATCAGCACCATCCTCGGCTCCGACTGGGAGGACTGGGTTGACACCAGCTACATTGTCTAAGCTATTAATCATCTGGAGTGGTAAGGGGACGAGTACATAGTCGTGTGGATATGTATATATACTGATAGTAATTGCATAATTGTGATCTATTGCAGATCCTACCATCATACCCTCTCTCACCCTGAATATCAAAGTAATACTGCGAACAGCATTTTCATCCATCCCCTAGTCACTAGAACAAAAGAACTCAAATCACTACCTACGGGACTCCACACCCTCGCAACATCATTCAACCGAACCAAGTCCCACACATACAAACCCACAACCCATCTCCTCGAACTACATATCTAACCTTCTACCTACAACCCCCCGACCGAAGAAAACAACTTAACCACCACCCACACCCACATACATACATAACCTCATGTAATACCTCGCAAATCAATCTACCTACATCTACCACCTTATCCAACCACCAAGAGATATAAATATATCACTCATACATAATACATAGCCCTTCTAACAAACCCTTTAACTCTCATTTGATATGAGGATAATATTCTCATCACGTAGGTAACACAAACCCTCGGCTTATAAAAGTGCCCGATCCCGCCGGAGTTACTGTTAAATAAGTGCCGTAGTTTCATTGCTGTGTCTTGTGAGAGGTATGCGGTTACTCTCGTCTTGGTCGCCCGGGATGTGTGGAGTGGGGCTGAGGTAACGTGGTATCGTTATGTCTCATGTACTTGATTATAGGTAGGGTATATGCTGGATGCGATATCGATATTATTCCTGAATTACATTAATCGCATCAGACACAATAACCATAACCAATATATTTAGATCATATAGGAAAGAAAAGTAGATAGTTCAATTAATAAAATCCGCCGGCACCTCCGGGCCCCAAATCGCCAACGACTCATTTCTCGCAGGCATATACCCAACCGGCGTCTCCTCATTGACCAAATCCCCATCCGCATAATGCTCTACCATATTCCCCGTCGTATCCCACCAGTAATCGAAGATTTGGGAGCCGAGGATATGTCGTCCCACGCCCCAGACGGACTTGTATCCCTTTTTGGCGAGCCAGTAGTGGCCTAGTTTCTGGGTGTCGAAGTCGTGGACTTCAAACGAACAGTGGTGGACGTGGGGGGTTTTGTTGGAGATCATGAATAGGGAGTGGTGGTCTACGCCGTCTTGGCCGCGGTCGATGTGTGCGAATATGGCGACGTTTTCTTTTTGGTTTTCTTTGTCGATGTAGAGGAAGTCGGTGGGGACGAGGTTGAAGTTTTGGGTGTAGAATGTTAGCATGTTGGGGAAGGATTGGACGCAGTAGCCGAAGTGGCCGAGCTGGGTTTTTGGTTCTGTTAGATTGTGTTTTGGGGTTGAGGGATGGGGGAAGGGTTGGGGGTGTACCTTGTGCACGGGCGCTGGTCCAGGGTTGAAGCGATGGAACTTTCGCAGTCGCGTCTTTTCCGTCTCGTAGTTGATGATGAGCCGTTCTGGATATTCTCCAGGTTTTTTGGGGGTTTGGCCATGGATTAAGTTCACGGGGTGACCTTCTGGATCAGTCACTGTCACTAGATGACCTCCACCAGGGTGATCAACTAATTCAGTGATTCCAGTCGCATTCGGAATCTGTAATGCTCTACTTCAGTCAGCGCCGATATTCCCAAAAAAGAGTGATAAACCAACTTCTCCAAATCCCCATATGACTCCACCTCAAACGTCCCCCCCAGGAACGCCTTTGGTCCCTTCCGCGCATAGTAAACATACGGATCGGGCCCATAGCCACGATACCAGACTTGCTCGTCTGTTTGCTTGACGACCTGCATACCGAAGTCTGTACCTGTCAATACCAACCCATCTCTCATCTCTACACATATGCATACCTTTTAAGAATGTAGTTATCTCATCCAAATCCGGATGCTGATACCGCATATGCGACAACTTCACCAACCGGATCTGGGTCTCAGGGTTGATCCCAGATCGCTCTCTCCAGGAACTAACTGATTCTTGTTCTGGGCCCATGGCCGTGACATCAGGGATGGAGGCGCCGTGACACGCGGGTGGGGTCTTTTCTGGGCTGTTACCTTGGCTTATGGGATGGGGGTAGGAGGTGGGGTCTTACCGGTTCGTCGTGGCTGTCCATGTTGTGGTTTGTATGATTGTGGATGTTGTAGATGAAAGTGATACTTCGCTAGGGTTGGATATTGTTGTTTGGTTCGAATGAAGACGGATGAATTATCCCAGGGTCGGGATTATATTTGGCCCAGCTGGACTGCGACCCCTCTTCCATGTGGGGTCGAGGCGGGGGTGGGGCTGGCCTGGAGTGGAGGTGCACACTGCTGGCGGGAATCCGCGGGTTGTCGGTTGTTTGGTCATTGAGGATTTCGTATAAGTATGGGAGGGGCTACTGAGTGGATATTACATCGTAGGAATAGGTTATTGGGTGATGGTATCTTGGTGCTTGTGTTGGAAAGTCGGAGTCAAGGTCGGCGGCTGTTGGGGAGGGAGGCGATCATCCTCAGGAATGTGGGGAGTGCATGAGGGCGCGTCAACTAGCGGCCAGAGGAATGTTTTGCCGCGTGTATTTTTTCGCCATCCAAGGAATACTCATACGTTCGGAAGAAGCTTCAGCCGACAGGATGTCCCTCATGCTCGAGCCACATTTGCTAATGCCGTGGGAATGTTGCATTCCGCGGTTCTCACTCCTAGACATATGGGTTAATCTTGATCTAATGTGAAACGCCTATCGCAGCTGCGTGCCTACATATCCTACACATTTGTCTCCCTGCCCATGGCGAAATGCTTACAGTAGGCCATAATGCGACCGGATAATGGAACTATAATAATCCCAAGTCGAGGGGCAGCGCTCAATCGTGTGTTTCTGGAAACACAACAATGCCAAGGTCTCACCGGGCTTAGAACCCCGAGGAAAAAACCCGGACAACAGTTACACGCCTAGTGTTGGACAATACTCCGTGAAAAGGATTACTGCAATAAGCCGCCTGCACTCAGGTTAGTAGACCCAGCGAGAATTTTGAAGACTGTTATAAAGTCTCAGTATATTTTCTCACCGAGATTTAAATAGCAGTCATTTCCCTCGACGACATTTGAATAAGTTCCCTCTGATCGCCACCCGTACCACTGAGGCTCTGGGAACCTGAATCTGAACACCGCTTGGTCTTCACAGAGAATGCGACGTTGCCAAACCTGGAGACTAGTCTAAGCGACGAGTTCCGGGTCCGGTAGAATCGGAGTATATATACCCAGACTCATGCCTTGCCAGCTAACAAGCCAGAAGCAACAGTATGACAACCTAACCCCTTGGAGCATCCTGCGGAGTCGTGCCGGCACTCAATATAAAAATATCACAAGTATATCTGACACCTGTCATGGGACCAGCGACTGTTGCACATTCCCAGCGAGAAGCCCATATCGCCTCCACTCGTCGAATAATTGTATGACTTACATGTGGGCCTCCTGTAGGATGAAACCAAACCCAACCAGTGGCCATACATGCTCTTGTTAATTGTAACCTCATGCGAGTCTGCCCTAGATCTCTTATAACTCCTACTTTATATACGGCGACTTTCTGCCCGGGAAGTTAGCATACCCGGAACTTTTGTTCTTTGTACGCCAAAACGGTACCAGCATAGCTATATTACCTTGAGTGCACATTGAGACAACACTGTGTGTTCCATCTCAGCAGTTCTCGCTGCCTTGGTTGCCTAAGGCACGAGTCGAGACCGGTCACATGGCCATCGACAATGGAAGCGAGCACGTGGTGGAGGCCGCAATCCACATCGAGGATGTCCGGCGCCAACCTCACCTGGACCAACCGACCACGCCATGGGCTACCAACCATGGACAGGAACCAGCCGGCCTACCGCCCCCCATCGCCATCGTGGGTATGGGGATGAGGTTCCCTGGCAACATCCGAACTGGAGAGGACTTCTGGTCAATGTTGGTGGAGAAAAGGAGCGCTGTGGGTGAGATTCCTCCAGGCAGGTACCATGGAGACTCATTCTATCACCCTACCAGGCCTCATGTGGTCAAGACCAAACATGGGTACTTCTTCCAGGAAGAGTATCTGGGTAAAGTCGATCCAGGATTTGTTGGAAAGCCCCACGAAGCCGGCCTGTTGGATCCCCAGCAAAGGCTTCTTCTCGAGGTTGTTTGGGAGTGTATGGAGAACGCTGGCCAGTCTGACTGGAGGGGGCACAACATCGGATGTTTTGTAGGGACCTTTGGAGAGGATTGGCTCGAAGTCACCAGCAAAGACTTTCAAGCTATAGATCGGTTTCGAGCAATGGGAACAGGCGACTTTGCACTTGCCAACCGGATTTCTTTCGAGTTCGATCTAAAAGGCCCAAGGTGTGTCAAGAACAGACTTTCTTTGTTTCCTGAAGTCCTTTTCATCCAGCAACCTGCTTCGATGACGCTGTCTGACCATAATCATGATTAGCATCACCTACAAAACGGCGTGCTCGTCCTCTCTGGTCGCATTACATGAAGCCTGTCAGGCAATCCAATCTGGAGACTGTTCTTCGGCTATTGTCGGCGGCAGCAGCATTATATTTTCTCCTACAATGTCGGTCACGATGTCGGATAACTTGGTATTAGCCCCTGACGGCCGATGCAAGACCTTTGATGCTTCAGCGGATGGATACGGACGTGGGGAGGGTATCAATGCCATATACATTAAACCGCTGGACACTGCCATCCGAGACGGTGATCCCATCAGAGCAATAATCCGCTCTACAGCAACAAACAGCGACGGGAAAACGCCCAACATTTCCACGCCAGATCGTCAAAGCCAAGAGACTCTGATCCGGAGAGCATATAGTCGAGCGGGAATCAGTGATCCCTGCCAAACAGCTTTGTTCGAATGCCACGGAACAGGGACAACTATGGGCGATGTTACAGAAACCGAGGCCGTCGCAGGAGTGTTCGGAGAGAAGGGGATATTGATCAGTGCGGTAAGTCAAGAAGCTCATTGTGCATGGCTGACTGACTCATTCCTGACAAGGTGAAACCCAATGTTGGACATATGGAAGGTGCGTCTGGTTTGACCAGCGTCATCAAGGCCGTCCTCTCCTTAGAAAATAGAAAGATTCCTCCAAATATATACTTTGAAAGACCAAATCCTGAGAGTAAGTTTATCCAAATACTCTGTCTGCACGCTAATAAATGTAGTTCCATTCGAAAAGGGCAAATTAGAAGTTCCGATAGACACTTTACCATGGCCGGAAGACAGGGAGGCTCGTGTGAGCGTAAACAGCTTTGGGATTGGTGGAGCAAACGCACATGTATGTCCACTGAATTCGGATAACGCATTTAGTATATTCTGATATGAGACAGGTCATTTTAGATGCTTATCAACGCCGTGACTCTATGCCAAAACCATCGAGTGATGGAGATCACGACCAACTCGTGGTGGTCTCTGCATGGGGCGCAAATGCGCTTGACAAGAAGATCCAGCAGCTTCAGTCCTACCTGGACCAACACCCCGAAGCCTTCAACGATGTTGCTTATACGCTTGGTTCCCGCAGAGATCATCTGGCTCACCGTGCATTTCTGGTTACAGGCGGCAAGATCGAAAATCTAGAAGGATTCCAAAGAGCCCATTTACCTGAATCGCAGGCGTCAGAAATAATATTCGCCTTCACCGGCCAGGGTGCTCAATGGTCCGGAATGGCCAAAGGTCTCATGGAACGATACCCCCAATTTTACAGAGATGTACAAATAATGGACGTTACACTTCGAGGTCTTCCATCACCACCCAGGTGGAATTTACATGGTAATCTCTCTGTCTGAACACGAAGAAGCATATATTAACAGGCACAGATACATTACTGAATGGCAACCAAAGTGCGATGGACCGCGCCGAATGTGCCCAGCCGCTATGCACCGCCATTCAGCTGGCTATCATCAACATTCTGGCCGCTTATAACATCTGCCCCTCTAAGGTGGTAGGCCACTCCAGTGGAGAGATTGCTGCTGCATATGCATCGGGTGCCATCTCCATGGAGACAGCCATCATTCTGGCCTATTATCGCGGCCAAGTATCCTCCCAATGTGAGGGCAAAGGGGCGATGTTGGCGGTGGGCTTGAGTCCAAAACAGGTCCGATCATATATCACAGGCGGAATCGTTGTTGGGTGCTACAATAGTCCCGAGAGTGTGACCCTATCTGGAGACAGCGGTGCTCTGGACGAGATAGCAGCTAGGATACGCGCTGACCTACCAGATGCTCTGATGAAAAAGCTCCCAGTTCAAGTCGCCTATCATTCCAGTGAGTGATAAGTATTCATGTTCGGAGTAGTTCTAACCGTGATAGGCCACATGATGTTTGCCGCTGCCCATTACGAAGAGTTGATTCGACCTCATGTTACCTGCAAGCCGAACATGATAGCACAGATGTTCTCAACCATGACAGGCCAAACAATACATAATCCAACCCAGCTGGATGCGGCGTACTGGAGGGCAAACCTTGAGTCACCAGTCCAGTTTACGGCTGCCATGGGAGCAGCGCTGAAGTCGGCGACTGACACACCGCAGCCACTAATCCTAGAGATCGGACCACATTCTGCTCTTTCAGGCCCTATCCGTCAAATATCCAAGGATATTGAAAAGCGGCATTCGTATTGTCCGACCGTAGTGAGGGGAGATGACTCTACTTCTACTTTCCTCAATGCGGTGGGTCAGGCATATCTCCATGGTGCGCCGGTGCGTTTTACGGCAGTCAATGGAACTGGATCTTGCTTGAATGACCTATCACCCTACCCATGGCAGTACGAAAACTTAGGATGGTCCGAAACCAGGCCCCCGCGGCAATGGCGTTTGCGCAAATTTGCACACCATGAATTGCTTGGTTCTCGTACTCTGGAGTCCTGTGATTCCGAGCCTTCTTGGAGAAACATCCTTCGCCTTGATGAAGTCCCATGGATCTGGGACCACAGCGTTGCCAGTCAGGTTGTCTTTCCCTGCGCTGGGTACATAGCCATGGTGGTGGAGGCAGCCCGTCAAGTCACGGAATCTGATGCTATCACGTTACGGAATCTGTTGATCCGGACTGCCTTGATTGTGGAGCCGAATATGGAGTATGAGCTTCTGACTACCATACGACCGGTGGCAATCAATGACCTGGTAGAATCTTCATGGTACGACTTCACAGTATATTCCTATGACGGTACTTCGTGGAAAAAGCACTGCGCTGGACAAGTCAAGTCCGGCACCTCTGCCAGCCTATCGCAACCATCAGTACTCCCGGTGTATCCGAGATCTGTTTCGTCGTCATACTTATATCGACAGCTGAAGAAGGCGGGACTGAAATATGGAACAACGTTCCAAGGCCTTCAGGAAATCACTGCCAGTCCGTCGACCTACGAAGCCGCAGCAACAATTCAGGACGATCCGCAGCTACATGTTGGACGTTACCTAGTTCATCCCACCGCGATCGACCAATGCTTGCAATTACACTGTGTAGCCGCATGCCGTGGCCTCGCTCCGGGAATGAGCGTAGTGGGCGTCCCTTCATACATTGGAGAGGTATACCTAACCCATAGCAGCGAGACCATGTCGTTAGGGGTCAGCCCAACCGCCTCGAATGCTATAACTGATGGCTTAGGTGGAGATGCACATCTAATTCGCAGTGATGGGACCACCGCGTTGTCCATGCGCGACGCCCGTTTTTTCGCCCTGGAAAGTGATGGAAAGTCAGCACGTGAAGAGCCGTTCCTATGCTCTTACATGAAGTACCAACCGGATATACGTCTCAATCCTGCAAAAGGCTTGGTTAAACGAGCCCCTGTAAATACGGGACTAGAAATAACAGCGAGGCTTGCTGTTCTGGCAATCCTAGATTTCGATATTCTGGTCTGTAATCTCACTCCCACGGTCCCTCATATGATCAAGTATCGGCAATGGATTCAATCGGAAGCCCTGCAAATAAAAACATCAGACTACCATTGCATCGAAGAGGCACGGAACTGGGCGCGCATAAGTCCCGGTGAGCGGCTGGGCCTTTGGAAAACACTCCTTGAAAAGGTGCCCGATCCCCGGCTCTCAGGCTTTTTCGCGGATGCCAGATACTGCCTGGAATCAGAGATGGACTCCTTGATGACGGGGCAATCATCAGCGGCTCAGGTGCTCACCCCGCGTGACTCTTGGAAGGACATCTATGGCTACGGAGTCGACATATTTGATTGGCAACAGCTGTTCGAGCTTCTGGGACATTCCAGTCCTCAGCTGCGGATAGTGGAGATTGGCGCTGGAACGGGCTCTGCTACTGCAGCGGCGTTGAGAGCCCTCGTTGATTCCAGAGGAGATCGATCTTTTGCTCGGTATGTGGTCACGGATATTACGCCTGGCTTCCTGATACCGCTACAGGAGCGATATGGCAGTCAGCTCGAGTATGCGGTTCTCGATATATCTCTCCCGCCTGCAGATCAAGGATTTGATGTCGGTGGCTTTGACCTGGTTATCGCGTCGAATGTTATACATGCCACACCAAGTTTGAACAAAACATTATCTAATGTGAAGACGCTGCTGAGGCCGGGTGGCTGGCTCGTGCTCCATGAGCTTTCGGCTGGTATGATCAACTATTCTGTCCCTTAAAGATGAGTGCTAACGGCTAGGCCAGCGGTTCCTTACGTGGATTGGGTTATGGTATGTTATTCGGCCGATCCATCTTACTCATTGAAATTGTATCCTTAATGGAACTAATTATTACACAGGGTACCTTGCCTGGATGGTGGTTAGGGGACGCTGACCAGCGTCTCAGCCGACCATACGTCACTGTGGAGAGATGGAATGACGAATTCGTTAAAGCCGGCTTCACAGAAATAGAAGGCATGTCTTATGACGAAGACTTCCCATACCAGATGTCCGCTACTATGGTCACAAGAAGCGCACCTTCAAAGCCATCCATCCCCGTTATCACCCTTCTCGGGACGTTGGAAACACAACGGCAACCCTGGGCAGCGGTTATTGAAGACAGGCTGACCCTCCAAGGCTACACTTTCCAGTGGTGTATACTGGGGGAGTGTCCTAAGGAGAGCGTCGTTATCTCACTGCTTGATCTGGACGGCCCGTTCCTATACGATTTGCCCGAGGAGTCGTTTTCCCAGTTACAAAATTACTTATCCATTGCTCGACGAACACTCTGGATTACACGGCTTTCTCACAAGAAATGCTCGGATCCTCGTTTTGGACTCATACAAGGATTCGGCCGTACCATCCGAGCGGAGACCGGAATGGATTTCAGGACAGTTGAGTTGGACAAATTCAACGACACCAGTGCAGACGTCCTAATGCGCGTGTGCGAAGAATTCTTCGATGAGAAAGCTAATCCGTCTGGTAAGGATTTTGAGTACTCTATTGAAGATGGTACGGTCTACACTACGAGATGCAATCGCCTATCAATGGAGGAGCAACTCGAGGTAACGGGTAATGATGGGCCTCTTCGCATCCATCCTGGAACACGCGGTGTGATAGACACACTCCATTGGGTGGAAGAGGAGCAACAGGAGACCCTTCAGCCGAGTGAAGTTGAGGTCGACATGAAGTATCTGAGTTTGAATTTCAAGGACCTCATGTTCGCCTTGGGTCTTCTTGGAAACAACCTTCCTCTAGGTCTAGAGGGCAGCGGTGTTGTCCGCAGGGTGGGCTCCGCGGTGACCGACCTACACGAGGGAGATTCAGTCATCGTTATTCAGCAGGGTACATTCAAGACGCGGCTAGTCACGCAGGATCTAAAATGCATGCGCATCCCAAGCGAGATCTCGCTCGAGCAGGCATCTGCGATGCCTTGTGTTTATGCGACTGCCATCTACTCGCTTCTGACGATAGGGAACCTGAGCAGGGGACAGGTAAGATCAGTGTTAGTGATCGAGCATAAGTATATCTATTGATGGTTTTCAGTCCGTTCTTATCCATTCGGCCTGTGGTGGTGTTGGCCTGGCGGCGATAGACATATGCCGGATGGTTGGCGCAGAGGTATGCCCAACCCAACAGCTGAGCACTCGTTTACTGACCGGATATAGGTTTACGCTACTGTGAGCAGCGAGGAGAAGATTCAATTTCTCATACAGACATTCAATATCCCACGTGAGCGGATATTTGACTCTCGCAGCGTCTCGTTCCGCAGCGGCATTCTAGATGCGACACACGGACGTGGCGTAGATCTTGTACTGAATTCTCTCGCAGGCGAGCTCTTGCATGCGTCTTGGGACTGCGTTGCTCCCATGGGCAAGATGATTGAGATTGGCAAACGCGATATGCTGGAACATGGGAAGCTGGAAATGGTACACTTTGCGAATAATCGCTCCTTCTTCGGTGTTGACTTGAGCGAGATGCTCGATGACTGCCCAGAGCTTGTTCGAGGGTATGCTACATCTATGACTTGATATACATGATGGACACTGACATTCTGCAGGTCGATCAATGAGATGTTCACCTACTGCCAAGAAGGACGACTGCAGGCGCGATTGTTTCCACGAATGTTCGATGCCAGCGAGATTGCAGCTGCATTCCGTCACATGCAGACCGGTAGACATATCGGCAAGATAGTGGTTAAGATGCCGGAGGTGCCTCACAGTCTCAAGAACAAGCCAATCGAGAGGAAATACATCTTCTCTCCTACGAGATCCTACCTCCTAGTGGGTGGATTCGGAGGCATTGGTCGATTATTAGCAACATGGATGGTCACCCACGGCGTCCGACACCTGGTTATAATGTCACGATCGGCAGGCCAATCTGAGTCGGACCAAGGCTATATCAAAGAGTTGGAAAGCCAAGGTTGTACTGTTACCGTTGTCAATGGCAGTGTTGAAGACACCAATACTGTCGAGCAAGCTGTCTCCGCCAGCGAGCACGAGTTGGCTGGTGTCGTCAATCTCTCCTTAGTACTACAGGTAAGCCCCTACCTTGCCCAACTTTGGAAATCTACTCAACCTACCATCCAGGACGAATTCTTCGCCAACATGTCCTACGATCAATGGGTCGGCCCTCAAGGCTCAAAAATCCGCGGCGCATGGAACCTCCACAACGCCTGCTCCGAGAAGCACCTCGACTTCTTCGTCCTCTTCAGCTCCGTCGTCGGCACAGCCGGCAACCCAGGCCAATCGAGCTACGGCGCGGCCAACACCTTCGTGGACGCGTTCGTGACCTACCGTCGAGGCCAAAACCTCCCAGCATCACGAGTCACGCTCGGCGCCGTCGAAGAAGTCGGCAACTTCAGTCGCAACACCCGACTCCTTGAGCTTTTCCACGCACAATCCCGTTTCTCCCTCTCTGAAAAAGACGTAATCGACTCCTTCCGCCTCGCCCTCCCCCACACCACCACCATCCCATCCCAACCCCAAACCACAACCCAAACCCCCCACCCCCTCGACCTGATGGTCGGGGTAACCTCCTTCCTCAACCCCGGCGAACTCGACACCAAAAAGTCCTACTACGACCAAGACATCCGGTTCAACATCCCCTCGCTTATGCGTCCCACCAAAACCCCCGACCACAACCAAGAAGACGACGTCCTCCTCCGACTCTTCGAATCCATCGCCAACGACCCCTCCTTCCTCAACGACCCGAAATGCGAAAGCATCATTATCCGGGAACTGGGGAAACGCGTCGGCAACTTTTCGGCTCAGGCGGGGTTGGACGAGAAACAGATTGCCAGTTTCCCAATTGATTCGCTGATGGGATTGGAGGTTAAGTATTGGATTAGAAGGAGTTTGGATTTGGAGACGTCGGTGTTGGAAATTGCGCAGGCGAAGACGGTTGCGGGTGTGGCGGGGTTGGCTATGAAGGGGTTGCGGGCGAAGTATGGGGTTGGGGTGCCTGAGAGTTAATTGATATGTCCTGGGGGAGGCTGTAGGGGTCGGGTCTCGGTATGGTAGATCGGAGGTGGTGGTGTGATGGTGATGGTGATGGTGGGTCGTTTCAGGATGATGATGTTGATGTGGAGAAAGGGAATGAATGGATGGTCAGTTTGTGTTGGTGCCTGGTGGAGATGATGGCCTGATGTTTTGCTATGTTTGTTGCGTTTGCTTCGTTTGCTTTGCTCGCTTCCTCTTTGCTTCTTGACCATTTCGGTAGTTAGAATCAGATTGCTTTGGCTAATGCAATTGTGGATTTTATATTTTATCCGGTTCAGAAAGAAGAGGGAATTAGTTCTAAGAATAGTACCTTTCAATAAGGAATTGACTGATAGCTTCTGATGATCTGTGCGTGTCATAAGAAGAGAATAGGAAGTCCTCATTGTACGCGTCTGCGGTCGCGTGCTTGGCAGTTTTTGTTTTGTTTTGTTTATCGACGCGACCTGGACTGTTTGCTTGTATCATCATCATCACCACTATTATCATGCAGTGATACTATGGAGCGATTTAGTCGAAATCACAGGAATAGTTATTGACCTGCTAAATTTGGGTTACTTAGCAGTTATCCAAAATCCTTTAACACAAGTATTGGAGCTTTGTACTTGTACTTGGTAAAGATAGGGATATCCCTCCCGCTCCCAAAATATATTCCCATCACAATCTGCACGATTCTCTTTTCTCCCCGTACAAATGGTCCAACATAGACTGTATGGCCTTCTGCAACTCCTTTACATCCGTACAAGAAGCAAAAATGAATCTATCCATTCGGACAATCACGTATTTTCCTTGGAGTTTGTTTCTCAGAAGGAGGGGATCGTAGTCTAGTGGTTTGGGGCGGTTGTTGCATAGGGGTGAGTTGGAGAATTCCTCTGCGGTGGCGATTTGGAAGATATTGTGTTCGTTGGAGGGGTCAATGCTGGTGCTTTCAACGATGATGGGGATGGTGGTTGCATTAAATTCGCCGCGGGACCAGGATTGGATATTTTGAAGAGTGTCTTTGATGGAGGGGAGGTCGGAGTTGTCTTGTAGGTAGACGAAGAGCCGGAAGAGGGAAGTGTTGTTTGGACTGTAGATGACATCGTCTGTGAAAAGGATTTCACCGATCGTGGTGCGACAGTATACCTGGGGGAGGTAGAGACCGCCATTCAAGTCTGGGATGAATGGCATTCCATCGGAGTGCTTGTATCGAAGTAGTGCGTCTTTTCGATGACCACGTTGTACTTGTCGTCTCCAGCTGGGTATGAGCTGGATGAACCAAATGTACCAGTCGCGTAGGAAGATCTTCAATGGATCTGTCTCGCACACCAAGCGTCCGTTTGCGACGGTGGTTGCCAAGGATAACGCGAGTTGTTGCTTGCGCTCTTCGTACCACGCCTTGAGAACTTGATGGTGGTTGGTACCTGTGGGTTGGTAGCGGCACAGCATGGCGAGACGCCAGGAGAGGGAGATTGCGTCGCGGAACCCCGAGGCGATGCCTTGTCCTCCGACTGTCTGGATAAGCATGTGTATGGGATAGAAGAGAAACTGCTTACATGGAGGAAAGACGTGAGCCGCATCGCCACACAAAATAACGCGATCCTTTGCCCACATGTTGCATGTGCGCGATGAGAAGGTAAATGGGCGACAGCGGAGCACTTCGATGCAATCCTCAGGAAACTGCACATCTTGAGCGAGCCTATAAAGTCAGCTATACGCAAGGCACAGAAGAAATAGACTTACTTGTATTGACTTCCTTTATGCGTGAGATAAGGATACACGATGCTTCGCATTGCCTCGGGCGCAGCCATCGCGTAACCATCTTCGTCTTTCCGAATAAGGTACTCGAACCTCCACAGCCGATCGGTTGGTAGGCCAAAGCGTCCGCAGACTGCTGGCCTCCCCGGATTGCAGAGAAAGCGGAATTCTGGAGGAAAGAATAAATCGTACACCTGGTCAGGGGAGTATCCTGCTTTCCACAAAGGAAGACTAGGATGCGACCGTGGAGTTGGAATGGTGATCCTCCAGTTCAATGCTACCCAGGTTTCTTCGTAGAAGGCCCTGTTCAACATTAGCGCAGAACGACCTAAGAAATTGGGATGCTTGCTCATGAAATTTCTCCAATTTGACTCCCCTCGCTTCCAGGTATTGCTTTCGCGTGTAGCCAGTTTTACCGTCTGCACCAACGAAGAATCGTGCCCGAACTCTGTGTTCTCCGTCAGAGTCACGATATGTGCAATACGTCCACTGTTCGTCTTCATCGATCTGAACTACAGTCGACTCGCATCTCAGCGAGCAGAAGGTAGAAGACATAGCATTCCTAATCTGGCTCTCGAGGACGGGTTGTTTGTGACCGATCATGCCGACATGACCTGTGGCACCGGTGGTCTGATCCGTCAATTGGCGAACAATAAGAGCAGGGAGATAATCCCACCGTATTGTAGTCCATCTCAACAATTGGCTTTGTGTGCAAGTCGCAAGTGGTCCCGCCGACGAATTTAAACCTTCCCATGGCTGAGCTGTCAGTATAGACCGGTGCGCAGCGTGGAGTAACTCACAGGCGCCGATTTTGGTATAGACAAAGTCATAGAGTCCCAAGCCTTGTAGAAAACGAATGCCATCGTCGTCCAAAGCGATCCCACGAGGGTCAGTCGTTATCACTGGTTCCCTTTCTAGGACAATGTTGTGAACGCCCATGCGACCGAGGTAAGCAGACAGGAGGGCGCCTGTCGGGCCGCATCCGCAGATAACGACATCAATTGTTTCCCAGAGTTCGTCGGCGCTCATTTTGAGACCCGATCTTGCCTTGAGGTTAGGATGGGGTAGATTCGCGGCATGCTAACAGGCTAAATAAGGCTGCTTGAAAGTGAAGGATCATGATGGGCGGGACAACGGGCGGGACACGCCCTTGCATCAGCGGCGAGTAAGCTGCAGGATTAGATGGGGAGCATTGTTCAACCACGACAAGAATGACAACTGTAGCGCTTGGACTTTGCTGACACTCTGTCAAAGATGCTTAGTTCTCACGGAATGATGTCAAACACAAGCATGGGGAAGAAGAGAAGAAGAGAAGAGGGGAAGAGGGGAAGAGGGGAAGCCGGTGGGACGGCGGGACCTTCAGCCGCGGGACCCCAGGCACGGCGGGACCACCAACCAGCTCAACAATCAACATCTCCGTCTATCCATCGGCTCAACGTGTCCACGTGGGACCGCAGGTATTCCCACACAGTCTGGCCAAGACAGGCAGTGGTGCTGACACCGAGCGTTGACGTTTCTATTCGATACGAAATGCCACCGAGTCGAGCTCGCGACACAAAGGAACGGCGCTGCCCCTGGTGTTCTCGATCCTTTGCCAAAGAAGACCACCTTTCTCGACACATAAGATCCCACACCAGGGAGAAGCCATTTACTTGTTCCGTATGTAACAAAGCGTTTAGTCGCCAGTAAGTCCTCACTTCCCGGTGATGATTTGACTGACTCTACAGTGATTCTCTTTTACGACATGCACGTAATCATGGGGATACCGACTGTTCGCAGTCCAGTCAAGGAAAGGAGACATCTACATATCCTGGATCTGAGGAGATTGAGTCCACAGTGACCAGTTTGCATGGCGCCAACGTTTCGAACTCACTGCACACATCTGTGTTATTGAATGCTTCAACTGAATCATCAAGCGATCGACTAGATGTACCTCTGTTGGCATTATCCTCATACACTGGACCAAATGTGTATTCTGCGACAACAGAGACCAACGCTGATGACTTGATGACCGAAAAGGCACAGGCGGCGACTTATACATATACCTCTGTTGACGGGGTAGATAAAGCCCTTGATGAGCAGAGCTACGACTGGACACTGGACTTAGCAGCGCAGGTGCCCACTTGGTTGGTTACAGATGATTTTGATCTCGAGGCGCTCAATGCTTCTATTAATGCTTCGGCCAACCCGCCCGAGTTGCCGCTCACAACTCTTGCTCCTACAGGTAACCAGCAGACGTGTGATGCATTACCATCCACGGAGCGATTCGAAGACCTAGTCTGTCGTCGCTGGTTCACATACTTCGAGACACCAAACACAGGCCATGTTACTCCCGACCGATCGGAGTCAGCGTATGTGGATGAGCGATACCGGCAGAGACTGACCGAGAATCTACAATATCGGGTTCCAACGGACCCGCTGCCATCAACAGACTTTCTGGTATGTCTCTATCATTTATCCAGTCTTCCACTGACATCCTAGAACATGTGCATCCAAATGTATTTTGCCAGATTTAATCCGATTTTTCCGGTCGTGCACGCCCCGACTTTCCGCCCATCGACTCAGACTTCCTTGCTGTTGCTGTCAATCTGCTCCATTGGGAGTCTTTTTCTGGGCTCAAGGCAGGGCGCTTCTCATGGTACCAAGATGTTTGAGATACTCAACAAGGCGACACTTGCATCAGTAAGTTCCAAGCTGTTCAACCAGTAAATCTATTAACGCGTGTAGTGGGAGAAATATATGACGAAACAAAGGTCCGAAATTCGATCAATGACCCAGTCATCCTTGATTGGTCAGATATTTGCGTATCTCACTGGAGTATGTGTTCCACGAATGATAATACAGTTCTGACCAAGTAAGCGACCTAGAGATCTCTTGCTGGTTCAGACATTCCATGGCACGATAATCACGGTAGGATGCTCTTCCGGTGGCGTTACTGAAGCTAATGTGCGTAGTGGGCCAGAAGGAATAGTATGTTTCGCAGTCGCCAGACCGATAAGATCGAGTCGGAGGAAATAGCACGCGACCCGGAACGGGCATGGATGTCTTGGGTTGCACGAGAAGAGCAAAGCAGGTTAGTCTCCCATACCTTACCGACCAAACTGACAGTGCTATAGGCTCGTTGCGGGCCTGTCCATTTTGGATAGCGAATTCGCAGAAATCTTCCTCACGGAGCCGTTCATGCGACGCCGGTCATTGATGTCCTCGATCTCCGACAACGAACTGTGGACGGCCACAACAGCAGAAGACTGGCTTCGCATTCTGCAGAGTTCCAGGAGCAATAAGCCAAACAAGTTCAGGGATTATATTGAACTAGAGCAGATTGCGGCATCTATCCAGGATGCTCGGACATGTGATAACTGGGTATCCGCGGCGCCACCACTGCAGGCTGCTCTTGAGGAGTTTCACAATCGTAATCTCCGGAGCGCTGCGTCGGACGGGCCCGATATCCTCTGTCTGGAGGCCTTGTGGCATGCCACTTTCTTAGCCTGGCTGGTGGACTTTGATCGTCTGGAACTTGTAGTTGGTCGTGAGGGATACCAGGAGTCACAAGCGGAAATGCCTTTTGTGCGGGAATGGGCGGATTCACAGGACGGCTGCCGGTGTGCTCTCCATGCAGCCTTGATCCTTCGCTCCTTGGAGAGCCTACCTATAGGGAATGAGCCACCAATACATGCGCCGCGGGTTTTGTATCGAGCTACATTAGTTTGGTACTGCTATCTCGAGTTTAGTGCGACATCGGATCAAAGGGCTGCTGCTCAGGCCCTCGACTTCCCCGAACTCAAACATGCAGGCATCGATTGCGAAAGGCTACTTGCGGAGATGAATGATTTTAGGCCAACGCGACCCAAGCCCCTGCAGTCCAGCATATTGTGTCGGTGTGTCGATTTGCTGAGACACCTTGGACACTGGGGACTTGGGAGACAACTGGCTGCTATGTGGGATGCAATCTTGTACGAACTGCCACCACGCTGATTCTGGCCGACTTTTACCTGGTAACGCCATGATCATCACTGAAAATATCCTATTAGTGCTTGGGCCACCGATAACACCAATCATGTTGTCGTTCCAGTTGTGCTTTATTAAGCTGCACTCACGCCATACCTTCTGCATGTGAAGGCGCAGGCTTCAATGGACTCTACTAGAGTATCGTTATTTGACGGCCCGTACGACTGTCGAAGACCTGTGAAAGGAAATACAGACTGCTGTACAGCAGGACCCACCGGAATTGGTGTTGCCGATCTTGCAAAGAAAGCGCCACCCAATCTGGACCAGGCTGACCGACATCCGGCATCGTTCGACCTCCGTCCAGGCCCGAGCTGTGGCTTGGCGATGGTCGTTGCATGTCAGCCAGGAATAGGGGCAGCTCCGCCTAATCAAATCCCGGTTAGTGGATGAGAGCAATAAGTGTCTCAGGTGGCTAAGCAGGGTTAGCCGAATCTGGGGAAGCCAGTCAGCGTGGCAAAAATCGAGTTGTTGGGTGATTAATTAGCCCGGGATCTGGTCAGTCGATGCCCGGCATCCGGGTGGTGTGTCGGATCAGCCCATCCGGATGTCCACTCGCTACACTCGCCCACGGTACTCCCAGGTACATATACTTGACTGGCCAAGAGCCTCGATTATCGATCAGCGATCAGAGCATGCATTCGAAGCGTGTCTAACATGGACTTTAACCTCAACTCAACCGTTGTGGCGCCGGCCACAGCCTCATATTCCGAACTTTTTGCCCTTGCCAACCAGAGCCCGAATCTGTCTTGGTTTGAAAAGGCCTGGTGGACTCATTATGCTTATTGGGACAACGACATTATCGCTACTGGTACAACTCACCTTCCTGAGTCACGAACACAATACTAATTCCGCAGGCATCATCACCTTCTTAGCCCACGAAATCCTTTACTTCGCCCGCTGCATCCCGTGGATCATCGCCGACGCCCTCCCGGGGTTGTTCCACCGATACAAAATTCAGGACAAAAAGGCGCCACCGTCGGCGAAGGAACAATGGAGCTGCGTCAAGTACATCCTGGCCATCCACTTTATTGTTGAACTTCCCATGATTGTCCTGTTCCACCCGATGATGGAGTTCTTCGGGTTGAAGTACGCCATCCCATTTCCCGATCTCAAGACTATCGCCATTCAGATCGCGATCTTTTTCTTCGTTGAAGACACATACCATTACTGGCTGCATCGGGCGTTCCACTGGGGCCCACTGTATCGTTCCATCCATCGGGTCCACCACCAGTACGCTGCGCCATTCGGTCTGACGGCCGAGTACGCCAGCCCATGGGAAACGATGCTTCTCGGCCTTGGAACCATTGGACCCCCGTTGGTCCTGGGGTCATTTACCGGCGAGGTACATCTGATGACTGTGTTGGCCTGGGTGGCTCTGCGTCAGTTCCAGGCGATCGACGCGCACTCCGGGTACGATTTCCCTTGGAGTCTGCGCCGGATTTTCCCGCTGTGGGGAGGATCCGACTGGCACGATGATCACCACCGGTATTTCCGGGGGAATTATTCCAGCTCGTTCAAGCATTGGGATGGTAAGTGACTGCCTGTATAAAGCCTCAGACACACAACTAACTGTTGCAGTCCTGATGGGAACGGTCGCTGGACCTCGCGGCAAGAAAATGCGCAAAGAGTGACTTATTCATGGATTGATGTCTATATTCTTATTACCTAATGTCTAATAATAATTTGTTGACCTGACTGATATACGAAGCCGTTGTTGAAACGTGGTAATTTCCGATCGTATGACTGCTTGACGCACGGATCACTTCCCGACGGATTGTAGGCTGCCATGCACAGTGAAATGGCTGCACAATGAAATGAGAGGGAAGACTGCAGGTCGTACCGAATGTATGTCATTCTGGAAGAAGACAAGCTGTCGGGAGCTTCTGCACCGCTTTGTGTTCCCATCTCTTGACCAATCTTCCAATTCAGACTGTATGACCTGAAAGGATGCCCCCCCCGGTCGCTCAGCGCTTGCTTTGCTGCGTCACTGGTACTTTCAAGTTCTGGTAGCTGGCATAGCAAAACACCGTTTAGAGGCGCAGGCATCCACGGCCATTCTACTCAGGAAAGTGCCTACCCAGAAGCGATCTCCCGAGTTCTATTCGCTACCACTTCGCCATATACAATGCCATAAAAAGCCCATCAATATCTACATCTTATCGACCCCCAAGGCAGTTAACAAGATCACATCCTTATGCACGAATCCACCGCCTGAGCTTCTAACCATGAGAAGCTCGACATAAAGACCGACCAGCCCTGAAGTCAGTCAGGCAGTGCATGCTCAAAATACCCACTGCAGAAGGCTGAAGTTAACCGGGTGCGTAATCATGGCCAGGACACCTCGTGGAACATGTACATGGCTGTCAAGCTGTGCTTCAGACTTCAGCGCGGTCGGCTTGTGCGATGTAGCCTCGTCGCAGGTTGCGCTTTATTGATTCCCTCTCGCCCCGAATATTTTTCACATCACTTTATCCTCTGTCTACAGCACACAGCAAGATGGCTGATCTCTCTCTCTTGGCCCCAGTCTGGCTGGCGTGGTATCGCTGGGATTGAGTGTCTTTCAAGGTCTCATAGCGTACTACGGTCAGTATAAGACATATGCAGATGAGATTCCGACGTGATCATCAGAGCAGATAGCCTGAATGGGATCCTCGGAATTTTACAACTAGAATCCGCGGATTCAGGCCGTCCAAATTCCCCATTTGCGACGCCATATGAATCAGTAGTCAGAGACAATATGTCGGCCTGCGAGAGCCGCTTGAAAAAGCTGAACCGTGTGCTCGCACAGTGTAGGAGAACACAGACTTTAGACACGTTGACGATACTGCTGATGAAGGATATACTGCGCTCATGCATATGCCTGAAAATACTGATGATACGATCGACTTATTCCCACTGTTAGCATGTGGAATGGCTGCTATCGCACGCTGCAAACATGTATCACACCAGGAATGGAAGGCCAGCTCTTCATTACTTGGCCGAGAACATCGGTGCTACCTTATACTGGGAATGCCGCTGTTTAAATACCTTACCTGAATGTTGTGCTGAGTCCTTGGGCCGCATAAGGGCCGGCTTGTGGGAAATATCCGGATGATACTACAAGATGAAGTCCCCGATCAATATTGTTGTCCATGTTCGTTCAACGGATGTTCGTCACTAACACGTCTTCTTCATGGCTTTGATCGTGGCCTTAAGTTCATAGACACCTTTGAATCACTATCACGGATTTGGTGGCCGAAATTGAGGCAGACATCCGTGAGATATATATTCCTCTACTAGGATGTGTACAAGGCCACTAGCGAGAGAGAATGGAGACAGTGCCTGAACGCCAGTCAGTTGCAAATCAGGAGTATAATGATCGAGTGCGAAGATTGGTGTGATATTGGATGACTAGCAGCAAGATTCATGATGCTGTGGATGTGTTATCTTACTTTCGGGTTATTATCCTCTTTCGATATGCCACGTGCCATTGATGATTCCGCAGGATTCAACTAACCCGACTTGTCTAGAGCCGCCGGATGGATGTAGATAAGTATTTATTATTGATGCACACTAGATACCATTCTGCAGAGCGATAGCCTCCCTTTAAATCACAAATAATTCTAAAAATCCATCGATTCCTCATGCAGATACTAACCCTCTACCTCCTACCTCCTACTTACCTCCACTACATCACCACCCACAATCCCATCTCTATCCCACCCCGTAAAAATAAGCACTACCAACAACAAACAGCCTCACCGACACTTCCGATCCCCGGGATAAGCATAAGCACAAGCACCAGCACCAAGAGACCACCTGTCTTTATGAAACCTTATATACCCCTCTCCCCTTGCCCCTCTATTCCCCTAATACTTCCCCCAACCCAATTCTATACACCCACTCTTCATCAACCCCTACCTCCACCTCCACCCCAAACCAAAACCAAAAATGTCCCCAAATCTAAAATACCACCTCACCCCCGCCCACCCAACCCACTCCCCCACGCTATCCCGCACCATGATCCTCTCCCGCCTCACAGACCCGCACTGGTCCTTCCTCTTCATCGACCCGAACCCTGAAACCATAATCTCCGCCACGGAAAGACGTCTCCCGCATACCATTTCCACAGCGAGAGATGCAAGAAGACATGAGGTTGCTGTCCTCGATCATGACCCCACCAAATCGGAAACAGAAACGGAAAACGGGAATGGTAAGGAAGAAAAAGAAGAGAAAGTAATAGGCTACGCACGGTGGACACTCCCCCCCTCCCTCGCCAAACGCGGGGACGTATGGCTTTCTGCGCAGGTTGTTGAGCCTACGGATATCCAGACAGCATTATACAAGGAAGCCTATGACGCCGCTAGCGATGCCAAGGGTCGAGTCCCGGGGATGAAAGATACCGGACTTCTCGAATATCGCAGTTCACCACTCGAAGTCGCCGAGGAGAAGCTTCTAGCGCCTGGGGGTGTCGTTAATGGGGAGGAAGTCCTGAGTATATACCCCCCTTGATCCATAACCAACTGCCAATAACTAACAAATGATGGACATAAAGCATTGGAATACCTAACCACCCACCCTGATTTCTGGCACAAGGGTATTGGCAACGCGCTAGTGAAAAGCGGCACGGACGTTGCGGATAAATACGGACTCAAGACCTATGTGATGTCGGAGCCGGCGGGGTTGAAGGTGTATTTGAAGAATGGGTTTAGGGTTGTGGATGAGGTGGGGGTGGATTATGGGGCGTTTGGGGGGGTCGATGTGACGAGGCATTATTTTTTGGTTAGGGAGCCGGCGGTTTAGGATTTTGGAGGGGAGAAGGGGGTTGATGGGTTGGGATTGGATGGGTATATAATGGTTTTTGTTTATTTGAAAAGGGGTATGTCTATTATGATATCTGGTAGAGAAACAGTGGGAGGAGGGGGGTATGCTTTTATGAGAGTGATGTGATGTATGTTGCTATGGCGGTGTTCCTTGTGGGGATCTTAGTTAGTTGTTTTCTTCATATTGTTCTTCTTTTTTTATTGTATGTATATAATAATCTATGTGCCTGTGGTTGACGTGCTGAAAGCTAGGAGTGATTATCCCAGGTTGTGATTTGTCTAGTGGTGATGACTGAAGGTGATAGTTGTTAACTCTGAGTTTGGATAATGTATGGTTCTGGGGGTGTGGATAAATCTAGAACGGTTTACTTGAACTGACAATTGCGGCTATTGAACGGTAATCTCAGAATAGTAGCTGTAGGTTGGTAGCATACGTCATAGGCAGATCAGATGTGCAGATAGCAAACCCGGAGAAACCCCGGCCGGAAAACAACTCCTGCTTACTGCGTCTACGGATGACTGAATAATCTCCCGCCCGGCGTTGAAACAGGGAAGTGGGTATTGAGACATTTCATGCCGTCACGGATTCACAGTTCACAGCAACGTGCAATCTGTTTCATGCTGGCTATCTCTGCTATTAGACGAGGAGTACTGTGTAGGGTTCACTGTGGCATACGCGTGGCTCACAATCAAACTTTGATTGAACCTCACTTGGATACCTCGTGGTGGCGGCAGCAGTGGCAATCGGCTTACCGCACGGACGGCAAATAGAAGCTCATGGAACAATGGAAGCCGAGACTTCCGGAAAAAGATCGGCATGAGGTCAGCTTACACCCGGCCGTGTTGCAACGGATATAAACGGGTATTAACTCCGGATATATTTCAGCTCAATCATCACTTCCTCAGTCACCACGAGGTAAATAGCTGTTATCTTGACAGATATCTCAGCATCGCAGCATAGAGAATGTTATCACATCATACCCAAGTTGCGATCTGTTCAACTTTGTCGAAACCGTCGCTGCAGCTCCTGTCAGCATCTTATTCTTAACTCCGTAGCGGGGCGGCGCTTAGCGTACCGTGTCCATGGATCACAGCCGGATGATGGAACTCGCCCGACAGAATGTCCAATGAACCAGAAACGTGCTCCAATTTGCCCCATTGTTGAAAATTCAACCCCTGATCAGTAATCGTACCATACCCAACCCTCAGACAGGTTGCCATGGTGGTTGCCTCCAGGTACATTCTCGGCAGCAAACCGACGGCTGTATACCGTCGATCCACACTCGCAGCATGGTTTCAATTCTCCACTGTCATCCAAGTCATCAAATTCAAGTGGATCGCTGATTTCGATTGCTAAGCATCTTGTCCTCGTTGCGATGTCAATCCAAGTCTGCCAGTTCTTATATAAAGGGTGAGTACCCCCGGAGAATCAACCATCAACAATACCCCGTGTTACCCCTTGGATTTACCCGTGAATAAAATGGCTGCTTCCGATTACAAATTTGAAGGCTGGATGGGCCTGGACGCCTCGTCCGTCAAGGGCAACATGGTCTGGCAAGGCTTCGAGCCCAAGCCTTGGGAGGAAACCGATGTCGACATCAAGGTCTCCCACTGCGGTATCTGCGGATCCGACTTGCACACTCTCGGCAGCGGATGGGTATGTTTCCTCGATGCACCAAGTATGCACGAGTACTAACAGATTCAGGGCCCCACCATGTACCCCTGCTGTGTTGGTCACGAAATCGTCGGTGTCGCTGTTCGCGTCGGCTCCCAGGCCGAGGGTGACATCAAGGTTGGAGACCGTGTCGGTGTTGGTGCTCAGAGCGACTCTTGCCGCAGCCGCAACGGTGACTGCGAGGAGTGTGCTGCTGGCCTCGAGCAGTACTGCCGCCACGGCATGGTTGGCACCTACAACGGCGTCTACCAGAACGGTGGCAAGTCCTATGGTGGATACTCCCTCTACCACCGCTCTCCCTCTCGCTTCGTCATCAAGATCCCCGACGGAATCTCCTCTGCCCACGCCGCCCCTATGCTTTGCGGTGGTATCACCGTGTTCTCTCCCCTGAAGCACTACGGCTGTGCTCCCGGCAAGCGCGTCGGTATCATCGGTGTTGGTGGTCTCGGTCACTTCGGTATCATGTTCGCCAAGGCTCTGGGTGCTGCCAAGGTTGTTGGTATCTCCCGCAAGGCCAACAAGAAGGAGGATGCTCTCAAGCTCGGTGCCGACGAATACATCGCCACTGACGATGATGCCGACTGGGCCAAGAACAACGCCCGCTCTCTTGATCTGATTGTCTCGACCGTTTCCTCGTCCAAGATGCCAATGTCCGACTATGCCGCTCTTCTCGACCTCGACGGTAGCTTCGTCCAGGTCGGTGCCCCCGAGGACGGCGCCCTTACCATCCCCGCTTTCTCTCTGATCGCCAAGCGTCTCAAGCTGGGAGGTTCCCTGATCGGAGGCCCCAACGAGATCCGCGAGATGCTCGAGTTGGCTGCCCAGAAGAACGTCCGCCCTTGGATCGAGGAGCGCCCCATGAAGGAGGCCAACCAGGCCATTGTGGACATGAACGCTGGCAAGGCCAGATACCGCTACGTTCTGAGCAACGAGCTGTAAGCATATAAAATAATCTGTATATAGACGAAGTGACGTACCTTAGACTTTCAAATGCACGAACTGTGTATTCTTTTTCTGCAACTGTGACTGTTTGACCGAGTTTCCATGAACCATCTTCAATATCGTTCATAGATGGTAGAGCGTCCGCGCCTAGGGAATGCTTGACGCGCCAGCCTGAAGCATTCCACTCCTCTCTCCGAGCACTGACATCCTTTCCCTCTTTGACAATTGTCGTGGCTGAACCTTTCGGGCGGCTATGAACCTGCAGTTGGCGCAGAGCCAGATACGTGCCCCAGATTCTTCCAATAAAGGTCCTCTCAACTTCAACCTCTTCTCCCTCGTCAAGGGGCTGTTCCTTTGACTCGAGAACCCACGAAACACCCTTATGGCCCTCCGGTCCATCCCTAAACTTCAGTTCTCGCCAGACCTCTTCATACTGCGCCACCGGACACCCAGGGAGATCAGCTCGAGGCATCTCCCCCTCCTCTAGATCATCTCCATTAGGAAGCGAAGAAAAGGTGCCGCAGTCGACCGCATCAAATGAGTTTCTACAATCAAGCTCGTGGGTGAATGCCACCCGACCTACTCATGTTAGTTCCGTCGCAGAGACATGGAGATATACATACTAGAATCCTTGTCATCAACAACACGCCGACCCGCAATCGCCCAATCAATACCCCCAGACTCTTTGTCCACGCGCAAGTCGACATACCATCCCGCGACCGACATCACGATAGTGTCGGTGTTTTCAAAGGCGGGCTCGGGGACCCATCGTAGGGAAATGCGCGTGGAAAGGCGGCATTGCGAGGGATGGTTTTCTGAGGCCATTTTGCAGTTAGGGGGATGGAAAGTGTAGGTTATTTGGACTGTGGGAGGTGATGAGGGAAGAAAGGGACAGATAAGGACCTTGGGTGACGGGTTTGATTAGGCCGACGCTATCTCGGATTACCCCGCACGCGTCGGCCGAGCCACTGCTGTGACAACAAAACAGCCTGCCGCTTGCTGTATTCGAAGAACATCTATCTTTATTTATATTTTGAGGAGACATTTTCTAATCCTTCTATATTCTATACGATTCACAATATAGATAGATGTAACACTACCAATTGATGATGCCCATGTTGACTATTCAGTCACAAGAAAAGAGACTTTTCCGAGGATTCCCTTATCCCCCAAATGTACCCTTCTAACCCAAAATTTTAATTATCTTATGCTGTATCCTCAGAACTCCCCGGTGAATCCACAAAAGTCGTTGAATTCCAATCATCAGCCATCTACCCCCATTAGCCATCATCCCCAACACACCCACCAACATAAGAAAAACTCACATTCCACGCATCAATCCTCAAAAAACTCATATTCCCCGTCTCTCCAACATTCGTAAGAACTCCCACCGCTAACCCCAGTCAGCCTACTCTCATCCCATCCCAACCCCCCAAAAAGCAAGAGAACATACCAACAACATCATTCAACCAATAATACCTCCTACTCCCCGTTTCAAACACCAACCTGAGATGCAAGTTCCCACTGGGCGCTTTCGGCCCCGACGTCTGAATAAAGATATTCTCTCCGTCATTGGTTCGGAGGTTGTATCGGGTATCGGCGCTGAAAATTCCCGTTTGGGGGTCGACGAGGCCCCAGTCTGCGCCGACGGGGAGGATTTTGCCTGGTATTGAGGTTAGTGGTGATTTTGGGATGGGGTTGGGGGAGGGGAGCGAATGGTACCGGAGAGACGAGGACCAGTGAAGTTTCCGCCTACGATGGGGATTGTGCGTCGGATGCCGTGTGGTCCGGGGGAGTTCATGAGGGTGGATTCGCATTGGACGTAGGCTGTGTAGAGGAAGGTGAGGGAGGGTGGGGAGGGGGTGGTGGAGGCGGAGGTGGTTGTGGGGAGTGTGAGAAAGGTGAGGAGGAGGGTTTGGAGGGTTGAGGTGGTCCAGTTTGAGATGGAGGAGAGGCGCATGGTGGTGTGTAGTATTCTTGATAAATTTATGTGGAAGGCGTAGTTGTTGTATACATCGAGATATGTGAAGGGAAATTCGAAGGTGTTTATATCCCAGGTGAAATGATGAACCTCGGTCCCAGGTCCTGTGTAGTGTACTATTACAAGTAGATACATTTGGAAAAGGGGGTTGAGATGCAGATCATACGGACCAAGTGCCGGTAAGTGAGGCCGAGAATTACTCCGCTTATTGTTCTAAGAGTGCTTGCCGAATGGAGATGTCCACAACGTGATGATAAAAAGAGCACTTCTAATAGGCAGGAAATGTTCCCACGAAGTCATTAAGTCTACGGCAGTGCTCTAAGGCTCCTATCAATTGTCCTCTGTTTGAATTGATGCTTCAGTTCAGTTGAAATAGATCGTAGAGTCATCAATATCCACTGCCGATCTATTTACCCCGCATTCTATGTAGGATAATGAACCCATCACCGCCCTGGGATCGGCCCCTGTTGGGCAAATTCCACGTCTCCCATGAAGAGGATCAGCAGGGTTACATCATCAAGATGGTTGCAGGGGATAAGTCCATGTGTTAAAATTATGCTTCCACTCGAGGAGTGAATATCAGCTTGCAAGTCTCTCCCTTAGGTCGAGAAGCGATGATCTGATCGTCAATCTCCATGGAGCCGCACATATCGGGTGCCACCGTCGTTCGGAACCGAGAATAAACCTCTTGAAGCAGAATCTTCATTTCAATCATTGCCAGACTGTCGCAATCAGATACGAGTACCACAATGAACACAGGTAACTTACTTTCGCCCAGCACATCCCCTGCCTCCAGTACTGAATGCGAAGAACAGTCGGTTGCGCTCATTGTGACCTTCCTCTTCCATCCACCTGTCAGGATTAAATCGGTCTGGGTTCGGAAACACATTTTCATCTAGACGATGCACAGTGTACGGTTGACAGCTGACAATTGTTCCCTCGGGAATGAGCTTTCCATCAATTCTTCTGCCTCCGCTCGGAACATAGCGAGGAAACGACATCGGAATTGGTGGTGCGCAGCGCAGCGCCTCTTTTATCACAGCATCCAGATATGGCAGACGGTCAATAGACATATCCTCAGGCGCAGAGCAAAGCTCTTTGTATAGTCGTTCTTGGAAGTGAAAGTTGTGCGGTTGCGACAACTCCCACATCAGAAAGCACAGACCATCGCCAGTCGTATCAATGCCGGCCGCCATATGATCCTTGCATTCGGCTGCTACTTGTGACAACGAAAGGGATGTATCCTTTCTCGTGAGACGAGCAATCAAGCTGTATTCCTCCGGATCAGTTTGAGCAGTCACTCTGTGGACATACTCGTTGGCTCTCAGAGCGCGACGAGGCAACAGCCACGAAGGGAAATATGGTGCCAGCTGGGGCAGATAATAATGCAGCAGGTTTTCTGTACTGGTCAGCGAGCCTTCGGGCTTTATAATGGTTGACCTACGCTGCAAACTGTGATGGTATGTCAGTTCTTGCATCAGATCAAAGTCCTCTTGATTACTCAAAGACTTTAATCCAGCAGGACTGAACATGAAGTTTGTTACGCAGTCAAGTGCATAACAATGAAGATAAACCTGTTCATGTTAGCTGGAAGTAGTACCAGAACGATCAACATACGTAAACATCCACACTCAAAGCTGTCACACATTTGGTTACAAATGCTTTGGCATTGTCTCGAATAGCCGACACATGATGCTCTCGCATAATGTTCGACATGGCATACCGATCGGCCAGCTGCCGCTTTCTTTCACTGTGCTTCAAGGTGTCAGCTGGTGATTTCAACATATGAAAAGACTAACCCCTTGTTTGTCAAGTGTAGAAAACATAGTCCTGGACGTGTTAGTATATTCCCGCCTCCGAAGGACGCACATACTTGATTCCAAACTGCCGAAACAGGTCGTAAAACTCCGTCTTGTCGTACCCACTGCCACCAGATGCGTAGATTTCTCGAATGGCATCCAGACTCGCAAAGGAAACTTCATTTGGTGCTATTCGGACGACAGGTCCATACTCTTTGTGAAGCCGATGGATGAATATACGACGACTGGCCGAAAATTCATGGTACTTTATGGCCAAACTTGTGAAATTGGTGCACCACGGACCAGGAAGCTTGAGAAGGGGGCTCGATAGTCGCTGGTAAAGCAATATGCAGAAGGAAAAAATGCCGATGCACCAGAGTGTTATCATTGTTCGCTGTTCAGTCACTGCAATTAAACTGGGCAAAGTTCAAGGGATGCATATGGGTCAGAGTCATATCTTAAGAAGGATAGGGTGAGGGTGAAGAATGCGCTATCCTCAAAGGGAAGCAGGAGGAGATTGAATTAAAACTCGAGATAAGTACCGAGTAATCCGAACTTTGTTATTGGATTGTGCGGTACTGATTGGCAAAGGATGAGACTAGTATTACTTTCATGGCGCAGGGTAATAGCGGTCGCTCTCCCAGCTGATAAGATGCCATGCGTGACCACTATCCACATGTCGGGTCACAGCGGTTGCCGTCTCGATAGAGAGTGGAACCTGCAGTGCTAATACTCAATTTGACTTGATAAGACCCTCAATAACACAGCAACCCGGTACATTAGGTCTCCGTAACGAAGCGCTGGACACGTTTCGCAATTCCCCAACTAAGCTTGAAGCCGCTTGGACCTGCCCCATAGCAATGGATAACTCGAATCCATTTTTGCACATTGCTCATTCCATTCTCCGAGGTGTCTTGGAACGCCAAATCTTCTCGTTCTAGCCGCAGTCCACCCTGCCGCATAGGGCGACGAGCGATATACACTTGACGAATGTCGAGACCGTGATTGGTATCGTCGAGGCGATTCTCTACCAATTCCGGGCAGAGCCTGACAGCCCTAGAAACAATTGACGCTGTCGCGGCGTCCGAGACACAATGTGACCTAAGAAATCAGCATACGAATCGCTTCGCCGATCGCAGTTGGACCAACTCACCAGTTCCGTGGCTCTTTAGTCCCCCCTATGATAGTTCCGCCTCCAAGAGGGCGAGGAATAATGACAGTTGTCGACCCGTCGGCCCAGTGATGACTGATGGTCTTTTCACATGGGTTAGACACGGTGATAAACTGGCCGCGCGACGGGAAAGAATTTAGATCGTTGAGACCCCGACCGCTGGCATTGATGACTGCGACGACTTCATGATTGCCACCACCCAAGCTTTCTTTGCCTATGAAGACAGCCTCCTCAATTGCTGCCAGCTTTGCGCGTATGAACCTGACGCTATACTCCTCAGCCATACCTTTCAACCACTTCAGGTAGACAGGAGAGTTTAGAACCCAGGCCGTATAGGTGACTCCAAGCTTAACCGACTCATACTGGGCCGGCAGCTCAGATGGAGAAAGTACCCGGAACCCTGGCCAAGAGGCGTATCCATTCTCTCCAACAAGTTTATTATCAAAGTACGCAGGGTCGGCAGTATCAAAGTATTCAACAGCAGGGATGAATTCGATGCCTGCCTCGGGATGTCGGCCCGCCAAATCTTGCAATTCTCTGTAGGTTTCCCGCATCAGTTCCTGCTCGAGACGATCCTTTGGTTTGCTTGCTGGTACGGGCCGAAAGTGAGATCCCGCCCATGGCGATGCGTAGTCGATGTCGTAATCGCCTGGGAGATCTCGTGCGACCACGGTAACTGGGTGGCCTTGACGGGCCAGTCGCACGGCACAGCTGAGTCCTATGACCCCGGCACTACCCCCGTTAGCCATGGCTCGCGACTTGAGGATATACGAACCCTATTATGACAATATTGCCTTTTGACATGGTGCGGATGTTATCTGTCAATGGTGTGTTTGTTGAAAGCAATTGCAATGTGGTGAGGTGTCTTCGGGCTCGGTGTCTGAATTGAGGAGCGGTATCGAATGACAGATCTGCATGACTCATCGGCTTCATCTAACCAACCACGCCGTATACTGAGAATGAGATATCTTCAATGGAATAATAGAATGCGGCCATACATCAGAATATTGTAGACTTGGATTCTTCGGATGTAGGTGTCTCGCATTTGGACAATTCGCTCTTTCAAAACGAGGTCCAGAAGACATGGCGTATAAAATATCAAAGCTTGCCACTAGTCATTCAGGTTATTAGCATTGGATGCTATACACCTAATGAATAATGCAAAGACCACGGTTTGCGGGATATTGAATTCGTAGAAAGTGAAACTTGCCAGGCCTCCGACCCATCACATGAGTTGCAAGATCTGAACATGTCCCGTAAGTAAACGAAGTCATTGACGATAATCCATCACGATAATCGTCCAAGTGCACACAGATAACCGTTGACATTGCCAAGTAGCAGAGAAACTTGAGATTGTAGACAGACAATGGCCCTATCCACCGCAAACCTTTCTCCATTACATTCGATGGCCAAGTCGCTGTACTTTTCGGTTTTTTCAAGGTCATGAAGTGGAGACGGACGAACTTTACTAGATGACATCTTGAGTTGCTTTGACTGGCGTTTTTGTGAGATTGGGAAGATTGACAGGGACGCTAAGCACGGAATCGGAGTTCAAAAGGAGTAGAGGGGGGTATGGAAGATCGTAGGCCAGTAGAGAGCCGGTCCTGTGCCAGCGGTATTCACTTCAGTTTCACTAGCCTTGCCACATGCCTGATTTTGACGGATGCACCTTCTCATGGAGTCTTTATCACTCGATAATTCTCGTTTACATCATGCTATCATGCACTCCCTCACATTGAATCTCTTCACTTGTCTATTGATCTGTCTAATATGTGTGTCTCAATAATCTAAGACTGGGGCTTCTATCGTCATATAAATGCGGCATGTCGATCCGTCTTTACAGTGACAAAATCTCTTCACGTTCGACGAAGCGTCTCTACTGCCTCTTCCCAGACCTTGCCCTCCCGCCAGTAGCCTTCGACGAGTGGTTTCCTACCTGGATGACCAGCCCGTGGTAGCTCATTGACCCATCCCCAGCGAATCTTCTCCTTCCATCCCTTTTCCTTCCACGCGTTGAGGTCAGAGGAAGGCGAGTCATTCAACGTTGGCAAATGCCGCAGCAATTCCGTGTCATGCGCGATACATATCAAAACATCCGGAGAGGATTCAAACTCCAAGAGCTTGGTTACCGTTTGCTGAGCAAGCTGTGGGTCGGTAAAAGCGGTTGCTTCGTAACTGGACACCTCGTAGAACGGCGTCTGACTCTGGTCAGATTTGACTCTAGGGTGGTGATCCGAGAAGAGTCTACAAGGGCATGGTGCTGGGAAGAATGAGTCCTCGTCTAGTGACTCCTTCGGGATGTGGGTTGGAAAAGGCAAATTGACGTTTGGCCTGATGACTCCGGGAAAGTGACAGATGTCGCCACCAAGGAAGAGGAAGGTATCCGCCGTCGTCCGAGCAAGACCACATAAATGGCCAACGCAATGTCCGGGGGTGTCTAAAAAGTAAGTCACCTTCTTGTTAACCGCATCCACCTTACTTACCAAGTAGGTAGAAAGAGCCGTCTCCGAAGAAATCATGCGCGCGAAACCCTCCAATCTTTAATCCATCCGCGAAGTTTGGCTCAACCAAGTCCCTCCCTACAAATGCGTCCGCCGGAACAGGCGAGTAAGGGTCATCTGGGAAGCCAGGTAGCAAACGCGGCTCGGCCTTGAACCCTGGACCAACATACAGCGATGTGGACGGGGGAAAGAGAGCAACATTTCCGATATGATCCCAGTGATAATGAGACCAAACAATCGATCCTATAGGTCAGGTAAACGTCAATCCAGTGATTCCGAGTAAGAAATCTCGCACCTATGTCGCTCAGAGGAATACCACTCTCAGTGAGAACTTCACTAACGTCCTTGTCGATTCTGGCCGACGGCATGCCTTGATCGAAGACCAGCCGGACCGCATCGGGGAGATTCCAGTAATCCTTTCGCGTCCCGAGGTCAAACATGACCTTTTGATTGGTTCCTTCATGCTCGATGAGAAATGCGACATCTGTGAGGTTCAAAATTTCATGGCCAGCCTGCACAGGTTGTACGAGTACCTCGCTCCTAACTGTCATCAATGTCGTGGTGTCAACTAGGCGCACCCGGACAGTACGGTCGGACTTGGGGAATCCGAGCATTTTGCCGATAGACTCGGACTTCTGATTAATTCAATCAAGTAATAAGAAATGGTCAGGCTGTATGCATGCGCTGAGGATATCCGACGCTATAAGATCCTGTCGAGGGGAGCAATAGCCGACACCCGTCCACAACGCATTGGCTCACGCGGGCCGCGACCATCGGCTTAGTCTCCGACCGGGCTTCCATCCCCTCACTTTCCCCTCACGCTGATTTGCAGCATCCATGGAACCCACCCTTGGTTCTCTGCTAGTCTGATTCTTGATAGCCAGACGCAAGGGTCCTCGGTGAAGCCCAGCATGACAACCTTCACATGATAAGCCTGGCTGGCAGGGATGATAACAGGACGGAAGATGACAGATTATATATTTGCACCCCGTTGTCCGTCGCACACAAAAACCAGCTAATCACAATCTTCTCCATACCAGACATACTTTTAACCCCAACATGGGCTCCATCGATCCAGTCCCAGAATCAAACCCAGTGTTCGAAAAATATGGCTTATCCAGCCACCTCCGTCTCGGAAGCAACACTCCTGGCCCTCATCCATCGTCTCAAACCCGACCAGTCCATCATCCAGAATGGGACAAGGCATCCGATCGTGGATATGTTGTCTCTGACCATCTCATCAATGAGCCACCACCGGATAAGCCTTTCAAAATCGTCATGTTGGGAGCTGGAGCAGCCGGGATCGACTTCCTCCACTACGCTCCGTCCGCCTTTGCAGGGCTGGACGTAGAAATCGCCTGCTACGAGAAAAATGCAGATATAGGCGGTACATGGTACGAGAATCGCTATCCAGGATGTGCATGCGATGTGCCGAGTATTGCTTATTCGTTTCCGTGGCGCGCGAATCCGAATTGGTCGAGCTTTTATTCCAGCGCAAAGGAGATTTGGGAATACTTAAAGCAGATTGTCGTCGAGGAGGACATGTTGAAGTACATCCAACTCAACACTCGTGTAGTGTCGGCGATATGGAATGAGGCAAAAAGCAAGTGGGTGGTAAGGTTGCAACGGGACACGACTGAGTGGGAGGATGAGTGTGATTTGTTCCTCAACGGATCTGGATTCCTCAAGTTCGTACCCTGCTTCCCATAGTCACTTTTACTGACGAATGACAGTTCATGGAAATGGCCGGATACTCCGGGTTTGCACTCGTTCAAAGGGGATCTGTTCCACACCGCGGCTTATCCGGAGGAATTCGACCTCAAAAACAAGAGGGTAGCAGTGATTGGGTCCGGCAGTTCAGGTATCCAACTCGCTGCCTCTATTCATAACGAGGTGTCGCACTTGTATACCTGGGTGCGCAGCCCAATCTGGATTACCTCTGCTTTCGCACAGCGCTTCTCTGGGAAGGACGGGCAGAACTTTGACTGTAAGTTGTCATCCACCATAGTTGGACGGCCCATAACATTTGCAGACACCCCCGAGCAGAAGATTGATTTCGACCATGATCGCGAAAAGTACCATCGGTACAAAAAGTCCATTGAGCACGAGTTGAATCAGCGGTTCAAGCTTGCACTCCGCAACACGGCGGAATCCGATGAAGCCAATGCTGTATGTCCCCAGAAAAGCATCTAGAGCATCATTGACACTGTCCAGTCCTCATACAAGAATATGTGCGACAAGCTCGCATCAAAACCAGACGTTAGGGATGCGATCATTCCAAAGAACTTCAATGTCGCCTGTCGGCGCCCAACCCCGGGCAACGGCTACCTTAGGACCCTGGCCTCTGATAAAACCACCGTGTTCACTGAGCGGATCCAGGCCATCACACCTGCAGGCGTGATTGACTCTGCAACTGGGATCGAGCATCCGGTGGACGTCATCATCTGTGCCACAGGGTTCGATACATCGTACCGACCGCGTTTTCCCATTATCGGCCTAAATGGTACGAATCTGTCCGACAAGTGGGCAACCCTCCCCACCAGCTACTTGGCCATTGGGGTCGACGAGTTTCCAAATTATTTCACCTACTCAGGCCCCTATGCCCCGACTGGCCACGGGTCCATCCTACCTATTATCTCCCACTTGACGCACCACTTCATCCAAATCGTCAAACGCATGCGTAAGGAACATATCCGACGACTGAGTCCAAAGTCATCCGCTGTGCGAGACTTCGTCGAGCATGCTCACACATTTCTCCCGCGAACCTGTTGGTCAGATCCGTGCTCCAGCTGGTTCAAACAGGGCCGGACCGACGGCCCAGTCGTCATCTGGCCAGGGTCTCGACTGTCATTCTTCGAGGCACTGAGGACGCCTACACTGAGTGACTATGATATTGAGTACTGGAGTGGGAATCGGTTTGGGTATCTGGGGTCGGGCTTCCTTGATGCCGAATTCACTGGTGGCAACGTTACCTGGTACCTGGACCAGTACTCGGATAACGAGGCATGGATGAAGCATGGAGTTCGGTACGATACGGAAAGGAATGAGTTTGCCTACGTGAGTGAACAAGCACTTCGTAAGTGACACAGCTATTGCGTCTCGGATCCAAACACATACTATCCAATAACAGACAAGCAATCAGACTATCAATTCAGCTCTTCAACTCATGCACCAGGATATGGATCTCTTCCCCGGGCGGGCGAATCCCAGCCAGGACCAAGACCCAGAAACCATCTGATTCCCTCCACGATGTCCTCATCCCATTTCACACACGTAGGCAATTCATTTATCCGTCGGAAGTCATGGGGCAATCCGGGATAAATCCGACATTGAACCGGAACCCTATCACTATCAGCAAAGCCCCAATATAATAAAAATAAACCTACCCACAGGCCTCCAGTCTGTCTCTCAGCTTTAGGCCCTGATCTCTGAGCAAGCTCTGCCCCGTAATTAGGACACCTGTTTTTGGCAACCCCTCATACTTCGTGAGGCTATTGAGCACATACTCCGGACTCTGCACGTCATAAATAGCCAGCTTTCTGCAAAACATGAGATGCAAAGCTTGAGGCCAAATGGGGGCATCTATACCCTGCTCTCCAGAAATACCCATGCCCTCTGCATCCATATATGGCAACCGGGGGCTACAGAGCATCAACCCAATAATTGTCAAACCCCTCTGCATCCCTTCGTCGAAGACTAAGTTTGAGAACACCGCCAAGTGAAGTGCCAGCGCTGCCCCAGCGTCCACCCCACCAACGATGACATGGGTAACGTCGCCCCCGAACATGATATCAGTATTACGCTCCAAGTACTCATAGGCGTCCCAGGCATCCTGGTAGGCAGCCGGGTGTGGTGCCTCTGATGTAACACGGTATCCGACACTAATGACGATTACGGGGCAGTCTGCTTCCTCGAGCTGGGCAACCATGCGCACACAGGTCGCATCTTCGGTGTCCAGATTGCCTGCTAGGAAGCCACCGCCGTGAAAGTGGACATAGAGGGGGAGGGGAACACCGTGGTATTTGGTGTTTTTGGGTCGATAGGCTCTAATGGTGAACTTATCATCGGGGTCTCCTTCTCTCTGGATAGCACATTGACTTATATCAACACGGTATTCGAGCCCTACGGATAAACCAGGGTGTTAAGTATCGAACAGGCAGGTTCGGAAAGAGAGCAGTACACACCATCAGCCTCCAGAGTCTGACGGGAGGACTTTTCCCAAGCTTTATTGATGTCTTGTTGTATTCTCTCGTCCGGGAGAATCGCATTTTCCGGGAACGATGGGATCGGTAAGCGTATACCGTTATCGATGCAGTAACGAGTCCATTCCTCGACCGGGCCATAGAGATTATCGGGATGCATCTTGGGGTTGTCCACTCTGTTTGATGGATACGAGCCGGAGGTACCGTTTTCGAGGCAGTAACGAGCCCATTGCTCGGCTGAGTACTGAAAAGGAGCGGGGTGCATTCTGAGGTCGGACATGATGTTTGATGGTTAGACAGGTCCCGCGTTCTCATTGGCTCTTCGAATATACTGTCAGGTGATCTAGATATCGCCAGTACTCACCGCTTCGGCCTCTTTGAAAAGAAGGGGGGTCTGGAGGGGGTACTCCCCCAATATATATTCAGTTAGTTCTGTACATGGTACCGTATTCTAAGTTACTTGCCTAGGCCCTTATAATTCACTTGTTCAAACCACATAACTGTGTTTTATGCTACCTAACCGGGTCCTTTGAAAGTGCTTCATCATGGAGTCTTTAAATATAGTACTTTATCAAGCCCTCCACGGCCGTTCACTCAATCTTTGACCACATGATTCTAAATTCGCGTTGCGCGATGCCTACTGAGGCGCTTTGTAACGCGGCCTGGACCTAGTAGCAATAACAAACACATTGCCTTTTTATTCTTATATATGGCCCTAGCATGATCCATGTGGCTCAAGACAAAGAACCGTTCCTTGGGAGATACTCAGCCATACAGTTCATTCTTTGTCTATCCAATGGAGACTTAATTACCGCTTGGGATTTGCCACTTTCTTTGTTTGTATCCACGCCTTTGTGAGTGAACCATGTTACTCCAGCGGTCTAGCCAGACCAGATACCCAGTAGGGATAATCCAACGGGAGACAGGGAGACTCCCTCGGACGGTTCCTAAAATAGACTCCTACTGGCGGCTTCCATACCATAATGACTAGATATCTGGAATATACCACAATGCTACTGAAACCATCCTCCCATCAACCATATCTCCATTAGGGAACTTCCGAAATACGAGAGTCTCGAACGGTATAAACACCTCACAATTACTCCTGAAACTTATCATCGCTTCTACCATCCTCATACATCCCCTCATACCTCAATCTGATACCTCCCTCATACCTCCACCTCCACCTCCATCAACCCCCTCCACCACCTCCAAAAAACAAAATACAGAACCTGCCAATCACCCACCAAAATGTCCCCAACCACCCCGTTTTCTTTCCTCAAGAATAGTACTACCACCACCACCGAAACCCCCACCAAACCCTCCCGCACCACCCCCAACCGGCACGCAGAACATCCAAAACCAACCCTTCATTCCCTCCCCACAAACCCAACCCCGACTTCTCTCCCACCCGGCTTCTTCCCCCGGTACTTCTTCTCCCCCTTGTGTGTTCGTCAACATCCATCAATCACACGACGGGAATCGTTCACCCCGCCGCCGCCGCCTACGCCGGCTCTTACTCCGTTGGTGGGATCGCCGGTTCTTGTTCCGGTGGCGGTGGGGGGTGAGTTTGGGGGGGTGGGTGCGGGGGAGGGGTGGGGATTTAGGATGGGATTTGGCAGGGGGGTTTAAAGGGGGACTGAATTGGGGTGGTGGTGGGGGGTGGGGTTTTTGGTAAGGGGGAGGGGGGAAGCAGTGGCGGGGAAAAGTTCTTTGATTTGATTTGATCTTATTTTTTGGGTAAAATTGAATGGTGAGATGTTATGGTATGTTTGGATTGAGTAGAAAAAATGGTGGTGTGAAATTGATACTTGAGTTGATATGGTTTTCTATAGGTGATGATTCTCGTATTTGGCTATTATCCGTGTTCTTGTGCTTTGTAGGATTGCGCATTGGTATAGGGAGGGGTGTAGGTATACTGGATCACTATACGCCCACCTCAGTCGAGTGCACATTTACAGGTGTATCCACTGGCTTTCCCTGCTCGTCCTCTCGTGGAGTATCTTGTTCCTCGGTGAGGAGGCCAGTAGTTGGCGTTCTCCCGATGATTCCCCGTGCTGTGTCCCTCTTCTCTAGGTAGGCGATAAGTCCTATAAACGGGAGTGTCAGCGCCCCGGTGACCAAGCTGGCAATATACCCCTTTCTAAAATTCGGGGCATCCGTGGCAGGGTAGAAGATCAAAGGCCACCAGGTGACAAAGGCAAAGTCAAAAGAGTTCATGAACCCGGTGGTGATAGCCCGCAGCTGGAAGTCATGGGCCGTGACGTCGGCCATCCACGAGTACCACACGGCCTGGGGGGCGAAGGTGGTGCCGAGGAGGTAAAAGGCGAAAAAGTAGCCTGCATCGGTGGATGGAGTGGACACGAGAATTGCGGAGCCGATAACGAATGTTAGTCCGATGGCGATGGATACCTCCCAGCGCGATTGCAGTTTGTCAGAGATGGCTGCGTACACGACGGTGCCGAGAATGGCGGTTGCATGGATGACGGTCGGGTAGTTGTTTTGTTGGATCGTTGTGTATCCCCGAGAGGCTAGCCAGTAAGCCATAACATTGTTTTGCAGCATTTGTACACTGAGAGAGTAGACTGCAGGGCGTTAGAATGGATTGTATGGGGGTTGGCAGACCCACGCATGAAGATGAATGGCAAGAGCCAGAATTGCCAGCTGAGCAAGACTCGCTTGAATACTGTCCGATCCCAAGTCTTTTTGGACACGGTGCCCAGTCGAGTCGCGGCGTGTTCCTTTTGCTCCTCGGTCAAATACCATGCTGCGCGGTGTGCTGGAAGATCCGGAATAAAGACCCAACCTGATTCACCTGTCAGCTTCGTCTCTTCGAGAAGCGTGCAGCGTGCAGCCTACCAAACAGCGCAACTGGGACCGTCATCACCGAGACAATGATAAAGATCCATTTCCACGCAGGAAGACCACCCTTTCCCGCCAACGTCGCCAGCAGTCCTGCCTGAATCCAGCTACCGGACATGGTCCCCAGCTGGCCAAGAACGCAGAATACAGCCGCGCGGATGCCGAGCTCCGACTTTTTGTACCACGAGCCGAGAATGAACTGGGCACCAACACTATTGACAGTGAGAATGCTGGATTACTCTACTCTGCAGTCCACTTACTATGCAATGGCTGAGAATCCTCCCTCAATCGCGTTCAATAGAATCACCTGCCAGGCACGGGTCATCTTGTATGTGATCAAGGTCAAGATACTCCAGGTAAGATTGGCAGCGACAAAGACGTATTTGGGCCGCGCCACAGTGAGCAAACTGGTCCCTGGCATTTGAAAGACCGCGTAGACGACCAGATACGCCGTGTTCATGTAGTTATACTCTTTCCCCTCAAATCCCAGCGCCTCCTTCATGCCACTGATATAGGCGGAGGAATAGCTGGCTCGGGTGATGCCGAAGAGAAACCAAATGAGAGAGAAGTAAGGGAGCAGGGTCACGTCGAGTTTGGCCAGCAGTGCTCGATCTTTGGGGTCAGGGCCCCAAAGCCAGATCGCAAGCCTGGTTTGAAGTGAAGCCATTTCGGGTTTTTTTGAGAACCACAACGAGAGAATTCTGGCTTTGGTTATCACTTTCCTTAATGTAGAAAGTGTCGGAGATGCTGAAGGCGAGAGATCTTGCAAAGTGGCACTGATGATTCTGCTGCATGTCGCACAAGCCTGAACCACCAGTTTCACGACTCAAATTGAATCAAGTGAGTATCTGGAAGAATAAGAGGTCCAGGATGTCAGACGCTAGTGCTCGGAGATGATGAAACTCGACCGGTGAATGGTGAGATGGCGGACTGATAAGCAACTGCGGTCGGGATGATGTGATTGATGCTGATCAATGCTGATTGCCGGTGATGCAGTGAGGGGCTCTCAATCCCGCCGGCCGACCGCGTGACTCCGGTCGATTTCATCTCACTTGAAAATAAAGAGGTGATATCTCAATTTGGCTCCGTCATATAGGTAATTCAGCTGCCAATTAAGGGTAGCTACACATATTCCCTCGCCGAATTCATCAAAATGGGACGATGTTGCCTGCGCTCACGCAAGGGGGATTCCTCTGCACCTCGTCTGGGAAAGATGCCTCCCCTTCCATAAAGCAGTGTGCGTCATGTCGTGGCTATTCTCTCTCCTAACAAGAATATGGGTTGTTTGTTACTGAACTTGGCAATATCTCCCAGAACCTCCGCAGCCTCTGGGCCTTTAAATGCCTTCTGCACCCCTTCCTCGCTTTCCCAGTGGATAGTGCATCCGAAAGTATAAAGAGGCCGAGTCCCATCGACCGAGGGATTGAACCGGGTTACCGACCAGCTGTGGATGCCGTATTTCTCCCAGTGTCGTTGAACGAGAGGCATGTGGTTGGAGACATAGTAGTCGAGGTCGTAGTCTGCATCGAGCTCGTTTGGATAGAGAACGGTAAGGGTGTAGGCCATTGCGATGGATTTAGAGCTGTGGTGGGAAGAGGTTGTGTGGGTTGTGGTTGGGTGGAGGCTGACCGCGGGCGAAAATGACTAGAATGCTTCACGGCGTGGGATTTATACTCTCCCCGCAAATCCCCATTCCCTCCATTCCCTCCATTCCCTCCATTGACTTCACAATGATCCTTAGAGCTGGAAATAACCTTCTTAGAAAACCGCTTCCCAAATTTAATAAAACGAGTACTCGGGCCAGCTAAGCTTTCTTCTGTCCAACTTTTCACCCGTTTGCAAACCTACCAAGGCTAATCTAACCTTGTTCTTGTCCTGTCAGTCATCCTCCCACCACCGTCCATCATGCTGGCGCATCCCTAAAAACGTCCTGTACCATATTTCCAGTGCCATGGCATCATCAGTATTAGACAAGACACGATTGATATGTGCTGCGCCAAAGAGACTGAGGATGATCGAGCGTCAGTCCTGGCTCCACGTTGGAGTCCCTATCAATCTCACCTTGACGTATGACGAATTCTCTTACAAGATAACTCGGCGCCCTGCACCCCAGGCATACTATGGTTCCACCAGATAGACTGGCGATGGCAACTGTTGTGGTGTTTTTCTAGCATTCGATTCCCTGATTACTATCAACGAAAAAAGTTCAACCCCGATGACCAAGTGCTGCACAGATTACCTTCTCTGGTGGCCTGACGAGGGTCCAAAGCTTACAAGACCCGGAATACATCTGTCCTGACATGACACAAACTCTCCTGTGGACCGGCGAACTGAAAGGGAAAGGAAGGCCCTTCAGATTTAGCCGTCATGGCGTGTCGAACGATATCACTGAAGTCTGAGTCGCTAAACCTCCGAAGGAAGATGAACGGACTCAAATAAATCTAGCCATGGTGCCATTTCATGAATGAGGCCCGATTCTGGATGTGGGATATTAATCCGATATGAGCGAGTTCATCCTGGCAGAACAAGTTCGCCCCTTAATTCAGCCACCACCGATTTACGATTCGATTCGCTAACTTGTTCCTATCCGAATCCCCACTGGCTCACATGACTCCTAGTGTCGCATGGATTATCCTGGAAACTCCAAACAGAACCAGAGGGGTTAAATCTACCGACGCAGTGGGTCACGGTTCGTGTTGGACAGGTACTCCGGGCAATTCTTCCCGACGAACATTCTCCAGCCCACCATGGCGCAAGCCCATCATGCGCTAAAACATGCGATCCTCAATAATGCAATCCTTCTTGTGCCCGAGTAACACGGACCAGGACAGCTGGTCCGAGTCCGAGCTGAGAGATATAAAGCCCGGCATCCACCCCGAGCAGCAGAATCCACGTCAATCTCGGCCCTGCGGCCATCCACTCTTTTGGGAATACTCCTCCACGCTCATTTATAACACAGGAATAATTGCTCATCATGATAACTGCTCGTTTCTTTCTGCCATTGGCATGGCTATTAAGCCACGGCATCGGGGCTGTTGTCAGTGCAGCAGATATCGAGGTCTGCACCCAAGTGACCAAGGATTTCGTTGAGAACGGGGATTTCACCACCACCTCTGCTTGGACCACAACTTCAAGCTCAGATAAATATTCTATTGTCACCACCGGGGGTCTCAATGGTGGGAGCATGCTGTAAGTCGAACAGGCATCTTGTCACACCCTCCACTGATGCATCGGACAGTGAAATTCCCTACAGCACCTCTGAGAATGGCTTCGAATTCGAGCAAATAGTTGCAGTCCAGGAGGGCCCATACTATCAACTCCATTCGTACTGGAATCTGTTCGGGGATCAGGATTCAGACGGAGCCTATCCGTATTGTTCGATGAATGTATACGCCGTAACCGACGAGACGACCGAGTTTGTGACCTACGGCGATATCTGGTCGCCAGATGGTAGTGCCACCGGATGGGGTTTGGTACTTGGACAATGGCAATCTCAGGTCAGCGAGGTGACTCTCAAGTTTCGCATCACCTGCTCGCAAGCATCTAGCAGCACCCTCCAGATCTCGGGCATTTCGTTGCTGGGACCAGAAGCCGTTTGTACCTCTCAGTGTGCGACCTCAACGACCACTCTGACGGGCGAGCTTGTGCAAGATGGCAGCTTTACTGACGATGACAGTACGGAGTGGCTGGATACGGAGTGCTCTACCAATCTCCACCTGGTCGATGACGATGCCCCGGGGGGTGGCCAATGCGTGTAAGTATACCTACCAAGATGATGAACTCCTATCGTTGACCACATCTTGCTAGTTATATCCCTGGATCAGATTACGACTTTTATCAGATCAACCAAACCGTCGCCGATGCCCAGGTCGGCCAGACATACAACGCATCCGTCTCCTGGCGGCTCAAGTCAGACGAATATAATGCAGATGTCCCTGTTACGTGTAGCATCGACTATCGGTTATCCAATGGCGACACGGGCCTCCTATTGGACATCGCGCATGAGACTGTCACGGTTTCCTCGACCGACAGTGGTTGGATGGCGGTTAACGGAACTTGGGATGCCACTGTTTCAGATTTTACCATTATGATCACTGTACAATGTAGTACGGAGGACACCGATTATCTGCCAGACATCGAAATTGCCAATGTTCGACTCAACATCCAAATAGTGAGCTGTCCGGTGCAAAGGTCTTCATCGGCTGTGGCCAGCTCCACTCAAGTATCATCAACCACCCCTCCGAGAACTCCGATCTCATCCGCTGTGGTCTCTCCTACCCCAGTTTCTCATTTGGCTGTTCCATCTTCGTCTTTCCATGCGACTTCCCTAGTTCTAGCCTCTTCTTCGGTTGCTGTGAACCGCAGTCGAGTTGCGTCATCATTGTCAGACTATCCCGTCTCTTCTGTCAGTCCTTCGGTAAGTGTCAGCCGTAGTCGAGTTGCTGCTTCGTCCAGCTCCTTGGTTTCATCAGCAATCGCAGTCACTACACCAGTTACCATCCCAATATTCATTCCGGGGTTGTCATCTGCTGTGCCGTCGCCAGCGTCTTCTTTGTCGTCCAATGTCGCCTCCTCGCACATTTTGACACCGGGCCAACCTGGGAGGCCCCTCACATCTATCTTAGCAACAAACCCTCTGCCTACAGCCTCGCAATCTGCCAAACTTGCGACAGTCCCTGCGGGGTCGGACATGACCACCTCTACGATCTTTACTACCAGCACTGTGACAATAACCTCCTGTCCTTCTACCATTACCGATTGCCCCGCCTCCAAGAGGACAACATATCTCACTACCGAGACCATTCTAGTCTCGACGACAGTATGCCCCATCACCGCAGCCGCAACTGCAACTGCGACCGATGATGGCTCTTACACATCGACTATCCTTACGACCAGAACCACGACCATCACATCGTGCGCGGCTACTGTCACAAACTGCCCTGCCCGCTCACAGACCACCTATATCAGCACCCAGACGTTGGTGGCTGGAACAACGATTATCTTTACGGGCAAGACGATTCCCGCTCAAACGGCCTTACCAGGTACGACCAATGTTTCTTCGGGGTCTAATGACGCCCCGGTGACTACAGGGCCACATGGTGCCGGTGTCAACATTGCAGGCAGTCAAGGAACTCCGACAGATTCCAGCACGACGACTGCTGCGCCTGGCACGGTTGCGGCCGCCTCAGCTAATGCTGTCGCTCCTGAAAAGCCTTGGCCGCATGTTTCATCGGCCTCATCCGAAATTGGCAGTTTTGGCTCCACTGGCAGCTCTAGCCTGGATGCTTCTTCTAGCTCTGGATCCGAATCGCGTGTTGCCGGTTCTTCTGCGTCCGGAGTTTCTGCATCTGGCTCTAATGGTTCCGGCCCGTCGAATTCATCGAGTGATTATGGCTCCTGCATTTTCTCTGGCTCTCCTAGTGATTCTAGCTCTGGGCCTGCCTGTTGCTATACCTCGGACTCGGATTCTGGCCACATTAGTACGGAGTTGTCTGGTTTGTCTAATTACTCTACCTCTGGATCTGCCATTGGGTCTACCGGACCTTCTAGGCCCTCGGGCTCCGGTGATTCCAGATCACGCACTGGAACTAGCTCCGCTGGTAGTTTCGCCTCTGTTTCTGGTTCTGAATCTTTCAACTCTGGCTCCGCCTCCGCTTCTTATGACTCCTCTAATTCTGGCTCTCACAATACCGCTGAATCCACCGGGCAAACACCTCCAAACTCCGATATGGATCTCACGGCTACCTCTGCCACCGGAATTACTGGAGAGTACAATGGTTCTAGCTCGCCTAAGACATTGACTACCTCCGTCGAAAGCACCTCTACGACCGCAGAAATCCCCAGTACCAACTCCAACTCACCCATCAATGGAAACAATGTTGCTGCCGTATCTGATGGATCTTCGCCTATTGCTGGCTCCTCTTATGGTTCTTCAAGTGGCCAGAATTTCCCAGCAGGCTATGGTTTCTCAACTAGACCTGCAATCAGTAGTTCCGTTGCATCCATGACACCCGCAAACAGCGCAACTGCCCAGGCATCAAGCACTACGTCCAGCGCGGTTGGCGCTGTATTCACAGGAGCTGCTTCTGCTGTTCCCATTCAGAACCTTGTTCTCGCGGCAGTTGCTATGGTCGTTGGGGTTATCCTTTTGTGAGGAGTGGCCCAGTAATCCAAGCGATCTTTTATTCATATTTATATATCACAGCCTCAAACCATCAGAACATAGAAATTTCCCCGCAATCGCGTGCAGCTTACCTCAAAAGGCTCAATAACAGCTTGAATGTAAAGAATATGTCCCGACGTTGCAGGGCTTTTATCGACTCAACGACACCCGTGAACCTGTCAGCTGTATGTCGATCAATTCGATAGCAATACAATGAGAAGCACTTGATATTATATACCCTATGAGTGCATGAACTGCCATAGCACCATGTTTTTCGAGGTTCCTGTACATGTGTTGCGACAGGGTTGGGTGGCATTGGATGCAAGTCACGTGTAGTGGGAGAAAGCAAACCGCATGGACCCCTCCATCGCATTTAGCCGCCTTACTTTGACGCGCAGCATAATAGCATTCTGTACACCCCTTGGGGAAAGAATTTCCTACATATTCCGACTGGGAGGTTTTGGCAAAATAATCATGAGACTTCTTCACGTTCGGACAATGCGAATGGTAAGTTTCGTGGATGCGCAACAAGCCCCGCCATACGCCATCTTATCGCACACCTGGGGCCCCGAGGAAGAGGAAATCACCTTCGGCGATTTGGTAACTTGGACTATTGATAACCCACCACCAGAGACTTCCCCAAAATTCACTGGATGGGCTAAAATACACAGGGCCTGCAACAAGGCTCGCATTCATGGCTGCGCCTATATTTGGATTGACACCTGCTGCATCGACAAGTCCAGCAGCTCCGAGCTACAAGAGGCCATCAACTCAATGTTTTCTTTTTATGAGAAGTCCAAGGTGTGCTTTGCGTATCTTATCGATGTGGAGGGTGCTTTAAACAATGACGTTCATCGAGCCCGGTGGTTCACTAGAGGATGGACACTACAAGAATTACTTGCTCCGGAGAAGCTCATATTCTTTAATAAATATTGGGTGGATATTGGCAGCAAGATCGACAAGTATTCTGTTATCGAAAACGTGACAGGGATCCATAGAAAGTATCTCTTCTATGGATTTGGTGCCTTTACGAAACTGCCACCTAGCTACGAGCGGATCTCAAGTGCCAGTGTGGCACAAAGAATGTCATGGGCAGCTAAAAGGAGGACCACGAGACGAGAGGACATGGCTTACTGCCTACTTGGTCTGTTTGATATATCCATGCCTTTGCTGTATGGAGAAGGCGATAAAGCATTCCTGCGGTTGCAGGAGGAAATTATGAAAGTTACAAATGACACTTCCCTGCTCTCGTGGGGTTTGACTGGACCTTCCGGCTACGACGAGTTCGATATCAGTGGTGGGGACCTTGAGATTACTGCTGAAACATCATCAGAGCAACCAATAATGGCACCAATCCTAGCAAGCCATCCTGGCTTCTTTCGCTGGTGTGGTGATATTTTCCAGTGTCCGATTCGCCCGTTCAAAGAAACGACATTCTCTATGGCACAAAGAGGGCTGCTTTTATCTCTTCCTGTTGTCTTAGATCGGTGCTACGAAACTATCGCTTACGGAATCCTTAGTTGTGGATCAGCGCGAGAGGTTCCCCACAAAACGCAATACATAGCAATACCGTTGGTCTCGAGTACCGCATGTACATGGGCCCATGGGTCTATTGATGACGAATATTGGCGACCACTTTGGTGCAAGCCGAAGCTTGTCGCTCCAGAGTTCGTGGAGGAGGCGACCATGAAGGATATCCTGATCCGACGTGCCAGGCGCAGCGACGAATCGTTCAGGAACATACCTTTTGGTTTTTACATCGACTCTGATCCAGCAATACATGTGATGGGAACATATCCTCCTCAGCCGATTAATCTATCTTTCAAGTCCCTTTCCGTACGAAGACAACCAAGTGGTAAGTCGATACCTTCGACTGCGATGTGCAAGCCGACTGAATAATCTTAGACGAGTCAATGAATCATGAAGATTCCTCTTCACACAATCACGAAGAGGGACAGAGAATGATGCTCGTCAATGTTGAAACAAAGAGCTCACTAGTTAAACTGCTCGTCGTCATAAACTACCAATTGCAGCCTGGAAGCTTTACACCACTTGACACCATCGCTACGGGCTGGGACTATAGCTTGTCATGTCGAGTCTTCATCTTAAATCGCGGTTTCTCTCTGCAGACACTCCAAGATCTAGCCAGCGATCAAGGATTCAAGCGATATAAAGAGCTAATTTGTATTCCTGACGGTGGCCATAAGGTATACATGCTTCCTAGTACATACGATCTCTATATAACCGCCCATAATGGGTCCTTCCGCCGCGCAACAACGATCGAACTATCTTTCCGCGTGGCCCGTGAAATTGTGGACTCCGACTTTTCGAAGAGTCCCTGCCATGGATCATGGCATTTCAAAAACGGTCGAAAAGTGTCAGACAGGCAGGATGGCAAATAGGACGAGAGAAGAATGTGAGGTGCGGCTTAGTGCAACACCTGCCCATTTTCATTCTGTTTAATTCGAGATGTCCTTCATCATGGCACCAATATTTCCTCGCCATTACGGGATAATTGATTCCTGCCAAAGAAAACGCAGAACGGTAGTTAAGTGCACGGGCCAGCGCTCATTATATGCTATAGCGGCCATCGGGCATATTGTTACCAACAAGTCACCGCCCACGGCCACTATTTGACACTATATCTCCCCAGGGACGACACAGAGTTCAGGTTCCAGACTCAAGCTATTCCCTCAATAAGTAGAGTCGCGATCTACATGGAAACGGGAAGGAAATCTGTTATTTACTGGCATCAGGACTTGTAAGTGGCTGATCGTTCCCCATCTGCAAAGTCACGGCCAATATAATTGCGGCAATTGCCTCCATGTCATCACGGTTTCGAATATCCCATGGGCCAAACTCGGACATCCTTAGAAAAGAGTCACAACTTGAATCGCGCTTAGAGTTTCTGACATAGTCAATGTAGTCAGCGTTGTAACCGGCGAAAACCAGGTACACTTCATGCCGATCACAACATAGCATCATACGGCGGAACCTGGAGAATTCTTGATCAGTCACCAAGGGCACAATGGCAAGAGCGCAACAAACAGGTGTGTCAAAAGCGTACCATATATCCTGTGGCTTCTGATCATTATTTTCGAGGTTTATAACGTCGGGTTCTTTGTGTATCCATGCCACCATTTGTGCGGTCTCCTGCATTCGGACTCTCGCTGAAGCTTTGCGCATCATTGGTTTCACTTCCACTATTATTTTCGAGTAATCTTGGTTTGGTATTGCCAGATGCCCATCGGTTCGAGCCGTATATAATTCGGTGTCATCATCTACACCCACGGTATATCTCTTACGTTCGAGAGACCAATATGCCTTGACCCCTGGAATAGAGAGGGTCACAGCGGAGGGCAATAAAATCAGAAATGCATTTACTGTGTTCTCATCCGATACAGGAGGAAACGAGATCTGAGGTGCGAAGTTCGGATCCTTCTTCAGATCATCAGGCGGAGACTGGGGGTCGTACAGCTGCCATTTCTCTGCTTCCTCCGTCAGTGCATCGCTTTGGGCACCTCCAAGACCGATCTCCAGAAACTCCTTTGTCAAATTAGTCATTCCACGCGTTGGTGACTCCGTGAAGACATCTGAGCCTGGCTGAAGGCGCTTATTCAACCGGGCCCTCTGTCTCGTTATAGCGGGTGAGAAGTCAAGATCGTTTTCCTGGTCTTCCGAGCCTTTGGAGGACTGGATCAGCTGCATAAGATACCAGACAAGGGTGAATGAGCCAAAGTCTTCGGTCATAGGAAGGATTTGTTGTAAATACACCTTCATCCCCACCTTCTCCAGAAAGGTATTCCAATGAGGGACACTTTTCAACATAATCTTGGCATTGTCCACCTCGCCAATACCCTAGTCGTATGGTTGAAACCAAGCTTGACTCCTGGTTCTCAAAATGGCTCGGAGGGCCAGGTATTGAGGCTCCTCGATTTTAGATGCCGAATGGTAGTTCTGGAGTTGATAAATACTGGAACTGTAGACATTGTACTTCTTGGCACATTCAGCCCCACTGGCCGCTGATCAGCGAAGTTTGTTGCTTGGCATTGTAATGCCGTTCCAATGACTTTTACCGGGATCAAAGGGCCGATGGTTGAGGTCTCATCAATCGAGTGGAAGAAGGAGCTGTAGGGAAAGCCGGACGCACCACTAGACATGGCAAAATAGATGGTTCGTTAAACGTCGCGCATTGAGGTCACACCGGGCATGTAAACGAGGGGTAACAGCTCTGTGCATTCCCAAATTAGGGAATCGGGCTTCGGGGCATCCCGAGCGTGAGATAATTTTCGCAGGTTCCAGGTCGAAGATCTCCGTGTGGGTAGTTGGTTTTGGATGGACCGAATGTCTGCGATATTGTCAGATTCGAGATTGGAGAGATCATGAGCTTTCATCAACCAGAAAGGGGAACTGGTAGCCTGAGGCGCGGAGTCTCTGGAACGTGCGCGGACCATCTTTCTGATCTGACCCCTCAGGCAAGGTACAGAGGTTCTCTTCCCGGGAATCACGTGCAGGGGGCCCTTCAAGCCAGGCGGTATGTTGATTGTTGACCATTTGAACTCCTCCTTGAGCTTCCTCCTCACAATTCAACCAATTGTCCCCACCAGAGTGGGTATTCATTGCTCCTTAGTCTCCTTGCAAGTTAAACCGGTATCCACGCGAGATTAGCGCCTTGGCATATCTTGCATGTACAAAACGTAACTTCCTACTTGCAATTCTTGGGTTTCTTACTCATTCACCCTCTTACGCCCTGGATCATCTGCGGGTACTGCTGACTATCAACCATGCGTGCGGAGCCAAAAATATCGAGTCCCCAAAACACCCTCATTGAATGTTTGGGAAAAAAGCAGGCCATAGCACGCCGCCTGGAAGGTATTGCGACAAAAACAGCCAACCTACAAAGCAGCTGTTTGAGTGATGGATTCCTAAAGCAGAACGGCATCAAGGTATCCTTACTTGACTTGGAAGGCAAGCCCAACAACAGTCACGATATGTTCTATACGCCATGCCCACAACACAAATTGCCCATCATTCCATGGGACGAAGTGGATCTTCTGGACTTTAAAGAAGGCCATCGCGCAGAAGCCTTTCGCGTCAATCACACCCTCGACGAGATCTCTGCACAACTCGACTCACCGTCGAACGTCTGGGTCGAACAGGAGTAAGATATGAGAATCCCGTACTAGATTGCATTAGGGCGATGGGCTTACCAGGTTCTCATATTTGCCCATAGGTTCTACGACAAACCCGAGACCGACATTGGGGTGGGCGAGTATTACAACACTCCATTTGAGTGGTATAAAGTCACAGAAGCTGAAGCCGAGTCCCCCTCTATACCTCATTGCATTGTTAGGATAGTCCAGCATACGGATCCCGCGAAATGTCTTTTCGTAGTGAAGTCATTTGTGCCCTCTCGTACATGAAATGCAAGTTGAGATATGTCCGCTACGTCGAACAAACCATTTTCCCAGTACGTTACCCAACTTCCAAACTCATTGACATCCTAGCAGCACCTTTCTATGCTCGCTTCTTTATTGCTAATTGACAATTGTTCGCCGGACAGCTCTTACTCATTTCTGTCTTGCCATCACAAGCCCGTGTCCTGCAGGTACATTTCGATGGGGAGTATCTTCGCATAGCGAAGAGCAAATTATATGATTTCAAGGAAAATAACAAAGCCAATTATGAACTCTTCACGCGGTGGATGTTTCCCACAGCATGTGGCGATGTCAAGGCCATCCAGATGAAAAGCGAGGAACCCAATGACGCTGTCAAGGACCAGGTGGAACTCTATTTAGCCAGGCGAACAGCATCAGTGGCTTAATTCTTGGCATTTATTGGGTTATTCTGTCCAGTGCCGAAGTTTGATGACTCTGCAATCCAGTATAATGGGATCACGTCTTTCTATACGCATCACGCCGTCTAAATATTATAATATCATCTTCTGTCATACATATTATCATCATAAACGATCAAAGTATACAAGACCTGGCCAGCATAAGGCCATATGAATGATTGTAATATATCCCAGCATATCGAGAACACACCGACCATAGCCATCTTTCTATCCATCATGAATCCTGTCTACCCACCAGGCTCGAATACTCTAGGTCCTTCACCTCGAGACTTAACCATCTATTAAACCCCACCCAGTTCCTCGAAGAACTCCGCGGTCCCCTCCTCATACCCAGCTCCACACTCATTGGCCTCCAAAAAGACTCGTAAGCAATTGGCAAACTTCTCATTTCCAATACACCTTTTGTTGGGACACACAGTCTTCGTTCTGTCTGTTCTCCAGATGGCAAGCGGTATATCATTTTGGCGTACTGGTAAGAACGCAACACCTTTCCAGCCCCCGATCCCACGGTCACAACGAAAGACGTCACCCTAGGAGATACACTCCCCCCTCATCCTCCACCATCGCCAACCTCCCCATAATAATCTTCATCCACGGTGGTGGCTGGACCGGAGCCTGAGGATAAGCGTTTTCGGTGTTGTTGCATATGAGATTGGGGGAGTTGAAGAAGGTGTATGTTGTGGAGTGTTGGATGGATACGTTACGGGATGATGCGAGGCTTATGAAGGCGATGTTGCAGGAGTTGGGCGTGCAGGCGAGGTATGATGCATATCCGGGCTTTCCGCATGGGTTTTGGTCGTTTCCGTTGGAGGTATTGAGGAATGCGCAGAGGTGTTATGGGAATTGGTATGGGGCGGTGAAGTTGGTGCATGAAGTGTAGGGGGTGGCTGGAATGGAGATGAATGGTGAAGGATGGATGGTGGTTTCAATAGTTATAGCTTTACGGGCTTATGTCACGGATTGGGAATGAATGGTTTTCTGGAAAGGGTTGGTGGCGTACTATACGTATTCAAGAAAAGGGTTTCACTATGAATACGATGCCCTATTCCTTACACAAGATCCTATTACGGTATCTAGGCATACTTCCGTCATTATCCTTCTTGCAACCGGCACATCCCTTCTTCCTACTCTCCAAATAGGCTATTAACATTACCTGCAGCGTGAAACATTCGTCAACTGTCGCATCATCAGTGGCCACACCCGGAGATTCCAGATAGACCTTGCTGCCTCCAACCGGCACTTCCCAATAATTCACTCATCAAACAACCATTAACCGGCATATAACACGTGTCTTTCCCCCTCTTCCTCCTCGCCTCCTTTTTTCTCTCCGGGGAGTCAATCAGGTTGCGTCTTTCCGCCAGATTGACTTCCCTCGGCGCCTGAGTCCCTGTTTTATATACATGTTTCTCACTATCCTTCCCTTACTCCTCCAATGACACCGTCCCAATTCACATTCTGTCCCATAATATGACTGCGATCTCAAACCTCGCAACAAGCCGAGTCCCAGCACTTTCCCAATAGGCTCACAACTTACACATACCATCAATCTCATCCGATACCATACAGGCCATTCAGGCTACCGCGGTCCGATCTAAGATCCTTCCCTCATCCCCTATCGCTGTTATCACGGCCGGGAGCCATGGACACAAACTGCCATGAACAATTCTTGCCTGACCATCGACACAGGTGGATTTCATCTATTCGTGGCCATCATGCAGCGATTTCATCGCATCTCTGCATCACGCCATCAGCACCACTTTCTCCTCTCTGACATCCTCTACGTCCCTACGTAGTATCGGTACACTCGGTGCTAATATCAAGCCGATCTAATCTCGCATCATCGATTACATCATGATATAGAACCAAAACTCAGCCCCGTTCAGAGCCTTGACTACCTCATTCCATGCTACCTATCATTAAGAGGTAGATGTATTGGCCTTTCGGTTAGATCATGACCAACAGTCTGGTTGAAGTTCAGCATCTCTGGCAAGCGCTCGACAACGACCCGTATCACTCGGGCACACTCTTCAAGATGGTTGCATGGTGTCTTAAGGCTAGAGGCATGGCTGAAGTCCTCGACCACTGCGAACCTCGTCTCACTCCAGAATGGAACTGAAGTTTGAAAGTGGGATCCAACAAAGACATAGTGTACCAAGCACTAAACCGTGGCATGCGCCGCCAAGTGGTCGATATGGACAACTACCGACCCTTGAGAAAAAAGGGCACTCTGCTCGAGTCAAAGCTAGTGGAATCACCACCCAGCATTATCTTGGGTTGTCAAGCACTTTGCCAATATTCCGATATGGCCATCGTTCTCGATTACCACACTACGACACCAACACTGCCACCAACACTGCCAATTTACATCATGGTCCACTTCAGTGCAAGCGTGTGTGGTTGAACAATTAAACCTTCGCAAATCGGCCTTCGGATGGTGATCATCCTCGGAACCGTCTCACTGCCCACAAGTTTCTGGAGAACAATCTATCCTATTCGGGTACTCCATGACAGACCCGAGAAATGATACACAATGATGGGTTCCAAAAATAGCCTTTGAATATGACTTTTATACCACTATCAAGACATTCTACGAAGCAGCATCGTTGTTGGAAATATATTATCTTGGAAATCTCGGCCTTTCCTACAGCTGACTATCGCTCGGAGCCACGGCCAACCATCTCTCATATTGAAATGAGAACGTGTGAAGATCTCATATGGTAGCCTCACGGTACGGCATAGTTTTCGGTCGGTCTTGACTTCAGATCGTTCTAATTGTTTCCAATATAGAGGGATGCCATGTTTCGGCATTACTCTCGCTCGTCTTCAACTAGGATCTCGTTCGAGACACCATCGCTGTCGAGTTGACAAGGCATCGCTCGAGTGGATTCTTCATACCCCATGCTGCACCATTTTCCCATGTTCTTACTAATTAAGATCCTATTGCTAGATGAGCTTGTCTATACAATCTGAAACTCAATCATATGGTCTCTGAGCTCCACACGAGGAGAACGATGACTGATCGGCATTAGCAAGTAACCCGATTTCGGATACCACAAGACACGCCATCAGATATAGGATGGCATTGTCAGCAGATACTATATCTTCCATACAATCCTCACATCTATAAATGTATGCGAGCAATGACCAGGTCCCTGCCCAAGGTTTGGGCCCTCAAATCGAGCCTCAATGAAAAGGTCGGATCCTCTCTTGTAATACCTACAAAACACAGTCGGCACACCTTGTTTATCAGAGCCGTTATGTGTGGTGTTTTCTGGGCCAGCGCAGATATAGTGAAAGAAGTTGAACGTGATTATGATGTCGGGCTATTCGGGCATAAGAACACTCCCCGAGCGATCAATTATGCATTACAGGGTCCTTCTGAAGAAATTTGCTATCATCTTCGGTTAGTGGCCTTTGGTGATGTCTCTACTACAACCTGATTCCTTTCCAATTCAATGCGAGTGATCTGACCAACGGTTTTCCCATGTGCTATGTGGTTCTACCCATTGACCCGGCTGCGAAATGACCCAAACAATCTACGGCCTGGTGGTTCAGAGGACATGAAATTGATGACATCTCGGTCCCGAGTCCCACTCCAGTGGATTCGATTGGTGGTCTCGTGGGGAAGTAATCCTTGCAAGATAGGTGACCACGAGACAGAGACAAGTGCGTTCAGAGTTATAATAGGGTCTTGATCACGACGGAATCCCGAGCGGATTGTTCTGTCTCTCCGCTCAGCATGTCGTTGTTCCTCCTCACTGGAATCCGAGATGCCTCAACGATCTACGGCCTGGCGATTCAGGTCAGCATCTCTGTCAGATCGCTTGCACCCAGGGAGATCTATGGGTGGCTTGTGGTCAAGCATGAAAAAACCGAAACAAAGTAGCTGGAACCATTCCAAGGTTGCTTTGAGTGAATGCAACACGTGTATTACCCACAGAGCTCTGTGCGAGAAAGTCAGGATCTCAAGCCCAGAATGCGCACCACTGCTAAACATAAAGTTGACAGCTTCCCAGAGTTGAGTGTCCATGACCATCATCTTGACAAGAGGAAGTCCTCACAATGGAAGCAACCTCGCCGCGCTAGGGAAGCGAATTACAGATATTGTTTCAACTCTCATCGTACGTCGATCTCCTCGCAATCTCATTGCTCTGGAACAAAATCCTAAGGTTCTATACAACATGACGCAGGACCTTATCATGTGATGCTCTCTGACATCTCGAACAAGGGACCTGTGTCGAGGGCCTATGTACAAAGCACGTGCTGCTTAGAGGCAATGCAAAATGAGTTTCTCTGTTGCTCTACGCATAATTGATCTATGATGGGATTTGGTTTGCACTCGAGACTACAAGACACGTACCTGACCGAGTCAGATAAGAGGTTGGTGAGTCCCTAGTCCAGAGGTAGAGGACTAGAAGAACTCGTGGCCCAAAACCAGAATTGAAGTTGACACAGGAACGACGCACAGTTCCCGATTCCTGGTGTTTCGATGGGGTTATCTCGCTGGGCCGGGGAAGCCAAAGGCAAAGGCAGTCCGGATTGCCGTGACATTGCTGTTCTCTATCTGAGCATTGTCCCCAAGTGAGGAGGGGTGCAATTTCAAATTCATATCTTCTAATATGGGTATACTGTGAGAAGCTTGCGGCTGGATGAGCAGACGTATCGATAATTGCCGCTACTGGTTATGCTGGTAGTATTTTTTCAATATATTTCCGGATTATATCGGATACATCTATATCCTGGTATATTCCGTCGAATAAGATGGACCTCCTAGATACCTCTAAGTCAGGTCAAGTCATGGAAATGTTTCACACATTCTAGTTTATCCCTATCGACTATAGATAGAGTGATAGAAGGAGATAGTAAGGATATGCAGGAGTGTAGATCTTCTTTTACCGGGACTATCTGTATGCATTAGAGACGACTGACGAGACAGTGTTGTGTTTTACTTGCATGTAGATAGTCTAAGCATCTCACGACCTACCAAGTCGACTAAAAGCCATAGCTAGGTGCTGGTTAACCCTTTTACGTCTACAGATAGATCATACCTGCCTTTAAGCAGTGAGCTGGGGCAGGGTAGTATGCAAGCAACGAGAAGGGTCTGATATGACTCTTATCACAGCCTTTTCCATGACAGAAACACAGTAATTGTTATTTCTCTAGAGAGAGAGAGAGAGAGATAGAGAGAGAGACTTTCGTAAAATCAGTCTGATTCCTACTCTTGCAACGACCAGTTCCCAACTACTGACTACCCAAACAAAAACCCCTCATCCACCTCTCCCACCAACCAAATCCTCAACTCCTCCCACGCATCCAAATCATTCTTCTCCACCGCCCTCTCCACCCCCGGATTATGCCACTGATGCGTCCTCTTCGTCTCCGTCCCCCGCAAGCACTCCCCAACCCTCCGACAACTATCAAAATCAACAATCACCACCCTCCCATCCCCACCCCCACCCCCATCAAACATAACATTCGCCGGATTAATATCATTATGCACCCACCCCAACGAATGCAGATGCTTAATCCCCTCCCGAACCCCATCCAACCCCGCCCGAACCATCTCATCAACCAATTCTCTTCCACTGCGCCGAAACCCCTCCTTATTCAAATGTTGCGGGTTAACCCTCTCCAACAACGTCTCCGTATACCGTTTAAAACACAACCCCGACACCCTCCCCCGTGTCTCCTGACATCCATAATACACCGCTATATTCGGGTGCGGGTTGTTCCGGAGGATTTCACAAACCGTGACTTCTCGATGGATTCGTTGTGATAGATCACACCTGTCGGCGTAGGAGAGTAGACTGGGTTGTTTGATATAGATCGTTGACCAAGTGTTGTTGATAGCGGGGCCTCGGTCTAAAGTCTGGATTTCCTGGACGTCGTCGAGCTCGGAGAGTGTCATGGGTCGCTGGGAGCGGTTTTTCCATTTGCCGTGGTAGAGGGTGCCGTTTTGTTGGATGAAGTATTTCACGTAGGAGAATTTCATCTCGTCGTTGATTCGTTCGAAGGCTTCGTTTCCTTTGATGATTTCCATATTGTAAGTGTGTCTGGAATGAACAGGCTCGTAGAACTGGTAATGGTTTGCTTTCGGGGTTGAGGTAACGGGGAGCAATGGAAGGCAATGAATGGATACTGAGAAAGTGCGGTGATTAAGTAGTAGTTCAGAATGTGTAAGTCGCCGGGGATTCACTGAAACATGCCCCTTTCCCTCCCCTGGACCACATTTGGCGGTGAGAAGGTTCCTCCTCTGTGCGACGTATATCTGGTTCATTGGGGATATTGTCTATCTACTTGCCCCTAAGTACCGATGTATTCCCTGCTCCTATTATATCTCCTCATACCTATCCCTCCCCCAATTTGAGCACAACTGCCAGTAAGGAGGTTGCCTGTCGTGTAGCTGCTCAACAAGAACCCAAAACGACCTCTTCTTTGCTTGCTACAATCTGGCTTCATATTAGGCCCAGTCCTTCATCCATTTTATTTGTCCATAGCTTGCGAGAACAACAATGAAGATCACCTCGACCTAAACAAGCACATTAATGGGTGAATGGCAACTCTCTCCTCTATGTATCGTCATATACAAAAAAAAAAAGACACATAATCCGACAAGCGCACATATAGATGGACAATAACAACAAGAATCGATCCCCTGTGACGTAGAAATACCGACTCACTCAAAATCCCTTGAGGCGAAATAGCTACTCGATATACTATTACAACACTGTTCAAGCCCCAAAAGAAATTCGCTTTTTCATACTAGATAAGAATTAAGACCATTCCCAAGTACACCCACCGTACATGAGAAAGCCCCCCCCCAACAAATTCATTCCCAAAGCTAATCACAGCGCGCACCCAAACCTCATTCCCACCTTTCTCCTCCTGCACTTCATTTCTTTCCACCACTGTAACGGATGGAATCGGGACAGTCCTTCTGTCCGCATTCCCAAGTTTTGACGGGGGTGCCGCTGCACACAGAGGAATAGTGGCAATTGTTGGCGGTTTTGATGGGCTTGTGAATGGCCATCTACTAAGGGGTTGAGTGTCTGGTTTTGCTGGTGTTTGATTTGCAGGAGGGGGGGTTATGCCTTTGCGAGGATGAATGTTTCAATCGATTGTTTCATGAAAGGGTGGTCTTCAGACGGTTGTTTTGGAGGTAATGGTTATGTACGAGGAAGGAGAGGAATATGCTATGTGTAATAAAGGATATTTATACATCGTGATGTAGTTTCTTGTTTGTCTAGTTGGAAGAGAATTGGAGGAGATATCCTGTATATTAGGTAGGAGATCTGCAGTATATCAGAGGATATCTCCCAGCTGGCTAGAGGAGGTCTCCGGCGGCAGACCCTATAACCTATACCTGTTGTCAAGGTCCTTTTCTTCCTTGAGCCACGTATCTCATTCTTAGCATGTTCTCTTCAAAGCAGTACTCTACGGCTATCAGATAGCATGATTTGGCTTCTCTAGATTATCCACTATTATCGGAATTGCTACCATATATGGTATAGCAGGCAGACATGGCCATGATTAAAAAAGGAACATACTAAGACTAGACAGGATGTGGAATTCTGTCTAAAATGACGGAATATTCAAGCAAGGGATGTATTTCAACGCAGATCACTAACATGATAGTCGGGTCGGTTGGTGTCAGGTAGTCCGACTATGGTATGAATATGCATAGGTACTATGTATAGCCTCCTCAAATCACGACAGTAAAAGTGGTATAGCAAAGGGTTCACGGCTTCCACCAGCAATAGTAAGTGAGTGAGTCTCATGTTTATGGTTGGATTGATCTGTCTACAGATATTTGACACGGCGGACGCAAATATGCTTCCGAGTACTAGTGTTCAAGATATTAACCCAGAAGGCTTGCTGGTGCTTGAGTCTATGCCGGAGCTGGAGGGAACGTGGCTCGTGGTGCTGTGGACGTTGATTTAATGCTTCAACGTAAAGTACGATGTCATTCCACCTTCCCTCTTTATCCTATACCTTCAGCTTCAGTAACTATTCCTGTTCCTCTCCCCCACCAAAGGCAATCTTTGCATACATTCCTAAATAGCACTTGATCCACAGAATCACAGTACTAAGTACCACATCCCCAGCTATACACGAAATCCAACAATCTGCCGCATTCAAACTATATCAAACCTGCATATCTAGGAATCCCTGACAACTCCTTCACTAGAAAGACATACAGAGGACCTTGTCTCACACAGATAAGATCCAACTTGAATCAGATCAGCCAACTTACGACGATCCCGCGTCAATTCAATAGAATATCAACAGCTCCTCCCCCCCCCCCCCCCCCCGCCATCCTGTCTCCCATCATAACCTCCAAACCACCAAAAGAAACACCCATAGAGCATGAACCCAAATATCTCGACTACACAAACCCAAACCCATCGACCCCAGATCCACACTACCTAGATACGATCCCCAGTACACCCCAACCCACATATATCACTTCCCCTACACCCACCCCACCCACCCAGTCAGCAAACACCATATACCCAACCCCACAACCGACAGTGCAATCTCACCTCAGCCAATTTCAACTCTCTGTCCTTATCCCCCTCCTCATCCCAAGTACAATCCCTCGCATCATGCCCTCGATGAAAACACCTCCGACAAATCTGCTCCGGACACGTCCGTGCCGTATGCTGAAGCTTATAGCATGTCCAGCACCGCGGAACAGTGCATTCGGTGGTTTGATGGGATTCGGAATTGCAGTTTTCACAGGTGGTCATTGTTCTTGTTCGTGGGTAGGTAGGTATATGTGTTTGATCTGTTTAATTTGTGATTTTCTTGGTTTTGATTGGTGGTAGTGGAAGTGATCATGAATCTTAGCACGTAGAAGCTGAGAGGAAACGAAGCTTTAGATTCCAACCTGACAAGCTTGCCTGGTCTGAAACAAACATATAGATAAGTTAAGTACTAGTCACCCTCACACTTCCATTCAATTAAATCCCAAAATTTCTTTGTCAAGGACATTGAAGGCTTCATTCAGGCTTCGATTACATATATCATTCACTGACTCATTGTGTTACTTGAAGATAAATAGCGGGGAATGACCCCCCATCCATCCTAATCTGACAACCTGCTGCTGCTACTACTGCTGCATGAAACTGCCGTGTTACCATCTTTGCGTCGGAAGAAAGACCGAGTACATATGCCGATCTCCGCGTGTGGGGGCGATTAAAACTACCTAACGTCGGGGATTTCAACGCCCCTTTCCCTACCTACCTACCCCTCGCCATCCTGATGTCATTCTCCCAAGCCAGAATCGGGCTTAGATTCTTTCACTCCGAACCGAATAGGTACCCATCTACTCGGTACCATAAAAAAGGTAATCGGATAGCAATTCGGTTAGGTTAGGTTATTGGATGCAAAGGCTTGGCAATAACGGGGCTGCCGCCGATCGCCCCCCCCCCAGTCCTGGGTCCTATTTCTGGGGCGGCGTTAGTTGCCCCCCAGTCGGCCCTCGGTTATTACTTTTCCGAGCGGTAAGGGGCGTTGCGCGATTGTGTCGAATCGCAATCGTAGGGAGGTGTGTTCAGTGTACTCTGTAGGTAGGTAGGGAATTGTAGGAAATGGGTAGAGTGAGGTATCTTAATGTGCTAGGGGGGAGATCGTACGAGATAAGACTGACTGGCTGGTAGTCGTCGGAATTACCCCTACATGCACCAGTCTGGACTACTGCCTACCTACAGCCTCGGCTCATTCCAGAATAATGGAAGCTTTCCCCGCACATCGCAAGGGCGACTGACTGGGTTCCTGGGTATTGCCCTTCACCGGCTACTTATATGGCGGCCTCCGCGCGGTCCCTCGCTCCCCCTCCCCATCTTTTCTTTGTTTTTTTTTTTTTTTCTGTTCTCAATCTCCCCTCTTACCGGTCTTTCTTTCGCGCGATATCATCATTGGAATCTGGATATCTGTATATAGCTGAAACCGCACATCGACTCAAATATGGTTTTCCTTCCTGCGAAATGGGCAGGCACGCTGCCGGCTATTCCGGACAATATTCCATTGAGCGAGTTCATGCTTACGGACTTGCACGGGCGCAATCCCCTGGGCTACTCGAGAGATCCTTTCACTTGTGGTATTACTGGGAGAAGTTTCTCGGCATTGGAGGTGGTGGATCGCGTCGATTATTTGTCTCGCGCTTTGGCCAAGGAACTGAACTGGAGGCCTAACACGGGGACTGAGTGGGATAAGACTCTTGCAATTTTCAGTTTGAACACCGTGAGTCTCTGTGATTGATTGGTCCATGATCCCGGCTTACCATTGTTCTTCCTAGATCGATACCTTACCTTTGTCATGGGCCGTCCATCAGTTGGGGGGTGTCGTCTCCCCAGCGAACGCATCCTACTCGGCAGCTGAGCTGAAACACCAGTTGCTCGATTCCAAAGCCAAGGCACTATTCACCTGTCTGCCACTACTAAAGACCGCTCTCGAGGCCGCCTCCCTAGCTGGGCTGCCCAAGGATCGTATATACTTGTTAGAAGTCCCGCCACAACTCACGCCTGGAATCAAGGCCCCGGCGCAATACAAGACCGTCTCACAATTCATCGAAGAAGGAAAGGCGCTGCCGAAATTGGAGAGGCTGAACTGGAGCGCCGGAGAGGGTGCTCGTCGGACTGCATTCCTATGCTATTCCAGTGGAACATCCGGTTTACCGGTAAGTGAAGCAGTGCAAAGGGAATCTGAGATCATCCTGACCATTCACTCCAGAAAGGTGTCATGATCTCGCATCGCAATGTGATCGCAAATGTACTCCAAATCGGGGAATTTGAGGCCACTTATCGCGAATCCCTCAAAGCCCCGGGAAGCCAGTCCGACCATACTGAGGTATCGCTGTGTCTGCTCCCCCAAAGCCACATCTATTGCCTGGTAGTCATCTGCCACTCGAGTCCATTCAGAGGCGACCAAGCCGTTGTGTTGCCCAAGTTCGACTTGAACTCGTACTTGGCGTCGATCCAAAATTTCAAGATCTCGGCATTGTTTCTGGTTAGTAACGCCTCACCCCGCATAACAACGCCATTATGACACAGGCTCATCGGATGTTTTCTAGGTCCCTCCGATTATTATTAACATGCTTCGGAACCAAGAAACTTGTTCCAAATACGATCTTAGCTCAATCACCAGCCTCTTTACCGGCGCCGCACCCCTGGGTGTGGAAACAGCGGCAGACTTCCAGAAACTATATCCAAATGTGATCGTTCGGCAAGGATACGGTAAGCATATTTGGGTTATTATACTACCTCATACTGATTATGTCTAGGTCTGACTGAGACGTCAACTGTGGTATGCTCGACTCACCCCAGTGATATATTCCTGGGTTCATCGGGATGTCTCCTTGCTGGTGTTGAAATGCGTCTTGTGACTCCTGAGGGGAAGGAGATCACAAGCTATGATACGCCGGGCGAGCTGGTAGTCCGCAGCCCTAGTGTCGTTCTTGGATACCTAAACAACGAGAAGGCGAACAAGGAGACGTTCGAAGATGGCTGGATGCGAACCGGTGACGAAGCCGTGATTCGCTTGAGCCCAAAGAACACGGAACACGTCTTCATTGTGGACCGTATCAAGGAGCTCATCAAAGTCAAGGTATGTATGCCTTTTGGACCGGCTTGGACTCTGCTAATACTCAGATCAATAGGGATTGCAGGTCGCTCCAGCTGAACTGGAAGCCCACCTCCTCACCCACCCAGCGGTTGCTGATTGTGCCGTCATCGCCATCCCGGATGAAGCAGCTGGAGAAATCCCCAAAGCTATCGTTGTCAAGTCTTCTTCTGCTAGCGGCAGCGACGAGGAAATTATTGAGTCGATCAAGAAGCACGTCTCAGACCACAAAGCCCGGCATAAGTGGCTTAAGGGTGGGGTTCGTTTCATTGATGTTGTTCCCAAGAGCCCCAGTGGCAAGATCTTGCGCCGGCTGCTTCGCGACCAAGAAAAGGAAGCAAGAAGACAGGCCGGCTCAAAGTTGTAGGGGGTCATAGGTGGATTGGAACAATTCACGAGTCATCTGTTCCATCATGATTCACGTTGCGATGTATGCATTGCATATTCATAGATACGATATCAATTATGAGTGTACTATAGAGTTATCGTTGTTACTCGATCGGCGATGCAAGCGGCGGCTGTTTGTCGTGTTTGCACCCGCCGCGGGGAAGAATCGAATTTCTAAGCGGGGGTTTATCGGGAAGATTGATCAGCAAGAAAAAAATAGTCATCCTTCGAACTGCGCCCTCTCTCCTACTTGCGCATCTTTTGCATATTAAAGCAGGCAGTTGGTAACTGACCTAATACTGCCATCTCTTTCTTAACGTCAATTATACCCAACCATTTATTTTCCCGTTCTGCGCAACCCCGCAGCTCTTATAACTCTCCCGCTCAAAATACATCATGTCCTCTCAAGATCCTCCCCGCGCCGATGAGGACGCCTACATTGAAGCCGATGAGGCGGAGGAGATCTTCAACCGCGATGAGGACCACCCTATGGAGTCCGATCCTGAAGACGAAGATCAGCCTATGACGTACGAAGAACAAGAGATCACCCTGGAGAATGACTCTGCCGCCCATTTCGATAGCCATACAGATTCCGTCTTCTGCATTGCTCAGCATCCTATCCACAACTCCATCGTTATCACCGGCTCCGGTGACGACACCGCCTACCTTTTCGATTCGACACCGAATACTGAGCGCCCCCTCCTCCCTCAGAGCTACGAGTCGAATCCGCAACCGAGGCGGGAGCGAGACTCCTTGAAGCCCCTCCTGAAGCTGGATGGCCATTCCGACACCGTGAACGGAGTCGCATTTACAGAGCCTAAGGGTGAATATGTTGTAACGGCAGGAATGGACGGCAAGCTCCGTGCTTGGCGCGATACCACCCCTCAGGGCACCGGGCTCGCATGGCAATACCTCGCCGAGGTCCAGGAAGTTGAGGAGATCAACTGGGTCGCTGTCTGCCCTTCCGCGAAGGGTGACGAGGAAAAGAGCAACGTCATTGCTCTTGGTGCCAACGACGGTAGCGCGTGGGTGTTCCGGATCGACCACAAGGACTCCGCGGAGCCCATCTCCATCATCCAATCGTTCTTCCAGCACACTGGATCTTGCACTGCGGGTGCCTGGACCCCCGACGGAAAACTGCTGGCGACTGTCTCGGAAGACGGCAGCTTCTATGTCTACGATGTCTTTGGCGCCGCTTCTGCTGCCGGCGTTGCCTACTCCGCTGGTACTAGCGCCGTTGTCGGGCTAACAGCAGACGACCAGCGCTTTGCCGTTGAGGGAGGACTGTACTCTGTCGCCATTGCCCCGTCTGGCACCATTGCTGCTGTTGGTGGTGCTGAAGGTCACATCAAGGTGGTTGGTCTTCCCCGTCTAGCAGCCGGCGCTGCTGCTGGTAAGACGAAGAGCAGGGGAGCTCCCTCGCAGACGAGTGCCTCCGCTGCAGGCACCCTCCTCGCCTCTCTTCAGGCCCAGAGCGACGGTGTCGAGACCCTCTCTTTCTCTTCCCCTCCTTTGACCCTCCTTGCGGCTGGCTCCGTGGACGGCTCGATCGCGCTCTTTGACACTGCTCATCGCTTTGCTGTCCGCCGCCATATCAGAGAGGCCCATGAGGGAGCTGTGGTCAAGCTTGAGTTCTTGCAGAACCGTGTGCCCGCCAACCCCTTGCCTCGTCCTAGCCCTCTTGCATCTGCCACTGCTGGCCAAGGCCAACCGTGGTTGCTCACCTCTGTGGGCATGGATGGCATTGTCAAGCGCTGGGATGCACGTGGTGGAACTGCCGCTGCTGCCCATGGTTTGTTGAAGGAATACAAGGGTCACCTTGGTCTTATCGAGAACTCCGAGGGTGAGCAGTCCGGCGGTATCATGGCTTTTGTCCAGAGCTCGGATGGCAAGAGAGTTGTCACTGCCGGAGATGACGGTATTACGCTGGTATTTGAGGAGTAAATGTTTGATGAATAGACCAAAACACCTGTATAGATGCAAATTTCGACACGTTATGCGAATTGATGATAATGTTTCTTCTAAATAACGAACAGTAATGTCGCCCTATTGGCTTCTACTCAATCCCAAAAGATCCGAACCGCAAACATAATGCAATACACCTGGCTCCGTTTGAACAAAGAATGCACTTGATGTGATAAATAACAGTTACTATGTACACCCGACAAACGAAACAACCCAAGCGCCGTCTGTAGAGAGCTGCGGGTCATTCATGATCTATCTCAATCGAAACAAGCCTCCCGGCTCATACACCACACTTGTGACCCTCTATCACGTACGGATGCCTTTACTCGCAGCAATCCGGGGTATCCTTCAACTTTTCCACCGCATGTCGGTTCCAACTACTCCGCACCTGCTACCCTTGTCCCTAATCGTGACTTAGTGGTGGGCATCGCCGTGGTGGTGGTCATCCTTCAGGAAGAAGTGCTCGTAGGTGCAGTAGCCGGCGAAAGCAACGGTAGCAATGCCGAAGCCAGGGAAGATGCGCTTGAAGCGGTTGAAGCGGCTGAAAGGGCCGGTGTATCTCCAAGTCTCACTACGGCAATGGTCAGTGTATGCGCAATTGCAAATCCAGCAGCGGCGAAAGTCGTACTAGCGAGCCCAGGGGTCCTTTTTGGCCCAAGACGACCGGGGGTGGGCGGCCTTCTTGAATTCGCTGATGTCAAATCCGGTGGGGTTGGGAGCCATGGTGAGCGGATTGGCGGTGGATGAGGGGTGAGTCGGGAGTGAGTGGAATGGCGGATAAACAGCGAGAGGATTGACTCCGAGATCCGCAGGGTCCGGACAGACAATGGACGGGTAAGCGGGGAGAAAAGCGCGAAGATGGGGACAGGCGGGAACGAGAGGAAGTTGAAGCTGTACGGGAAACGAGGGAGCGAGCGAGGACTGGGGGCTTGGCGCGCTAGGCCGGATCCAGCAACCGCAGCTGTCCGCCTTCTTCGCGGCGATGTGCCCGTCCGTCCCCCAGCGCCCAGCGCGAAAAGAGCCGACCGAATCCCACTCCCCCCTCCGCTTTCTCATCCTCATCCCAATCTCAGATGCGTGACGGCTGATCAGCTCCTTCGTCTCTGCCTACACCATGCCCCCTCCTGTCGGCAGATACGGGCCCACTGGCCTAAGCGCTTCCTATACCCATCTCCAACAAGCCCATCTGCAACAACAGCAGCAGCAGCAGCAGCAAGCCCAACATCACCCGGCCCATGCTCAGTCGGCCAACACAGCTCTCCCGCCTCCCTCCCTAGGTGGCCACCCCGGTTTTGCTGCCGGCAACCCGAACACTAATATCAACCCGTTTACATTGTCTGGTACCGGCATCGCAAATGGCATGTCCGTCGCAGGGTTCGGTGGTGCCGGGGATGGAGGCGGTACCGGGCTTGCCAGCCATGCCGCCCAGATGGGCTTCGCAAGAGGAGCGCAGATGCAACAACAACAGCAATTACATCAGGCTCACGATGGTCGGTTGGCGCTCGAGACAAAGGCCGGTGCAGTGAAGACGCGGATACGTGACGTATGGAGCCACAACTTGGCTCAAGAGATGGCCATCCTGCGGCAGTTCGTCGAGAAGTACCCGTATATCAGCATGGTAAGATCGAGCTATAGCTGATGGTGATGCTTGGAAGCTAACCTGGGCGGCTTCTTGTGCTGGGGGGAATGAGTAACGCTAACAACGGTCAGGACACCGAGTTTCCCGGCATTGTCGCACGCCCCATGGGAACGTTTACGACTAAAGCAGACTACCACTATCAAACCCTCCGGTGTAACGTCGACCTCCTGAAAATGATCCAGCTTGGTATTACATTGTTCTCCAACGAAGGCGAGGTGCCCCCGCCCAATGCTACCGATGCGAATGGACAGCCTCTCGGAAACAGCCTGGTCCCCGCTCCCTGCACATGGCAGTTCAATTTCCGGTTCTCTTTGGAGGAAGATATGTATGCGCAGGAGTCGACGGCTATGCTTGCCAAGGCGGGTATCGATTTCTCCATGCACGAGAAGAACGGCATCGATCCGTTTGAGTTCGGTGCTCTTCTGATCAGCTCGGGGCTCGTTCTGTTGGAAGACGTCCACTGGGTGTCTTTCCACTCGGGCTATGACTTCGGGTACCTTATGAAGATTATGCTTTGCAAGCCTCTTCCGGAGAATGAGGAGGAATTTCACAAGCTTCTCAAGATATTTTTCCCGTCGCTGTATGACATCAAGTACCTGATGAAACATGCTGGACGCAACCAGGCTGTAAACGACTCTCCGTTAACGCCGGCCGCTGCTCAGATCCTCACTAATCTCGGACAGAAGTCGGGACTTCAAGACATCGCCGATGAGCTCGGTGTCAAACGTGTTGGCATCGCTCATCAAGCAGGATCGGATTCACTCGTGACTGGTGAGATCTATTGGAAGATGCGACAACTTGTCTTCAACGGCAATATCGACGAGTCCAAGTACTCTGGACAGATTTGGGGCTTGAACGGTCAGATGCCGTCTATGCTGTACCACATGCAACCACATCAGACCCCTAACCTCAATGGCGCGACAATCTACTCTGCTACCGGCACGCCGAGCACCCCCAACGCTGGACACATTGGTGGCAGCCAAACACCGCACACGCTAACCCCTGGTGCAACTGGGGGCGTCCTGGGGCAATTTCAGCTTGCCAAGTCATGAGGCTCGTCGGCTTGTCTGACTGTTGGTACTCATCTCTTTCTACATTGGTGTTAGATCAGGTTTGCGGAGTTTGTGATATCGTCCACCTTATTTACAATTTCCCTAACTCTTTCCTCTCTGCTTGTATAGGCCCCTGCTCCCTTGACCTACGGGATCTGGCAACCCAATGCACAGCTTCGGGGGATACCCGGATTCGTGGTCTATTCTCCTCATTGAACCTTAGCCGGCGGTTCTGGTTGCATGTTTTTCTTTTCCTTTTCTCTTGTTACTTTCGGTGGAAAGGGCGAGGAATCTATACGATGTGATGGATGTACATAGCATGTGGCATCGGTTGTGTTTTCTTGGTGCATTGTCCTGTTTCTAATTCTCGGTCCGTTCATGGAGTTCATCGCCTGAAATGCCTTCGTATTACTTTGGAGGTGGGTGTTTGATATGGGAGTATGGTGTTCGTCTCTGGCTGGAATGTGATCTACATCATGCATTATTTCTTTGAGCGTCCGGGGCCTGCCACTCCGATCTTATTTTTTACACGTAGCAGAGCCGGTTGGATTTACTTCATCTATGCGATAGAGGCGTTGGTTAGTATTATCAAACTCCATTTGCTAACCGCCCCACTTCACCGGCCCTGGCTCAATGATCCAGGGTGATTTCCGGGCACTCCTCATCCAGATCGCGTTGTATTACCCCGTCGGCGATAGGCCAGCGGATCATGAATCAATGCACCGAGGTTCTGATCGGAAGGCAACGATGGAGACTTACCCCTCCTGAGCTCTCGATAGGGAACCACATCCGGCGCCTACATCGGCCCTTCCAGGCCAACGCTCGGGTCAAGTGAGCGAGTCCGGGGTGTGCCGGGGCGGGACTACTCGATCCTCCTTAGTCCGGCGACAGAAAGGGGCCCGACAGGGTTTCCATTACCGTTTTGAGGCCCGGCAGAGAAGTCAACCGCCCTAGGCCGCTTTGGGGTAAGGAATCCGGGCGTCTTATCGGGCATATCTTATCGCTCGTGCAGCTGGAGCTGCCAGTATCTGTACAATCATGCGCTCGTGCAGCCATGCTTGCGCTGCTTTATAAGGTGCCTGTCCTCCGTCCCGGACTCATCGTTTCACAGTCTGGGTGGTAGCATCACTTTTCTTCCCTGTCTCTCGAGAACTTCCCGTCCTACCCAACCCGACCAAGTCGCCGGTTCATTTCCCTCACTCGGAAACATATACCTCACACCCGATACCTCCAACACTCCGAGAACCCGAGTCACAAACACCCAGCCTTCATTACACCGCTTCTCTCACAATGGTCCTCGAGCGCCTTCAACAGTTGACCCACCAGGTCAAGGCTACATCGCCGCCTCCTCATCCTTTGGACCCCCTCTCGACGGCGGAAATCGATACCGCCGTCGCTATTATCCGCAAGGAATATGGCAAAGTCAATTTCAATGCGGTTACTCTCTACGAGCCCCGCAAGGCGGAGATGATGGCATGGCTGGAAGATCCTCAAAAGGTTCCCCGTCCGACGCGTGCTGCAGATATCGTTGCCATTGCACCTGGCGGTAAGGTCTATGATGGAGTCGTCGACCTCGATGATAAGAAGATCGTGAGATGGGAGCACACGCCTGGTGTCCAGCCCTTGATTACTATGGAGGACTTGCAGGAGGTCGAGTCAATTGTTCGCAAGGACCCCAAGATCATCGAGCAGTGCGCGATCATCGGCATTCCCAAGGAGGACATGGACAAGGTTTACTGCGATCGTAAGTTGTTCTGCTGCCGCTTGTTTTGACTTCATCGTGCTAATAAATTGCAGCTTGGACAATCGGCTACGATGAGCGTTTCGGTACAGATGTTCGTTTGCAGCAGGCTCTCATGTACTACCGCCCTCATGTCGACGATTCCCAATACACATACCCCTTGGACTTCTGTCCCATCTTCAACGCAGAAACGAAGCAGGTTATCCACATCGACATACCCCCGGTCCGGAGGCCAATCAGCAAGGCCGCCCCCAACAACTACCACCCCGCGTCAATCGAGAAGGAAGGCGGTTACAGGACAGATATTAAGCCTATCCACATCACTCAACCGGAGGGCGTTTCTTTCGTTGTCAACGGACGTTCGATCGACTGGCAGAAGTGGAACATCCACGTTGGTTTCAACTACCGCGAAGGTATCGTCTTGAACAACATCACTTTCAACGACAACGGCAATGTTCGTCCCATCTTCTACCGTCTGTCCCTAGCAGAAATGGTGGTTCCGTACGGAAACCCCGAGCATCCTCACCAGCGCAAGCACGCCTTCGACTTGGGAGAGTACGGTGGTGGCTACATGACCAACAGCCTGTCACTTGGCTGTGACTGCAAGGGTGCTATCCACTACATGGATGCCGCTTTTGTTAACCGCGCAGGTGCCAGTACAATCGTCAAGAATGCCATCTGTATCCACGAAGAAGATGCAGGCATCCTCTTCAAGCACACCGACTTTCGTGATGAGTCTGTGGTTGTGACCCGCGCTCGGAAGCTGATCATCTCCCACATTTTCACTGCCGCCAACTACGAGTACTGTGTCTACTGGATCTTCCACCAGGATGGTACTATCCAACTTGACATCAAGCTGACTGGTATCCTGAACACCTATGCTATGAACCCCGGTGAGGACACCAAGGGCTGGGGTACTGAAGTCTACCCCGGTGTCAACGCACACAACCACCAGCACTTGTTCTGTCTGCGTGTGGACGCCAATGTCGACGGGCCCAACAACACCATTTTCCAAGTCGATGCTACTCGCGGCGCAGGCGAGGTCGGAAGCGCCGAGAATAAATACGGCAATGCATTCTATGCGAAGAAGACCAAGTTCACCACCCCTCTGGAAGCGATGTCCGACTATGACGGCAACACTGGAAGAACCTGGGAGATCGCCAACACCAACAAGCTGCACCCCTACAGCAAGAAGCCTGTGTGCTACAAGCTAGTCAGTCGTGAAATTCCCCCCTTGCTTCCCAAGGAGGGTAGCTTGGTCTGGAAGCGGGCCGGCTTTGCAAGACATGCTGTGCATGTCACCAAATGTGAGTGCTTATCTCCGTGACAGGACCATTTTCTGTACGTGAATCAACTAACTTTATTTCAGACTCGGATGACCAGATTCACCCTGCTGGACGCCACGTACCACAAACCTCTGGTGAGCCATCTCAGGGTCTTCCGGCCTGGATTCAAGAGGCAGGTGCGTATTCCTCCATCGACAACACGGATGTTGTTCTATGGCACACTTTTGGCCTGACGCACTTCCCTGCCCCGGAGGACTACCCCATCATGCCTGCAGAGCCAATGACTCTTCTTCTTCGCCCGAGACACTTTTTCGCCCGGAACCCTGCCTTGGATGTTCCTCCCAGCTTTGCTCGGACGCCATCTCAGGTGGCAGCCGGCGCTGCGTCCTGCTCTTCTTGTAAGAAGAGCGATGGGTCTAGTGTCCTGGTCTAGTTTCTTTTCTCGCGTTACTTAGCTTCTTGGGGTTCTTGGATGATTATCATGATGTCGTTTGTTTGAATACCATGTCTAATAGCTTTTGATACTGAAGTCATTTTCGGAACAGTATATGGAAGGTCTTAGAATGTAGGGCTTTAAGCCTTTGAGTATTGGTTGTCGGTTCTCTTTCGTTCTATCTACCGAGCTAAGACAGCCATACTAGCTGATCTGACATGTGCTGATTTCGGCCATACAACGGATTTCCCTAGGCTTAACGGCACACTTTCATAGTATAGGCACAGACTCCCAACGTGATTATCTCCGACCAGTTACTTTGAACCCCCAGTATTCAACAAGTAGACGTTAATTTCAGTATATTAACGGGCTCGGGCTCCTGATTCACGTTCACTAAATGGATTATCCAGGGACGAGATCTCATGTTAGTAGCGAATATACTACCGTTTAAACACGATCTACACTCCTACTCACATTCCTCTTCCCAGCTACTCAATTTGTCGGTGTATCTCTAGATTGTATTGGTCTTTTCCGCCTCACTCCGGGAATGTCCATTAGACTTTTTCCAGTTTCTAGAATACATCTCTCCGAGGAAATCACCGATCAACGTGAATCCTAAATACATGTTCACGCTTCCTAGGATTCTATGCACGCTCGCCCCCATGAAAGCGGGTCTTGGCCAGCCGCTTCACATTAATCTGCGTTAATAGGGAGGTCAGCTGATCTAGAGTGAGTATTATAAAAGGGTGCCTCTCTTCTTCCTTTGCTCTTCCTTTCTTCTCATCCACTTCCACATCCTCCTTCAGTTGTCTCTCGTGTTACTACTTTCGTGGCTACCACCTTTGTGCTTCATCTTTACGAAGTCGTTTATAGACTTGTCCAACCTTCTAGTAGCTTTCTCTTGTCAAGTCTTAGATCCTATTCCATGTATCTCTCACTTATAGTCTCTGACTGTTGTCATTCTACTCTCACAGCAAGACTGGTCAGTCACTGCTGCTGGACTGGGATTTATGACAACCCCTCTCAAAAACGCAGCTTGCTCGGCATCTGCCACAATCATGTATACAAACGAGGCGACTATTGGAGACTGGACTTTTTGTGAGCGTCCTTTTATACCTTTCTTCCTCCAAGCGAAAGATTCTTACTGGCTTCTTTGCTTCAGTTGGTCGTCAATGTTGATGTGAGCTGTTGCTACTCAACATCCGTCAACTTAAAAATCCCGTCGATCCTTCGACAACCTGAGTATGGTTCAGCGACACCTTCATGGCATTTTGAGGCCCAGAGGCTGCTCCTTCACCACGTTATCCTGGGCCATCCATCTCGCGACGATGTGTCGTGCAATTCGTGCTTCGAGTACCAGGAATTATCTTCTCCTCCAACACGCATGCTAGTCGATACTATGCACGATTAGCTTGTTCCTGCCACTCAGCAATCATCAATGATCGAAATGCACATGAGATGTGCTTGACAAAGGAATCCTCCTTGATACTGTCGACTCTTTCGGGTCAAAGACACCCAGCCCTGTTCAAGAAACGATGCACCGAGCTTGATATCGTTTACCGATAGCCGTCAAGTGCGGATGCTTCGCTTCTGTCGAGCAACTGGGTCTGCTCGGTGTTATGACTTGGACGTACATGAGGTCATCCAGCAAGTCCGTGATGCTATACCCGTCAGAGCTGGTCAAAACGAACAAGGACCAAGATCCCCTCGATCCTTGCGCACTTTATATGCTGGGAAGTACGCCAGTCCGACTTAGCCAGGACTCACTTGTCCATTTTATGTGGTGCACAATGGTCGCATTAGCAACAGCGTTGTCATAAGTCCGTCCAAGAACTTCCTCGTTACCTTGCTTTGAGGTCTTCGACTGTTTGTCGATAATAACCACAGCGAATCCTCTGTTGTACAGTTTTTTCATGATAGGGCATGTTCCTGACCGACATGGGCGGCCCTTTGTCTCCGCCTTTCTTCCTCCAGGGTTTTGTGGACATGTTTCCTTCCAAGTCTTCCCTTCCAAGTCCTACTTGAGGACCGTGATGAAGAGCGACATGTCAATCCTCACTGCATACCTGGGCACGGACACTTTTCAGACATTCTTGAGGCTTTTCCGAACGGACTTCAGAACCTGTTCGCTCGATTGTTCTCGTTTCTGCCTAGAAGACTATATTCTGGCGAACAAATACGCATCCTCCATGCCAAACCTTCTCATGTGGGTGGAAGTTTTGTAACATGGAGGCTTTGTCCTCAAACCGCCAAAAGACATCCAAGGCTTTATATCCAGTGCAGCGTTCTCTTCCGCCTCAAATCTTGTTGGGACGCGCTCGAGTTTTCTCACCACCTCGGGTCGGTTTTCAGCACTTTCTCAAGTCATCATCTCTGTCATGTTGGCTCGTATAAGGCCTTTTATTCTGGCCAGCAGCATGCATCTACTACATCTCAATCATGGGTATCTATCAGCAGATACCTGAATTTGCTGTCGAAAGTTGTTTCGATCAAGATGGGCTCTGGTGCATCTGGTATGTCCCTAAGCCACGGTTCTCATTTCTCCCGCGTATGGAGGTTATGAGGCTTCCTGCCTGCAAGCTGCGGAACAGCGGACGCTCTGGGACCGTTTCGTCGGACGCATAAAGAAGTCATGTCAGAATTTGCATTAATTAGCATGGCCTGATATTCTCGCCTCACAGATGCAAATAACATATAGGGAAACATGGCTCACATCTATTCTCTGCCCAGAGAAGAATGAAGAAGGGAAGAAACAAGGGCAGGATCCCCTGATATAAAGCCTGCTCCATATTTGACCACTCGGTGGATCAAAGATGTCGAGATCGACAAGGCACCAGCCCAGGGTGTTTTTGTGACTGGGCTTGGCGTAGCCAGACTTCAAACAAGGCTCATAATGCCTCCGATACAGCGGGGGTGAATATTCTCAAGTCCTAGAGTGTATTTCGCACATTATCTGCAGAACATTAGTCTTCGCTCTCTACGCTCACCACGATGGCTTTCAACGTTACCGATGCTGAACAGCTGATGTTCAGTAAACCAAACTTGGTTTGATATACATGCTACGACATGCGACTTACAGGATCCTCAAAACTGCAGATAACTCGCAATTCGTCCTTCACATGCTTTGACCTTCTAGATGCATCCGTCTAAACTAAAAGAGGATGACAAGGTCACTCTGGAAATCCCGTCGAGCAAAGCACCAGATACTGCTTTCTGGTGATACCAGGACGCAGAGTTCGACCTCGAGAGACGCTGCGAATGCGCTCCCTCTTGACATCCAAACCCTCATGACCACCAGCTTCGTCGTCAACGGGCGCACTCAAGCTTCGAGTCAAGGCGTCAGTGGTGTCAACCGGCTGATACCCATTTCAAGGAGCTGGTCCTCGTCTGCGGATGACTCGTCGGTGAGTGACCGGAGCAAACTGGAGAATGCCCTCTCAACTTGAGGGATCTCGAACAGGCAACGCCGATCCGCAGTAACATCTTAGAGGCTTTGCATTGGGCTTGACGAATTTGACTGCGTAGATCCTCGCAGTCTTTCAGTCGTCACACACTCTCGGCATGTCAGTGACACCGAGTATGATCTAATAGGGATACACGTCGTCCTGCAAGGCATATATGTCCTCACGTGGCCCTGAGTCCTCTTTTGCCTGCCATACTCAGGGAGGGGTCGTTTCATGGCCTTGAACAACTCCCAAATAGTCACTGGCAGCTGAACCTTTCTGATAAGCGAGGTATCCCCATCAACTACTGGTGGTGCCTTTGCATGGTATCTGCTTTATAGACATTCTGACAGCGGTCCTGTTACCTTGAAGCACACTCGTGTCCTTTCAGATAAATCGACCATGCTCAGCAGTCTAGCAGTCATGCTAGAATACCTTCTGTTTCCTACCACGTGATGTATTACGCGACACGACGCGAGGCAGCTTCGGTGCCTAAACAGTTTCTCCAAAAAACTTCTCTATTTGAGGTCCAATCCAGGGCCAACTATATCAGCTTCATGTGATAGGTCTATAAGCGTGTATTCCTGCACTGCCGAGACATGACTGCTTCGGAAGTACCTACTCTACGAGATTCTTGTGAACCGCTAAGATGGAAACAGTGTCCACATCGAATCAAAGAGCCCGCGACGAACTGAAAATCATGGGCTCTTCCGGTTGTGCGTTTGAAGAGCAGGCGTCATCTATACGAAATCTAGAAACATACCATCGGTCTTTCTACCGCAGGACCCCTATTCCATGGCTTCGATGAGGCTCATTTCGAAGCTGAAAATGAAGCTTCGTTCAAAACTTTCATCAGCGTGACTTAAACGGCACTCAAGAAAAGCCGTATTGATTTAGCCAATTTCAAGCGTCCCTGAGAGTGTGGCCGGTGAAGAGAACACGCATCATATTTGCTCCAATCCATGGGCCCCAGAGGTCCGGCCTTCTGAATTGATACTCCTGACATCCTTCTATCAAAATGAACCTTCCGACCCATGGCTTGTGTGACTAGTGGCAGTCACCGTGCTGGATGGATACTGTCTAGACTTGACCGAATCAACAGCGGTGGTCAAAGTTATATCAGCCGTACACGCAGCATAAGTGATGGCTGTCTGCGAGATTTGCCTACATTGACGGACCCGCACTCGAGGGAAATCCGCCAAACTGTTCTTGATGAAAGGCACTTCTGCATCATTATGCAGTCGAATCAATCTTTCACGGTCCTCGAAGGTCATCCTGACCAAGACAAGAGCCCCGTTCTGAGCTATTCTGGAGGACCCGGTCCTTGACTCTATGTGGCTCATCTGCCAATTGTTTCATCATGGGATTGTGTTGGACTCTTTCAACAATACTGCGTTTTTCTATCTCACAAGATAATCGTGCTGGGGAACAAAATAGCCGTATCTAACAGTGATTTGAAGCTGACGGCGTTTTGATCTCTAGTTACTGTTGGTCATTAATGAGACCAACTTGCTTGTCATGATGCACAAAGCCATGGACACTCCCATCGCATGATTCGACGGGATTGTGCCAATATATCCAGTATCGGCATGTCCGTAGCAGTTCTCTTTTGTTGCGGCAGCTCAGCGGACTCACTGCAAAGACTTCAAGAAGCAATTACGGCTTCTTAATTATCCATGGCGCTCAACATGTGACGTGATTGTATGACGCCCACATGCGGATATCAGATGAGAGAATGCGCGTCTATGATGGCCGCCTAAATGGCCCGGGTACCAGATACTCTTGGGCAAGCTGATTTTATCACATGGACATCCTGGGTATTCCCGTGACCATCGCGAGATGCAGTGTAAATTCGTCCTCGAGGACCTACTCAAATTCAGTGTTGGAATTATCCAGGTCATGCGATCAAAGCGACCACCCATCGAGTTCATCGTCCCCATGTGCCGATCAGGGGCACATGGCAAATACGAAAGGTCCTTGTAAAACCTATAAAGACGACAGTTTATTGTCTCATAGCAGCTCTCTGGATCCGCGATGCCTAGCGCGTTCGGAGTCGGACAAGCAGCTTTCTTCAACCAACACGCTGTCTACGTTCGAATAACGGGGTGTCTTTCCTCACTATGGGAACCATTTTCGGCTCTCGGACAGAAGGACGAAAGAGATGAAATGCGAAGCTGTCTCGAACAGATTGAGAGTAATACTCTCTACGACCTTGCTCTGACTCTGTTATCAACACATCAAATGGCTGCTTTCAAGCCTTGCTATGGTGCATATGAGAGAAACGTGATCGGAAATGATCTGTCACCTCTACGATCTTACACCGGTCTTCTGGCTGAGATCACAAGAACGACCGCTTTTAATCATGCCTTTGCTTTTTAATAGCATGGCCTACGGTGAGGATTCCCAGTATCCACGCCTATTCATGCTCCATCTCATCTACGGGCATAACGGTTCTTTGGTCAACCATCGATCCATGTTGCAAGGAGACAGGTTCACTCTTATTTCCACACCGATACAACAACTCCTACATGATTGTTGCAAAACAGAACTTCAAAGAACGATCTTTCGTGCAAAGCATTGAGTACGTTCAACTCGAAGAATGAAACAGGCGTTGCAACAAACAACATTTAGGAACCTCCACATGCGCGTGGTCTTATTCTACCTACCGCGCCTAAGTGCGTCGACAGGTTTCCTTTGGCATGTTCAAGAGCAGAAAATGCCGCCGAGAGTGAGACACGGCTTCGGGAGATGTGTATGTCGCCGTAGTTGCCATCCTACTCGATTGGTCCGTCTCTTATCATGGCCACAAGGCCTTGTAAGTATGTCGTTCAATGATATACTCAGATAATGACGAGATCACCAATTCACGCATGGCAGCTCGACACTTATTACTCTCGCGTCGACACATTCTTCTGCAGGCTTTCTTCCCAGTCTGGGGGCAGTCGACGTCCTCGAAGCTCCTGCAAAGCTCCGTGGTACTGCAACTCGCACGCCTACTTGCTTGGACTTGCGAGTCTAGTAACCATGTGGTTCAAGGGAGTCTACAGCGCAAGAGGTACAATGCTCGTAATCAGAGAACCAAGTCATAGGAGGCGTGCACCGACGGGTTTTTGTTCTTAATCAAGGATTGAGAATACCAGAGTCATTTTCGAGATGACATCTATGTTGCGAGGTAACTTGCCCACTGTGATGTTACGGGAAACTGCCAATATGGCTGAATCGATCATGAAATTCCCGAGGATGCTCACAAAGATACAATGTCTGCATTTTACCTAATCAGCAATCCTGTCAGTGAGGATGGCCTTATTTTACCACCACAAACATATTGGCTCTTGCCATCGGGCAATACAGTTTACGCCAAACGTCAACACGCACAGGCGCACAGGCGCACGACATCCTCGGAATCACCACTCACACGGGGTTGATCATTTATCCCCCTACGATTAATGCCTGTCGCATCACGGAGCGACTGGTTAAACGACGAATCCATACGCTCCGTGGCTCAGTCCATCTTTTGGGTGGGTTTCTCCGGTGAAGCATAGAATTGATGGACACGTTGCAAGTGCAGTCAGTTTGCATGAACGCAGCGTCATCGGTCCTCACCAGAGCTGGCGCATTCGGCTATTCAAGTTCCTCCTGGTCACCTTTCGAAGACAAGGGTGTCCCAAAATGCGGATTACACCGCCATGCGACAGCAACTTGCCACTCTACGAATGGCTATACAATACATTTGTACCCATATAGATGGTGGTGTGACCACCTCACCTGGTGTTCATCATGGCCCAATTGTCAAACCAGCATAGACATTAAACTTGTTGTACGCGGTATATGTCCCCGAAATCTGGGCTTCTCCCATTTGAAGCATACACTGCTCCAAACAGCTCCATGTTTGCAAGAACTCGATCTGTTCAGTGATCCTGTTCGCGTTTACCATCTTCCATTCTAGTCGACACGCCATGACTCCCTCATGAATATGAGTCAGATGGTGATTACCACTGTCAAAGACAGCGGACATCACGACACAACACGTGTTCTGGTATCCCAAGACCACAATAGGGAATAATCCGGGAGGGATGAAATATCCGCATTTCTCCCTATAATATGTCTGGTTGGTTCAGAGATATACAATCACCACCTTGCCAACCTACAAAGCAAGGAGAAACACGTTGGACCTCGAGACATTATCGAACCGTGTACCACTCGCTCCTAAAGTCCCTGGCTTTATATTTTTCATGCGAAGGGTTTAACCAAGGAGTAACTGAGCTCCTTCTTGCCAACCTACACAGCAAGGGAGACATCTCGAACCGTTTACCAGTCGCCCCTCAAGCTCCTGGTTTCATATATTTCAAGCAATAAGGGCTTAATCAAGGAGTACTTGAGCACTTGATGCTTTTCTCTGCATATCGCGGGTCAGTAATGTGGAATCAACCACTGACAAGGTGATCTGGCTTAGGGTCATGTTCTTTTGGCCGTGGTTGGGTACCAGGTATCTGTCTTGGGATTCATACAAGTGGTCGAAGGGAACCCAGTTTGAGAGCATGGCTCGGTGGTCATGTATCCACATCCACATCTCATTGTGGCGTATGGCATCTGATCAGACACACTATGGATATACATCTATTTGGCTAGTTACAAACTGGCGCGTTCAGTATTTCTGAACCTTTTGAGAGGGTGCAGAAAAGTCTGACCGGTGAAGCCTTTCCACAGCAGTGCCTGAGGCTAGGATGCGAACCTAGAGGTAACGCATGTGAATATTCTACTGTATAGTAACTGTTGGGACACAGAGTCTTCGTTCCGTCTGTTCTCCAGATGACCAGCGGATTTCCGTTTTGGCCTACTGGTATGAACTTAACAGTAACTCTTACAAACTTGTTCGGGTCTCTGTTGTTCAGGGCTCATCTGTGCCAAGACTAAGGGGTGTTGGGGGGTCTGCTTTGGCAGTGGATTGAGGAGGATAGGAGTAATGTGAACACTGGTAGTGATGTTTCAAGGCTACTCTACACTCTGTGGATGGGTCTGGGCTGGCGGGTCTTACTTCATTCCACTCATCGCCTCTGCTTGATAACAACCATACAATATTGAAGGTAGCAGCTGCTTTTTCGATAATGTCTTCAACTATGCGCTCTATAAAAGGGATCTTCGTCCTACTCATGAAAACTAACTATCGGGACATATTCTACCTTCTACATAGTAACCACCAGGGGTACATATCTCTTTTAGTTCATGACCCACCACCTCCCTCCTCTACACGTATATAGTAATCGAACTTGAACTAACAACCACAGAATCTCAACCCCTGCGTTCCTCTAACTAGTCGTACCACTAGTAGACAAATCATCTAACCTTTTCCTTCCACCAGATAAATATATACATAGTAGTACATACTCTGTAACAAGGATTTGATACGCCTACACCTACATCAACGAACCTATGACGTAACCCACCCGCCACCTACCTACCCACATCCCCACCAAGTCCACACCAAAAACCTAAATAATTATTAATATCAACCAAAACAAACTCCAATCAACCAAGCTAATCCGATGTGGTGTAATGGCTAACATCGCTGTCTCTCACACAGCAGCTCGGGGTTCGATTCCCCGCATCGGAGGATTATTTTTCTTTTTTGCCAGCCTCAGATCAGAGGGTTTCTTTGGTTGGGTGTGGACTATTTTACTTATTTATTGGTGAATAATTATTGGCTGGTTATTTGTTGATGTCATCTGTTTCATGTACGGCTTCTTTTTCTGGCGTCAGCCTTGTTATTGTAAGGCAAGGCTAGGCTAGGCTGTTTTGGGGTGGGATTTGCTGTTGTCACTTGTCACTCATTAGCTATTTAAGGTTACATGGTTTTGGTACCGAGTATAGATTTGAGATCTACATTGACATATGCAGTGTCAAAACAATCAAGCATGATATTCATATTCATACAACCATAACGCCATTAGGAAATCCATCCATCCATTTAATCAATCCTAACCCGATCAACACAATCCAATCCGATCCGCCTATCGAACCCCATCTCGACATCCCCAGCACACCACCCCAACCAAGCCATCAACCATCTAATGCTTAGCAACACTCCTCTTCAACCCCTCCTCCACCTCCCCCAACAACCCCAAAAGTTCCTTTCCCCCTCCCCACCCCTCCCCTCAACCTCCAACCCCTTCTCCACCAACCCCTTAGCCTCCTCCCACCTCCCCATCTCCACCAAACACCGTCCCCCCCTCCACCAAGCCTTCACATTCCCCACAGGCTTACTCTCAACACTACACCTCGCATCAACCAACCCCTCAGGCCACTTCCTCTGACTCATCCACGCCTGCGCGCGATTGGAATACAACCCCGCCAACTCCTCCCTCGCGAGCGTCACCGGCTCCCACCCCGGCCTCCCAATCGCCATATCAATAGCGTACGTGTACAGACGGGCGGCATCCGCGTGGTTGGATTTGCGGAATGCCGCGTTGGCGCTGTCGCGGAGCTTGGTGACTTGGGCGCTGCGCTTGGGGTTGATGGGGAGTGGGGCGGGGGATGTTAGGCGGGTCGAGAGAGATGAGGGCGCGGTGGAGGGCGTTCAGGTGGGTTAGTTCGGTGGTGATGGTTGAGGGACTGCTGGGGAGGGGGTGGTTGTGGGTGCGAGGGTGATGGATTTGGTGGTTGGGTCGAGGTGGAGTGGGTATTGTGTGTAGAGGTCGAGGGAGGTCATTTTGACTGTTTCTATGGGTGTGTAGGTGGTTGTGGTGTGGTGTCTTTGTTACAAGCTGGACTGCTGGTAGGTAGGTAGTGTAGCAGTGTTGTGGATGGTCTGTGCGGCGGTGTTAGTGGTTTCGTGTATAGTGTGGTGGGAAGTAACTCACCCTTGATAATTATGGTGGAATCTGGGGAAGCACGCGGACGACCTGTGGATTGATTGATACAGGCGTAGAGATGAAGAATTAGGAAGAAAGAAGAAGCAAGGTGGACGTAAGCTGTCCTCCGATAAGTCCAGGCGGTGGCAGAATTGCCGGCACAATGCATGTAGCGGTCAGCCGCATTGCTACGGAGTATTCCAGTCGGAGGATGGCAAAAATCAATACATTTACAATAATGCTATCTATATCAATCCAATACAGTTTCATCCAGATCATCAATAACCATGCAGACATAAGACCGTGTGGATGTGCAAGGATTCTTCCATCCATGCACAGCAAAAGTCGTCACCAGAAGAGAAAGGTGCAGCCAGAACTCACGCACGCAAGCAAAATACAACACAGCAAGAAATGCGCCAGCAAACACCACTCCATGGTCGTTTCGCAGAGACAAACGCAAACCACCAGCTAATCACGCTCAGCGCCCATAGCCGCTCACATTGGTTCCGAATTCCGACGGCGTTCCATAATGTTGTCCGTGTGCACCACCGTAGCTGGTGCTGTAGTCGTGGAGGACACTTCCCCCGGAAACAGTCGGATCGTATGTGCCCGACAGCGCAGAGCGCGCTTGCGAATTTCCAAATTCATCCACCTCGCTCTGCTGCAACAGAGCGTAGTCCTCGTCTCTGTCGCCACGCACAGAAGAGCCGATTCCGGCGCGGGAGCGGAAGTCGTCTTCTTCCTCCTCAAAGTCATGTGCGGGGTTGAAGGCGGCCTTTGACTGCGCAGCAAAGGTAGGATCGGAGACGGCGTCGGGCAAGGTGCCGGTTCGGCGGAAATGCGCGACATTGCGAAAGGACATGAAGGCGGTTACAATAAAGAGCAAGCTGTGACATCTTATTAGCACATGCCGGGAGACTGAAGAGACCACATACAAAATGACAACACCCATGATCACAGTGGCTGTGCTGAGCTTGCATTTACCCGCGCTTCCGTAGGCCCAGTTATCGCATCCACTCTTGGTGCTGGTGCTTGTGCTGGTGCTGGCAGTGGTGGTAGTGGTGGTGGCATCCCTCTTGGTCGAGGTACTGCTCGAGCTGGAGTCTGACTTGCCCTTGCTCTTTCCTTCTGCTACATAACTGGCCACGCAAACCCACGCAGTGAACCACAAGATAGCATACAGACAGTCGACGGTCGCAAAGGCATATACGTTTCCGAAGCGGCGTGCGCGCGGCCACATGGGCACTGCCACGAGGTAGATCAGACCGGGGATACTGAACCAGCACTAATACAGAATGTCAGTATACGATCAAGCGACTTGGGGTATGGACTCGCTGATCGCACGTACCAAAGCCCAGTACCAGGCCTCACGCCCATCAATACCATGGCCTTTTGTGAACACGGCGATGGTCAGAACCCATGCCAGGAAAATTATAAAGGCCTGAAAGCCATGGATAATGTTTTTTGTCCGCCCGGGATTGAATGAAGGCCGAGAAAGTCTCATATTGTTGGAGGGGAAGACGAGGGGAGCGGTGCCTGACGACAAAGGGCGCTTCCCACACGGAAGCGAAACGGGGTACTGCGACCTGACACTCAGTCGTTGAGTCGAGACTGGAGATTGTTGTTAGATGTTTGTGAATCAGTACAGCGCGATCGTAGAAATCGTGGACGGCGTGAAATGAAGGTGGAATGGATTGTTTATGCCGATAGCGATCGAAAAACCCACGACCAGGCGAACGGGGCAACCCGATCAATGCCGCGCGGACGCTAAAGTGGGCGGTTTCAAATGGCAGGCGGACGGAACCCGGCCAGCGCAACGGTATCAGACAGCGAGACTGAATCAAGTCACTTGAATGAGACAATTCAGAGAGGTGAGATGAGAAATAAAGGGGCAAAGAAGACAGTTTGAACCCGAACAAGAAGATTGTGGCTTAGGACATTGGCATCCGCAGCATCTTCAGCTTCAGCCTTTGGTACGGTACCGTAACTGAAGCGATCTTACCGCTTGACTAAATATAGCCTAGGCTTAGCTGGTCGACGGAAATAGCAGCAACTAACTGATATGCGCAGATGCACATGGATGCAGTGGATTTATATTCAATGATTCTCGGTTTAGACGGCATATTGTCTATTGGTACGGCTGATAATATAAGTCCTCATGAACCCTCCAGAATCGGTTGCTTACATTCCCATCGGCCCCTGTTACCGAGGCCCTCCATATAAAGTTTTCCACGGCCAATCGGAATCTTGGTGGGGATTCCTCGAGGCTGACGAAGCAACCAGTTCATCATCAAGGTCATGGGAGCATTCTAGGCAGCTGGATAGATGACGAGATGAGTATCAAATCACGGTCCAAGAAGGTTGCTCTACTGGTGTTGTCTTTATGGAACCTTATCATATCTAGCGAGGATTGGTTCTAATGCCACTATTCAGATACAAGCCCCGGTATATACTAAATGCGCAATTCATCATCAAGATTAATTTAGGTGGAGGACAGAAACTGAACATTGTCAGGATGTTTGCACCTGTGTTCTCTATAATTTATTCTAGTATAATGACGTGTCTTCCTCCAGGTGCACCGCTCCCGAAGCTCTTCTACCCAACAGCGTCATCGGGTTCTAATAGCTACAGACAGTCTACTCACTATCCTAGTAAGTAACTCTAGCCTTTATCAATGAATGCCGGAGCTGCATGAAGGCAGACTAAATGCAGCAGTTTAATGGAAGACTGTTTTGATGCAGCGAGAGTAAAGCTCGCCAGGGCGCCTACTAGGCGCATCAATCAACTCTGCGCTCATACAAAATATTAACGGTCAGTTCTTGCAGTCAATCCGTGACGTGCCATTATCAACATGACTTGGTGAAGTCAAGCTTAATTGATAAGAAGGCGGCCTTCCAGTTAATTATCGACATCCACTTCCTTTGCTAATTACTGGCCAAAAGAGCAGGCAAGATCGTCCCTATAGGATTAAACAGCCGTATCTGTAGTAATTAACATCCTAAATTCGCAGCCTACCGAATAGACGAGCTTTTCCATGACATCCTGCAAGCCACTGAAACTTTATTGAGAGTCAGCCCGGAAAACAGCTAATATGATAGATGTTCTTGGTTCATGGTATGAACCCGCATTGATGCTTCTTAGAACAAATTCTACAGCGGGCACGATGACACCAAGTATGGTTTAGGCTGCAAGCATATGGCTCTGGCAGATGATGCCATGGTGTATCAATTCATTAACATCCGCTTGGATTCTAGATGGACAAGCTCAAGGCTGCCCAGCACCGGCCCTGGATAAAGAGCACTACACTACCGGCAATGAGGCATGCATAGCAGCCGAACTGACTCAGGATGCAACGGAGTTTCATGGCGGCGGCTATCTCCGAGTGACTTCCATGTCATTAGCTCCGGGGGTAAGTGTGGATCACATCCACGGTCTTGGTCATTTGGATAGAGAGATTATCCAAGATAGGCTTGTTCCCATCATGGGTTGAGTGGTCAGATAGTATGTCAAGGCATGCTGATGCTCATCAGAATAAATAGGCATCTTCGTCTTAAAGGTTGGACGGTCCATTATCCTGAAACGGACCAGGTTATTTACGATATGGGATCAAGGAAGATGTATGTTTCACAAATATCGATATGCTATATACTTCCAAACAGCATTTGCCTATACTAATGTGTATGAAGCTGTCTTATTGGTCTGTCGGGACTCATTAAGGCGAGAACTATACCGGCTCGAAGCCAGCCGATTACGCGAACCTCGCCTGATATCCGTCCTTTTGGGTTGATATGGGGATGGGGCGATTGAATGTCGTACGGCTTTGGATTTTGTTGCGAACCAGTAGTTGAAATAGTATCTCCTCAGGACCAGGTGTCCTGACATCCTGGGTCGTTTGTCTCCTCTTCTTGTAATGTCTGTTCCAGCATTCTTTTAATCTTCAATCCTTGGGTTATCACTCCAAACCTAGCTAGTGTTAGAGTAATGGCGATAGGAATCTACATTTAGAATGATCGTAAGCAAGTAAAATACGGCAGGATGACAGGCCGTCATGGCATGTAACAGCCTAGCGGGCTGTGCTAGCGGTTTCATGACAGCGCTAAGACGCTGTTCTCATGGAAACCGAGGCATGCACCGCCGAGTCTGGCCAGCTCCACCTGCCGATCTTACAGCCGATTACTTTGCCTTCCGATCTATTCTCCTAAAGACAAGTGACAAAATCATTCATTAACATGCCATTAAACCCCCCGCAATAATCAAATCCCAGGCGCCACCTGATGCTCCTTTACCTAATCGTAACATCGTGTCCTGTGGTTCCCATGCCTCCACGCTGACGCTGACTACAACAAAGGAAACAAATGAATGGAAAGCATCATGCTATCTTCGGCTTCACAATCATCTCCAGCTCCTTCAACGGCTGGTAGATATGAGCGTGCCACCACCATGGCATCGGGTCGAGCTTGGAGAACTTCTGGTTCTTCCAGAAGAACAACAGCTTGCTCCCCTCCTGCAGAGCACGATCGACTCCTTTAAACACCGGAACCATCCTCTTCACGTTGCACTTCTTCACAGCCCGAGACAGACTGAACCCCTTGCGTGGAGGGGTTGATATGTCGGCCTTGACGGACACCTCCCCCATCACATTCACCTCTGCCACGCCATTTGTCTGCGGCGTCAACACCCCAAGATACCCAGCCACCAACGACCCCGGCGCCTCCTCCAGCAGGAGATACCTGACAGCCGATGCACCATGCACACAGCTATCAATATGAATCACATAACGCAGGTAGCTTGCAGCCATTTCTTCATCGACCATCAACTTTAATCGCATATGGCCCGTCAACCTCGGCCCAACCTGCGACGCAAATCGATCCAACAGCGCCTGAATCGCCGTGGCCAGCCCCCGATCCATGGGGGACTGTCCCCAGCCCCCTTGCTCATCGGCCGGATAGATCTTCGAGGCCTTGACATGCCCAGTCACCACAACCATCTCGGCAAAGAAACTCCCCAGCCTCGTCTGCTGCTGCAGCGTCCAGGGCCTCTCCCTCGAGATCCGAATCTCACTGACCTCCGAATAAGTCAAGCTGAGCGTCCTCTTTGGCAGCATCACCTCCCTATCATCCAACCTCCGCATCTTCCACACTTTCGTCGGCGACCGATGCAAGATCTTATGCACCGCATCCCTCGACACCACCTCGTGTCTCTCCACAACCGGCAACCCCTTCTCAACCAAAAACCTCATAAACGCCTCCCGATCCGCAATCAAGTCCACCATCCCCCGATCCAACGTCACGCACTTGCACTCCGTCCGCGCCTCGACCACCCCCTTCGCAGCCGCATCCTCCTCTGTCTCATCCTCACAACACGGAACCCAAACATCCACCTTCTCCTTCACCACCACATCCACCACCTGCCCCACAAACCCTTTCCTCGAAAGTCGATAATATCCCGCCAACACCCTCGACATACTAGCCCCGCACGGCACCCCCGTCATCCCCTCCCCCACTTCCGCCCCAATCACCCGGTGGCCCTCGTAGAACCACCCCCGCGCGACAGCAAGTCCATACGGCGTATCAATCCCCGTAACCAGGACCGTCTTCGGCTGGAAGTGACTATCCCGGAGAGCGGCTTGACGTCGGCGCGTCCCAGTCTTGCTATCAGATAGGAGGCCAATGGGGAGACATCGTGCCGCGTAAGCGCCGAGGAGAATGGTATTATCGAGGGGTAGGAGAGCGAGGGAAATGGCGACTCGGAACAGATGAACGAGGACTTGGAGTTGGAGTATGGAACGGGTGATTTGTAAACTGCGGGTTTTTGTCGCTGACGCTGAGCTAATGGCTCGTCGGAGACGGAGAGTATGGACGGCCATTATTTCCCCTCTTATCTCCTTCTGTTGTTCTGCTTAGCAAGTTTGTATGGTGTGGTATAGTATACCCGTAGACAGACCGTAAAGACAAATTAAATCAATTAAATATAGATACTACACAAAAAAGAAGAAAAGAAGAAAGAAAGAAAGAAAGACAAACAGCCAGAATCGCCGGAAATTTCATTCATCATATTATAGTATTAAGCATTCATGTGGAATGCAGCGCAGCACTGACCACGTCAGCCCGCATATGTGATGAGGGGGTGGGTGCTGTGCTGTGCTGTGTGTTGGGTGATGAGGTGGCTGGGCTGAAGGCCGCCTTGTCCTTGCCTGCCCGGTGCTGGGTTTTGCACCCGGAGTTGTTTCAGGCCAACAAAAGCAATTATTCCTTACTCTAGTAGTATCTAGTCTTGGACATGCACATGGAAATGGGGCTTGGGATTGGGTTGGGCTGGGTTGGGTTGGTGGTTAATGTTACATTCCGGTTTCATGCGTGTTGTTTGCGGTATACCTTACCTACCTACTTTCTTATCTATTCAATTCTAAGTATTAAGTCCTAGGTAGGTAGGTAGGTATGTATGTATATCGGGACCAAGAATGAATGAATAACCAAGATAAGGAAAAGGATAACACAGCACATGCCGTGCTGTACCTACCTACCTACCTACCTAACCACCCATCCCATTCACCCACTTACTTACTTTTTGCTGACTGCTGCGTTGCGCTGCGCTGTGCTACGTTGGCGTTTCATCTACCAGATAAGAAGAAATCATTGATTGGTCCAAGGCACGGAGTAGCTTAATTCAATTTACCTACCTAGATTATTTTTTATTTTGATTTGGGGACGCAAACGTGCATATGCAGGTGGGATTGAATTAGTACATATCTATCTATCTATCGTACTTGCTATCTATGTGGGCGGGAAAAGGAATAAGGAAGATCCGGTGAGATGATTTGCGTGTTGACTGCAGGGTACTTACTAGTTGATGTTTATGTATTATGTACTCTGTAGGATGGATTTGCTTGTTTGGTAGTGTGTATGCATCGGAGGGAAATGGATGAGGGAAGAGAAGGATGGGGAGGGAGGGGCTGAAGCGGACGGAGCGGAGGGATTTCCGAGGCTCGGATTTTGATGGCTGATGCATGTGTGCATGTGTGCATGTGGAGGGGATGATTTCGTGTCGTGCATATGGGGATGGGTTGATTTATTTTGTTTGTTATTCTTATTGTTATTAGTATGGAGTGTAGTACTCGGTATGATTGTGAGAGTAAGGTATGGATATCCCTAAAGAGATACGAGTGGGATATGGTCAGAGTAGACAGGGTTGGGGTGATCTAGGCTGATGAGAGGTTTGCGCATGACCTCCTCAATAGGGCTGGCATGATAATATTGTTTCACTACATTCGTATGGGTCGTATGGACAGCCTTGATCGGATTAAAACACCCTAGCCGGCCTATTCACCCTATTCACAATGGCAAATGCATCTGTAACATGCCCCGCACATCAACCTCTGGAACCTGACTCACGAGCATACTATCCAGCCAGATAAGCCATAAGCCAGATGAGGGGAGAAAGTTTATCAGATCAAGACAAAGAAACGGGTCAACACGGGACCCATCCTGACCAATCTGGTAACCATCTCCGACTGCCCGGAGCTTGTCAATGCCGTGAACCACAGCGCCACTAAGGCTTGATGCCATTCCATTTGCTTCTCGTTCCAAGGTATCACAATGCGACCGCCATGATGTGGACCACAAGGATATGGCGACATCTTCGGCGTTATCAGCCACGGTCGTCCACCTTTACGCCGACTCAACTGGCCCGCGCGTCTTCCACCACTGTTAAATACCTGCGGCCCCTCGAACGTGGCCTCAAAGCCCACACTTCCTTTGCTGCGCCTGCACGTTATCAGTATCCTTCCTCTTTTACATACCGTCTATTGTCGACCATGGGTGACAGCGCTACTCCTCACCAACCTCCGGTAGAACGCTCAGTAAGCCTGCCTTGTATCCTCGATAGTGTATTCACTGGCCTGACAGCTTCGATAGCGCGAGGAGGGTCGAGAGCTGAAGCTGCTTCACTTCATCTATAACCAGCCTAACCGCGATGAGATCCAAGGTAACCCCGAGAAAGTCCTGGACCTGATTGAGGAGTTCGGCAAAACATACCACTTCATGAACATCGGTCGGGCCAAGGGCAAGTTCATCATCGACATCATCAATGAGAAGAAGCCTGAGACAATGATCGAGCTCGGCGGTTATGTTGGCTATTCGGCCATTCTCTTTGGGGATGCCGTGCGCCGCGCCGGCGGAAAGCGCTACTATAGTCTGGAGCTGAACCCCGAGTTCGCGGCCATCGCCAACATGTTGCTGGAGCTGGCGGGCTTGCGCGACTTTGTCAAGATCCTTGTTGGCCGGAGTGACGTGTCCCTCGACAAGCTCTTTGCCAGTGGCGATGTCAAGCAGGTTGAAGTGATGCTCATTGACCACTATAAGCCCGCGTACACCACCGATCTGAAGCTCTGCGAGGAGCTCGGCAAGATCGTCCCCGATGTCTCAGTCGTGGTAGCGGACAATGTGCTCTACCCGGGCAACCCGCCGTATTTGGAGTATGTCCGCAGCACGGTGGAGCAGAAGCGCGAAGCTGCCAAAGCCGGGCCGGTTCGGTCCTATGATACGACCAGCCTGCCTCAGAGGTCCGTCAAGTCCTTCATGCCTCTCGATGCGACACCCGTGTTTGACATCATCGGGAACCCGAGTCTGGTGTATGAGAGCAAGCTCGTCAAGCCCGAGACCACGCGAGTAAGTTGGCTGTTCTAGAGATGAAAGTAAGCATTTTCTCACGTGATATCTCTTTAGGATGCGATCGAGGTGACCCGATGTGTCGGAATCTGGGAGTAGATGGTAGAAAATGAGGGGTTGTGGTTTATGGCTACGAGGATGACACCATCGGCGAGAGCGCAGAATGAATTCCGAGAGTGACGCATCGGCTTTTGCCGCCTGCCGCTGCCCCGCCGAACCCAAAGTGGAAGGTTTCCGACATGCCGTCGCGGCATCGCCAGGACCTTCCCCCACACTCTCTGGGGGGAGGCAGAGAGGGGCTTGCGTTGTTTGTAAGCAGCTAGATCAATGATATCCAGTCCGTATATAAAGCCGAATGTTCGCTCCCTTTCCATTGCCCCTCCATCCACACCAATTCTCCCCCCATTGCAACCCTTCCCCTCACTATGGCCTCGAAGACCTGGAACGTCGGTATTGTGGGATACGGCCTCAGTGCCAAGACCTTCCACATCCCCTTCATTCAGGAAGTTTCTCAGTTCAAGATCTACGCCGTCGTGCAGCGAACCCCCAAGCCCGACGATGATGCCGAAAAGGACCACCCCGGGATCAAGTCCTACCGGAGCGCCGAGGAAATGATCAAGGATGAGGGTGTGGACGTTGTCGTCATCACCACCGCCCCCGATTCGCACTATGACTTGGTCAAGTTGGCTCTGGAGAATGGAAAGCACGGTAAGCCCCAGCCACAGATGTCACTCCCTCACAGGTCACGCCCTTTCATGGTTATTGACTCGGTTTCCAAACAGTCGTCTGCGAGAAGCCCTTCACCCCCACCTCCCAAGAAGCCGACGAGCTCGTTGCCCTCGCCAGCAAGCAGAACAAGCTCCTGGCTGTATACCAAAGTACGTGATTCCATATACGCAGTCAGGTTCCGAGGAAGGCTGGAATTGACAATGGTATCCAATAGATCGCCGCTGGGATGCCGATTTCGTGACTTTGTCGAAGCTGGTGAAGAATGGCTCCCTTGGCCGTGTGGTGGAATTCGAGTCTCACATCGACCGCCATCGCCCCGAAGAGCCTGCGGCAGATGCTTCGAAGTGGAAGAACAAGGTCATCCCTGGCGGCAGTTCCATTTACGACCTGGGATCCCACCTCTTGGACCAGGCCGTCTACCTGCTCGGCAAGCCGGAGCGCGTGACTGCGTTCATCGGCTCCCAGAGAGAAGTGAACACTTCCGGATTCGAGGACTCTTTCACCGTTCTGCTCCACTACCCCAAGGGTGTTCTTGCCACGGTCAAGGCTGGCGTCGTGAGCCCGGATAGCGAACAACTGCGTTTCTGGGTTCGGGGAGACAAGGGCAGCTTCAAGAAGGTGAGGCAATTCAATCCCTACGTGTCGGGCAACAGTGCACTAATGTATATATGCTCGAACAGTACCACTTCGATATCCAGGAAGAGCAACTCAGGGCTGGGGCGAAGCCAGGCGACAGCGGATTTGGCAGAGAGCCCTCAGAGAGATATGGTAGGTCAAGGATTTTTTTGCCCAGGTAGCGAGATATGCTGACAGTTCTGCCTAGGTACACTCACCACCGTTCAGGACGGCAAGTTTGTTAAGGAAGTTGCACCCACGGTGGAGCCACCTACCTGGACAGAGTACTACAGGAAGCTGGCGCGGGCCCTTGCTGGAGAGGGTGATCTCCCTGCCAGCGGAGCCGAAGCCCGTGAGATTATCCGGCTGATCGAGTTGACTCAGGAGAGTTCCAAGCTGGGCAAGACCGTGGATGTATAAAGTATGCCCAAATGAAAGTAACGCTACCCATAATATGATGATTGAACGATGCTAGAAATGTACGCGCCGTGTAGATTGGATGTCTCTGGGTGACATGATACAGCAGAAATGTTTTAACAATGCTAATTATTAGCGTGCTCCACCTCCTGTGGGCGAAAATTTGGACCGTCGTACTCCGTAGGTGGCTTCTGTGCAGCCAGCACGGTAACACACCGTACCTGGCTTCCACTGATCCGGGCGAGTCTGACGAGGGCCCAAGAAGGTTCGCGCCTTTTTTTGGAGACCCCAGATTGATCGACAATTGCTCAGGCTCGGCATGGATGAGGTTCGCCCTGATTACACGGTACCAATACGGAAACGAGTCAGAAAACGCCCAAGGAATTCCCCAAGGTCGGGTAACGGTCGGCGTAATGTTACGGCCCAGTGACCTCATCGCAGCTCGCCCCGACGCTAGACCCCAAACGGGGTTTCCATTACCCAACTCGAATATGCTGAGTGGCAGGCAAGTGACTTCCACCCGACGACGAAAGGGTTTCTGGGGGAAGTCGGTTCCAGTGCATCAATGGCTTCCAGCTCATCGTTGCATTCTTGCTGCGTTCCTCCTCTCCTCCGCGGAGATCCTGTCCGTCGTGATGTTGGAGAAGTCTTTCCGGTGCCGGTTCTTCCATGACTCCTCAGCAGCCCTCGACAATGGCCCCATGGCCCATGCTAGTATTTTAATCTCCAGCAACCCCATAATGGCCCTGTCCGCTTGCGCATCGTCTGTTTCAACCTGCCAATGAGATTGCTCCATTATATTTAGTTTCCCTTTCCTCCTGTCACCCAGTGACCCAACGTAGTCCAGGCAAGTTTTCATTCTCACCCCCCTGATATGGACCCGTCAGGTCTCCTCTTAATCAAACTGATGCCTGCCGGGTGGTCTGTTTCAATTCAGGGCCACAGGCTAAAATTTGCTTCTGTCATTTCCCCTCAAACATGTGTGCTCAACTGCCCGTTTATTCGCGGTTGTATTGATCTCCCATGACATTTCCGGGGCTCCCTTCGTTGACGTTTGACGGCTGTGTCTGACTATCGAAATCTCCAGGCTTGCGGGTTGTATTGTGAGCCTTAGAACTGCCCGGGCTGGTTACCGGCAGTACTGAAGTCATGAGTACTCAACATTCTCAGTCGACGTCCATGCTTAAGCGCATCGACTTTTCTCGCCTACATGTGGACATCGATGCCCATCTCAACCCATATCTTCCGCCTCCACCGTGGCGTCGGCTGCCCCGGCCAATCTCCCGCTTTTTCGGATACAGAGAGACTATACCCCCGAAACCCCTGGGAAACCTTGTGGTTGCCTTCTGGGCCTTGATCGGTGTCTTCTGCGGTGTGCTTATCGTGGCGGAGGTGTCTGAGCATGTCCCGTCCTTCCAAGCCCACCATGCCCCGATCATTGTGGCCAGTTTTGTACGTACTCAGCTGGACAACCGGACCCAAGTCTTGCTCAAGGTGACTAACATGCTCATAGGGTGCTGCTGCTGTCTTGGAATTCTCTGCCATCGAATCACCCTTTGCCCAGCCACGGAATGCCGTTCTGAGTCAGGTTATTGCTAGTTTCGTTGGCGTCGCGATCGGCAAACTATTCGCGCTCAACGAAAATGCTCACTCCATGCCGCAAGTCGGAGGGGCTCTCGCGTGTGCTATCACCACTGCTATCATGACATTAACAAATACAATCCACCCTCCTGCTGGTGCGACGGCCCTGCTTGCTGTCACACAGTCATATGATGTGGGCTGGTACTTGATCCTCATCATGCTGCTGGGATGTGTGCTCATGCAAGCGGTGGCTTTGCTCATCAACAATATCCAACGCCGCTTTCCTATCTATTGGTGGACGCCGCAGTCTTTGGAGCGGCCCAAGCCCGAGGACCCGGAAAGCGCCAGGCAAGCGAAAGAAGGAAGCGCCGCTTCCATTTCAACTAACGACACAATTCCTGGCGCTCCGATGCAGATACTCATCGAACATGGTAGCGTCATGCTGCCAGATAATTTCACAGTGACGGAACAGGAGATGCTTGTCTTGAGGAGGATTAGCGAACGAATATAGCTATCCAATAAGAAGATGATACACAGAATCGGCCTAGTTGTACCTGGACAAAGTTCTGTTTATGAGCAATTAGCGGTATGTACAGTAGTGCGTCGTAGGTAGGTCTGGAGTTGTAGAAGAGGTAAGAAGCAGGCTGGTCGTTGCAATCATGCGCAACAGATTCCCAGCCAATCAACCACCAAGCTAACCGGGAAGGGAAGTTTTATAGTGGCACCGTTGGCTGAGCGACGTCTTATTTTTTTAGAAAAGTACTCAGTCCTCCGTACTCTGTGTACTGAGAACGACTTCCTTGCCAATGGTGCTCATAAAGAAAGCACGCTTCTAATCTTCTATGTAATATCTCCGAGTTAGTGTTGGTGGAGTCCCGTTCGTCATCTTTGCTCGGTTTGCTCATTGCTGACCATTAGCCGGCCCTGCCTTGGGCGTAAGGCTCTGATTCACGTGATAATGAATGCCCAATGCGGCAAGCGTGCGCCACGTCCCGTGCTGTGACGTCGTGGAACCAATCACAGCGGGCCTCAGCCGCCCACTGAAGGAATTTTCGAGGCCAGAAACACCCTCCATCCTCCATCTCTGTTCTTGCCTTCCTCTTTGTTGCCTTGCACATTCTTATCGAACTCGCTCGGATCCTGAGTTGAGGACCTTTTGGTCTCGTATATATCGAACCACTTTATTTCTTCCCTTTTTTCTCTTTTCTTAATATCCAACAGAACCCCCCGATCTGAATCCCGACGGCCTATCGATAAGGGCTATCCAAGGAACCTCCCCCACTCAGAAGACTTTCGGTCGCCCCCCTCCCACCCCGCTATTACTGGTCCACCTTCGCTCGAGTTCTTTTTTTCCCTTTTCTCGCCTTCACGGACAGCTTCTGGCTTCTGACCGTCTTCTTCCTTTCCGCCTTCCCACCTCCCTCCCTCCCCCTCTTTCCCTCCCCATCAACGACCCTCTATCTACAAAAATGGTGTCCGCTTCCAAAGCCGCTCGTCTGGCCAAGCGTGCCGCTGATGGCGACAAGAAGAAGACTTCCAAGTCTAAGAAGGATGCTGAGGACACCCCTGTCGTCGACGGCGAGGGCGATGAGCAGCCTGCGACCACCGACGAGAAGATGAAGGAGGTCGAGAAGTTGACTGCCCAGATGGACAAGCACGGTCTCTCCGATCGTGTCACTACCGGTGTTCTTGCTTCGTTGCCCGCCTCCCGCGACGTCAAGGTCACCTCCGCCTCCCTGGTGTTCCACGGAAAGGTCCTTATCACCGACTCTACCCTCGAACTCAACTTCAGTCGTCGTTACGGTCTCCTTGGTGAGAACGGCTGTGGAAAGTCCACTCTTCTCAAGTCTATCGCCACCCGCGAGTACCCTATCCCCGAGCACATTGATATCTACCTTCTCAACGAGGGTGCCCCTCCCAGTGACCTCGGTGCCCTTGAGTGGGTTGTCACTGAGGCCCAGAACCAGCTCGACCGTATGGAGAAGCAGGCCGAAGAAATCCTCGAGAAGGAAGGCCCTGACAGCCCTATCCTTGAGGATCTGTACGACGTGAGTTTCCTCGCCATTTTGCATCCATTCTTCTCTAACCTTCTCTCTAGCGTATGGACAAGATGGACCCCTCGACCTTCCACACCCGTGCCTCCCTGATCCTGACGGGTCTGGGTTTCAACAAGACGACTATTCACAAGAAGACCAAGGACATGTCCGGTGGTTGGCGTATGCGTGTGGCCCTTGCCAAGGCCCTCTTCGTCAAGCCTTCCCTGCTTCTGCTGGACGACCCCACTGCTCACTTGGATCTCGAAGCCTGTGTGTGGTTGGAAGAATACCTGAAGAAGTGGGAGCGTACCCTCATCCTCGTGTCCCACTCCATGGATTTCCTGAACGGTGTCTGCACGAACATGATCGACATGCGCATGAAGCAGCTCCTCTACTACGGTGGTAACTACGACTCTTACCACAAGACCCGCGCTGAGCAGGAAACCAACCAGATGAAGGCCTACACCAAGCAGCAGGAGGAAATCGCTCACATCAAGAAGTTCATTGCTTCCGCCGGTACTTACGCCAACTTGGTCAGACAGGCTAAGTCCCGTCAGAAGATCCTCGACAAGATGGAAGCCGATGGTTTCATCCAGCCCGTCATTCCCGATCGGGTCTTCAGCTTCCGCTTCGCCGACGTCGAGAAGCTTCCTCCTCCCGTCCTGTCTTTCGACGACGTCTCTTTCTCCTACTCTGGAAAGTGGGAGGACACCCTCTATGAGCACCTGGACTTCGGTGTCGACATGGACTCCCGCACAGCCCTTGTCGGACCTAACGGTGTCGGAAAGTCCACTCTGCTGCGTATTATGACGGGCAAGCTGAGCCCCATTGGTGGTCGTGTCAGCCGTCACACTCACTTGAAGCTGGGCATGTACAGTCAGCACTCCGCCGAGCAGCTGGATCTGACCAAGTCTTCCCTGGAGTTTGTCCGTGACAAGTTCCCCGAGAAGAGTCAGGACTACCAGTACTGGCGCCAGCAGCTGGGCCGTTACGGTCTCAGCGGTGAGTCCCAGACTGCCCTCATGGGTACCCTGTCCGAAGGTCAGAAGAGTCGTATCGTTTTCGCCCTGTTGGCCATCGAATCCCCCAACATGATCTTGCTGGACGAGCCTACCAACGGTCTCGATATCCCCACCATCGACAGTTTGGCCGATGCCATCAACGCCTACAGCGGTGGTGTTGTCGTCGTGTCCCACGATTTCCGTCTGCTCGACAAGATCGCCAAGGACATCATGGTCTGTGAGAACAAGACCGTCACCCGCTGGAACGGAACCATCGGCGAGTACAAGAACCACCTCCGCAAGAAGATGATTTCTGAGGGTGCTGTCTAAGAAGCCAACGCAACATGCTTTTGGTTTTCTTGTTTATGATTGGAATGTTAGAGACGACACATGCAAATAAAAGGCTGTAGGGGGAAAAGTTTCTTACAGGAGAGATGATCCATCCTGAATGACATTGGGGGGTTGTCCGTTTTTCGTCTTTAAATACCTGGAGATATCTTGCTCATTATTTGGGTGCTTGTTTTAGATGGTCTGTTTCATACCTCATCCCCTACTAGACTTGAGCGTTTGAGGGTTCAATTTGATATCATTCCCTTTTCTATATATATGTTTGAACCGTAGCTTTCCTAGTGCGTGCAAGATTTTCAGTCTAGTAGCTTCAAAGGAACTACTGTCGAAATCTAGATTCTTAGTCGGTTAATCGCAGACATAATACTGAGCTGCACCTCTATTGAATATGTAATTAAGACTAACCGCAAAGCACATTCGTCCAAACCAATAAATGCTTTTCCATGCATTGCGCCTACCTGCACGCTCAAAACGATAATGAACTTCCGTCCCCATTCAAAAAATATATTCTAAAGGTAAAAAGGAAAAAGGATCCTGCGTCCTATTGTTGCTGCCCTTGACCTTCCAATTGCTTCTCCTTGGTCCGTTGCATGACCAACTCTCCTCCAAAAAGATCTTTCGGCTCATTCCCACGTTCGAGCTTCCTCTTCTTTGCCAGACGCTCTATTTCACTCTCTGATGTTCCGGATTCGCCGGTCGCTGTTGAGGCCGCTGCGGCGGCGGCAGCGGGGATGCGTTTTTGGCCTGCGAGGTTGGCTTTCTCTGGGTTTTGGCAGTGGTAGAGTTTCTTTCCGATGATGCGCTTTAGGGTTTTCATGCGGACGTCGTCTGAGGCGAGGGATTTGTAGGCCTGGAGGATGGTGGCGCAGTTGTTGAGTGTGAGGAGGAGCTTGGTGCGGAGAGCGTAGAGGGGGTTTCCTTCTTGTTGGGATGTGATGGGGCCGCCGAGTTTGGTGTCGAGGTAGTATTCAGCTAAGGGACGATCGGAGATGAGGAACGCGGAGAGCCAAATCTGCGAGGGCGTGTAGAGGAAGTAGGCGTCTGTGATTTGCGCGGCGGTTTTGAGAATCTCGCGGGTGGCGTGGTGGGCGCGAGAGATGCGGTCGTTCATCGCAGTTGCTGATGCTGAGGATGGGGATAGGGACAGGAGGCTCCGGCGTAGGTCTTCGGGGGTCTGTCCTGGGAGGTGTGGTGCCGGTTGTCCTTGACCTTGGGATATGGCGCGGAGTTCCATGACTCCGCCTTCGAGGCCGCGGAAGGGGTGGCGCACGTCAAAGGTGAAGCGGAGGCTTTGCATGACGAGGAATTCGGGGGCGATAATATCTTCTGCAGAGGGCTGGCCGGGGACGCCTTCGGTGAATTGCCGGAGGGAGAGGTAGTAGTTGTCAGTTTTGGTGGCGAGGAAGAGGGCGCATGGCATGATTTGTTTCGGGTGGTAGGTCATCGGCGAGTTGGTTAGGTAGAAGCGACGGAGGTATTGAATTGCTGTGGCCTAGGATTGAGATGGTCAGTTATGGATGAGGTGAAGGGAGGGTGAGGGGAGGAGGATTTACGTACTCGCACTATGGTTGGAAGCGGTGGCTTGTAGTTCTCGCCGAGTTGTATGATCTGTTCGGAGTAGTAGTCCACCACCTGCTGCTCTTCCTCTGGTGTCAGGCAATCGATTGCTTTCTCCTCCGTTCCTTTGCTCTCCGCATCACTTCCGGGGGCTGGTGTCCCTGTTGTGGAGGAGTTGGCGGATCGTCGGGCATCTTGTGCTCGTCGCAGAGCTGCTCGCACCCGGTCACTCGCGACGCTGTTGGTGGTTGCTCGTAATGATTTCAGAGATGCTTCGGTGAAGGACCACAGTCGGAACTGGGAGGATGATCGGTACACGTCGTCTTCGATCATGGTGGAAGGGGCTGGTCAGGAGGTGCAGTGCAGAAGTGTTCGAAGTGTCTGCGTCGGAGAAGTTGAAGGCCGCCGCAAATCCACGTGCTTATCGATAGGCGCCTGTCTTCACCCACCAATGACCTCCGCCTCAATTCTTGAAGACTGTCGACGTCCGTGTAACAGGGGCACTTGAACTACTGGGGGTTGCTTCTAATCCATTCAGAGAGAGACCGCGCAAATTGAATTGTCATCCTAGATAAGCTGTATCAAAAAAAATGCGAAGAAGCGAAAGTATGTATTAGACAATGGTCATCACAACGTGAGAACTTTGAGAACCTCGAAAAAATCAGGTCTTGGTTCGCAGGAACAAAAAGTCATCCACAATGTAGAGAACAAACCCGACTAAGTCGCCCGGCACCGTCGCTATTGCAAAATCTAGAACCATCCCAACCCCTGGTCGTCCACCACGTCGTCTACGGTTCGCCCAGGAGCCGCGCAGTAATGTCCCCCATGTACGCCTCCTCCAGCTCATAGTCTTCCCCATCCATCCGATCAATGCCAAAGAAAACAAAGGCCGATACCACACGGTCGATGTCAAAGCCCATACTACAAAATCGGTCGATCAAGTCTTTGTTGTAACCGTCGTACCTGTACACAAAGGTTAGCGAAAAAGCAGACACAGTTGCAAGATTGTGCACCTACTTGGACAGATCTTCCTGCTCCTGCTCCTCCCTCGATTTGAGCTCCTGGAGCCGAAGGGCTTCATCCGTCACCCCGCCACTGCCTTCACCAGCGTATTTTCTAGGGGCCCCCGCGTATACAACAGCCCACTCCTGAGCAACACGTGCGAATTCCTGCGGTCTCCGAATAAGCATGCCGGCAACCTCTGCATCTTGAGGGTCCTTGGGTTCTGGGGTGCTGAGCAGAGATTGCAGTGACAGAAGAGCGGACTTGATCGTCAGGACTGGCGACCACGCCGAGGAGAGAGTATCTAGGCAGATAGCGCCCTGAAGATCAATGTCATCAGGATATCAATCAAAGTCATGTTAACCTTGCGAGAGCTGAGGAGACTTACCGTCTGGCTGCTGATGTTAGGATGCCAGACCTTCGTAACAAACTTCATTACAGGAGGCCGGAATGGATATTCGTTCGGGATTTTGATGTCAACTGTATAATTACCGCCTTCATAAGGGGTGCCTGGAGGCCCTGGGAACGAGCCTCGAAGGTGTGTGATGTCCTCCTCACTGCCCAGTGGCTCGGCTGTGATCTGCGACTGGGTATCGGCATGGATGTCGGCGATCTCCTTCGCGATGCGTCTAGCTCGATTGGAAGCCATGGTTCGAGGTGTCTTGCTTTGAGGTGGTCAACCTTGAGGATCCGGCGTCCTTTGCCGAAGGAACCTGTCAAGGATGGGAAACTATAAGAATGAAAAGATATTGGGAAGTATAAGACTGTTTGAGCTTCGTCAGCCTGTGGTGGCTATGAAAGAACTATGGAATACAACGAACAGTCTCTGGCAAGGGAGACAAGGGAGAAGAGGGAAAAGAAAAAGAAAACATGGAAGTTGGTGACCTACGACCGATCTGTAACAGCCTCACCTAATCTGGTGGGGGGGGCGCTCGAGGTGGTGGAAAATGAGGGGGATCAATGCTCTCGGCGGGGCGTAAGCGCTCGTCAGTGATAGTAGAGCGCTAAACTATGGAACAGGAGGGAATCAACACACGGTACAAGGAGTACTAAGATGTGAAAGCGGGATCCAGCTGGCCAGTGGTCTATATATATATGGCACGGTAAGTACGGGCCTCATCAAAAATAGGAAGATGAAGAAGAAGACCTACAGTAAGTAGGAAGCCAAGGGAAAATGACCCGTCGCCTTGGCTTGACGGAGTAGAACTGCCTTAAGGACGAAGCTAAGTACTAGCCTGGTCATTGGTCGAGAGGCCCAGGCAGATGCCTATGTGATCGGCGACTATTTATTCAGGCACAAAGGCATTAAGGCACCACATCACCAAGGCATCAAGGCTCTCAGGCAGCGATGATGCCGATTCACATCACGTGCCGGCCAATGCGCTGGACGGTTGCCAAGGCCCGAGCGGATGGCGACAACAGCTTCCCAGCTGCTCAACTCATCAGCTTCACGCCCTCATCCTCCCTCATCCACCACCCATCTCCTCACGCTATTCACGCATTCCGTGGCTACCCAGAATTATCTCCTACACTCTTGAATAGTCTCCTCTGAAGAGTCTTTTCCCTGTCACATTCTGGGACTATGGTTCGTGGCCAGCCTTCGCCCTTGCCGACAGCTCTTGTCGGCTCCTGATGTCACTTCATCTAACCGATCTCTACAACAGGGTAACCAGCAGTCCAACATCGGCGGAGGCGCCGGTGGCGATGGAAAAGATGAGAAGGACAAGAAGGTATGCATGCCATAAACTCCGAGATGGATGCGGTGGGCTTACAGTACGTTCCTGCGCAGAAGGACAAGCCCAGATACGAACCCCCTCCACCGCCCACGACTCGCATTGGACGTAAGAAGCGCAAGGCTGCAGGTCCGAGTACTGCTTCCAAGCTTCCAGAAATCTTCCCGACATCACGATGCAAATTACGATACCTCCGGATGCAACGGGTCCACGACCATCTGTTGTTAGAGGAGGAATACGTGGAGAACATGGAGCGCCTACGCAAGACTAAGGCCCAGGCTGCACTGGATACTGCGAGCCGTGGTGATCTTGACATCATGGACAGAAACGCCGATGAGAGAAGCCGCGTTGACGACATGAGAGGCAGCCCCATGGGTGTCGGCAACTTAGAAGAGTTGATCGATGACGATCATGCGATTGTCTCGAGCGCGACTGGTCCGGAATACTACGTGTCTATCATGTCGTTTGTGGACAAAGACCTGCTCGAGCCTGGTGCTAGCATACTTCTGCACCACAAGTCGGTCTCGGTCGTCGGTGTGCTCACTGAAGAGTCTGACCCCCTCGTGTCAGTGATGAAGCTCGACAAAGCTCCTACGGAATCATATGCCGATATTGGTGGTTTGGAGACTCAGATTCAAGAAGTCCGCGAGTCTGTCGAGCTTCCACTGCTCCATCCGGAGCTGTATGAGGAGATGGGTATTAAGCCACCTAAAGGTGTGATCCTTTACGGTGCTCCCGGTACCGGAAAGACGCTATTGGCCAAGGCCGTCGCGAACCAAACCAGTGCAACTTTCCTTCGCATTGTTGGTAGCGAGCTGATCCAGAAATACCTTGGAGATGGTCCTCGTCTGGTTCGACAGATTTTCCAGGTTGCGGCTGAGCATGCGCCTTCTATTGTTTTCATTGACGAAATCGATGCGATCGGTACGAAGCGTTATGATTCCACGTCGGGTGGTGAGCGAGAAATCCAGCGTACTATGCTTGAGCTCCTTAACCAACTTGATGGATTCGATGATCGGGGTGATGTCAAGGTTATTATGGCTACGAACAAGATCGAAACGTTGGATCCTGCTCTTATCCGTCCGGGTCGTATTGACAGAAAGATTCTTTTCGAAAACCCCGACCGTAAGTACTTCTCGGTCTATCTCCTCTGCCGGTTTGCTAATGACTTCCAGAAAACACCAAGAAGAAGATCTTTACGTTGCACACTTCCAAGATGTCACTGGGTGATGATGTCGATCTTGATGAGTTTATCAACCAGAAGGATGACCTCTCAGGTGCCGATATTCGGGCTATCTGCACTGAGGCTGGTTTGATGGCTCTGAGAGAGCGCCGGATGAGGGTGCAGATGGACGACTTCCGTGCGGCCAGAGAGCGGATCATGAAGACAAAGCAGGATGGAGGTCCAGTGGAGGGACTGTACTTGTAGACGCCCGGTGTTGATGGTGTACTTAGATCTCTCTTAGGTCTATATATGTAGTGCGGTGAGATTAGGTCAAGAATCTATTCTAGTGTATTCTTACGATGATAGCAGTAGTGGGATTCTGGCGAGGCAATTATGCAAATGCTGTTATAAACCTCTTGACTGCAGTTGCAGGATTTCATGCCATGCAATCAGCAGGGACTACTACTATAGCTGCCATCATGTCTTATAAAATGGACGTAACCGACCGCTCCATAGACTTTGGATCGGTTACCAGTGACATCGGGGCTTGAATCGGTCACTGAGTCAAATGGTTCTAGCTCGAACTGCAGGTGCTCAGAGGCGAATATAATGAGAATGATATAGCCCTATAATCTGATTTCACGTACCATATATCTCTGCCAACCGAATGGCGGACAATATCAAGAACATCTGACTTCGTCCAGCTGCATCGCGGTGACGTCGCAAGGCCAAGTGCTTATCGAGCAGCTTCATTATCTTATCATCACGTGAAAAAGCAAACATTGCAAAGCCCCCAAACCTAACAAACATCAGAACATCATCATCAATGCCATCTGAAGTCATTTCCTTCAAGACTTCTAACAGTTGAAAGACCCAGTGCCATAATGGAAGGTTTTGACGAGGAGGCTTTCAAGAGATTCTTTCCGACCAGTTTTGGCCGACAAGAGAAGAAAGCTGATGTGAACGCGCAGATCGATCGCACCAAGCGCGCAGAAGTATCTGTTAAGCCTGATGGCGACGACGAAAAAGCGGGTTTTATTGAACAGTCAAGCGCTGAGGTGAACACCAAGGCTGCGGAAGAGAATCAGAAGAATGGCTCAGGTAGCGACGATGGGAGCGATGACTCCGATGATAATTCCGATGATGAAGACGAGTTTCCGGTGTCCCATGAACTCACTCTCAAGACACACGACCGCGCAGTGACTACCTTGACCGTGGATCCCTCGGGATCGCGACTGATTACCGGCTCAACTGATTGCACCATCAAGCTACATGACTTTGCGTCCATGACACCATCGACCGTACGCGCATTCAAGTCCGTCGATCCTTCAGCCAAAAAGCAGTCCGCTGCCCAGGAGGCGCATGCCGTGCATTACGCTGCGTTCAACCCCTTGTCCCCTAGCTACGTCCTGGTCGTTTCTGCCACGCCGCAACCGAGAGTTTTGAATCGCGATGGCGATACAATTACCGAGTTCGTGAAGGGTGATATGTACCTGAGAGATCTTCACAACACCAAGGGTCACATTTCTGAGGTGACCAGTGGGGCGTGGTGCCCAACCGATGAGAATTTGTGTGCTACGGCAGGAACAGATAGTACAGTGCGCATCTGGGATGCCAATGTTGGCCGGTCACAAAAGGAGGTAATCGTACACAAGTCGAAGATGGCGGGGTCCGCTGGTCGGAGCAAGATGACCGCTGTTGCATGGGGTACACCAAAGCAGGGTGGCCCTAATGTTCTTGTTGCGGCTGCACTCGATGGTAGCCTGGTGATGTGGGGTGGAAATGGGCCACACACTCGGCCAAGTGCAGAGATTAGGGATGCTCACACTAAGGATACCTGGACGAGTGGAATCGACATAAGCTCGGACGGCAGACTCGTCATTACTAAGGGTGGAGATGACACGATCAAACTTTGGGATACTAGGAAGTTCAAGCAACCCATCACGACGGTCGCCCATCCTTCTAGCACTCGGTATACATCGTCAAATATCATATTCTCGCCGACATCGGCCAATGTCCTTACAGGGTCAGAGACGGGACACCTGCACATCTTGAACCCAGCTACACTGAAGCCGGAGCTGGTCACACCCGTCACCCCAGGATCTCCAGTAATCAGCGTTCTATGGCATGAGAAGATGAACCAGATCATCACCGGCTCAGCAAATGCCGAGACTCATGTTCTGTACAACCCCACTATGTCGACTAAGGGTGCTGCTCTAGTTATGTCCAAGGCCCCGAAACGCCGGCACATCGATGATGACCCGAGCTTGACCATGGACCTTACGCAGGGTATCTCTGGGGATTCTGTGGTTGTCGGGTCCAATGGTGTCCCTCATTACAGCTCAGCCACCTGGTCCGCTCGTCATCCGACTATTGGACTAACGGCGTCTGGTCGTCCGAGGGATCCACGGAGACCTCACCTGCCGGCCCAGACACCTTTCGCAAAGTCGCAGCCCGATGAGAAACATATCCGGGAGAATATTCCCCTCAGTTCCATGCGGGATGAGGATCCTCGGGAGGCTTTGCTAAAATATGCAGACAAGGCCCAAAAAGACCCAATCTTCACCAAGGCGTGGAAAGAAACACAGCCTACGCCCATCTATCGGGACATCAGTGATGATGAGGGCGAACAGGGCCCTGATAAGAAGAGGGCAAAGCGTTAAAACATTGCGATGGATTGGAATCGATAGATCTACTTATTCAATTGTAAGGCTGTTCAGAATGATGTGGACAAGCCGCAGCAATCTGGAACATGTGTACATATATATTTGGAGCAAGGGCGGGCGTTGAGCGTGACTTGCCCCTTGAGGCCGATAAAGTGTGTTAATAATCAACCGCCTCAAACCATATTCTAACAAACAAAACAGATACCCGGCAGGAGGAATTTTAAAATTGTAGTCATCATCGTGCAGATTGGAAAGTGTAGTTGTCAGTTGTCCGAATGGGCGCTTGCTCGATGACGTTGAAGGGGCAGCTGGGTGGGCCACGATGAACAGTCGACCATTCTCCGGATCGCCCATTCTGGCTTGTCCCTACGAGGCATGCAGGCCAATGATTCCACGACTGCACATCGATAGTCTGCAGCCTCTCTGGCTTTTGTTTCGCGCCAAATCTCACACGATGCTGCGCTTGATCTTGGTTCTGCCATCCCCCGACTTGAGTAGGCTTGCACGTGCAACTGGCCGTATCCAAGCGACTTTTAAGCCCGGGTTAGTAGGAACTGCGACTAGTTCTCTCGCGCCGGTTCTCTCGGCATCTCCTTCTTCCTCCTCCCCCCGTCCCAAACCTCCGTCCCCAACTCTCCTCTTCATCCGTGCACGACAGAACGATCGGATCTCGCTCGCTGTCGACGGGCATCCGTACTACCGCCTTTGTGGCCCTGCTGGAGTCTCTTGTCTTTGGTGATAATCAGACTCCCGAGCTTGGACTTTACCGCTAGGGGATACAGAATGCGGTGGCTCACAGCAGCATGAACCCCTGCCCCAAAGCTGATGCCACCATTTGAAGCATTATATTTTGTGAAAGCTTCCAGGGTTTTGCCTTGATTACAGTCAATCTCTCGGACGATCCGTGCCGATTTTTCGACGACCGGAGACTTTCCGGATCCTACGGTCAGGATTTCATCGATAGCGGCGGACCTTTCGGCACCTCCTTTTCCTTTCGCGCCTGCCCTTTATTTAGGCCTACCTTGCGCCCCGAATTTTCCTGGACCAACCTCTTATCGCGGATGGCTTACTTGCAAGAGGTGCCCCTGGCAGCAGTTCTGCTCACCGCGCTCGCCTCTTCCGCTATTCCCTCGCCTCCGCCCACGCCGTATCACTTCCCTTCCTCGTCCCAACCTTCACCTACGTTCACACCAAGCCCCGGATCGGATGATGGCGGAGGCGGAAGCGGCGGAGGAATGCACGAATGGTCGTCCCTGATCGGGATCGTGACCGCGCTGGCAGGCAATGTGTTGATCTCCTTGGCTCTCAACATCCAGCGTTATGCTCACATCCGCATCGATAAGGAGTGGGAGCAGGACAAGTTAAAGCAGGAGCTAGATTGGAAACGCACAAACCATGGCCATAACAGCACAGGCGCATATGGGACTGTCGATGACAGCGACTTTGACGGAGAAGTAAGACAAGGAAGGAATTATGTGTCTCTACAGGGTCGTTATCGCGACGAATCTCCAAGTTCCGAGCCAGAGCATTATGAGGAACCCCGCGGCCACTCCGGACGGAATGGCCGTTATCGGGACGACGACACGGATTCACAGGATCATATGCAAGATTCCATGATATCTGACCGGACTGCAAGACCAGGCAGTGATCGATTGCGCCGAAAATCGTACCTTCGTTCTCCATACTGGTGGGCAGGAATTGTGCTCATGTCTCTTGGCGAGGTCGGAAATTTTATGGCCTATGGATTTGCTCCGGCATCTATCGTGTCACCATTAGGCGTTGTCGCTCTCATCTCGAACTGCGTAATTGCGCCTATCATGCTCAAGGAGAAATTCAGGCAGCGCGACTTGTGGGGAGTTCTTATCGCCATCGCGGGGGCGGCAGTGGTTGTTCTGAGCGCTAACTCCTCGGAAGAGAAGATCGGTCCCCATGACATCTGGGAGATGATCACGCGCTGGGAATTCGAGCTGTACATGGGCGTCTCTGCTGGATTGATTGTCGGGCTGATGTACATAAGCGGCAAGTATGGGTCGCGATCAATCCTGATCGACGTTGGATTGGTGGCACTATTCGGTACGTCTCAATATATTCCTACCTTGACATGCTACTTCAGGGACTGATTGCTTATTCTCACTAGGTGGGTATACTGCGTTGTCGACAAAGGGTGTCTCGTCACTACTGTCCTTCACGCTGTGGCATGTTATCACGTTCCCGGTGACCTACCTACTGGTCTTTGTCCTTGTGTTTAGCGCCCTTATGCAGATTCGGTACATTAATCGAGCTCTGCAACGATTCGATTCCACCCAAGTTATCCCAACTCAGTTTGTGCTTTTCACGCTCTCCGTGATCATCGGAAGTGCCGTGCTGTATCGGGACTTCGAGTCGTTTACCGCCGAGCGTGGAAGCAAGTTTGTGGGTGGTTGTCTTCTAACATTCCTGGGGGTTTACTTTATCACCAGTGGTCGGGTTCGTGCAGACAATGAGTCTTCCTTCTCTGTTGATGACGAAGAAGAGGCTATTGGTCTGCTGGCAGGAGAACGCTATCGTGATAGCGTGGATATGCCGCCTCCTGGTCCGCAAGGAAAAGTCCATAAGACCGGGCGGAGGCTTCATACCGCCTCTGATGATCTCCTACAGTCTCCTTCAGGGTCGCTCCTTAGTCACGGCATTGAAGATGTAGACGATAACCAGCGGACTCCCAGGGGAATCTTGTCAGTTGCACCATCTTCCCCAGGCGGGTCGTTGACCGCCGATTCTCTCGAACAACCGTCTTCTGAGCCTTCGTCGCCCTTGCATGCTCGCTCGCTTTTGACGAATCCATGGGCAGACACTTTAGAATCGGCCATTCAGACGCCGAATACCGAGCCTGCAATTATCCACCGTCCTGCCACACCCCCAACACAATCGACACATGCCGCGCATGAGTCGCCATTTCTTCTCCGCTTTCCTCCTGCCCCTGGCGCCGAGGATGGTGATCTGGAAGGTCCAACCCCCGGACATGGACGGACGGCATCAAATATCCGAAGAGCCGTCGTGCCGCAGACTCCACCAGCCCGGCATTTACGCAATTCCATATCAAAGTTCTCTCCTGGGCCCCTTCTTCCGACGATATCGGCTGGATTCAGTGCGGTGGTGGCTGAAACGCTTCGCCGCGGCGAGATTAGCCCTAGCAAAGGACGGAGACTGCAACACCGGATGGGCCGGAGAAAACAGCTGAGTACGACTGTTTTGGAAGGATTCCCTCGCCATAGGGGCCGGGACGCGAGAGAGCCGGAATACGATTCGGATGGGAATGGTGAAGATGGTCATGACCTTCGATTCCCCGTACCTAGCGGTCGACTTCGATCTTCTGGCGACCTTGCCACCGCTCCATTGAGTACCGGGAACTTGACTCCTGGGGTTAATTCCGAAGACGGACCTAGCATTCCGCGCGCAAATGATGCCACCTCACTCTCGCGGCTTCGGAGTCTAAGTGACTCGTGGAGCGGAGGTCTAGCCTGGCTCGGTGGCGTTCTCCACAAGCCTGGTGCGAATAGAGGGTCGGGGAATACGACGAGCATCCGAGAGAATGAACATGAACATAGCATGGACACTCAGGGTAACCAAGAAGGGCAGGTTACCGACGCAGATACGCGGGCGTAGATTGAGCTCTTGACGGTGACGGGCTCACACTTCTTGTTAGTACATACTTTTCTTTTCCTATAGATAATGCACGGGGTGGGGGCTGTCTCATAATACCGAGAGCATTAGCGTTCTTCCACTATATAGTTGTTTAATCAAACCTGTGAAAGGGGGGGACTTGTCAGCAGCTTGATGCTCGAGTAGCGGTTCCAGTACGTACGTATGATGGGTGTGAGGGAGAAGAAGAGGGAGGATGTGGAACCTCCTATCTACTAGTATTGGTCTACAACCGTCGGCCTGACATGGTCGTCTGGTGAGTTTTTTCAGACTTCTTCAGCTAGGCCACTATGGCTTAATATCGGGACGGGCCATATTGACATCCTGCTTGGTTCCGCCAGGCCCGCAGCAAGGCGACGATAGGTGGAGAAAGAGCAGCATGCAGCCGGGAGGTCCGCACCGGATCCCTCTGCACCATGGCATGGATCACCTTAGGGCCCTCGCCGAGATTGCTACCCCTCCTGACTTTAGCCGTCATCCTGGCCGGGAAATTGCTCTATCTACTCCAATCTACCACCGACCTCTCGAGCTGGCCACTCAGGATGCTCGGCTTCAGCTCCCTGATGCTGTCAATGTCCCTCATTCGTTGCTCCTCCCACGCTCCATTGCCACCGGACATCTTGGATCCTGGGCTCATCTCCGAACTGATCGCATGAGCAGCCTAAATTATACCGGTTTCCTGTCCGTTGCTGCCGAAGGAGCTGTTTTGCTTTTTTCTTTTTTCTTTTCATATTATCTGTAGCTCCGCTTGGTAGCCCACTGGGGGAATCTGGTGCTTGCAATGACGTTAAATACCGAGGGGATGCCTCCCTCCTCAAGTTCCTCTGGTGTTTTTCTAATACCTACCTGGACAGGCTCACTCGTTACTAAGGAGCTGGGAGGGCTGCATTTTAGCTCTTTATTCAATCAACATGGTAGCCGGTCTCCTCACAAAGGGGCTTCTGCTCCTCCAACTCGCGTCTGGGTTGATGGCAGCGCAGAATGCCTCGAGACCGCTCTACAAGAACCCCAATGCTCCAGTGGAGGCGCGGGTCTCTGATCTGCTGGGTCGGATGACTGTCCAGGATAAGATGGCTCAATTGATCCAGGGTGCGTACTCTTCCGGGGAGGTGCAGACGCGACTATGAGCGGAATAATTTGTCGCACCTTGCTTACAATCGCATTGACTAATGCTATCTACACTGTAGGAGATATCAGCAATTGGATGGATACCACGACCGGCGCATTCAATTACACAGGTCTGGTGGAGAACATGGACTCAAAGGCTGGAATGTTTTATGGTATGGAACTCCTGTGAATCTCACCTCGGCCAAACGGTTAACAATTTTAGTGGGATATGCTGTCCCCTGGGACTGGCTTTCGACCAACATCAAGAGAGCGCAAGACTACCTGCTCCAGAACACGACTCTTGGGATTCCCGCACTGGTTCAGACGGAGGGTACGTCTATCGATGTTTATTTCCACTGCTAGCTGTACTAACAGGTGGTCGACATCTAGGTATCCATGGTTTCCTGCTCGAGAACGCGACTATCTACAACTCCCCGATTGGGTACGCATGTTCTTTCAATACAGAGGTAAACTTGCGCTTCCCACATTACATTGCCCCCAGCATGTAGGCTGATGCATCGTAATACAGCTGGTCCAGAAAATGGGTCGACTCATTGCGCAAGAAGCTCGTGCTGTTGGTGCCACCCAACTGTTTGCGCCGCTGGCTGATCTGGCACGCGAGCTTCGATATGGTCGGGTAAGGATAGCAATATACATAGCACAAAGGAGTATCTGACAAAGCCGCACTTTAGGTTGAGGAAACATTCTCGGAGGATTCATACCTCGCTGGTGAAATGGCCTACAGCTACATCAAGGGCCTGCAGAGTCTCAACGTGTCTGCTACCGTCAAGCACTTTGTGGGATATAGTTTGCCTGAGCAGGGGTTGAACACTGCGCCCGTCCAAGGAGGAGAGAGATATCTGCGCTCTACGTATGTGTGCAAACCTTGAGGTCGAAGATACATGTCTAACTTGAATAGCTGGCTGCCGTCCTTCAAGAGAGCCATCGTGGATGCCGGTGTGTGGAGCGTCATGAGTGCATACCACGCGTAAGTGCCTGCCATTGACGGAAGTCGCTTATCTGCTTACACTAGACCCTAGATACGATGGTATCCCTGCAGTGGCCGACTGGTACGCCCTGACGAAGATTCTCAGAGAGGAATGGGGCTACAAATACTGGGTCTTTAGTGATTCCGGTGCCACCGACAGACTGTGCACGGCTTTCAAGCTCTGCAGGAGCTCTCCAATTGATATGGAGGCCGTGACTATGATGGCACTGCCCGCTGGCAACGACGTCGAAATGGGTGGAGGTTCATAGTGAGTCGATGAAAAAACAGCAGCTTGTCAATACTGCTAACATGCGCGCAGTAACTTCCAGAAGATCCCCGAGCTCGTAGAGTCAGGCCAGCTGGACATCGACATCGTCAACACCGCCGTATCCAGAGTACTCAGAGCCAAGTTCGAAATGGGCCTCTTCGAGAACCCATACCCTGCTGCTCCCCAGTCGGAGTGGTCCAACCTGATCCACACCCCAGAGGCAATCGAGCTTGCGCGAACCCTAGACAAGGAGTCCATCGTGTTACTGGAGAACCATAATACTACCCTCCCGCTGAAGAAGAGCGGCAACATCGCCGTGCTTGGACCCATGGCGCATGGATACATGAACGTGAGACACCATTCCTCCCCCCCATCCAAGCCACCACACTAACCCACCCAGTACGGCGACTACGTGATCTACGGAAGTCAATGGCGCGGCGTCACTCCCCTCGACGGCATCAAAGCCGCCGTCGGCGACTCCGCCACAATTCACTACGCCCAAGGCTGCGAACGCTGGAGCAACGACGAATCCGGGTTCGATGAAGCCATCGCGGCCGCGAAGAAATCCGACGTCGCCATCGTAGTGGTAGGCACCTGGTCTCGAGACCAGACCGAGCTCTGGGAGAACTACAACGCCACGTACAACCCCCTCTCCTCCCTTCTCCCATCAAACCACCCAACTAACCATCCCACAGAACCGGCGAACACGTCGACCTCGACGACCTCTCCCTCGTAGGCGCCCAAGGCCCCCTCATCCGCGCCATCCGCGACACCGGCATCCCCACCATCGTCGTCCTCTCCAGCGGAAAGCCCCTAACAGACGTAACCTGGATCTCCAACAGCACCTCCGCGCTCCTCCAACACTTCTACCCATCCGAACAAGGCGGGAACGCACTCGCAGACGTCCTCTTCGGAGACTACAACCCATCCGGCAAACTCTCCGTCTCCTTCCCCCATTTCGTCGGCGACCTCCCCATCTACTACGACTACCTGAACTCAGCGCGCAACATCGGCGACGCAGGACACGCCTACGCCAACGGCACATTGGACTTCGGGCACCAATACGTCCTCGGCGATCCTCACGCCGTGTATCCCTTCGGATACGGGAAGAGTTATTCCTCGTTCGAGTACTCGAATCTGCGACTAAGCAAGACGAATGTCACGGTGAAGGACACGGTGAGTGTTAGTGTTGATGTGAAGAATCTGGATCAGATGAGGGAGGCTACGGAGGTGGTGCAGGTTTATGTGGTGGATGAGATTGCGTCGGTGGTGGTGGCGAATCGGTTGCTTAAGGGGTTTGAGAAGGTGGTTATTCCGGCCGGGGGGAGTAAGAGTGTCACGGTGGATATTAAGGTTGAGGATTTGGGGCTGTGGAATGTTTCGATGAAGTATGTGGTTGAGAAGGGGGCGTTTGGGGTTTTGGTCGGGAGTAGTTCGTTGGATATTAGGGGGAGTGCGGTGTTTTATGTTGAGTAGGGAGGGAGGGGGTGGTTGGTTGGTGGGTTGTATGGTTGGTGGAGAAGGAAAGAGGATGGATGAGGTGGGTAAGGGGAGGGAATGTGTAGTATTAATTCTGACAGATAAAGCTCATTTCAGTTCACTTCACTTCGTGTGCTTGCTTTTGTGGTAATGACATAGAATATCAGAGTGATTGTGCCGCGGAGTAGGGATAAGAATGAACAGAATAATAGCTCGGGAGAGAGACAGTAAAAGGCAGCTGAGCTACAATAAGGCTATGGATAGAAACAAGCAATCGCCGCGCTAATCACTGATCCGATACCTCCCGTTCGTTGTTCGAGTTATCCGCTGTTGACGTCTCTCCCCCTGTTTTGGATTGAGTGTCTTCTGTATCTGCCAGAGTGCTTGGTCTTCGGACAGGTTGAGGTTGACCAGAAGATGTGGTAGCCGAGCTACCTGCCCCTGCTGTTGCTCGTCGGGTTTTGGCGCCCTCCTTCAGCTTTTCCCATCGTTCTCGATAACGACCGAGGACGTCCCGCAGCTTGTCGTTCTCGCGACCTACTTTGTTGAGTTCCTTCTCGCCGCGTCGGACCATTTCTTCGAGCTCTTTGATCCGCTGCTCCTGCTCTGCGATGGGGGGTGATGAAAGGCCGCCGGTGACGGTTGATGCAGCCACAGATGGAAGTTGGGACGGATGCTCGACAGGCGAGATGGTCTGATGGTGCATTGCTTTCAGGGACTGCTGCAGGGCGATGGAGGATGACTGCGCGTTGACCTCCCACATGTGCAGGCGCTTGGATAGTGTGTCGGATAAATGTCTCAGGGCCTGGTTTTCCATTTGCAGTTCCTCCATAGTTTTCGGATTTTGGAGACTGTTGAACTTGTCGCCGGTTCGGGCCGCCTTGCCTTGCGCTCCGGATAGGCTTTGGCGCATTTCTGGAGATGGTGGGGTCTCGCGTGCGTCCACGAAGTCCTCGTCGCCGTCCTCGAAACTGCTTCGTCGAGCCTCCTTTTCTGCTCTTGTCAGGATCCCCGCGTATGAGACTGTCCCGCCGGTCGTGGGCACGACGTAGAACGATTCCGCTGTACTTCCTGTTGTACTGCCTGTTGTATCTTTGATCGCTTGTAGGGCTGCACGTGAGAATATCCTATTGATATCCGGCTCGGCAGACTGAGATGGCCGATCAGATATAGCGTTGTAGCGATCTGTCTTGGTGTCCGGGGCGGATTTGCGGCTGGTGGGTTCGGAAGCTTCGGAGCCTAGAGGGAGACCCGCAAATGCCAATGGTGCAGAGATCTTGGAGATCAGGCCTTCAAAGGTGGAATAGAACTTCTGGAAAGGCTGTTCTTCCGTGAGCGGGGCTCGAGCCTTCGGGCGCACGGGCTCAGAATGCTCCGGAGGGGCGAATTGCTGCGACGTGATATCGGTAGGACTGGGTGCTGGCGGGGTCCAAGATTGCTTTGACACAGAGATACGATTCAGACGCTCCTTGGTCCCTTGCATTTGAGCGCCCCGCAGTCGTGACTCGCTCGTTCTGACCTTCGTCGGTCCCTCAGTCATTTTTGCTCCTGCTTGCTGAGGAGTGATTGTCGGCGATGCCGGAGAGGCGCGGCGTGGCTGCGAGGGGATGCCTCGTGCTGATGCAAGGTTGCTGACAATGGAGGACGATTCCCTTGATGGTAGACGAGGATGTCCGGATAGCCTTGGGGGCTGTTGTTGATCTGCAGCAGATGCGGACGATCTCGTCCCCGATTCCGTCGCCAGTAGTTGGGCATTTGCATTGGCACTCGCGGTGCTGGGAGGGTTTTCATGCTGAAACCGTAGAATCTGGGCGAGCTTCTTGTGGTGTTGTTCGAGCAATTGAAGGGTCCGCAAGGCCTGCGCAGCCCAGGGAATGTGTCAGCCTTCGGTGGCTGTAGAACCACGAACGCGCCAGACACGCACCTCTTGATCAGAGCTCTTCTGGGCCGCAGTCGCAAATTCACCTGCAGCTAAATCATGTTCTTCGCTGGCAGCTACAGGATTCGACTTGCGAGTCTCGAGAACTGCATTGCGAGCGTGGGTATGAGCCTTTCCGAAGGGGGTTGTCAGGCCGGGATTACAACGCAGGAGGCTGCCAGCAGACCGTGTAAACGAAGACTTACCAACGTGAGAGGAGCGGCCTCCATGGCTACGGATGTCTCGGTACCCTGTAGAGAGGGGATCTTCCTGCCAACCTCCAAACCGACGCGGTTCTTTTCCTGAATCTGGGGAAAGAAGGAGATTGGGGAAGATAAGGGCTGGAGAAGAGGCTATCGCTCAGTGACGACATCCCCTCACCGCTTCGGGCAGATCACGGGGTCGTACCAATGGAACGGTAACATTACCGCCCCTCTCGCCAGCGAAGCGTCCATGGAACCACTGACCCCCTGATCCCGGCGTTGGCGGTAAGTACCGTCATGACTATGACACGCTAATACACGGTGACAGCTCCGCCGCCGCGGCAGTTCTATAATTATCCTGCAGCCGATAGGAGGTTGCACCACTTTAACCATGATAAATTAAGGATCGGAAGCTGGAGAAGAGCCAAGCAGAGTACGACAAACCACTACGGTTTAAGAGACAGCAGACTCATCATCGTAAATTTGTCCCTGCCGATCGGGGAGCCCCCACTCGAGTTGCGACTTTGTATTTTGTACATCCTCCCGGCGGAGAAATACAGGCGGCAGATGGTCACCGGCGGTAATAATGCTCCGTTCAAGTTCACCGTCGTTGCGGGCTGGCAGGCAACGTTGCGGAGTGCAACTTGAAGCGCCTCCGTTTCGCTTTCCTTCTCCTCATCGTCACCTAACTTTCTCCTCATCGTTACCTCTCCCCCCCTTCTTCCCCCCTCCGCCTCGTAAAGACCCCACCGCAAGGGAAGAAAGAGGCAGGGCATGCTACTGGGTCTGCGACCGTCTAGACTCAACAATACTTTATCCACCCCCTCATCGCCCTCCTTTTTGCTGACGCTGCTTCTCTAATGCATTGCTAGAGACGTCGACCGGTTCTGACCTCTAACATGCGCACTACTGTGGCACTCCAACGTTCACTTGAGAATTAACACAATTGTTGATTTCCTTTCGCTATTCTCTTTGCCTCCCTTTTCTTGACCTCTCGCACCTTGATCCGCCTCTTCAACATGGAGCAATCCACGATTCCCGAACCCCCTCCGGTTCCCGACTCCGATACCCCCAGCTTTAACAGAATCAATCGCACTCAGACTACCCCGGTTGATTTGGAGACTATGGGGAGTTCAAGTCGAAGCAATGGGCGCTCCTCGATCGACTCAACCTCCGATAGACCGAAGTCGCAAGCCGGCGAGGCTGATTCCGCCAAGGCAGGACCCAGCGGATTCTCAAAGCTTCTGGCCGCTCGACGAAAGAAGAAGAAGGATAATAGTCAGAAGCCATCAGACGAATCATCGAGCCAGCTAGAGATAGAGGGTGATAGGGATATCCCAGAAGGTCGTTCGACGGAGTCGCGGGATGGTGTTTCGACCACCTCATCAGTCGCCAACGAGAATCTGAGTATTGTAGATAATGACGCTGTCAATCTCCTGACGGATGACTCTGAACCGGAAAGGTGAGTTTGCGTGTTCCTATCCTGTTGGTATAGTATCGGAAGAGGTGAACTGGCTGTCTGACTTTGGATTGCGCCCAAGAACCCCCCCTCTTACCTCCCAGAACTCTCATGCCGGCTTCTATACCTCCTCCTCACCTTTGATAAAGACCACATCGGCAGATAGGAATGACGAGGGCGCTCAAGGCGATGCAGAGTCTGCCGCCCCCGAACCCCAGCAGGATACCGAGCTCTCACGGCCGCCTAGCCAGCACGGTTCTACACTGAGTGTGCCATCAGAGCGCAGTGGGAAGAAACGAGGCATCTCGCCCGGGCGGCGCTTCAAAAACGCCTTCGGTTCAAATCCAGACAAGAAGAACTCAAATCGCGATCGAGCAGGGTCTACCTCAAGTACGAAAAGTAATCGTCGGGGTAGCGTATCGGCAAAGAGAGCCCCCACCATTGCTGAAGCGCCTCCGCCGTTACCAGCTCCCATTCGTACTGATCTCAAGGAGGATAAGCCTTTTCCCTCTTTAGACATCCCCGCTCCAAGAACTCCCCCGCACACATCAATTCCGCAGCCTCATACCACTATAACTCCCCCTACCCCAAACACTGAGTTCCCTAAGCTCTTTTCCTCTCCGGATGTGACTAGATCACCAGATTCCATTCACTCGAAGGAGTCGGGTCCGTCCGGAATCATTGTCAGTCCTTCGGGTAATATGATATCGCACCGACGGGTGCGGTCCGCCTCTGCTGCAAGTCACAAGCCCAGCAAGCTGTCAAACTCCATCTCTGCCATGGGCCCGACAATTGAAGAACCAAAGGCGAGCGCTAAATCACCCGGCGCCCCGCAAACCGGATTCTTTTCTTCGGTCTTTTCCGCTGCGCAGAACGCCGCGTCAACTCTGAGCAGCAGTCTCAACTCTCAGTCGAAAGCGCGCAATGCTAGCCAAACAGGAGTGGGCGAGTCCGAGAATCAGCCCGCCAATGAAGTCACAGCAAACCCCAGTCAGCCAGCCAACAACAGCAGGCCAGACGAGAAGAAGCCAATGGCTGTGGACACTTTGGGGTCTGGGGACTTGGATTTCAGTCATCTGGACATCGCGATACCCCCCGGAGGGTCTGTATCGACACCGGATGGCGTTGTCATCACGAAGCCGGATTTGCCACTAGAGAAGCGCAAAAGCCCAGGGGTATCCCAACGCGATGAGGAGGCAGCCAGACTTGAAGATAGCCGTGCCGCCCGAGCAGTTACCATGGCCTACGAGAAGCCTTCTGAGACGTCGCTGGTCCCGGATGATGGTCTTGACCTACAGTCTAGTACATCTCTCACAAAGGAAGCTACTGGTGATCAAACCCCACCCAGCGGTAGTATACTTGACGGAGAGGTCGGTACCACTCGGCCATATAGAAGCGGAAGCGTTCGAAGCCGGCTTGCCCGGCGTCGACACCGGGGGTCCTCAGCGACCACGTCAACGATTGGTGCAATTGGCGCGAGTGCTATAGCCCTTGGTGCCCCGGCTGCCAATGCCAGCATGCCCCGATTAACTGGCTTCGCAGTTGCCAGCAAAAAGCGAAACAGAGACTTTCATCAGCTGTTCCGTAGTGTGCCGGAAGACGATTACCTGATCGAGGATTACAGTTGTGCTCTACAACGAGAGATTATCCTGGCTGGTCGGATTTATATCTCAGAAGGTCACATTTGCTTCTCCAGTAATATCCTGGGGTGGGTAACCACTCTCGTAATCAGCTTCGATGAGGTGGTGGCCATTGAAAAGGAGTCAACTGCGATGGTATTTCCGAATGCGATAGCCATTCAAACGCTACATGCCAGACACACATTCCGCAGTCTTCTCAGTCGAGAGTCTACTTATGATCTCATGGTCAATATCTGGAAGATTAACCATCCTTCCCTCAAGAGCTCCGCCAACGGAACCAGGGTCACTGATGGTACAGGGGATAAGACCGAGAAGTCTGGAGAGAGCGACGATGAAAGCGAGGAAGAAGACGAGATCTACGATGAGGATGAGGAGGGTGACAACGCTGATAGTCTTTTCGAAGCTGCAGGCGCTAGCGTCAATGGGAGTGACAAGTCATTACCCACCAAGAGCGTCAGTCGCAAGCCTTCGGGCCATCTCGCCAGTGCAAATGCCACTGGGCAGTCGGGGTCCAACTCCAACGGCGATGCGAAAGGCAGCAAATCTGGCTCACCAGCTGACAGTGATTCTGACTTCCCTGGTCCCTCTACTCACCCTCCGACTGAGTACACCGATCCTGCGGGCCAGTATGACAGACTGATCAAGGATGATGTGATCCCAGCGCCTCTTGGAAAAGTCTACTCATACGTTTTCGGGCCGGCCTCAGGCGAATTTATGACGAAGTTTCTCGTCGACAACCAGAAGTCGGGCGAGCTGCAGTTCGAAAGTGGAAACAAGGGCCTCACCAACGATAGCCGCACGAGAAATTACTCGTACATCAAACCGCTCAACGGATCCATTGGTCCCAAGCAGACCAAGTGTATCAGTACCGAAACATTAGATTTCCTCGACCTTGAAAAGGCCGTTCTTGTCACGCTGAGCACACAGACGCCTGACGTGCCAAGCGGGAATGTCTTTTTGACCAAGACAAAATACCTCTTCACTTGGGCACCGGGAAATCAAACGCGGTTCCTCATGACGTGTACCATCGAGTGGTCCGGAAAGAGTTGGTTGAAGGGTAGGTCTACAATGTCGGATGACTATATGAAATAGATATGCTAACGGAAGATAGGTCCTATTGAAAAGGGTGCGATGGATGGTCAGACGACATTTGGAAGCGAATTAATCACTGCTCTGAAAGCTGCCGTTGTCCCTCGTGGCCGCACAGGTGGCGGCAAAACCAAAGGAAAGGGACGTCGCAAGAAGAGCGAAGTTGCCCAGGAAGCAGCTGCAGCTGCAGCCGCCAAGGCAGCGGAAGAGGCACAGGCGCAGCAGGCGAAGTCCTGGGGAATGTTGGAGCCACTCCACGGAATCCTTGGCCCTGTTGTGGACATTGCCAAGCCTTTGCTGGGCGGAAACGTTGCCTTTGCGATAATTGGCATACTGCTCTTCATCCTCTTCTTCCGAAGACCCTCTTCGTCATCTATCGTGTCCCACGACATCGGGTGCCCTGGTTACTCGCTACCTCAGCGCCTGGCCGCCTACGAGGAGATGTGGCGCCGGGAGGAAAGCGAGCTCTGGAGCTGGCTGGAAGACAGAGTCGGCATGGACGGCCTAGCAGTCCCCACAGTCAGTCGGACGATGGAGTCGCGCACACAACAGTACTCTCGCAAAGTCCAGAGCGAACGAGCGTTGGCCAGCAAAGTCAATGAAGAGAAAATGTCTGATCTCGAGATGGATCATGCCATCCGCACCACCCGCGAAAGGCTCGACACTCTCGAAAAAATCCTACTCGATCGACGATCCGATCCGGCAACCGGCCACACCGAGTTGTAACCAACATCAAACCCATCGACAGAAACCTCACACTGGGTGAAAATTCACCTGCTACTATGTATAGCGAAACCAAACCCCATACGTCCTTCGTTACCCCACTTTCCTTTTCTTCTACCTATTTTCGTCTCGTCCATCAGCGAGTTGCGGTGTTAAGGCCCCATTGAAATCATATTCCCCTCTCATACATTATTTATCGGGAATCAAGCATCAATCTGGGATTTGTATGCTTACTATACTAAGCGAGGCATTCTCCTATTCCATGCACCATTTATCACTTTTCTCATCCTCTCGTTATTTTCGTTTTTTTCCTCGTGTCCCTATACATACATACATATCTGTCTGGTCTGGTCTGGTCTGTTCGGGTTCAGGTCAGATTAGCTCGTTGAAAGAGCAGAGCAGAGCAGAGAAACTTTGTACATGAGCGCCAACTGCTTGTCTATATAACCAGTCTTACTTACATAAGGTTCTTACATTCTTTGTTCAAATATTTTCCTTCTTGTTTTACTCTTTTCCTTTTACTTGAAGTGATTTATTTAAGGGTTGGTTGGGTGTTGTAGTGTGGTGTGTGTAGTGTAGGTATTGAGGAATATCATCTATGTATATTCAAGACAATGGATCTGTGTCGTAGTACGGGACTAGAATGGTATTGGTAGTCGTGATAGTAATAGTTATGGTCAGTTCAATGCAACGTGTATATGCATCACTGGGTCTGACACTCAGTAGAATATAAATAACTATAGTATAAGATCGCTGAGATACCGCAAGCAAGCAGCATAGAAAGGTCGAACATGGCAAAACTTAGATACAACACGTATATGGCGTATATATTAGTACAAAGAATCGATCTATAAGGGTGGTGGATCACATGGTCCCAGGGCCTGTTGGTTAAGCAAAACAGGGTAGGACAGCGATCGGGATATCATTGTTGGGATGAGTAAGAAATGGAGCATCTTAAGAGTTCGTCGTAGGCGTCGTGAAACGTGCGAAGAGTTGTAATGTGCTTTTGAGGAAAGGGGAGGGAGAGTTCATGGTTCATGGGTGCTCTTTCGTTTCCGGTTGTTGCCGCTGGGAGGAAATCGAGTGGGAGCGTGAAGGACCTCCGTTCTCCGCGTTGCGTCGCTCCTCTTCCTTTCGCTTCTTCTTTCGGATCTTCTTCATTGCTTCCTCGGTTAACTGCTGGCGGAAAAGGCGTTCGACGACGTCTTTCTTGCGGGTCATGCGGTCCCCGACCATGATCAGCACACCACCAGTGATGTTGCAGCAGATGGAGCAGCAGAGAATAACGGTTGTGAGGGCAAAGGGACGGACGTGGTAGCTGATGGCCCAGGTGCAGGTGCCCAGAGCAATCTGAAAGAGAGAGTGGCAGTCTAGGAGCACAACGATCGCGATGAGTAGGCGCATAGGGAAAGCGTTGTGGGTAAAGGTTTCATGGGGTTTGTAGAAAGTGTGGGAGTTGGACAGCTTGGTTTGGTGGTGGATGAGCTTTTGCTGCCGCACAGGGTCGAGCACAGTAAATTCATATTCTTCGTCCTTGGGGGTGTCGCCAAATTCAATATCGACTTCTGTCTCACGTCGCGACGGAAGGTCGTTCTTGTTCTTGAGATCGGGGAGATGGCGTTTACGACGAATTTTCCATGTCAGAAACGTGTAGCGCGCGATGAATATCATGTGGTAGGTGTCGATTGCTCGAAACGGGGCCAGCCCGTCGCCCATGACCGCAAACAGGGCAACCAGGACGTTATCGATGACATTAATGATATAAGATTGCCGGCCTCCGACATTGATCCAGCCTATTATTTATATTAGGTCCTTGTCCAGTTTTTGCTCTGAAGCTCAGATAGGGTAATACCAATGAGGAAGAGTACCCAAGCAAGCCCAAAAAGCGTGATAAGGGTGGCATATAGGGTAACGAGGAATCCAAGGGCTGCGAGAAAGGTCAGTAGCCGATATAGAGAGTCACGGGCTTGCTTACGCTTAGAGACATATTTCCTGAAACCCTTCATCGAACGTTTGAACTTTGATCGGCGAGAATGCAGCATGTGCCGGACGTGATCGTTAAGCTCTTCTATTTCTTCTTGACTCCAACCCGCCAGATCACTTCCCTCAGGCAGCACGGCAAACCGAGGCTCGCCTGCCTCGGCTATAACAGACGTGAGAGTATGTTCGAGAGAAGGACGGACTTCAGGTTCCTTTGCCTCGTCCGATGGTTCCTCATCGCTTGTTTCCAGTTCTCTTAATGGCGAGGGCGGCGAGAGGGTATATGTCTGGTTACGATTCAAGAGAGGTCCCAAATTCGGAATGAACAAGGAATTTTGTACGTTCGTGAGCGTAGATAGCGCCGACACTTCCGGATCTACATCATATCAGTCAGTATTCCTGGCTAGAAGACCGACAGAGTCAACGAAGGTGATGTACCGATCACATCCAGAACATCGACAATATGAGGGCGATATTCATCGCCCATCTCATCGGTTTGGGCTGGAGCGCTTCCACTAACAGTCGATGCGCGATTCCTGGTGAACCGGTTCGCGCTCACTCCACTCGCCCACCGCATTGGATTTCTACTCCCCCTTCTCGGCATTTCAGGACGCGGCGGGACATCTTCTGCGAGTGGTTGACTTGACTCCGTGGCGACGATCGGGCTCTGGTGTGATACCTCCTCCTTTACCGGGTGCATCTGGTCGCCAGTCGTCAAGCGTGTGAAAGCAGCCGGGTTGGGCGCAGACCATCGCCCAGGTCGGGGTTCGGAGTTGCTGCGGCGGCGATTGCCCTGCCATGCTTCGTCCTCGGTTGATGCCGCAGGAATGGAAGGAAGAGGAGCAAGGGTGGATCCAGCAGCTCTGCTAGAGCTGTCACCATTTTGCTGCGATGGTTGGGACCGAAGAGTGGATAAGTTGGCTTGTTCGAAGGAAGGTAGGCGTTGGAGGCGAATGGAGGGACGGCGGGAACGCAGCGACGCCGCACGTTGTCGGGGGTATGACGTCGGCTGGGGGGCGGACGGGGGCTGGCCTTCGTGGGGATCGAGCGAGCCGTTGACGGGCTCGATGGGATCCATTGAAGACAGCGTCGACGGAGACTCTCACATAGACAGACACACAGTGAGGGGGGAAAGGAATGAAAGATAGGCGAGAGGCGATGGGGAAGGGAAAGTGGAAGGGGCCGCAAAGGTTAAATTTATTGGGGGTGCCAGCAAACGCCGCCATTTTCTTGCCCGCAAACTAGTCAGAAAGAAAGAGCCGTGGTTGCGCCGTGACTAAGCCAGCATCGCATCTTGACGGATGCCAAGACCTCCTCCTTGGTCGATCAACCAAGGCTTGTTTTCCATCGATTCCCGGGGGCTGTCGCTGATCTTAATCGATCTCCTCTCCATGACCATCGATAAAAAACGAAGGTACTGTGAGTGTTGGATAGGAGTGACGTTGTCAGTCGTTCAAAAACCAAAAAATCCTTATCAGCAAGCAGATTGAGGGTCTGGACAGTTTTGCCCCAGTTGCGGTCTAGCCCCCGTTCGATGGCCTGAGGCGACATCCGTGCGTGTATCGTTCAAATGGCGCCCGGTGATTGGTCTGTGACTACAACGAATACGGAATACGGATACGGGTCTCACGTAATCTCCCCTGAGGCATCAATGGACACTTCGATCATATTGATAACGATGGTATATACATGTGTCCCAATCTCAGTCTTCGAGTATCATAACCAAGTCATGAATCTGTTTAATAGATGATGGAACTCCAGCCAAAGAGACATAGCCAGCTCAGTGTCCAACCATGGCCTGGTTGGCAGGGCCATATCTGTTTCCATGTGGTTTAGCAGCATCAATGATCTTTCGCATCTCCTCTTTCTCCTCCTCGGTCAAGTCGACCTCCCGTGAAGCCCAGTTTTGTTCCAATCGGTGCACCTTGGTCGTTCCTGGAATGGCAATCATGCCCTGAGCAGCAACCCAGGCCAGGGCGATCTGGCTGATTGTGCAACCCTTCCTCGATGCAAGCTTCTGGATCTCGTCTACAATTCGCTTGTTGTTGTAGAAGTTTTCACCTTGGAACTTGGGGGCTATGGATGGTTAGATGCAAGGTAAAGCGACTCGGTAGAGAAGAACACTCACAAGTCCGACGGAAATCACTCGGCGCAAAGTCATCAGGAGTCTTGAAGGGGAAATCATCAACAAGCCAGCCGTGTCCCAAGGGGCTATAAGCCACATAGGCGATACCCAATTCCTTGGTAGTTTCAATCAGGCCATCAGTCTCGTGCAGGGTCTCAAATGCTGAGTACTCTGCCTGGACAGCATCGATCTTCGCGACTATCATTGCGGTTAGCGAGTCTGACACCAGATAGAATAAGGGACGGAACCAACTCGAGTTCGCTTTGCGCAGCGTCGCAGCTGAGCACTCGGAGAGGCCGATGTACTTGGTCTTTCCTGCCTTACGAATCTCATCCAGAGCTGGGATGGACTCTTCCAGAGGGGTGTCTATCCGGGGTCAGCAAGTCCAAATGGACCGTTACCACAGACAACGTACTGGGATCAATTCGATGCAGATAGTAAAGGTCAGGAGTGAACCCCAACCGCTCGATGGTGCCTTCAATGTACTCCTTGATGTGCGAGGCAGAGTTTGTGACACCACCATTTCCGGAAAAGACGTCGAAGCCGCACTTGGAAGCAACTGTAATGAGGGTTAGCGGCTTGACCTCATGGTGTAGATTCAAAGTACTTACTAAAGACTTTGTCGCGAACATTGTGCTTCCTGATAAAGTCTCCCAAAAGCTTCTCATTCACACCAGCTTGGTAGACGACCTTGATCTCACATGTTAGGCCTGCAAATATGCCTTTTCCAACGGCAAGTGAAACTCACAGCAGTGTCCCAGAAGGTACACCCTAGCTCAATAGCCTTCAAGAGCACCGGCTCGGCTTCTTCGTAACTGAGATTGGTCCCCAGACCGAAACTGAGGCCCATGGCACCAAAGCCAGGCGATGGGACTTGAAGGTCTCCGAAGGCGAGTGTCTTGACCATTTTGGGCAGCGATTGTTTGGTGGATATAGTTGCTTGTGATCTGACTTAGATAGAAACTTTTGATGAATATTACGACGAGAACTGTCTGGAAGGGAATGAGGATATGGATTTATAGCGTCTGGGGTAATGGCTTTTATAAGGGTCATAACTCCACGTAGAGTGTGAGGTCACCTATGACCCTTTCTCTGGGTGGATACTACCGTCGACGGAGTATGGCCTTGGCAGGGAGACCCTTCCATGCTTGAGAAGAGTCTGTTGGGATTCGTAGAATGGTGTTCGAGTTCCACCATTTCTTTCTGATGCTCGCGTCTCACATCAAACCATGATGCTCCAAATTGCCCGTGCAGCCAGCTTACTCGGCAAATGCGGGGACTAATGGCCGATGACCACTTAACTCCTCCAAACTCCGATAAATCCGAATTGGCCACACTTTGAAGTATCCCTTGGCAGTAATTTGGTGACTCCTCCGTCGCAATCAGTGGAAGAAGATGGGATCGGATCATAGTTCCATATGATGCTAAACCTATTTCTGGTTCAGCGCGTCTGCAAAGGTCAGCATTTAGCACCGACGCTTATGCTAGTCGTGCGGGTCCAGTTCCGTTGCCATCGACTGGCCGGATGACATCCAGCATTATGTTTCGTTGTGTTCGTGGTTTAGTCATGTTATGCGCTCCCCCAAGAGGTGGCGAAATAGCAGCCCTATCGCTACTGGTTCGATTCGTTGAAGGCTATCAAGATAGATGATTATCGCAAAGTTCGCAATCAACTTTCCGATCTGCATCAAGGGAAATCGGGACACGTCACGCACCCTAAAGGGATCTGATGGGTGTAATGGGTTTTAATGTCTTACCCTGAAAATTGATCAAAATTCTCAATATCGGAGTCTGGTCATACTCATGCAGCGCTGGTGGTGGGATATGCCTGACATGATCGTCAGAAGACGCGAAGCTTGTTTGGGATTAGCACCTACTGCATGCTTACGCTTATTAATTATGAAGAGAAGACTTCTGCCAGACTAGTAAACTCTGGTGTCAATGCATACGATCGATTGACGCATCCCCCACCTGGTGCTTTTGCCTTAAGGGGAGTAAGGCACTCATCAACGAGGTGGAAGCGATGCCGTCATCGATCTCGACGCGGGGTCGACAGCATATCAAAGCCGCCTGTGATGAGTGCCGACGGCGCAAGCTGCGGTGTGATGGGCAGCAACCACTATGTGGGGGCTGTCAAGATTCGGGGTCAATATGTGAAATCACCCAGCGCGGGACCAGAGGACCGAGAAAGGGCTACATCAAAGCGCTGAAGAACCGAGTAGTAGATCTGGAAGCTATGCTGGAGAGCCGTATCGATCCTCAGCAACAGCAGCACAGCACGGAAACTAGCGACTTTGATGTTATGCCAACAGCACCACCAGCGGAGGTTTCCGACCCAATAGTGGCCGAACGTACTCAGCCATGGCTTCCAACGGCAACGGCGTCCGAGATGCTTCTTCCAAGCGTCTGCCTGCCTGACTTGGGCTCCTTGTCGGACTGGTCGCTGACTGGAACACTATCTTCGACTCCTGATACCCTTGTACGCATCACAGATCTCATTCGAGATGAATTGTAACAAGAAGTGCCCCTCATGCGCAGAGTGGGGCGAAATAGAGGCTAATCTTGTTTTCCAGAGACCAGCTCTACTTCGATCGCGTACATCCTTCGATCCCTATTATCCACCAGCGGCGATATCTATCATGGTCCAAGACTAGCCAGAAATCGCCTTCGCGCACCTGTCTGCAGTATGCAATGTGGATGCTGGCCACTTTGTTCTCGGCACAGTTTCGAGACATGACAGAGCAGCTCTACCACAAAGCAAAGCATATGTTGGAATCACCCGGCAACAGTGACGGTGACACGGAGCTGGTGCAAGCGTGGGTGCTTATCGCGACATGCGAGTCAATGCGCACTCGCCACCGACAGGCCTGGATGAGCGCTGGCCAGGCATTTCGCTTGGTCCAGGGATTGCGTTTCCATGAGATCGACCGCTCATACAACAATGATACAAGCCTTATATCATCCCCAGAAAGTGGAAGTTTCATTGAAACCGAGGAAAAGCGTCGAGTGTTTTGGATGGCCTACTTGCTTGATCATCTTTTCAGCATGCGCAACGACTGGCCCGTAACGTTACATGAGCACGTGGTAAGTTACCGATGTCACGCACAAAGCCTGAGCCAGCTGAGACTTCAAACTGATGCACTGGGTTCAAATTTCAGATTTGCACTCGCTTGCCAGCTCCGGATGTAGAGTTCCAGAGCGGCCAGCAAGTGCTGGGAGGCTTTCTATCCGAAGCCATGACAGAGCCCACCCCAAAGGTGCGGTCTGCATTCAACGAATGCCTGATACTAGTCACAATATGCGGACGCAATCTGTTTCGGGGCCAGCAGCATAATATATCCAAGGCCTACGGAGATATGCCGTTGGACTGGACGGAGCAGCGTTGGTGGCTAGACGATATCCTCACAACCAGGCTTCAACTCCTATGGGAGTATTATCCGTCGCCCAACGAAGTATTTGATCCATTGCTTTTGTTTGCAAACGTTCTAGCACATTCTACCGTCATCTACTACTGTAAAGGCATGATGTCGACATTGCCCACTTCTATTGATCGCTCGGACACTACCCCCGAGGTCCTCGAGTGTGAACATCGAGCCTTGGCTGCTGCTGCGGCTATCATCCGTCTGGCCAACACGTTTCCCGAATTACACTTTTCTAAGGTGAGTATGCTCTCTCACGTCGGACTGACGACTCCGTCATAGCTTACTGACAGATCTGTTGTCTAGATTCATCCACTTATGCCTATGCCGTTGTTTCTCAGCGCCGAGTTTCTCTACGACAATCTGTCCGGTCACGAATCTTTTCGCTTGTGTCTGCAGGAGCTCATTGAGATTTTCGGTCGGCTGAAGAACGTCAACAATCATGAACAGAGTTACGTGGATCTGCTACCGCAGTCCTGTGTTTCCAAAACCACCAAGCTGCTCGACCATACCTCCAAGAGTCATGATATGAGCTAGTATTCGAGCCTGAAGTTTCGTGGGTAAGATTTAGGAGTTATAAAGGGTGCTATTTGCTTTTGCTTCCATTAGAAGATAAGGTTCTGTTTTCATCACATCTCATTGTAGAGGCCCAGGAGTATCTCGACTGTTACAGCCTCAAACTTGTAATCTTCCTATACCTCATAGCAATGCTCCGATGAGAGTAGTTGATTTAGGACATTTTTCACCTCTATATAAGAACGATCAATCCCACCTACTCACTACTTAGTCGCTGAAGCTAGCTAGCAGAGTCTAGAGATGCTACCAAGATCACCTGATATCATCAAGTCCCATCAAGCCACTGAGCCCTGAGAGCGTTTATCCGCCTACGCAACTGAAGCAATTAGGTATCCAAGTTGAAAGACACTTTGTTGTAAAGCGCAGAGTATTTACAGGGGTAGGGAGCGTTGCCCGGAGATTAGGTTTGCAGCAGTAGCAGCCATCCAAGGTGAGCCCGAAAGGGTGTGGAGCCGATGCCATGAACGCTTGACGACTCGATTCACTGCCCCCCGGATTCACACCACGACACACAATCTCCTGCATCTGCGAGTTTGTTCCGCCTCGGCTTCTTTTCTTCCTTGCCACGCATCACGTACCTCTTGCTGGTTCCGTAAGCCTTCTTCCCACAACAGCCCGTGTTCCAACACCAGACAACTCATCTCTGCCTAAAGCTCGAAGATTTGGACATCTAATTCCACACCCTATCCTTGTCAAGCCGATATACCACCTTTATAGTCCTTGCTTTTTATCAAAGAATTCACTCGACAAACGGTCCATCTTTCGTGCGACCCATCGCGTCCAGCACTCAATATTGAGACCATCAGCGCCCACACTCCCCTATCTTATTTCGTCTACCTTCAAATCATTTTTTTCTCCTCTAGATACCATAACCAGCTCTACCTACAAAGATGGCGATAAATAACCTCATCAACAAGTTGGCGCAATCCACGGCCCCAAGCAAAGACCACCTTTTCAAGTCTCTAGAATTTGCCAACTCCCAGGCGATGGCTGATACTCGAAATGAGAATACCGATAATATCAAGCTTGCCACACCCCTGACCGGCCTGATCTCGGACACGAGGGAGATCTCCAACATCCACCCGAACGGCGATAACCGTGGAAAGCCTAAGACGCTCAAGCGCCCTGCTGATACCATGGCGGAGCCTGATTATCCTAGGAAAAGGGCTCGAACTATGGGTCCCGATTCCCAGGTGGAGGTTGGCAACCAACAGTATCCAGTGGATACAACTGTGGGGTCTACTGAGGCCGACACGAAGAGTTGGACCCCAGCTGCACTGACCGAGGCCGAGGCTCAACAGAATGAGGATACTATCCAGACCCGGAACAACACTGAGAGGCATGCTTTAGATCCCACAGCGGAGTCTGGCACTTTTATTCTGAACACCATGACGGGCGAGACACGGCCAACAGAAAACATTCCCGCAAAAGCAAATATACAGGCGACTGCGGAACAACACTTTATGTCCAACTCTATTCCAACTACATCTATTCCTCCTTTAGACACGACAGCGGAATCCCCCATCGACGCTTGGAAGGATACGACGGGTGAGACGGACATCCAAGAAAACACCCATGAAGAAGCAAATATACCGACTGCGACACAGCACTCTACTTCGAACGCTATTTCACCAACCAGTGACACTAGTTCTCCAAATACGACGGTGGATCCCCACGAGAAAGATATGATGTCAGACAGGCAGGCAAAACAAAGCACCCAGGCAGAAGCAAATATAAAGGGGTCAGCGGAAGAGCAACCTCCTTCCAACTCTATCTCGACTACAACAGATGCTCCCCCAGACACGAAGACTTTCCCTTATACCGATCAATTTTTTGCGGACCTGGCGAGTACAGTCACACAGTTATTCCCATTGAAGGCGTTTGCTGCCTCCCATGATTGCAGCATCAGTGCAGTATCTCAGGCCATCAATGCCGTGATTGTCGGTCCTCTGTCCGATCCAGACTTCCACTGGCATGAGGACACTAAGATCACCATCTCTACATTTGGGAGGCATATGATTGACTCCTGGGAGGAGTATTGCCGCGAACAGGCTCGCAAGAAGCCAACGCTTGTCCCTGCTCTGAGTAGGAGGCCACCTGCATCGGCAAATGGTAAACCGAAGAAGCATGTCCGGTTTGACATTCCCGACGATCCGGCGGGTGACTTGTCTCATATGTAATGGAGACATTTTACATGTGGGAGACATATGAGACTGTAAGTATGGGTGTTGAAATACCAAAGAGGTACTACTGGATGGAGAGAACCCGATGGAACGCGGGGGAAAGTGGGGTGGGTACCGGTTGGAAGATGAGGATAATCTACGATAAGCAGCGCACGATATTTGGGCCACAAAACACCAGAACGACCCTAGCGACATCCACTCGGGATTAGAAAGTTGCCAGAAACAAACTACCTATTGTGGCACAATGAATGGTCTACAAGGCATTGCTCGCATTGGACCCATATACCATGGGTTTGTCCACCGATATCCAAGACAAGCATCCTAGTGGAATGTGGGTGGTATTGCCGGAAGGCGTCATGTTTATGTTGGTTGGGATACGTACTTGGAGAAATTGGGCTGGTCCGGAAGTTTGCGTGCAACGGGTTGGTATTGGTCGAGGGATGATTGACGGGTGCGTCATACTAGTCGTCTCGGCTGCAGGGGAATCAATATTGCAGGATGCATACATGAGTGACAGACGACATTCCACAGGTGATTGCTCGCGCTCCGGAATCCGTGTCCAACTCGAATCAGAATGTGGTGCTCTGAGGAATTGAGGTCTCAGTTGGGACCCGTTCTGTGCGATCCACAGCCAACGAGCAGGGCAGCAATTGAACAAAGGCGGATCATCCAGTCAGGCCCTGGGACAACAACAGCGTGGAGTCGCGATGACGGGAGCGAGGGCGATCTGGCCAGATACAAGCTGGCAAGTGGGGATGGGGCTCGCGGTGGTCTGACTAATGAGGAGGGAGGAACTGCGACCTGCAGGTATTGTACTTCTGCAGTATTGGGTGACAACCTAAAGGTGGATGTATGCCTGCCTTTACAGCTGAGTTGAGTTTGCCTGCCCTCACAGTTGGTGGTGGTGGTGGTGGTGGTGGGAGTTTGTCAAGTGGCAGGCACGATGGTGGCCGTCCGCCCCAACAAACCCAACCAGCACCACCACATCATGAGGGAGGATGAGTCAAACCGGTGATGTCAGATCCCCTGCGGGCTCCAACTACTCCATCGCGCCTAAACTGCTCCAGGGAAGGTGCCTGAAGACCGCCCAGACCGCCGGACGGAAAGTCCACGTCGGGGGCCCCAATCCGGTCTAGCGTGGTACGGAACTGGTACGGTTGCCCAGCTCGGGGCCATCTTCAGGCAGATCCAGGCAGATCCAGGCATCCTCAGGCAATTACCTGCTCCCTTCGGCATAGGCCCGCCACCGCCCTCGCTGCCTGCCCTTTTTCTCTCACCTTCTCCTTTCCCCCCCCCCCCCCCGTCGACTTCATCCTTCCTCCCCAAGGCAAATCTTCATCGTCTCCAACCCAGATTTTCCCCGTCAACTCTCGTATCTAGGGCACCAAGCTACCCTTTTCCTCCACCCACCCCCCCTCTTCAAGCTTTTCCCATCCCACCTGCTTCAAGGAAATTTCAAGTACAGGCGGTCTTAAGCTCCCCTGAGTCCTTGTCTCAACGCACAAACCGGTCAAGACTTCCCCGCGCGCAACCTCCCCCGTTCAATTCCACCCCCTCACATCCAAGCTCGTTGCGTCTTTTACCGTCAAGATGTCTGCTGCCGTCGAAAACACCGCCGACAATGTCGCCTCTGTCCCTGCTACTACCTCCCCCGAGGCTACCAACGGCACTGCTCCCGCCCCTGCACAGTCTACCGATGCTGCCGCGGCCAGTGCTGATGAAGGACGTCGGTTGTACATTGGGAACCTCGCTTATGCGACCACTGAGGGGGAGCTGAAGGAGTTTTTCAAGAACTACACGATGTAAGTGCTTGACCTGCATTGTTTCCACCTGGCCTTTTCTCGACATATCTCCCGGTTGGTCTAAGCTCCTCGGGGGCCGTCCAGAGCCACGTTGCCGGCCCCCTTGCTGCCATCGGAGCTAGTCCAGCCCGACACTGGCATGTGACCATGGCTACAACTTGCCTCGGGCCTGGTTTCTGGAGCTCCTCTTTGTGTATATGTTTTGTCAGGAAGGTTGCAACGAATCTAACAGCAGCTCAATTGCAGTGAGAGCGTCTCCATCCCCGTGAACCCTCGCACCAACCGCCCCGTTGGATACGCCTTCGTGGATCTCGCCACTGCCAACGAGGCCACCGCTGCTATCGAAGAACTGTCTGGAAAAGAAATCCTCCAGCGCAAGGTCTCTGTCCAGCTTGCCCGCAAGCCCGAGCCCGCCGAGGCTAAGGCTGAGGGTGCCGCAAGTGGCGGTGAGGGTGCCAGCGGTAACGAGGGCCGCAAGAGGGCTGGTGGTCGTGGTCGTGGCCGCGGTCGCGGTCGTGCTCGTGGAGGCCGCCTGCCCCGTGCTGGTCGCTCTGTAAGTATATCCCGTTATTGGGAGTGACCAATAAAATGCTAACCGCGTGTATAGCAGGCCCCCGCTCCGAACGGCCAGGACACCACTGAGCCTGCTACCATCCCCGATGAGGCTGCTCCTCTGGCCGAGGTCACTGACCAGAACGAGACCGTTGCTTCCGGTGAGGCTGGCAAGCAGGCTGGTAAGCCCCGTGCTCCTCGTCCCCAGAAGCAGCGCGGTCCTCCCGAGGATGGTATCCCCTCCAAGACCAAGGTCATGGTGGCTAACCTCCCTTATGACCTGACCGAGGACAAGGTACGGACAATGAATTATTCTACTGGATGCGGAGTGCTAACCCCCTGCAGCTTAAGGAGATCTTTGCCGACTACCAGCCTGTTTCCGCCAAGATCGCCCTTCGCCCTATCCCCCGCTTCATGATCAAGAAGCTCCAGGCCCGGAACGAGCGCCGCAAGGGTCGTGGTTTCGGATTCGTTACCCTGGGCTCCGAGGAGCTCCAGGACAAGGCCGTTCAGGAGATGAACGGCAAGGAGATTGAGGGCCGTGAGATTGCCGTCAAGGTTGCCATCGACAGCCCCGGCAAGGAGGACGACGCTGTTGCTCCGGCCGAGAAGACTGAGGAGGAAGTGACCGAGGCTCCGGCGCAGGAGAACGCTGCTCCCGCCGCTGCCTGAATGACAAGCTCGTTCTTTGCCTGAACGAAGAACCCCCGTGGAAACTCGGGGGTTGGAGGAGAAGTCGGGACCCGTCATCTGGATGGTTTTTATAGTGGGCGTCGTCAGGAGGCCATTTTCTTTTCCGGTCGGGGAGAAAGGCGCAAGAGCAGAAAGGAAAAGTTCAAAAGCCAAAAGCCTTTTACTATTCTTCCTGTTTGATCTGGTCCTGGGGTTCTTTATATCTTGTATACGGATGCCCGAAAGGGATTCGTACTGGAGAGATGAAAATGCGTAATGTGTTGTGTGACGGACCTGACCCTTGCTCACGAATCTGCCATTCTGCTACACTGTATCTTAGCAATATTTATTTAGCTTATGATTAGCCACAAGCTGGGCTTGTAGTTGTGCCGATCCATTAGTAGTTCGTTGTCTTTGATATCGGTAGATGACTATTGTCCTTGTTTGCACCTGCAAAAAGTACCAGGAGAGAAACCGTTAACAGTGATGTAATGTTCCCCGGTGCCCAGCAACCAGCTCTGGATTGGTCGGTGGGTCTTCCTCGGAGCAATAACTGATTTAAGTATCTGACCTACTAGTGTAGTAGATGGTAGAATGTTCCATGATCCATCCGATGCAGACGACTCCACCTGTCTGTCCGGGATGTAGTTATCATTTGGTTACACTGCTTTATTCTTGGCATTGATAGAGATTAGGATTAAAATCGATTCACATGTTTGTGTATGTCTGTGGGTGTTGTTAGTGTACATTTATCTTCTGAGGCACGGGTACTACTAGTACTAACAGCTAAGCATTTCATGATTAGTTACCATTGAAGTCTACTATTACTATTGAAAACCATAGCTAGGTGCTACTAGTCAGTCCTTCCTTGTATGTTGACAACTGCTGTTACTAGTATTAGCTTCAGGTGAAGAGATATTTTTTCATGCCTACTACTATTACTACTATTACTACTATTACTACTATATCGACAGCAGAGATAGAAACAAGAAGAATTAGTTGATACCTGGATATAAACGATTATGATTTGAGGATTTGGTATTTTTTGATGAAGGGGGAGGGGAAAGGGTTATATAATGGTAGTTGGGTAAGTAGTATATATGGATACATGATTGGTTGGTTGGTTGGTTGGTAGTTAGTTGGGCATGGCATGTATAAATGAGCGTATCGCACCCGTCATCCACACATGCATACAAAAATCTCGCCCTCGTATGCATACACATGTACATAAAAGAGAGAGATAAAAGATGCGATATGCCTGAACTTGTCGTGGTTGAGTTTGACGAAACCACGTTCAGCCAGTTTTGGATGTCTGGTGTGTGTGTTTCACTTTGTTTTGTTTGGTTCCGTTGAGGGGGGAATTAGAGGGCAAAGGTGAAATCTGGGCTTCGGTGGGTGAGGAGGTGGGGAGGGGTTAAAGTGTTTGGTGCTGGGGATAGGAGAGCATGGAGAGTTCACTTTGGGTGGTGTTTTAGTCGGGGATGCATGTGTGGTGATGTCCGTGATGGGGAGTGAGGTTGAGGTTGAGGTTGGTTTCATAAGTTGGGTTGGAAAATCAGAGAGTCGTGTTTGAATCTCTGCTTGGGGTGCTTGAAGTATTTGGTGTTGGGGATAGGAGGTCATGATGTTCAAGTTGGTTGATGTTTAAGCTGGTTTCGGATGATGAATAGTGGATGGTAGAAGGAGGCACTATCTGCTTTTCATCATTTGCGGTTGGAACTCGGGGTCGGTTTTGTAGAGTGGGGAATGAAATCAAAGATCTGATGCTTGTTTGTATAGAATTGTGAGGGCTGGAAGTGAGGTAGGTCAGTGCCGGAGAATAGTGTCTTTGTTAACGAGGAGGGTAATTTGAGGTGGAGGGAGATGTGCCAATATGTTAGGATGAGAGAGGAGGAAGTTGTATATGTCCTGAATCTATCGTTTATGGTTTCGTCGGGGAGGGGCTAAAGAGGTAATGCATGGGTTTGTTGGAGCACCGCAATGGTTCGGTGGGTGGAGGATTCTTCACAGCCAGTGAATCGTACCATATTTGGAGAGAATGGGTTCTTGGAATGCAAGCCTCGATTTCATGAGGCGTGACTGGTTGTAGATTGTGGGTTTCAGGTATATGCTTCAAAGGGTTGTAGACTTGTGAAGGGTGAATTTCCCGGAATAGTCCCGTTCTTTTGTAAGGCAAGTGCTTGCTTCGAGAGAGAGATGGAGGTTCTTGAAAAGTCAAGCTAGTCGTGCATAATGCTGTATCTCTCTATCATGAGGAGTGACACTTTGATTCCAAAGAGTCGAAGTCTTGCTGGGCGTACTGGCACTGTGTTTCCCGACTGCTTTGAGGGGTGATTTCTCACACAGGACAACATGAAATATACCTGCGCAGAGAAAGCCTCCTGCCGTAGGTGCTGCATGTTCCTACCATGAGAAATGGATCACGTCGAGGGGCATATGAGCTCGTGACTCCAGTGCTAGACTAGGATAGTGGATCGTTCTTTAGAAGGTTGGATTCCACCAGTAGTTGGGTAGTGAGTCGAGAGATTCGTGCAGGACACAGACCCTAGCCATCGAGGGTATCTCTGTCTGGTGTGGAATTCCACAATTGAGCCTGGCCAGGTGGGCTGTATTGCAAATTCTGTGTAGGAAAGGGCTCCATGGTGATGGTCCTAGAATGGTTCCTCAAGACGCTGTCATGGGATGCCATGATGCCGATGAGCCAATAAATTTGATGATATGGTGGTCGATATAAGTTCTATTATCCACTTTATTTTGCGTGGAACTATCCATTGTGATCTCTGCAGACAACCGTGCGCAGATAGGCTGGCTGAATTAGCGAACGTGCCTTGATCGCATCCAGCCATCATGTGCCAATCTGTTCATCACCCCGCTTTAGACTGGGAAGATATGGTCTCTTAATCCCTCCAGGCCATGGCAGATCATCTTCGAACTTGATATTATACTTAACTTAGCACCAAGGGTAGTCGGAGCACCTTGTTGACCACATCTTCCTGTCTCTGCAATCCTGTTCAAACACCTTCGACGAACGGCTTGATGGTCTTGATGAAAGAGCAATTGATCCGTGGCTTTTTCAACCTGCAGTTGAGAAGACATTGGGGTGGTTATAGTATTAGCTGTCTTGGTCTGGTATGCTCGCTGTTCTACTTCTTTCGCTGTATACCTCATTCTCGTCTCCCGTGGAGATCTGGTGAGCCCTTTGACAAAGGGTATATGTTATGGTAGACGACTTGGTCGGATCCAGTTCAGCTTGGATGGACGATATAGCGTGAGCCTCACTCATTAAGACTAGCTTGGAGAAGAAGTGAAATCATCGGAGAAAATCACCAAAGAATTATAGAGTTAATGTTAGAATCTGATTCATAATGTAGTCACCGATGCCGATCCAGCGTGCGTTAGCTTCTCGTTAGGGCCCTGGGATGGGTTTGCAATAGAGGATGCTTTAGTGAGGCTTGTACAGTGTAGGTCTTGCTGTCTTGGTGTGGTTGATATACATAGGTAGACTTTCCCCCAAATACGATATTGAGGAACGATCGAAGATCGGAAAGGATATCGGTTGCTGATAGGAACATAAAGTTCTGGATCGTGACTGTGATTATCTCAATGAGAGTGAACTGATCAGCTGGGAGAGATCTTGGCCATTTGACCATCTGATGAAAATGCTTAGGGACCCGGACTTGATATGTTTGATCTGATCGTGACTGGCTTGAATGGATGGATGAAGCAGGTCCCTGGTTCTTTATATAATGCATGGCAGGTGATCTACAATCGGTTCCTGCAGGAGTACTCCTACGGAACGCAGGAATCTTCCTATGTAAATATTATCTATCTTCCTAGGTGGTTGTACAACGGTACTGGTATCTGCCTAGCGCGACAAGAAATCCAAAAGACACTAAGACGGATATTTCCAGAAAGAAATATACTTATACGCGTAGACGCAGTCAAGCCTATTACTACCTCCAGCTATTATCCCATCCGGCCTGCTCTACGGCAAAGGCGATGGCTAATTCGGAAAATCTAGCCATGTGCTATTCCATGGCTGTCAGTGAGACTCAGCGTAAAATCGGTGAAGATGAACTCACATCAAGAGAGAAAACTCCCGTCTCATCGTCAATGTACATGGTGTCGTTCACGCCGTGGACGTATGGATCGAATTCTCCAGGAAAGTCTCCTCCGGCGAGCGGGTTCCCCTCGGAGGCAAATGCAGAGGGATAGTTGAGTTGCGTATAGGACATGTAGTCCGAACCCGCATTGCTGGTGTTGTCAGCATTCTTGATTGCCTGTCATATTTAAAACGACTTACGGTCCTAGCTCATATACTTCCGCCGGAATGGAAATGTATTCCCGGCTCAGGTTCACGGTCCAGTTCGTGAGAGCGGCGTCGGCCTGTGTCGCGACAAAACCGATCGTCTCGGTAGCGTTGCGGGCAATGAACGCTGTCATGTCCTGTAAGAAATTGATTAGACGAGCTGACGTGGGTAGGATAGGTTGCGACTCACAAACTCCATCATCGCACCAATCTTCGCGCCCTGCTCCTTCTTATACCGCGCTATGGCCTGGCTGCCCAGGAGTCCGCCCTCCTCGGCCGCGTACCAGTGGAACTCGACGGGGCCGTACTTGGGCGTATACCCGTTCTCAGCGAGGATGCGGAACGCCTCAAGAATGCTGACGGTGCCAGAGCAGTCATCGTCCGCACCAGGGGCGGGGAGCAGCGGGAAGAGGTAGTTGGCGGAGTCTTGGTGGGCGCCAATGATGGTCAGGGGCAAGGAGAAGTTGCGGACTTTGGGTTCAAAGCGTGCAATAATGGAGGATTGGCGGAAGGGGTGAGTAAAGTATTCGAGGGAGATGTGGGTGCGGAATGGCGATTTGGCGATGATCTTGTGTGGGTTAGTAAATGGTGGTGCGTAGAGAGGATGAGGGTACCTCGGCAATGTGGTCATGAAGCCATTCGGAGCTCTTCTCGCCGTGAAAGTCACCGTAGTAGCGGTTGTAGTACGAGGTCATGTGCTGGAGGACATTGTACATTCGCTGTGTCTCGACGTGGGCGAACAGCGGCTTGACGAGGCGTTTGTGGGCCAAATCGGGGAGGTCGGGAGAAGATGGAATGTTAACAGAGGGGGTTTCCACTCCAATGAGGACAACTCACTTGGGTTACCGGCGGAAGCAGTTGTTGCCTGCTCGGCATAAAACTCATGGTGGTCAGTAATGTCGATAAACTTCTGGCCGCGACGGCGGAGGCGAATCTTGTCGCCCTCGGTCATCCATTCGGCCTTTTCTTCGCCCCGGACGTGCAGCAGACGGGGCTCGGCCAGGAACGCGGCGGCTTCAGGACGCAGAGACACCAGCGCCGCAACAGGGTCGGAGTGGGTGTTCAGGGCGGAGAGAATGGCCTCGTCCACATGGTGTTGACCATATGCATTGGGTGCATTGGGGGCCTCGGGAGACGGGGCGAAGACTACTTGGGACTCGGCCAACGGGTGGGGGGAGGCCAAGGCAGCCCCAGCGGTGCCCCAGAGGAGCAGCAGAGTGGAGGCGAGCATGATGTTAGTAACTGGGTTGGAGATGGGAAATGAACGGTGGAATAGAAAGGGGAGAAGATGGGAGATAAGCAATAAATAAGCTCGGACTGCAAGGGACCGATAAACCGATAGTAGCCAACGGTCGCGCTTATCAGTCCCGCCTCATCTCTCCGCGCGATTTGCTGATGACAATTGACAGATCATGGACCTGGCCGATTGAAGCTGATTAATTGGTTCTAGCTGTTAACTAGGCGATCCATGAAGTGACTCATCCCTTAATCTATCACTTGTTGGAGTAAAGTGGCTACCTATGTTGTCTGGTAGCATAAGCACTACCTAGCATATGTAGACAAGGCGGTGTCAATTGGATTGCACCATCCCGACTGGTAACTCGCACTCAACAAGACACTCTTGCGTCTGGATTCAGAGGCAATATGTAATATTGTCTGCATATCATAAGACTGGCTCTCTCTCTTTCAGATCTTCCTCATGCAAGCCTATTTCAGCAGCATCTCTGATGCGTTCTCTCTGCTCATAGATGGTAAGTCTATTCTATCGAAGATTTCGTAGTGTGATGCTTCCGCGAGAGGGTCCCAGCAAGGCATACACGTCCAAGAGCAGGTCCATGTTACTGACATCATCAGAAACCAAAGCCAGGGAACTCCGTCGATAAAGATCCTCCCCGTTATTATGTACGGTTTGACTCTCGCCTGCTAGCCCTCACAATTCACGGCCCCTATTCTTTGGGAGTTGAATGGTGCCAGCGGATTGTCAAGCAAGTCCAGGCATGTTCTTTAGAGGATATTGATCATGCACCAGTTTGTGTCAAGTTCAGTCCCGTCGAACTAGTTTAAAAAGGCCTGCAAATGTGTCATCCAGTTCCATGCCCCCAATTTAATCCCCGGTTAGGGGTGACGCAGTTCCTTCTCCCCTGCACTGGAATATGTCACAAGGGCATAAGGACTGTTAATTAGCCTACCGGCTTCTTCTGGCGGACTGATACCTGCCCCCTGTGTCGTCCCAATCCTCGTGTGTGCCTTGCGAATGAACGATTTTCTACCTCCGTTCAAAGAAACTCTATTACTCATTGGCTGCTCCTTGAAGCCCCTACACATTCAAAAGTCATTATTCAAGAGAGAGGATACTAGTACGAGATCGTGAGAAATCACTAAACAAAGAAGACGTTTTCGCATGCCACCCCTTCCAAGACAAACATTACTCGTCTGTGTGCTGGTTAGTTGAATGGCCTTTTTGAAGAAAAAAAGGGTTTTTTGCCGGAATCAGCCATGGAAGGAAAATCATGCTTTTCAAAATGCAGGACCCAGATTTCCGAGAAAAACACTCTTTTTGACACCGTCATAGCTGTGTTCAACTTGGTCTTTCAAGGGCCCATGGTGTCTGACTCGGGCCAGGCAGCAAGCCAGTGTCAAAATCAGGCTTTTTACATGCTATTGCCGATACTGAGCATAAGATAACCAAAGAACAACCATGGTTTGCACAGTCCAAATGTTGGTAATTACGTCCGATGTACGATTTTTAGAAGCGTTCTAGCATCCAAAAATTGATTTTAAATGCCGTATGGATGAAGAAAAGCCCCCATGCCTTGGATGAATGCTCCAGACTAGCGCCACAGTCTGCAATGTTCTTTCTTATATCTTGAGAATCCGATGGAAAAAGCACCAAAAACAGCAGCTACCAACTGACTTTCTCTATATAAATGACACACACTTTGACAGTCTAGAGATAGAACGATTATCATTTGCACTGCCAACACCATTGAACTGACAGTCAGATCACTGGTATGTCGCTACCGAGAGTCCTTTACCACTTTATTCAACCCAGGTTCAGTAGCTGACTTGATAGCGATAGTCGAAGTACCAGTGACTTTTCGAAAAGGAATTTTAAATGGCAACACAATCGGAGACTGAAAGCCTGATCAGTTTCGAATTGGGGGCCCACCAGTATCTGGCACGTCCTATTGAAAGTGTATGTTCTAATCGGGTAATTTATTTTCACAACCTGCTTTTTAACAAGCTGATGCATGATAAATATCAGTATGGCGTCCTGGAGGCTCTTTCAGACAGCTCTGGTCTAGTCACCTACCTTCATGTATCCAAGGATAAAACCCTTGACGCAAATGCCCTTGAGGACTGGCGAGCATCTCTTCTAGCGAAAGACGATGTATTCCATGTTGACTTTCTTCAACACATCATCATTGGAGGTGCCTGCTCGAGTGAGGTGCATCTTACTGAAGATGTCCAGGACTTATTTCAAGGATGGAACACGACAAAGATAACGTACGAGCCACAGCTTGATATTGCCAGTGGGCCATATTATATCCAAAAAGGCATTCTATACTCCGTATGGAAAGTCTATGAAGACTGTCAGCTTGCCTTCTTACAGGCGACCTGGCCCTCATCCCAGGGAGATGGGTGAGTATCTCTACATGGGTCAAAATACACAGACGCTAGATTAACATACCTAGGACACTCTTTAAGACCATATCTGCCGGTAGTGACTACCGTGGGCACGGAATTGCTGTCCCCGCGAGGTCATACTCGATCAAATGGCCATCAATATCTACACAGATTGAGGACGATTCGGACAGGTACAAATCCTAACTCTATATCAGACTGACCGCTGTATTATTCTGGGGCTGACTATGTCTCTATATAGTGTACTGAGAGGCATGAGGGTTTCTGTTAAAGACAATGTTCACATTAATGGGACTCGGACAACCCTCGGCAATCGCGCATACCTTGAGACATACCCTGCCCAGGAGCATAATGCAGAGGTCGTATCACGACTTATAAAAGCAGGTGCACATATCGTCGGGAAGAACCATCTCAGTTGCCTTGCTATGATGGAGCATCCAACTCAGAGTGCTGACTTTCAAGCACCGTTTAATCCACGGGGCGATGGCTACCTACTCACCGGCGGCAGCAGTACTGGAAGCGCTGCTGCAGTTGCTGCTTATGACTGGTTGGATACTTCAATCTGCAGTGACAGTAAGCGTTTGCGTTTTATCAGTACATCCGAGATGTTGACACTGCCATTGATGACCTTGTGAGAAACCTAGCTAACGCTGATACAACAGCAACTGGTAGTGTTCGAACCCCAGCCTTGCAGACTGGAGTTTTTGGGTTCCGCCCTTCTACCGGCGCTGTGAGTGGCGAGGGCCTGGTGAACGCTTGGCCTGATATGGATACAGTTGCATGGGTGGGAAGAGATCTGAAGATGTTCCCAGACGTCTTTCGTGTCCTTGCAAACTCCTGGGCTACTGCCAAGGGGGGGAATTTTTCAAGTGAAGATTCGATAGAAATATTGTATCCCAGTGATTTCCTCCCCGGAAACTCTGAACAGTCACGAGTCACAGAGGACTTTCTTGCCCAGATAACCTCGGCAACAGGCGGTTCTTTTCGCCCAATTTCTATACACGACGACTGGCGGAATACCGCGCCGGTGGAGGAAAAGGATCTCCGACAGTATCTCTACAATGTCAGTTTTGCCTCTGACACAACTCCATTTCGATCAGTATCTTACCAGGATTGATCTAGCTCACTCAACATGGCTGGTTCTACTCTGCATACAAATCCTTTGAGCAGTTCAGAAACGACTATATTGAGAAGCATGGATATAGCCCATTCGTGACCGAGGTGGTAAGGTGGTATTGGTATGGACTTCCCCCAAGATTGCCATCTACAGGAATTAATGCGTCATGAACAGGGCCTTGGGAAAGGATGTGACTGGCGAGGACTATCCTGAGTTACGGAATCGTCTCGCAATATTCCGGAACTGGTTCCTAGAACAGTATCTGCAGGACCGGCCGCGCAACACGCTAATAGCGATGCATATTGACACCGTGAGACCCAAATACCGCGACGAGTACCCAGGAGCAAACAACCCGGATGTGCCTGGACTCCGCGCCACGTATCTTTCGGCAATCCTTCAAGCCCCTGAGTTGGCTATTCCAAGTAAGTCCCCCATCGTGTGCTGCAGACAAACACACATGCTCATAAAGTCCCGTTAGTTGGTCAAATCGATTACTACTCCCGGATCATCGAACGACTCGAGAAAATTCCCGTGGCCGTATGTTTGATGGGGGCGCCTGGAACCGATTTGGAACTGATAGAATGGACCCTGCAAGCTATGGAGAAGGCTGATCGCCCAACGAAAGTCAAGACCGGAAAGCTGGCCTTCTAAATACTGACCGGCGGGACGAATGTTTTCACGTAAGCCATAGATGGTGTTTTGTTGAAGCCATTGATTTAATCAACATATGAAGCCCCAATCCATGGTCATTCGTAGAGCAGGAGCCATGGGCCGATGGGCGGAACTGTTGGCCGAATCCACCTAAATCGCATAGGTTGTAGTTCCAGGCGAGCTTCCCATGGGCACTGACGCCTCATCCCCATCGGTTGGTTGCGATAATGACCAGGAGCCAAGTGGATCGGGCGGGTGGAGCGAGGCTAAACGTAGTGCCGTGGCTCCCCTCCGATCGGCCCCTCTCTCGTTGTCTCTCTCCCTCTCCTTCTCCCTCTGCTGAATCTCTCCCCGATCTCTCACCGCATCCAGGGGCTGGGGAGCATTGAGCAATTGCTGCCCGTCTTGTTCCCTCCATCTATCCGTGCTCCCACCTTAGTCCACCTCGCTTTAATCATGTCGCGAATGTGGGAAGTTGATCCCGAGACGAGGGCCAAGGTATGCCACATCCACCCCTCAATAATCTCCTTACTCCCACCATCTCCCTCCACAGACAACCCCGACTGACTTCCCCGGACTCTTTCCTCTCTCTAGCTTGTCCAGTTCTCCAAAATCAACGGCAACGACAAATGCTGCGACTGCGGCGCACCCTCGCCCCAATGGGTATGACCTCACCCGGCACCACTACGCCACATTTCCTTCCAACCAACAATAACAACTAACACAACAACACCATGTCCAGGCCTCCCCCAAATTCGGCACCTTCATCTGCCTTAACTGCGCCGGCACTCACCGTGGTCTAGGCGTCCACATCTCCTTCGTCCGCTCCATCACCATGGACGCCTTCAAAACCTCCGAGATCCTCCGCATGGAAAATGGCGGCAACGAACCCTGGAAGACCTTCTTCGACTCCCACCCCATCACGCAATCCGAAGGTCGCACGTTTGAAGACTCCACCATCAAAGAGCGTTACGAGGGCGAGGTCGGCGAGGAATGGAAAGAGAGACTCTCCGCTAAGATCGAAGGCAGGGAATACGTCCCCGGTCAACAGCAACCCCCACAACCGAAGAAGAAAGAACCGACGTCACGGTCGAGCACACCTCTCGCTGCTCGGGGCGGATCCCCTGCGTCGCTTGACGCGGTGCCAGAACTGAGTAAGAAGGAACGCAACGAGGCGTATTTTGCTCGCTTGGGGACGGAGAATTCTTCGCGTTCGGAATCGGTGCCTCCGTCGCAGGGGGGCAAGTTTACCGGTTTTGGTGGTGGAATGCCGGCTACAAGTGCGTCGAAGTCCTCGTCGGGCGGTAACGGGGCGGGAATTCCGGGGTTAGATGATTTTCAAAAAGATCCGATGGCTGCGTTGACGAAGGGATTTGGATGGTTCACAACGACGGTCGGGAAGGGCGCGAAGACGGTGAATGATTCGTATATCCAGCCTACGGCGAAGACGGTATCCCTCCCTTCCATCACCTAATCCATCCCCAACCCATGAGCTAAACAATACTAATCTTCGGACTATAGATAGCAGAATCCGACTTTGCAGCCCAAGCCCGCGTCCACGCCTCTACACTAGGCCAGAACATGCAGTACGGAGTCCGCGGCGCAGCAGATCATTTCCAGCGTTTCGTCGAGGGACAAGATGAGGCTGCAGCTGCGGCCGCAGCACGGAGAGGCCGTGCAGAGCCCGAACGGAAGGACTTCTGGGATTCATTCTCTACTCTCGCAGCGGAAGATAGTCATCGGAGGACTGCGTCGAGGTCGAGTGCCATTGGGACTGCGGCCATGAAGACGGGGCCTAGTGGTGCTGGCGCTTCTTCGGCTTCGTCTGCTGCTGCTACGTCGACGGCGACGTCCACAGCAACGGTAGGGAAGAAAAGTACGGATGAGGGAGGATGGGATGATAATTGGTAAATGGATTAGATCTCGTTTCTTTCTACCTAGGTTAGATTGTTGGGTAGATATCATGTAGCGTTCATATAGTTGCCTACCCGTCTTGCCTACGCTGAATGACAAGACAGCATTACTTGTGATTGATTGATTGATTAATGAAAAGGAGTATGACATGCCAGGTTTCGATCGGAGTGTTGGAGTGAGTTGTTGCCCGGGAACACTGCATTGAGAGAGAGCGAGAGTATGCAATTTTATATTCGTTTACGACTCTCTTTACCCTTAGACCTGTAGATCTGAGACAACTACCATCCACACCGACTACCTATCCCAAAGACCACCATCCGTTTACCTACTCCTATACTGATAAATCCCCTGCAAGGTCGCATTTCTCAGCATTTATTACGTTTATCCGACGGGCCAAACAATCCATACGAATGGCTACTCACTGTCAGAGACCCAAAAATGATCAAACGGGGGAAGGCAGTGATGTACCGCACCCTAGGGATGAAAGCAGAGAATTGCATAGGGATCAATCAAGGAAAGTCTCATCATTCCCGCAATCATGCAAGAAGCATCCTCGCGCGAAATCATCGTTTGCGTTATCCCGGACATGCTCAAGATGTCCTCCCTCTTCGAGCCGTCTTACCTTTCATAAAGAATCTAATCGGTTCTTGTAATGACTGTGACCCCCGGCGGAGGGTGGCACGATGACCCCCGCATATTCATTGAACCTTATGCTATGAAATGGAAGCTGCCGGTCTGATGGACTTCGCTTCGTGATAGAATTGACCGGGACTTTGTGAACATGCTGTGGCAACTCAAGGCAGTGAGTGAGTGGCAAGTCGGTTTTGGGCAGACCCTGCGAACTGACTCACCGATAAGAATGGGAACTTTGAGTGGCTCTTATGATGAGGCTTTGGTGCAGACAACATGGGGAGAATGCTTCTTTGTTATGTAGTGCAGTGTGCAGTGTCTCTACGGGGCAGAGGACTGACTATATGGAAGAGGGATCTCGGCGCAGACCCTAATAGAGCAGACAGAGGAGGGGGCAACACTCCTCTTAGATAACAACGCGAACATCTCCGCAATGTGTGACTGACATATATCTGTAAGCACCCGGTAAGTCGTATCGCCTATAATCAGCAGACATCCAAGCACCATGCATGCTCAATTGAATAGAGTTATCAGATCTAACCCCTTAATTGTGGTTTAGTTAATATTACCCTTCCCGGCTCGCTGTCCACTAGAATTGGCTTATCATCAAGAAACAAGAAATTTCCGTCGACTAAATTGATCCCAACACCGCTGCTAATTAACTTGCCGGTACTCATCTACTTCAAAACCAGGGACCGGATTTTGGATTCTGAAATCAGCTCATTTCAACGATTGCTGGGTCGCACGGAAATGTAGATTGGACAATTAAAGAAGGGAATGAGTATGTATGTAAACTTGACCTGGTCTATACATCTTACAAAGAAATGATGGTTGCATCACGCCGAATAGGACTGCTGCTAGATAGAATACTACATATATAGATTGATCTGTCAGTTGTGCCTAGCGTTCGAATTTAATGACTGTGGGCTGGGGTCTTTGGTAGGATTGTCGTTTGCCCGATGGCCTTTATAGTCTACCATACAAATCCTACCCATAGCTAACATGGAACACTCGTCTTTGATACGTGATGCTCGTCGAGACATCTAGCTTCTTCGCTTAGTTCTAGAAGTTCAATATTTTCCACTATTCGTTTCCTCTTTCAGAGTATTCAGATAGATTTCTGACATACTATCTAGAATTTCTGAAACATTGACAAAAAAAGAGAGGAAAGAAATCTACATAGGCGAGGTATATACTATCGAAATGAATTTATTCAAAGTCAAATCAAGTGAAGCCTTTCTAGAGGCCCAGAGACTGACTAACTGGTCTTCAGGGTAGCTCTTTATTTGTTCATACTGTACTCTACCTTACCACACTACAAAACGACACTCATTAAAACAAAGTCATAGATGGAATCATTATTTGTTCATATCGCCATGAATTTACGAGCTATCTAGTAATCTCCACTTCCACCCCGTTTAGCGTAATCCATCCTCTAGAAAAAGAGAAGAAGGATAAATCTACAACCCAACCCAATACCTCGTCTTCTCCACCGTGAATTGATCACGGAGTTCTCCCTCCCCAGTCCCCGTGACCAAAACGCTATACTCGCCTTTCTCCGAAATCCATTCCTCGCGCTGCTCGTCCCACCAACTCGTGGCTAGCTTCTTCTCCACTACTACCTGGACCGTTTTCTCTTCCCCGGGGTTGAGGAAGACTTTAGTGAAGCCCTTGAGTTCTCGAACGGGCCGGTTCACGCCCGTTACGGGTGGGGGAAGGACCCAGAGCTGAACGATTTCGGCGCCGGGGATGGAGCCGGTGTTTTTCACAGTGACTGATGCGGTGATGGGTTCGCCGTCGGAGAGGGTAGGTTGTTCCGGGGAAGTGGTGAGGGTTAGGTTTGAGCGGGAGAAGGTGGTGTAGGATAGGCCGTGGCCAAAGGGGAAGAGAGGAGGGAGGTTGACTTTTTCGTAGTAGCGGTATCCGACGTAGACGTCTTCGCCGTAGAGGACGCGTCCCCGTTCGGAGCGGAAGTTCAGGTAGCTTGGGTTGTCTTGGAGGCGGACGGGGAAGCTGACGGGGAGTTTGGCGGAGGGGTTGACGTCTCCGTAGAGGATGTCTGCGATGCCGTTTCCACATTCGTTGCCGCCAAACCAGGCGTGGAGGAGAGCTTTGGACTTGTGGACCCAGGGCATGGTGACTGGGGTGCCGGATTGGAGGACGACGACGGTGTTAGGGTTGGCGTCGAGGACACGGGAGATCATTTCGTCGGTGCCTGGGGGCAGGTCCATGGTTTCGCGGTCGTGGCCTTCGGTTTCCCATTCGCTGGTGAGGCCGGCGAAGATGACGACTTGGTCTGCGGTGCGGGCTTGGGCGACGGCGGTGGAGATGAGGTCTTCTTGGGTGGTTTGGCGGGCGGCGCCGAAGCGGAAGCCGCCGGGGCCGAAGACGACGATGCCGCGGGTGTCGAGGTCGGAGGTTGGGGCGGTGCCGAATTCGAAGACCACTTTGTAGGTTTGGTTGGCGTTGAGGTGTTTGGAGCCGCGTTCTTCGACGGTGGCGGTGCCGAAGAAGGCGGAGCCTTGACGTTGGTTCTTGGTGTTGTCGACTATGAGTTCGTCGTCGATTAGGAGCCGGCCGGTGCCGACGACGGTGACGCCAAAGTCGTAGATGCCGGATTCGGTGGGGGTGAAGTAGCCTTCCATGTCGATGTAGTAGGTGAGGGAGTTGATTTTGGGGTTGATGTAGTCCATAAGGAAGCCCGTGGAGCGGAGGAGGTGGAGTTCGTCGACGAGAGTGCGAGAGGAGTGCGAGGGGGGTTCATTGTAGACGCGGAAGCTGAAGCCCGGTTTGTTATCGGCGGTTTTGAGCAGGGGGCCGAGGAGAGGGAGATCTTTGTGGGAGTAGACGCCTTGAGAGAAGTCGATGGAGGCGTTGCTTTTGGCCTCGACGCCTTCGTAGGGTGAGACAGTGTAGTAGGGGTCTAGGGAGGCAGAGCCACCGCCGCAGTAGGCGGCGATTTTGGCATTGGGGCCGATGACGAGGATGGATTTGTCTTTGCTGAGGGGGAGGAGGCTGTCTTCGTGCTTCATCAGGACGACGGACTCGGCGGCAGCACGGCGGAGCAGAGCCTGGTCTTGGGGCCGGTTGAGGGCTTTTTCAACGGCATTCTCGGGGATGCCGAGTGGCTCGACCCAGTTGATGAGGTTGAGAATGTTGCGGACGCGTTCGTCCAGGACGAACTCGGGGACCTTGTTGGAAGAGACGGCGTGTGCCAGGGCAGTTCCACGCCAGCGTGTTTTGCCGGGCATTTCTAGATCCAGGCCTGCCTCAATGGCATCGGAGGTGCTGTAGGTTCCGAACCTGGAAGAGTTCAGTATTCTGTGTGAACCAGTCGGCCAAAGGACATGCCTTCCGTTTGATCTCTCAGGGAGTCCAACAGGAGTAGTATGTGTGGGTTGTAGGATTAAACTTACCAATCGCTCATGACTAGACCATCCCATTTCCACTCCTTGCGGAGGATATCAGTTATGATACCTTTATTTTCACTGACATGAGTCCCATTGACTTTGTTGTAGGCCGTCATGACGCAGGCAGTGGGACAGATGCGCATTGCCAACTGGAATGGCAACAGGTAGATCTCGCGCAAAGCGCGCGGGGTGACGATGCTGTCTACGGCCATGCGCTCATGTTCTTGGTCGTTACACACAAAGTGCTTGAGGGTGGCAGCAACGCCCTTCTCCTGGAGGCCTTTGCAAAAGTTTCCAGCCAAGTTACCCGAAAGCACGCCATCCTCGGCGAAGGACTCGAAGCCTCGACCGCCGAGTGGGGAGCGTTGGGTGTTGATGGTGGGACCCAGGACGATATGCGAGCCTTTGGCAATGGACTCCTCGCCCATGAGCTGACCAACCTCGTGTAGCAATTGGGCGTCCCACGTTGCTCCGAGAGCGGTGGCACAGGGAAAGCAGGCCGCGGGGATTCCATTGAAGAAGCGGGTTCCACGCACGCCGTTGGGGCCATCCGACATGCGCAAGGCGGGGATGTTTAGCCGGGGGATGGCAGCTGTGTGCCAGAAATCCACGCCTGTGGAGAATGTCAGTCCAGATCATGGCTCGGTAGAAAGAAGATGCTACTTGCCCGCTGTGAGAGCTACTTTTTCGCCCAGCGTGAGCTCTTCGATGGTCTTTTCCACGTCCAAACGCGTCATATTGGAGGATGTAGTATAGCTTTATAGTAAACCGAGGAGAAACCGTAAAGAGCAGATTGTATAAAACAAATACGGGTATAAGAAACTAGTATGGTCTATGTGGTGGACGTAGGGAAATCATGGACTGAGAATGGGAGACGATGGGAGGAGACGAGGGGAGGAGGGGTTGTATAAGAAGAGCAAGGCGGGGGGGAGATAGAGGGAGCAAGGACAATTGTCGGAGATACATTCTCCAGGCTCTCCGCCGGATTCCAACACAGGCTGGATGGATCATGCTGGCGGATCGACGGCAGGAGGAGCCGTGGGCAGGCAAACCAGGAAGCACGAATGACGAGCCTGTTCTAAACCCCCGAAGATTACCCGTCGTTCGGAGTGTCGGCCCGCCTTGCCTATCCGCCAGTTGGCCGGTTGCTCTGCCAAGTCCCATGCAGCCCTGTCAGAAAGGCTGACTGGCATTTACACCTGGAGCTGAAGACCCCTACGTGCAGCATTCAAATGATCATACCGCGCAGCCACCCGGCTGCGTGCATCCAAATATCCAATCAAACACAGAGGGGAAAAGAATTATGATACAGGCCGATGCGTGCATGTAGATCGATAGATGAAAGCCCAGGCAACAGACGGAACACAAAAACTCCGTCCACCAATGCTTGAAGATTCCAGTAGGTCAAAAGGAAATAGTAGATTCAATGAGAGACAAAAGCAACATGCATCACGTATCGTTCCGCTGCATCCACTCCCCTCAAGCGCCTCGTCGCGGGCGTTTGTTCTCACTCCCCATCCGCATCCCTCCCCGGCCACTGCCATCCCCGTGTCCTCCTTCGTCGCCAGGCCGATGGCGTTTGCGGTGAGGTCCTCCACTACCACCCTCACGATGATAGTCCCGATCACGCGGGCGATCCCGGGTGCGGTCTCGATCCCGGTCCCGTAGGTCGCGTCCCCCTCCCCAGCGGCGTTCTTCCTCAGTTCCGGCAGCCGGCGGCGGTGGTGGTGGCGGAGGGGCCTGTCCTCCCAGAGAAGACGGCGGGCGCAGGCGGCCTTCATGCTCCTGATTGCTGGGGGTAAGGTCGGCCCCTTCATCCCGGTCTCGTCGGCGGCGGTTGTCTTCGCGTGCCCCAGGCCCTCGTCGGGAAGCCTCACGAGACTCATAGCGCTCTTCCCGGTTGGCACCCGCTGCTACATCACTCCGCCGACTCCGCTCCCGTTCGTAATCTCGAGTCCGCTCGCGATGCTCCTCGCGTCGACTGCTACTTCGTGATGTCTCTTCCTCGCCTCCTCGCCGCTCCCGATCGCGCTCCCGCTCTCTCTCCCGGTCCCGATCATGCGGGTACGTGGTGCCAGAGGAGAATCGCTGGGTTCGCCGGGTCTCCGTGCTGCCTGCATCCTCAGCTGTCTCTCGTCCACTGCCCAGTCGGTTCCGGGGGTGACTGTCATCTTCGCTATATGCGGCACCAGAAGACCGGCCTGCCATGAGATCGGGACGGCCTTGAGTCGACGAGCCAGCACGGCCGCCATCCTCCTGCGCCACGGGCGTTTGGGAACGAGCCGATTGCGGCGACGGAGCGTTCATAGCGGCCGCTTGCCGATTGGCGCCCCGGCCCCGAATGGCTGGGCCAGGGCCACGGTCCGGCGGTCCACCGGATTGCTGGAGCATGTTGTTGATTCCGGCAAATCGCTTGTCTCCCCGGCCGCGTTCCCCGCCAAAACCAGGGCCCGATGGCGGCCCGCGTGGCATAGAAGAGGGTCCGGCCGGTGGGCCAAGTCCACTACGAGGACCGGATGGGGGAACAATCGCCGCAGAGGGTGACGCATGCTGCGAGCGGGGGCTTCCGCTGTAGGCCTTGTCCTGCGGTTGCTGTTGCAAGACCTTAAGCCTGTCCGGGTGGATTCCGCTGGTGTCGAGCTTCTCGGCGCCCGGTGATGGAGGGCCAGTCGTGGGCGATGGATCCGGTGCGTTTCGTAGACCCTGCCGGCCAGGGCCAGTAGGGGGCTGGCGTTCGGGGACCGCCATCGGACCGTTCGCAGGAGGTGCTTGGGGATGGGGCAAGCCCGCGGCATTGCGTCCCCCGCGCCCCACGATATTTCTCCCTCTTGGACCGGACGGCACATCCGATGGAGGTTCCGGCTGGCGCAGGCGTCCATGGTTCATGTCGATCCCCGTGACTGGATCTCTAGATTCAGCCCCATCCATGGACGGACGCCCAAACCGCTCACTGCGTGGCCCCGTGGGCATGTCTTCATTGCGTGGATGCGTGTGCGAAAAGTTCCCAGACCGGCGATCCTCGGCCGAAAACCGTTCCGGACGCCCCTGGGGGTCTATTCTTGGGGGGGACAATGCCCTGGGTGCTAAAGTCCGCCGGTCATCTCGCTCCTGTCGCCCAGCATCGCCGCGCCGATAGCCCTCGGGGTGGTCGTCTATCATACCTGCACGGTCAGGGTGTGTTGGGGGGCCGGGCCGTACGTTGGCCAGTCCCTCACGAGCATCTGGACGCAAACGACCTGACCGATCCGGCCAGTCCCCGTCGCGAGGCGGACGTCCATCCCGGTGAGGACCACGGAATGCCTCTTCCATAGGCGGCCTCGAAGCGTACTCTCTGTCAAGACGGCCGTAGTTTCGCCCATCACCCATGGCCGCATCAAACTGCCGAGGATAGTCATGGTCACCTCCAAATCGACCACCGCGAGGATAATCTTGAAGTCTGTCACGTCGGTCTTCCAGGAGGTCCGGCCGGGCGGGTAACTTGTCATCCCGGGGGAAACGGTGTAAACCCTGGCCCTGAGACCGTGGGTTCTGGGTACCAGACGGTGCTCGCTCTGTTTCGGGGCGCTTCGGTACATTTGCCGGTCTGCCAACGTCTAGGCCCTTCGACACAAGGTGAGATCCGGCAGGCGATGCGGGGGCCACGGGCCGAGGGGGAAGGTCCCCTTCAAGATGAGCCCCGCGAACAGTAGTGACATCCTTGTCACTCGATGTTGGCTCGCGAGCGGTCAATGGTGTTGCTTCAGTAGCCTGAGGTTCGGAATCACGTTGAGGGGTCACAGCATCTGTTGTCACGGCTGGCGTTGGAGCCGTCCGATCAACCATTGGCACATCGGTCATCCTAGCGTCCTCTATCTCCCCATCTTCGACTTCAGCCTTCGTGGGGCCCGACTCGGATTTTGACGCTCCTTGGGACCTGAAATTGCGGCTAATTAGATTTTGAACATACATTCACCCTTGTAGTGAGTGCACTTACTCGGAGGTGGAGGTGGGTTTGAACTCGGCAGCACCGGCGTTCAGGGGAGTTGGGGTACTGGACTGGGGACGTGGTGTGCTGGACTTTGCTGCTGCAGCTGTCTGGTTTCCTCTGCCGGTCCCCTGTTCAAAACGGAATTCTTGTGGCAGGCCCCAACTCTTCTCGCGCCGGTTGAGGTCGCCAATAAGTGAAGCAGCGGGGATCTTGACATCGTCTCGTTCGTCGTTTTGACTCAGGTTAGTCATGCTCGTCAACAGCTTATACCCCATCCAGTTCACGGCCGGGTAGTGTTGCACAACGGCCTTCAGCACACTGATAGCGTTACGGATATGCATATATTCGCCCCCGTCCAAGCAGGATTTCAGGGCCAACACTAGGAGGCGGTGCCATTTGTACAACAGCCGGCGAAAATCTTCGTATTCCAAAAACGTCGTTGGCTTTCCTTCAGGATCCACATTCTTGGCAAACCCAGGAAGGTCCCTCTTGGTGCCATAAGCTTCCTTCTCATAGACTGCCTTGTCAGCATGCCAACGGCCAAGGTCGCGTATCACTTCCTTCAAGAAGCGACCGAAGTTATCAGCCTCTCGCGAAGTGCATTGAAATATCAAGGCGACAAGTCTATGCTCCTTGAACAACTGGTCCAAAAGACCCACGGTTCGGAAGTTGGGCGCTCCAGTGGTGTGCAGGAATTTCAGCATCTTGAAGCAATAGAATGCATCGATGGGGGAAAACAGTAGGCGTGGTAGAAAGCATTGCTCGAGAAGGGCGACATTCAGAGAATCGTAGTTCCCACGCATACCGGCAAACCAGCGGTCCTTTTCTTTCTGGAGTTTCGCCCTCGTCTGTCCGTAGGCTTTCAAGTGAGCCTTGTTCTCCTCCAATATCCGGTCTTGAAGTTGCGTGAGTTGCCTTTTCTCTCGCTCCTTTCTTTGGGTTCCAGCCATGCTGATGTCGGACCGATCGTTGCTAATTGCAATGACCTTCCTCTTCTGACGATCGATTTCATCTTCGTAGGCTTTCTGGGGTATATGAACATCATAGAGGGATAATTGCCAGAAAGTCACATAGAAATGTGCGCCGACAACTCCCCATGTCTCGGAACCCAGCACGTCCTTGACTTGGTCTTGGAGGTCCTGCATGACTGGATTGAGAGCCAGTCCCTCAGTAGGGGCGGGTCCGGTGGTAGCCTTCTCACTACTGGGGTCATCTGCATTTTCGGGTTTTCCTTGGTCGATATCCATAGCATTCTCCGACTGTTGGTTTTCAGCGACGACCGCCTCTCCGTCTTCTGACATTTCCATCTTGTCGGCCTCGGGTTTAGAGGGTGAAGCGTCTTCACTATCGCGAGTAGGAGCTACAGTAACGGTAGTCGTAGAAGAATCCTCATCTTGTATCGTCCTTTCCATGTCTGCAATCTTCTTGGCAACGCTCGGGCGCCGGATCCAAAATGCGACTTCAGGCTGAATGCCGAACTCCCTGATAAGAGTGGCTAAGTCGGGGACGAAGGAGTCAAAGTCCTCCACCGACAGGTTACTGCGGAGCAAGTCCAGGTACTGAACCAGAATACGGTGGATCTCGTCGAAGATGTTGCCCAACAATTTAAGCTCCGAGGCGCCTTCCGTTTCCTTGTAGATGCATGTCCAGCGTTCTTGGGCGATGGCGATGAGTAACTGTCCCGCGAGTTTCGAAACCGTAAGAGACTTTATGAGCCGTCTCGACGTAGTCTTTGACTCGTGTCGCTTATCTAACAGCTGCAGGATTGTCTGGGATTGTAGGAGTTCGCCACCCGCCATGGCCTGAATCTGCGCCTCGTTGAAATTGTTGTCGGTGATGATCCCTGCCATGGAACTGATCATCTGCTCTAAGATTATCAGGTCCGTCGAATTGTTCTGTCGAAGCTGCTCCACGACGTATTGGAGGACAGGGGTAGGATCCATGACCGAATATCTCTTGAATGTCCGCCCTGCAAACGTAGCCAAAGCGTTCAACCAACGACTAGTGAGCAGTCCACCTTCTTGGACACGACTTCGACCCTTCTGGCCGAGTGAACTGATCATGACCCATGTCAGAATATCGTAACCAAGGTACGTAAAGTAGCGCGCGCACTCCACGACGACTTCAATGAGATTCTCGTAAGATTCAATTTGATTGATGGCAACGGTAATCACGACCCCAGGATTGGCATAGGCAATTTTGGCCAATGCGCGAGCCATCGGCCGGATATTTGTTTTGCTAAGCCTCTTGAGAATGTCCTTCGTTTCCGCCTTGGCCTGTTCGAAGGCAGACTTGATATCAGGCAATCGGGACGTTTGACCAGAGTTCCACTCGGCATACATATTGTACCGAACCTCCCTAGAAAAGAAACTGATGAGATCGAAGATCTCATTCACCACGCCAGGATTGGCCTTTGTGAGACTAATCGATGGGACTAGGAGTCGCTTGCAAAGATCCTGCCAACGTGCCCGGTTTTCCGGTGAATGGTCTCTGCTCATGCTGTCCTTGCCGATTCTCGCGAGCTTCGCCAACAAGCTTGGGTCCTGGCCGATCTTATGGCCGGACAGGTTAAGAAACGATGAACATAATGCGAAGACGTCGTCGACCGTCTGGCAGATGGGAATGTTGTCTGCCCAATCGTCCCAGTAGAATCTGTAGTCGGTTCCATCGTTCGTATCCTCTTTGTCGAGTTGAGCCCATCGGAGGACTCGACGCGGCGGTGCCTGCGTCAGCCGGATTTGTCCCTTTGGCACGCCCGCCTGGTCATGGTTTAAGATTTGTTTCTGTTCTTTGAGCTCGTCTATCGAGGGTAATGGCCGCAGCGAAGCATAAACCTTGTTGAGACAGTGGTGGAGAATGCGGTGGATAAATTCCGGGAGCTCGGGGTAGGCCTCCATGAGCCAGGGGAATTTGCTCAGGATGAACAGGGATTCTGGGAGGGCTCCAATTGCGAGTAAACTTTTCAAAAGCATTACCTTTTGGTCCGAGGGTTCAGGAAGCTCGTCCTCTTCCGTCTTGGGACCTGTGGATTTGTCTGTTTCCTGGTCCTTCCCAGGAGTCGCAGATCGTGTCTCGGATTCTCGCATGCGTGGAATAGGTAAGGTGTCATCTGATAGAGCACCGGCCATCATCAGAGCGTTCACACCACCTCCAGGGCGTGCTGCTCGTTCCCGTTCGGCTTTCTCCTTCATTTTCTCCTCCTTCAGCGCATCCATGGAATCATCTGGCCTCCAGAGGTGAGGATATAGGTCACGTAGTGAAATGAACCCAACTTTAATCAGCAGGGCCGCAAGGTAAATGAGGTTATCAGGCAGGACGTCGGATTTAGCGCGAGCACGGGAGGAGTAGAATCGAAGTTTGAATCCGAGTAATTGAGCTGCTACTCGACTCCCCTTGGGGGGCAGAGTTCCTGTTTCTTCGATCCACTTACGCATCTCCTTTTCCTCTTCCGAGAGACTATTGCTTTCGGGGAGGATCCGCTGTAACTCCTCCTTAGACACGGGGCGTCGGCCAATTTCAAAGAAAGCACGAGTTCCAATATCTCTGACCCTGTTCCAGAATTCGTGATCTCGCTGCTCGTTCGCTTTCATTGCCTCAATCCGTTCCTCGTCGGTCGTCACCCAGCCAGTTGATCCAGGCAAAGCCCAGTTTGGAAGACCAGAGTCACGATTGCCTACATCAACGGTGCGGAAGACATCCTCTTTCGGCCACCAGGAGCTTGCCCGCAGGAGCTTCACAAAAAAGCGGTACTGCTTTACAAGAACAGCGGCAAAGACATCAAGGGTGACATCGAGAACACGACCGACGTCCATGTCAAAGGCGCCAATCATCGCCTTCACCCTCTCGAATGTGTCTTCGACAACTTCGCTGGACGGGGGTTCATTGTTACTTGTCGTGAAAAGCTCCGTGAGCAGCTTGGAGTACCCTTCGGACTCTTCACGCAGGAGGTTGTAGTTCGATTGGCGATAGAGGAGGTTGGTTTGTTTGCGAATACCCATACGGGTGAACGTCTCGCGGACAAGTCCTAAAGCCTGGAGGAGTTGTGTATCAAGCTGTAGGCGCATAAGAGCCGGGTTAATCCCTGTGGAGAACACAAGTGGTCTCAGGGCAGTGTTTGAAGTGTCGGAATCGGTCATAATAGACAATGTGTCCAGAAACAGGGAGCGTGTATCAAGCAAGCCTGAACTTGACCCTTCAGTGTCCATATCAACATCATCGGCTGCAACATCTTCGCCAATAATTTCTTTGACTGTGACTCCTGCCTCCTCCGGTGACAATCGTCCATGTAGAGCGGACCGTATGAGTTCCTGGTAGATCGAGGCCAGCGCGGACGCATCCTGGGCATCTCTTGCCTGGATTCCGTTCTCCACTATAGCCTTTTTCCCCGTCGCCGCCCACTCCTCGGTCGCATTTTGTGTAACATGCTCGTAGTCGTACGGTTGCGGGGGCCCAGTAGGAGGCTGGGGAGCTGACATCGGTGCGGGCGGAGCAGGTGCGGGCGTGGGAGTAGGCGCGGGTGATGGTTGAATGTGTGATTGGGGGAGTGATGAAGCTGGCGAGGGTAAAGGGGAGGAAGGTGGTTTCTGCTGGTTCGCTGTCGGAGGGACGCCGTTTGCCTGGCTCGGATCCTGAACGTCTTTCGCCGGAGTTGTGCTGGGTGGGGACATGGCATTATCCCTCCGACCGTTAGGAGCATTCTGGCCTTCGGTGCTGGGCCTTCGACCCATGTTATTCCTCCCTCCTCGACTGGGTGCCCTTCGTAATCGGCCCCGCGTGTCGGAATAATCACGAGACTGCGGGCCGTAGTTGTGTTGCGCCATGTTGAGATTGCCTGGTCGATGGGGAGAAGGCCGCTGAGCGTCGTTCCCTGAATCGCCAGACCACGATCTATCGCCTCTCTTTCTCTTACCTCCGGCACCTGGAGCCATGACAGCCCGATTGGAGCTAGAGTGCGCGGACAGAGAACCGATGTGTTCCCGACAGGTCGCAATTCATGCGGCGAACCTGGATTTCCAATGGTCAGCTTGCTGCACGTGGGATCAAAGGACCACGATCGGTCGGTGATACAGCTGGACTGAAAGCAGGGGCCGAGGGAAAACAACCTGCTGTGGAAAACTCATGCGGCGGAGAGAGAGAAAGGACGATGCCTGGGGGGAATGCAGAGGCAGCTGGTCGGATTAAAGAACGTAATGGCTCTCAATCGCTGAATGCACGGGTAACAATAAAGGCGGCGGCGGCACCTCGTCTAGGCGGCTGCTAAGGCGGGTGCCGCGCTTAAGTTTCGCCGGTTCCACGCTAGGCGGTTTTGGGTGTTACTCCGCCTCAGGCATTGTTTTGCCGACAATAGTAGGTTTTTCATGTGGAAGTGGCTCTCTTCCAGCAGGACTATCACACTATGGGTTACGGCTTACAATTCGAACAGCGGCTAATTAAGAGCATTCATCACATCAATCCATCATAATTAGATACAGTATTAACCCCGCTTACAGCAAGCCCAAAGCCTTGGCTTCAATGTCCACAATCTCAGGGATGAGCTCCTTGAGACTAGGCCGGCGGGGAGACCAGCCCAGCAACTTCTTACCCCGGTACGAAAAGCCGCGGGAGCTGCTTCCCCAGGCATAAAGACCGAACTGGTTGGTCTCAGTCACCTGCTCATCGGTCAAAGGCTCAACCTCGGGGGACGGGATCAGCTTCTTCTCATAGGCCACTTGGGCCACCTGTCGCTGGATATCACCCCAGCAGAAGGGGCCATTCTCTGCCAAATAGTAGCCCTTGTCGTTCCAGGTGGCCTTTCCGCCGCCTGCAGCAGCAGCCTCTCCCAGGAGAAGGTAGAGATCGCTCAGATCCTGAACGTGGATCTGGTGCCAGATGTTCTTGCCCTCGCCGACCTGAAGGCCCTTCTTGCGCTTCAAGACGGCAGCAGCCAGCCAGTATGCTTGCACACTCTTCTGATTGATGGGACCGCGGCCAGGACCATAGATTGTGGGCGGGCAAACAATGGCTATCTTGACGCTGTCGGGGGCACGCTTCCCGGCATTGATGACGATCTCATCAACATTCCGGTGGAAGGAGTCTGCGGGAAGGTTGAGGAGCTCGTCCACACCATCCCAATCGTCATGCTGCTTGGCACGTTCGAGGCCCCACGTGTTGCTGCGGAAGTCTTCCACGGTAAGTATACCGGTGCCCGAGGTGTGAATCCACCACAGGGGCCTCTCAGGGGTGTGGTGGGTGGCGCCCTTTGCAATGGCCTCGGCAGAGGCGACACTATCGCAGTCGGCACAGTCTAATCATGACAAGTAAGCGATACTTCCGTGGTACAGGAAAAGCATGTGTGCGGGGTTGACGTACGGAATACGATGTCAGCATTTTTGACTTCTTCCTCGATGATATCGGCCGATTCAAGGTCACCATGCACGACCCTTACGTTGGGATATTTGGTGGAAAGCTGAGCTGCCTTGTCCTTGTTGCGAACCAGGACGGAGTATTGCCAATCAGGATGGGCCTGGTACACGTTGTAGAAGGTGTCTCCACCAATGTAGCCTGTTGCGCCTGTGCTGGAATGTGAAAGGAGTAGCCATTAATAAATGTTTTATTCGGTGTGATCGGGAACTGGAAACCCACAGGAAGACCTTCTGGGGAGCCATTTTCAGATACTAAGGGCAATGTTCCGGTGCAACCGTTGAGATGGGAGGGGATGGGTTGGGTAAGGGATCTCTGAGGATGCGTGACAGTCGAAGTGGGGGAGGGGAGCTCGGTTTTTATAGCTTGCTCCAAACAAAGGGAACTTCAATGCCAGTTACAGCTTAACCTCCGCCGTGCTTTGAAATCAAGAGGGGGGAGGATGGGTCCTCTCTGGTTAAAGGGTCAATCAGAAAATCAGAACGGAGCAAAAGTGGGGGTGGGGACCAGAAGTGCTGCGTAGGAAGTAGCCAGGGCATCCATCCCTCTACCTACTTCTATCCAAGCTGGTTTGGCAATTGATGGTTCGGATCTTCTTTTCGGTTCCACACTTGAGTGACAGCCTTTCTTGGATGGGCTCTCGGGCATGGACCATCCAATCTGGCGTGATACAGACCCCTCTCTGGAGTCTTGGACATGTCTCGTGTTCGACTGCAACGATGTGTTGTCGTCGAAGATGGGCACCCTCACAGCTACCCCTCATGACGTACATGGGCGGGGCTCGCATCTAGACCCATCAACTGGCCAATTATCCTGGGATGACAGCGGCAACCATCCACCGGATCCATTTCTAGGTTCGTAAGTAGTACCCATAATAACACTGCGTCTACCGCTCCTGGGATCTGGGGTAGGTAACATGGGTACAAAGTAACTGAGAAACTACAGGTAGGTTGGCTTGGAATAGAGCAACATATAGTTCCTCAACAATGACAGTGATCTGAAGAGATGGGCCAGCGCAGTGGGTAACAGATGGGCTGGAATTGAGAAACTCGAGTAGTGCTTATAGTAACAGAAAGCCGATGTCAAAGGGGAATCTTGCACAGAATCATGCCCATGATTTACAGATACTTAGAAGGTGCTTGTAGCCAGGCGACTAGCCGCATTCCGGGCGTCTAGTCGATCATCGTCATCTTCCTCCACAATGGAGCTCACACCACTGGCGGAACGTAGCCGTCCCTTGCCATTGCCTTGGCCATTCACCTCATCATCATCTTCAGTTGGTGAAGGGGCAACAAAGCTGCCACTCAGGCTCCGGCCGAGACTGTCACTGCGTCGAGGTATTCCGCTCCACGCATCACCCTTGGGGCCTTGACTGGACCCAAGGTTGGGTCTCCGGGCAGCCGGGTGGGATTCACGTCCCAGTCGGCTGAGACCCCCGGAAGCGTCAATGGCCCGGATGTCAGGTCGCACACTTTCCAGGGTAGCCAGGGTTCTACGTTCGGCTTCAATCTGGCGCATGGTATATTCGCGCAGGCTCGCCAGCATGTCGCTAGATGTCCGCGCAAACCAACGCTGCTTTTCCGAAAGCAAGTTCGAGGTTACCCGTTGAGTTCTCTTTGCCAGATAGTCCTCGTGGCTCTGGGCCTCGTCCAAAGCATTGATAGCTTCATCCACTTTGTCTGGGCGAACAGAGGAGCTGACTTTCAAACGGTCGGCGGCGGCACGCTTGCTGCGCGTAGCCTGCTGAGCTTGAATCAACTCTCGTAGTAGGATATGACGGTTGGTAAGAGTCTCCTTGACAATAAAGGCATCCGACGAATGGTAGCTTAGCGGATCTCCGAGTGTCGTGGCCTCGGCGGTCGCCTGGACGGCGTGAAAATCCCCGACCGTCTGGATGATCTTTCCTAATTTCCGGTACGCATTTGACAGCCCGGGGTGTGTCTCCTGCACGTGCATCTGGCCTAATTTAACACCAAAGTCGGATTCTGCGAGACCAAGTCCTGAATGCCATAGTGTTAGCACCATGGTCCTTGAGTGTGAACCGAGACATGATTATACCTCGGCGAGCCTTGACCACCCGGTCAACCTTGTGGCTAGTATCCATTGTGCCTAGATAGAACATCTTCACAGTGGGCCGTGCATTTTGCAGTTCAGGCGTGTCGTCGGGGGGCGGCGCAAACTGCTTCAAGACCTTCCTCCGAACCCCGGTTGCGGGCTGCTTCATCCGAACCACAGGGCTATAACCGAAATCGCTCTCGACAAACAAAACCACCTCATCGTCGTGAGTGAGAACGTCATTGCTCAGCACAACATTCAACCATCGTTGCAGAGAAGACTTGACTCTGATTTCGTCCTCCTCAGTTCCTGCGCCGGCAGGAGTTAGTGGGGAAGGGACCGCAGGAACGAACGTTTCCGGATTAGCCGAGATCAAATGGTCGGCGAGCTTGACGAACTCGCCATGGGTACGTCGAACGTCTCGATACTGGGTCGTTCTGAATTTGGGGATATTGGTCTACACGCCTCTAGTTAGTAGCCGCAGGAGGGATCAAGCACAGGATATTGCTAACGTGAACATCGAATCGAAGAATGGGGTCTTTCTTGCCCGTCCTCTCTAAGCCTGTAACTTTCGCTTGGATTTTGTACACCGGGGCTGGTTGTCTAGCATTCTGCCTCGGGCCTGTTTGGTAGCGGGCGGGGAGCTGGGAGCGAGGCTGTTGTCCATACTGCGGCTGCTGCTGGGTGGTATATGGTGGCTGCTCACCAGCATAGCCGGCCTCACCAAGTTGGGCACTCTGCAAGCGCTCCGACAGATCCCGCGAGTCGTTTTCGTTCTCCTGAGACTCGGGTCCTTCGGTAGGCTGCGACTCGGCGGCGGAATTGTATGGAGAATGATCTTGAGGAGGCAAGGGGGCCGGGGGGATGTCGCCAGTCACGGAAGCGGGAAAGGTTGTTTGAGTCGGGCGAGGTGAAGCCCAAGGAGAGGTACCCGCGGGATGATCCGGATCGTGTGATAAGGCAGAGTAGTCCATCGTGGCTGTCTTGGTCAAATGGGACCACGTCTACACCGCGATGCGGGCGCGCAATCATCAGCATTGTTTGGTCCGGAATAGCCATCATCATGGATCAATTGGCGTTTACCTATTGATACACCAGGAGGCGATTGAGAAGAGATATGTGCCGTGATCTCGAACGGACTCGGCTTGACGTGGGGGCGAGGAGGAAGAGGAGGAAAGCGTTGAATTGGGGGGGAACAGTCGAATGGGCGGAACGGGATGGACTTCGGAGGTTACGTCGTCGGTGCCTGTACGGCCTGATTGGCCAGGCATCGACATCCCCGGGTCACTGGACTGCCGCAAAGCAAAAGCTTCAACAGCTTCTTCCTCCACCTTTACTTACTACTAGTGCTAGTATCTGGAGGCTGGTCCTTTCTGCATCGACCATTTTTAATCCCGGTCCAATCGACCATGCATGCTAGATCCTAGACTTTAGAGCATCTCAATCCATTGTCTGCCATTACAGGGACAATTGCCGTCCTTATGGTCGCGGCTCTCTTCTTGCGCGCCTCTCATCAGGCGGCGCGGCCAATTGGCCTCCAACATTGCCAGGCAACCGCCAGCCGATTTGGTGCTAACATGCCCATTATACAAGGCCCCAAAAGATGGCAATTTCCCAAGATACAGATGCTCTCAACATCGGGGACGAAGTGGCAGGCGGATACCCTTGATCGGACTAGGAATATCGGCATCATCGCACATATTGATGCCGGCAAAACGACCACCACCGAGCGCATGCTCTACTACAGTGGCTTCACCAGACGGATAGGAGATGTGGACGAAGGGTCCACAGTCACTGACTTTCTGCCCGCTGAACGAGCTCGTGGGATCACCATCCAATCTGCTGCGATCACCTTCCATTGGCCGCCTCAAGCGGCCGGTGATCAGAATGCAGCAGCTCAGCCTGACTCGCAGGTCCCACGGTCTGCCACTTCGCATACAGTAAACCTAATTGATACACCCGGACATGCAGACTTCACCTTTGAGGTTATGCGGTCCCTACGCATCTTAGATGGTGCAGTGTGTATTCTGGACGGCGTAGCTGGCGTCGAGGCTCAAACGGAGCGAGTCTGGCACCAGGCAAGCACCTATCGTATTCCAAGGATCGTTTACATCAACAAACTGGACAGAGACGGTGCAGCCTTTGGCCGTACAGTGAGGGAGGTTGGCTCCCGCCTGACAGGGTATCCCGCTGTCTGCCAGATTCCGTGGTTCAAGGGCGGCAATGGCCGTTTTGTTGGTGTGGCCGATGTGATCAACTTGCAAGGTCTGCGTTGGGAGGAAGGCGATGGAAAATCGGTCAAAATGTTCAACCTCCAAGAACTGGACAGCGAGGAAGGTCAGCTTGCACAGGAGCTCCGACGTGCAAGGATAGCACTTGTTGAGCTGCTTAGCGAGCACGACGAGACCATGATCGAGAAATTTTTTGAACATGACGAGGACCACCTTGCGGTTCCCCCCATCGACATCCTAGACAGTTTGCGCCGGTGTCTTCTACAAGAGCAGAGTAGGAAAGTTATTCCCGTCTTTGCAGGAGCTAGTTTCCGCAACGTTGGTGTCCAGCCTCTGCTCGACGCCGTGACAAACCTCCTTCCCAGTCCCCTCGAGACTCCGGATCCAGAAGTGAGCATCGGGCACGTCAGCGGAGGTCTTCGCAGTCTGCTCTCCGGTGATTTGTTGGTTAAACAGAGCGAAAAAGCAGCCTCCAAGGGCAAGCAGAAGAAAAAGTCTGTCCTCCAAGCCGAATCCCAAGATCCTATCGCCAAGCTTCAGAGCTGTGCCCTGGCCTTCAAGGTCGTCAATGACGCAAAGCGAGGAGTTCTGGTTTATGTGCGTGTGTACTCGGGATCCCTGGATCGGAACAGCGCTATTTTCAACACCAACCTCAAGGTCTCCGAGCGTGCACCGCGCCTCCTAAAGATGTACGCTAACGAAGCCATCGAGGTGGAATCCATCCCAGAAGGACACATCGGTGTCGTGGCTGGCCTCAAACATGCCCGAACTGGAGATACACTGGTGTCTTATGCAGGCAACAAATTGACGCCGCCAGAACCCCTTGACACCCTCCAACTACGTCCGATCCAGGTCCCACCCCCTGTCTTCTTTGCCAGCATCGAACCACACAGTCTGAGTGAGGAGAAGAAGATCCAAGAATCACTGGCCCTGCTCCTGCGCGAAGACCCCAGTCTCCACGTCACTGTCGATGAAGACTCCGGACAAACCCTACTAAGCGGCATGGGCGAACTCCATCTCGAAATTGCCCGAGACCGCCTGATCAACGACCTCAAGGCCAAAGCCTCAATGGGTCGCATTGAGATCGGCTACCGTGAATGTCCACTTGGCGAGTCGCCCGTTGTGAGCAAATTCTTCGACAAGGATATCGCCGGCCGCAAAGGCAAAGCCGGCTGCACAGCAGCAGTAGAACCGTTTGACCCGGACTACTCACCTCAACTTCCTGAAGACGCCCTGTCAATCGAAACCAAAGATGGCAACCAAATCATCATCCTCGCCCCAGAACTACAAGTCGAAACCAGCCGCAAAGGCATCCAACAAAGTCCCCTGCTACCCGCCGGTCTTGACGTCCACACCTTCCGCAGCTCCCTCCAAAACGGCTGCCTCGCGGCCCTTGCTCGCGGCCCTCAATTCACCTTCCCCATGCACAACACCCGCGTCACCCTCACCTTCGACCCAACCGAGCACCTCTTCGGTACCGACACCACTTCCTCGGCCCTCTCCTCCGCAGCACGTCTCGCCACCTCCACCGCCCTCCGCGAACTTGCCTCCTCCGGCCCAGGCACCTCCCTCATGGAACCCGTCATGAACGTAATCATCAGCGTCGACGAAGCCAGCCTCGGAGCCGTCGTCCACGACATCTCCTCCTCTCGAGGCGGCCACATTGTCTCCCTGGACGAAGAAATCCCCATCACCTCCACCGACCTCTCCCCATCCCCACAACCAGTCGACGACCTCCCACCCATTAACCCGAGCAAGATATACGCCCCTCCGGACCCATTCGAAACAGCCTCCATCGGCGCGTCCATCCCCGACACAGCTAACAGACCCAGAACCATCACAGCAAAGGTCCCCCTCAAAGAAATGGTGGGATACCTGAAACATCTGCGCAGCTTGAGTGCCGGCCGCGGTACGTTCGTGATGAGCGTCGATCGATTCGAGAAGATGAGTTCGCCACGACAGAAGGCTGTTGTGACAGAATTGAGAGGCGGGTTCTATTAGTTTCCTGTCCCTCTGTTTCCCTCGGTCTCTTAGGCTATCCTCCTCCTGATGTGTTGTATAATAAAAAATGAAATTTTGTCCACATTTAGACAGATAAAAATTGTGTATTACTGAACCAACATATTCAATTGGTCCGATATAAATAGGTCTTCGTTTTTTGAGTGCTTGGTGATTTGATGGGGTTTGTTTCTAGTCGATTATTCACCCTCGAGTGACGGACGGAATATAGGGGATTAAATATATATTTTCAAAAGGACTGCCTCGTTGAATATTTCCATGATGCACTAAACCTGGCTGGTCAATATGGAATACAAATATATACAAGATAATGCTGTTATCATGTTCTTTGCTTCGTTCATAAGTGGTTCGAAACCTCAACAGCAGTAGACGGGGCATGGGCATACTCCTCTTTCCTTTTAGCATCAGGCAAGGATAAGAGGAGCTGCACTCTAGACGGGATCACCTGCGCCGTGGCCAGGCGACCAAACGCTACGATATGGCCCTTGCCTACCGGTCGTTCTTCTGTGAACCCGATGTTACGGATCTTGTCCAGACTGAACTCCCGGTTCCGGTCTAACAGCTTGAACAATGCGTAGACAAAGATCCAGGTTTCTGGTCCGATCTCCCGCTTTTTCAGTCCGTATTCCTTGCACATGCGGTCGTAGTCGTCCTGGTGGTCATTCCACCACTGGTCGAAGGGCGCGTAGTCCTTCTGTGTTGGGCCGGTAGCCTTCAGCCCGAAGTAGTCGGTCAGGATTGGCCACTTGTCGCTCCACCGGCTTGGAGTGGCCGTGTCGGCAATGTTGAACGCCTCCCCGTTTGCCTCCTCTGGCTTCACTACCGATAGGTATATCTCCGCACGCGAGATTATGTCTTGGGACGAGTCCGTGAATATGTAGGTGTAGTTGGTCAGTGTGCCTGGGAATGGAACGGTGGCCCCGGGGCCGTTCACATACCGGTACAGGGAGAGGTAAAGGGCGATTGGCTTGACGGTGGTCATGCTCGTGGTGCTGGGGACGTGGCCTATCTACGTTAGTATCTGCAGATTTGTTACAGGTTTATGCTTGATCGCATGCGCATACCGATAATCGCGTCCGGACGGACCTCACACCATCCCCACCTCTTCCCTTGGGCTGCCTCTCGGATCAAGTCGACCTAGCCGTAGTAGAAAACCTCGTCGCCGTACGGAGATGGAACGCGCGGGGCGTTTTCCTTGAGGGGTGTGGGGAATGTGAGCTTGTCGAGATGTTGGAAGACGGCGACACCATAGTTCTGCTTCAATTAGCCTGGGTAACAACAAACTGTTAGCGAGATAGGCATATGTTGGTCCCGGTTTGCAGCACGAAGAAGGTCAAATTTCTGCACAGTTTATCGCTGGCATGGACGGCGTTATATGTCATGGCGACATTGATGCGTTTGATCTCCATCACATTTTCCGTGTACGCGGTGGCATTGGAGTACGCTGTCTAGTTAGTAGACACGCTCTCAGGGCCGTCCTACCCTGTTACCAGAAACAACAGATATCTCACCGAGATAGTATACATGGGTGACCTGGTCCAGCTGTGGAACCGCCTTGTGCATCTGGTTCATTACCTCATCGAGGTCTGCCCGTAAGTTGATCCCGGAGTACACCTCCAGCCTCGGATCGTCGGGGAGGCCTAATTCATCTCTTGTTTGGGGCCGATGAGTCAGGCCGACCACCCGAGAAAAAGTACTAGGAGTTGGATACTCCAGCAGGCTCCTAGTCACAGCCCAGCCGAAGATCCCACTGGCACCAAAAACCAAAGCGACTTTATCCCTCGTGATGCTGCCCATTGCGACTCACTGTTCCAGAGGTGGCAAAGATGGAATCCGAGAAAGGAGGGGGGGTTACATCCCTCGAGCCGGCTCGCCCTCCAGTCCTTATAGAATGGCGGCTTGGTTTCACCAAGAGGCCTAGCAGGGCCCTCAATCGTTGATTAGATCAAAGCCTAGAGGGTGTCCTATGGGTCCGCCATGTCACCATAGTTCAGCCAGCGGGTAACCCCTTCTTTTGGAAGAAGGTGAGCCGAGACTATAGGCCTGTATTATATATGTACGTAAACGACGCAAGAATACGATATGTCTAGTGCGAGACGGCGGCTGTTAGTGGGGATAGCTTGGGGAACTAAACGTGACGGGCCCATTTTGACCGCAAGTTCCAAGCATTTTGACAGGACAGCGGAATGGCTTAATTTGCCCGTTCGGCCCGGCCCGCAGATGTAGATGAACGTGTAGGTATGTGCATGTGGCTCCTGGTTCCCCATCTTTAGGGGGTGGCTGGTCATGATGGTCCTTATATCCACCCACCAGCATTTCAAATCCAGGCCGTTCCTTTGCCCCACTTGGTTGAAAGGAAGTTGGAACAGACTCGGTCTGCCTTTAACTCGTTGTGTCTCAGCTGGCTGGCAAAAATCAAAAGTAGTTGTGCTTACCGAAACATAGCTCTGCTGACCAGAATTAGAGTATCTGGGCCACACGCCTTCTCTACGTCCTTGGCCTAGGCTTCATCAAGCTGTCCCTTCTTTGGTTTTATCTACGACTTGAAGCACGGCGGTACATGCAGTGGCTTGTTTACACCGTCATCTTTATTGTCCTAGGGGTGTCAATCTCGAGCTTCTTCGTTGACACGCTGTCTTGTGTGCCGACCTCCAAATTCTGGGATCCCACCAAATCCGGTCACTGTATGTCGTCTACGTCCCAGCAGAAGTTTTACGAGGTCAACGGCGTCCTTGTCATTGCCATGGATATTCTGATATGGTCCGTCCCAATTCCGATGCTATGGCGTGTTCGTATCTCTCTAGTAAGTACATGATGCTGATAGTATCCCGTCGCATACTAATCATATCCGTAGCGAAAGAAGCTTGCCGTTCTCGGAGTCTTCAGTGTCGGCCTCTTATCCATAGCCGGTACGGCTCAATACCCTTTAATCCTTCTAGAAGCATCGCTGAGACATCAACAGCAGCCTGTGTGCGGTACAACACTGTCCTACAGCTAGCAAACAATCCAGACGAGAGCTACGTTCTCGCTGCCTCGCTCAACTGGTGCGGCATCGAGGCCTACGTTGGTATATAAAATTCACCCCCTGTACCCTGCACATTGCTAATAGATAACTCCCGTAGCTGTGTTTTGTGGCTCCACGCCATCCCTCTATGTCTTCGCAAAGCGCTATCTCCCTCAATTCCTGGACTCCTCCTATGCACAGAAATCTCAAAGTGCCTACCCCGGACAGAGCAACTCGAAGAGATTTAGTGTGCCATTCCGTGCAGCGTCTCGCCCTCGCCTGAGTGAAAGTCGGCTAGGTGAAAGCCAGGATGCACTAAACGACAACGAAGGCATCATGCTCAAGACCGATATCCATTGGGAGGTCACAGATGCGGATGCAGAAGCGAATGTGGATACAGAAGCGAATGTGGATGCAGATGGCAGGATCAATCCTCGTCATGCATAATAAAATGTCACATTGCCAAGTTACAGTTCTATCTAAGATATAGAAATGCGCCCTAATTTATCGTTTCGAAGCCAACTATAGAGCTCCTGAATTCATTCTAACCATCGCCTCCGGTGCAGCTTAGGCCTAGTAATATCATATGAATTAACCAGTTGTTCTCGAAAACCGTCTTAGTAAAAAGGCTTAGGTACAGCCTTATACAAGCCCTAAATCGAATGCAAAAAGGGTACATGTTGGGATTCACATACACTTCATGTAGTATTCAGGGCAAAACCTTGTGTAGTATCCCCGTTCGACTGTCTATAGATTTCCATATAGGTCCTGAAGTGAGTGTAAAAAAGTGTGAAATATATGCATCACGTGATAGCATAATGGGAAAAAGTGAGGTAGCAAGCAGCAAGAAAAATGCAAGTGGTGAGCGGTTTAAACCAATCAGATCCATTCAAAAGATGTAGAAAAAAGTATATTAGATGACCAGTTGCAAACCAAAAAACAAGAGACAATAAACACCAAGATTTCCAAACAGTAGAGCAAGGAAAGTCCAAGAAGATAAACCAAGTCACCCGGCCAACCAACCTGAACACCAAGAAACAAACCATATTCGATTACCCAGTTCCATTACCTCCATCATAACCACAGATCACAGTGGTAGAGAAAGCTGAAGGTCTACCAAGGAGATTTTGTATCCCCCACCGGATCCCCAAAATACCACTGCCCCAAAGTCTTGACCAACTCCTCGTCCTTCTTGCGCAAGTCAAAAAGCCTCGTCGTCCGCATCACCAAGGAGCTACCGTTGAAATATGCTTCGATCAGCCGAGCCTGCTGGGGTCCCATGAAAGAGAATAGGAGGACCTATACAATGTCACTTAGTTCTGAAATATTTCGGAGGTGAAGTAAATTACCGGAGTAGTCATATGTTGGAGGAAGCGAGATCGTCTCATTTGCGCGATTATAAGGCGCAGAGCAATCATGATCTCTCCTCGGAGGATTTTCCCGTCCGTAGCATTCAGGTCGTTATAAAGAAGAGCCTTGAGGTGCGGGTATGAACCCTCCTTGACTTGAATCGCATGCAAACATGCGTACTCGGGAAAGTTGTACTCGATCAGGCCTACAAAAGGCACGTCGCCAATACTGTTTTTCTTTGTGAGAGGTCAAGTCATGGAGGGGAAGGGGAGGATTGAAGGGTTAGATGGTTGGTTGGTTAGCTTACGCCCGACCACACCCGATCGAGGATTTTGTCCTTGCTATGACAAGCGCAGGCAAAAACATAATAGGAAAAATAATTGATCATATTGCGCGCACAGTCGATTGGTCTTCGGGAAATCGGATCAATGGAATCAAAGTCATAATACCCGGGCGGCCTTTCCTGTTCATAGTCCTCGTCCGGATTCAGCAGCAGGGATGAAAGACATGGGGTAAAGAAGGTGGGTTTGGAATCGTTGAGATCCATGGGCAGAAGTTGGATCTTGTGCTTCTCCAGTTGATTCGAGTCGTATTCATGCGCCTCGAGACTTGCAACATGGTTCGTGACTGCACGCAGCACCGCCCGGAGCTCCTGGCGTTTGGGGGACTCAGTAACAGGCATGATTACGATGAGGCGGGATTTGGAGCATGAGAAAAAGAGAGAGGAAGCGGACCTGCCTTATGTTATACCCCGATCAAGGTGGTACCGTACGGAGTAAGTAAATGGGGAACCGAAAGTGACGCGCCGAGGCGGTGGAGCGTCTCATGTTTTGCCGCCAAGGCGGTCACCCAACACCCAGATCATCAGCCAATGGACGACTCCGGTAGGTAGGTTGTGATGAGATCCTTCCTCTGCGGGGTCGGCGCCTGTATACGGCCATGACAGGTTGCGTATCCACCGAAAACAAGACTTGTGGAGTCATAAAGCCGTTGGTCTCCTCTGGATAGTGGGGAAGAATCGAGTCGCCAGACATGCCAGTTAGCCCTTGTGTATGCTGTCTTCACTCTTCGGTCCTCCGCTGGATGGATAATCGACACAGCATCTAACATCAGCTTCGAAAAGTGGTACGATTTCCTGCTCTGTGTACTTACCACCACCTCCCCTATTGTTACGCATACTCTCATGTACTTCTCTTTTCATGCATAAAAAACATCAACTAGCTAATCCACCTAAGCACCCCACCTTGACGGTCTGCAGTATACCGTACAAAATGATCGCACACCCAGCAGCCAGCAGCAGGAGACGTGATAAGCCCGTGTTGAGGTCATGCAGAATAAAATGTCACATTGCCCAAATTAGACTTTTGTCTGAGATATAGAACTGCGCCCTACTTTTATCGTTAGCCCTAATATAGTAGAGATATCATGCTCTATTACTGATTCCTCAAGAATCAGTCTATCATCGTGAACATAGGCTATATTGTCATTATTATACTAATCCTACAGGTTTTAAGACTTCTTTCTTATCCAGTTGAGAAACTTTCTAGTACCTTGACAAGTAGATCCTATCACACTACCTGAAGCCCTATTTAGAATACTATTTGAGACATTGGATATAAGATATTGAAAATATTTACAAAGTTCCTAAATAACGTCCTGAATAAGACCTTAGCTTATCTAAAGCCCTGTTTAAGACTTCATGTACAGTCTTATAAAATCGACTCAATTATTACTAAGATTCTATCAAACGCCTTGTCTAAGGCCTTATATACAGCTTTATGATTCACAACTATTTAGATAAATGACCCTGAATGTGAGGATTGGAAACCTCACATGACTCACCTCCGCAGTTATACCTAAGCAAGCTTATAAATGTGCACCTTGCAGGCTACTGAGCCTTGTATCCTAGTCATTTGCCAGATAGCCAAGTTAGTAAACTCGTGGCGTAGGTGGGATCATGTCTTAAAGCGCACTAAGATCGGATTCTGACACTGAATGAGGCACAAAATGGGGGGGATGTTCTATTCTCAGACGCTGTATCCTCAGGTGCTGTAGTTTCAGCCTGCAGTCTTGAGATATGCAAGGTAATCATTATTGTATTCAGCAAAGGTTATGATTATCTCATGCGGACACTGAGAAACATGGATTCGCCTGCAAGTGACTGGCTGTCAGGGTCATGGATAGTTGTAGGCGATGGAGGGGAAGAGACTAACAGTTTATCAATATGACTTCCATCGGTATCATTCATGATCCATCCAACCATTTGGGCGCTCTCCTGCATGTTGGGTCTCAAAACCAACCCAAAAAATAAATCATAGTATTACATGCACCAATTACATGAAGATACCTCTTGAAATAACCAACATTTGGATTTCTGTAATATATGAGGTCTTGATGTTAAAGTGAGAATAGACTGATTCTAGTTTCACTTGACTTAACATTGAGGAGAGTTGTCTTTTACATGGGTGAGATAGCACATATATATATCTGTTCCCAATCCCTGTCATAAGTAAGCTTCAGCCACCGTGATAGTACTCAACACTTGGGTCCTTGACGGGTTTCGGGGTGACCCGTGGTTACTCCAATCACAGGGTGCCTTTAAGAGTCGACGAAATAGAATTAATATATTCGGGTGAAACGTATCTATTCTGCATAAAACAACACTAGACAGATTTCACCTGACCTGCTGGATCAGAAGGTCAATCAAGACGAATTAATCACCCTGTTAAGGTGCCATATACATTATGCATATTCTTTACTATTGAAAGACATGATTACATCTCTTCTCTTAAAGTAGCCTCCACGTCTAATGAACTCAGAGAAATTAGCGTTATCATAACCCCTTCTGCGCGACTTCCATAGGTTCTGAGCCTCTTGGCAGGCTTTTAAGTGATGTAAAAACTCGTTATGTGAGTATACTTTGTCTCTCATCGCACAGGCTCCGGATTCGACCCTTGAAGACCTCAGAGCTTTCTCCAAAGCGACCTGGCAGCCACTACAGGAGATACCTCTCTGAACGACGCCTCTCTTATGATCGAAATAAGGTAGGGATGTGGTTACCATATAAGGAAGTAGTACTGTTTTTTTTTTGAGCGTTTAACTCGCGTCTCATCGACCCCGTCGTTCAGGTAGAGCGCGCTGATCGATCGCTTAGTACGATTTCAGTCCTTCTTTTTCGTACCGTCTCAGCCATTGAGTATATCCCAGGTAAAGTCCTCACTGTAGGCATCATACTGCAAACGCGTCCCGAACGCCGCTTGATGCGGTGCTTAACATCGGAGAGAGCCAAGACGCAAGGAAGAGCATCTGCCCGAATGCAGGAGAAACAGCACCTTCTAAATGACAGAAGAAAGATAAAACCGCCAAAGGCACCACAGAAGTGACAATTCATGGTACATAGAACATCGAATAAGTCTGAGAGTAGAAACCATGTCGCGATATTGGTCCTTAAAGTGATACACAGCGCCTCAAGAGCATGGCTGACAACCACTTTGTAAGAATTAATGGCACTGACGGCCTGTCGGGCACGGCGATTGACTTGGCGAAATCGAAACAAAGACCATATGTCAAGGAGAAGGCATATCTGGTGAACAATCTCAAGCGGCAAGATTTCAAGTTTTCCCAAACATGAATACGTAATATGGATATCTTCAACCAGCGAGGTGCGTACCGGCCTATGATCCTCAGGATTTGTCCTGATGACCGCTAAGTCAAAGTCACATCGATGATAAGATGCGGTACGGATTATATTCGATATCAGCACATCATCAGCTTCAGAAGAACGCGTTGTTGCCTCGCCTAAATCCATTCCAGAACGCTGGTTGGCACGTAGTATATATTCGTAATTACCCAATATAGAAGAACGTAGTAAAATATCGAGTCTTGAGACTTCCTGTAGGTGGATAAAGCTGTTTTGATGAGCGATTGTCGATTTCAGGCAAGACTATCCAAGGGCTGGCCATGAACAGCATATGGTGGCTTCGAGTACGTGACCTACGGAACAATGATCTTCCAGGTCCGACAAACGAGAATAACCTCGAAACGAATCTCCATTCGCCAACCAAAAGTCGCGAATGACGAGCCTCAACTGCCTACGGGCCTTGGAATTTATGGTCCCCTAGACGTTCATTACCATGTCAGACTAAATCTTCATAAGTTACCTATGTCGACATTGAACCGGTGGGGGGGGGGGGGGGGGGTGTGGAAAGCCAATCATAACACACACACATTCCATTAACGCCCGGCGGCTAAGCCGAAAGGGCAACTATGAACTATGTACATCTGCTGTATCTCCTTCGCGCCCATAAATGATTACTTTCAGTATATGACCTCTCAGCTATCAATATCGTGGGGGTCCTTGTCGATTAGTAATTTTATTAACAAATAGACTGGCTTAAAGGCTCTTCTTCAAATATTCAACATCCTATCCTCGGCAGTTAAAGCGCGTCTACCATCTGTGGCACAAGGTGGCTGGTGTAGATTAGCTAAGGAAAGGGTGTTATTATGTTAATCGACGTGATTAGACGGTGTCAAGTCGGCCTGTGGCGATGGTAAATCATATTAAGACTTGTACTATCTCCAAATTCGGCGTCCATTGCTGATTATCAGAAGGTTGCTCTCCTCTAGATACCTCTCTAGAATCATCAAACATGCCAAACAAACAACCCACCTGCCACCTGGACTAACCTTAGAGGGTTAGCCCTTCCATATCACTCTTCGATCCTCCGCTGGATGATAGGCGACAAGTACCACTGCCCACCACTTAACATCACCTTCGAAACGTGGTGTAGTTTCCTAGGTACTTACCGTCATCTTCCCATTTCATTTTGTTATATTTATTATTACGTGCTTCTCTTCTCTTTCCATGCACACCAACATCAACTGGCCAACTGCCCCTCCCCCCATAACACGGCTCCCCACCTTGGTGGAGTATACCGTACAAGATGATCGCACATCCAGCAGTCAACAGCAGGAGACGTGATAAGCCCGTGTTGAGCTGTTCTTTCTGCAGAGTACGCAGTAAGTGGTCTATTACGTGCTCACTCAAAGTCAAGTCCGGTATGCTGACACTTTCAGGCTGCGTTGCGACAGACAATCACCTTGTAGCTCTTGCTTGAAACGTGGCAAGCCGGAAGAATGCACATACAGCTCCTCGGAGCAGGAGCGCAAAGATGCTGTTGACTACAGACCACATGCCAGGAGCCAAGAGGCCCGCCAGAGAGTTGTCCGTCTTGAGAAACTCGTAACCCAGATGAGGGATCAAATGAGGGCTATGGAACAGGCTTCTGACCAGACGTCCAGTAATCTAGCACCCTTATCCGGATTTTCTTTGAACCACGCCCTGCTCTTCTAGATGGTCATGTAGCGGACACTGTAGGAAAACTGACTCTCACCGATAGCCATGCCATCTATAGTGGCAGCACTCACTGGGTCACCATCTTAGAGGATGTAAGTTGCATTTTCAATCTCAAATTATTATTCAGTAACCTTTTTAGATCCAATCCCTCAAAGAAGAGCTGTCCAGTGACCACCCAGAGGCCATCAGAAGTCGAGAATCAACTACAGTCGATGTTGATTTAGTCACCGAGCCTCCAGCCACCAGGATATCACTTCTCTTAAACCACCCCTCTCTTCCGAAGGAGCAGATACTCGCCATGATACCCCCACGCAAGGTAGTTGATAGGCATGTCTCCCACTTCTTCAATGCCTTTGACTTTGCTTCATGTACGCTCTATAATGAGTTCATGATTGGAGTCTTCTTGCTAACGCGGGTCAGGTATTCTTCATCGGGGAAAATTTCTCGCAGAGGTGAGGTATTTCCTTGACCACTGCTTCTTCCTATGCTCATCTCTGCATATAGTACTCTGAATTCTGGGATAATCCTCCGACTGCGCCCATCATGTGGGTAGGGCTCCTGTTCAGCGTGATGTGCACTTCCGTGTTCCTCCAGCAGCATAATATTGGCATATATGCTGCAGAAACGCAAGAAGCTCTAGAGACATATCGAACTCTTACCATTCACTGCTTGGTCGCCGGAAACTATATGCGGCCAACCCAATACACCATCGAAGTGCTGACCTTACATTTTGCCATTGACCAAAGCATGAATCTTAATACAGATATCGGTAACTGGGTTTTAATTGGTGTAATCATTCGGCTCGCATTGCGCGTGGGGCTGCACCGTGATCCATCGCACTGGTCCAATATTAGACCATTGGAGGCGGAATTCCGACGGCGGCTTTGGATCATATTGTATCATATGGATTTCTTCACAAGCACTCAGGTCGGTCTGCCCCGGATCATCAAAGACTCCCAGTGTGATGCACGCCCGCCTGCAAATTTGTTCGACGATGACCTGAACTTTGGGCATGAGGAAGTACCACCTGAGCGGCCATTAACAGATCCTACTCCGCTTTCGCACATTATCCAAAGACAGAGCATTATCAAGGTAGCCGCGGAGACTTATGACGCGACCGAAGCAGGACCGCCATCATCCACCACCATTGCTGCGCTGAGTGCCAAACTTGAGAAGGCGATTGACGCTATCCCTGAGCAGTCAAGGTATCGGTCGACAGATATATGGATTGGGGATAGCCCTGCTACGATCCTGCACCGAATGTTTCTTGACATTCTCATCAACAAGGCTGTCTATCTCCTGTATCGAAGAAGCTTTATGAAAGTCTCAGTAGGGGAAGAAACCACAAAATCCACCAAACTATGCATCAACGCCGCCTTGTCAATCTTAGAACATCAGCGAAGATTGAACGAAGAGGCTCAACCAGGAGGTATCATGTTCAGTGTTCGCTGGCGGGTAGCCTCGTCCCTTAACCATGAGTTTCTGCAAACCACGATGATGCTATGTTTTGCTTTGAGTCGCTCTCACGAGGGTCTAAATGGTCTGGCCGATTCCGACGCTCTCCATCGACGGGATGAAATCTTAGAGGCATTGATCATTGCAAAAGGTCTTTGGGAACAGGATTCCGACCGGTCTGTAGAGGCGCGCAGAGCAGCAACGGCCATCGCGTCCGTGCTCAAGCTGAATTTGAACAAGTCAAGCTCGCCAACTCTGATCACTTCAGACGGTGGGAGTAATGCACCAATGCACGAGTACTCTTCTACTACTGTTCACCCGACAGGGTTCTTTGAAGAAATGCCGGGGACTGCATCGGGCTATCCTCTTGATCTAGACTCTGAACAAAATATGATGATCAACCCCCCCTTCGCTGCAGTTGATCCTGATGTGACGGCATTCGGAAACTTGTGGGACGATTACATAGCCGAGCCCATAGAGGGGAATTGGGCGGGGATGCCTTAAGTGCACCGGGTGCCTGGAAGGGCGATGGTTGGGCTCTATGACTTCCATGCAGCATTCGTCCAGATATTACTCCTGGGAATGGCTATTCTAAAACAACTATTATTGTGATGCCGGAGTGTCACCGATCGCGACACTTGGTGCTGCATAAGCAGCGACGTTGGATTGGCCCACCAAATCATTTCAGGTGTCATGCTTGTTAAAGACTAATCATTTGTCAGTTATCTACAAGGAGACCGATAATCAATTCGATGGATGTACTGAATGAATGGAGGAATCTGTATTCATAGGTACCACGGGGTGTCACGGGCTAGATCGCGGAGGGTCGGGAGACGGACAGTCGGACGGTGAGGTGGATATCATGACACCCGAGACCATTCCTACTATGCTATCGCCAACCACCCTCCGTGACGGAGGCCATCAAAGTGCTTGCGTTCTTAAGGTAGGGGTATCCGCGTTGCAACCATGCCGCTTCAACAATCAGCAGCGACAGTGAGCTGCTACAACAAAAGCTTCGACTCAACTCAGTCAAACAAGTTGCACAATGGATTCTTCCAGCTTAGATCATCTGCAGGGCCATGAGAAGGGAGATATCTCAAAAGTTCCACCAGAGCCTTCCGATGAGCACGAGTACCCCTCAGGTCTTAGGCTCGGGCTGCTGATGACCTCCCTCTACATTGCCATGTTCCTAGTTGCCTTGGTCAGTCCAAGGTCCATACACCTTGCAATGTGCTGACCAGGAGCGTTATAGGACAAACTCATCGTCTCAACTGCCACACCATCCATCACCGATGAATTCCACGCGTCAAACGAGGTTGGTTGGTATGGAACGGCCTACATGCTCACCAACTGCGCCTTTCTACTCGTCTCTGGAAAAATATACACCTTCGTCAGCGTCAAAGCGGTCTTTCTCGCCTCTGTTGTTCTGTTTGAGATCGGTTCTGCCATCTGCGGCGCAGCACCCAACTCGGTTGCCTTTATCATAGGTAGGGCCATTGCCGGATTGGGGGCCGCCGGGGTCCAAGAAGGCATTGTGCGTCCAATCCCGCTTATATCCCGTTAATCTGCTCATCTTCATTCCAGCTAGTCCTCATAATTTATGCTGTCCCACTTGCGAAGCGACCCAAGTACCAGGGCTTATTTGGTGCGATTTATGGCATCTCTTCCATAATCGGCCCGCTTATTGGCGGCGCGTTCACTTCAAACATTTCTTGGAGATGGTGCTTTTACATCAATCTTCCTTTTGGAGGCGTGGTCCTCCTATTCGTCTTTATCCTGTTACAGGTCCCTGGTGCCTCGTCCAAGGATGCCTCGACGTGGAAACACAGATTGGCGCAGCTCAACATAGAAGGGGTGGTTGCTCTCCTCCCAGGGGTTGTCTGCCTCTGTTTGGCTCTGGAATGGGGTGGTTTCACGTACAGTGTAAGTTTTTCAGTTTCCTGCTACGGTTAGCTGCTCGAGGCTGACCATATAACAGTGGAGGAATGGGCGTATCATTGCCTTACTTACAGTCGCTTTCATCATGTTGATCGTATTTATCTTCGTTCAGATCTGGAGACCTAGAACAGCCACGGTGCCACCACATATTTTCATTCAACGAAGCATTCTTGCTGGCTTCTGGGTGACCTGCGCGGTTGGGGTGCACATGACAATGTTTAGTAAGTTGCCACCTACCATATGAAAGAGAGACTCGTGCTAATTGAAATTGCTAGTCTACTATCTTCCGATCTGGTTTCAGTCCGTCAAGGGTAACTCCGCCGTTAAGAGCGGCATTCACCTGCTCCCCCTGGTGATTGCCATGGTTGTTTCGTCTATTATTAGCGGGGTGGGAACGACTCAAGCCGGTTACTACACGCCCTTCCTGGTCGCCGGCACATGCATTGTATCGATTGGGGCAGGGCTTCTCACTATCCTCCAAGTTAACAGCACCACTGGCCAATGGATCGGGTATCAGATCATATACGGTCTTGGCTTGGGCTGTTGCTTCCAGGCGCCCACCATGGCTGCGCAGACGGTACTCCCCCGCGAAGAAGTGGCCATTGGGGCTTCCCTGATGCTTTTTGGCCAAACTCTCTTCGGTGCCATATTCGTGTCGGTCGGCCAGAACGTTCTCGACCAACATCTGGCTATCCGTCTTGCCCGCCTTTCTGGCATCAACATCACACCCGAAACTATTAAACGCGCTGGTATTACTGGCCTTTTCAGGATTATTCCGCCCCAGGACCACACTGCTGTTCTGGAGGCTTATGATGCCTCGCTGCGCTTGTGTTTTGTGATTGGCCTTGTCTTTGCCTGTCTGTCTGTCATCGGCAGCATTGGCATGGAGTGGCGCAACGTCAAGAAACAAGACGGAAACAAAAAATCGACTAGCGAAACTGCCGGTGAAGTCCAACTTGAGCGTATGGAGCAATGAGGTCACTAGCTAGTAGTAGCTTAATAGAAAGTGCACATTCGATCAGAGCGGGACCGGGGGCGGAGACTCGGTGGAACCTATTTCCGGGGGGCCGATGCCGCCCTCCCCGACTTTGCGGAGAATCTGATTGGGCCATGATGGCGTATGAGTCAAACGGAAAACTTGCCGGGGCGATAAGAGATCGCCGTCATTCCTGCGTTCCATTCTTTCTTTCCCTTTTGCCTTTTTTCCTTCCCATTGATACGTGTCTAACTGCTCGTCTTGGATCATCCTCCTCCCTTTTGCTTGCATTTTCTCCCTACAGACTGCCTTTGAGCTGTCATTAGCACACAGATCAAGATGGTCGCTCAACCCGCCCGCGGGCAACTCCGTCAGTGTTCCCCTCCCCCGCGTTTTGACTCAACACCCTTGGAAAGTTGAACAGCTACTAAATCCCGTAGAGAGGGTCGACTCGCAACCTGAAAACCCTTACTCCGGCCTGATTACCGATCAATCCTTCGTCATCATCCCTTCCTTCACCCTCGAGTCCGGTGTTACCTTGCACAACGTTCCCGTGGCCTACACGACGCGGGGTGAGCTCTCCCCCGAGGGCGACAATGCATTGGTGATCTGTCATGCTCTCAGTGGCAGCGCCGATGTCGCAGACTGGTGGGGTCCCCTGCTGGGCGGTCCCGGACAGGCGTTTGACACCTCCCGGTTCTTCGTCGTCTGCTTGAATAGTCTGGGCAGTCCGTACGGAAGTGCCAGTGCCGTCACCTACAAGGATGGTAACCCCGAAAACGGCCTGTATGGCCCCGAGTTCCCTCTCACCACAGTCCGTGATGATGTAAAGTGAGTTTTTCCTCATCTCGCTGTTGGAGTGTGATGACGTATTCACAATGCATAGAATCCATAAAATGGTGCTGGATGACTTGGGTATCCGCCAAATCGCTGCCGTGGTGGGTGGTTCCATGGGTGGCATGCTCACTCTCGAGTACGCCTACTTCGGCAAGGACTATGTGCGCGCGATCGTTCCGATCGCCACTTCGGCCCGTCATTCGGCTTGGTGCATCAGCTGGGGTGAGGCCCAACGCCAGAGCATCTATAGCGACCCGAAGTATGAGGATGGCTATTACCCGTTTGATGATCCGCCGGCCACAGGCTTGGGTGCGGCGCGCATGTCCGCCCTTCTCACCTACCGGAGTCGCAACTCGTTCGAGTCTCGCTTTGGCCGTAATGTGCCCGATCCTTCCAAGCGACAGAACATTAACGGCACCGAACGGTCGCCTACCCCTCCCAACGAGCACTGGGCCATCCACAACGATGGACACAAGAGCGGACGCAGCTCGCCTGGTCCTCAGCAGCCCGAAGTCCAGCATTCGGAGATTCAGTTCCAAGACCCTCAGTTCTCCGGAGCCAAGACCTTCAGCAAGACCGTCGAGGCCAACGGCCAGAAGCGGCTCCCTACTTATTTCTCGGCGCAGTCGTACCTTCGGTACCAGGGCGAGAAGTTCGTCAAGCGGTTCGATGCCAACTGCTACATCGCCATCACCCGCAAGCTTGACACGCACGATGTGTCCCGACACCGGGCCAGTTCGGGATCGGAGAACCCCGTTCGTGAAGCCCTGTCCCAGATCGAGCAGCCTTCTTTGGTCCTGGGCATCGAAAGCGATGGCCTGTTCACTTTTGAGGAACAGGCGGAGATTGCGGCCGGCATTCCGGACTCTCGCCTGAAGCGGATTGAAAGTCCCGAAGGTCACGACGCCTTCCTCCTCCAGTTCGAGCAGGTCAACCGCTACATCCTCGAGTTCTTCCGCGAAGTGTTGCCCGACATCATGTCCAAGGCACCGGCGGAAGGTGCAGTGGCTGTGGACGGTGTGAACAAGCTAACCAAGAGCAGCACATTCGGCGAAGCGGAGGTGGAAGATATCACCGCGTGGTAACTGACCCGCAGGACCCGATATACAGTGGCGCATTAGTTGCAGCCTTTCTACACTCTGCCTGACGGCGGTGGGCAGGCCAAGCCTTTCTCTCGGCGGCGAGAGGACGCGCCGCGGCTTCGGACCCCGCCAGCTCAGCGCCTTGGGGAAGTAGCGGTGCGGTCTTGTTATTTATTATTCTAAGCCAGTCAGGGAGATGAGCATCCAACTGCCTCTCTCGTTTCCTCACAGGTAAGGCTGTAAAGAAGCACTTAACTGCTCTCCATCAGAAACCCTCGATCCAATTCGGGGTGGTGGGCGACTTTGACAAAAGCGTTCGATCGTACATAAAGAATAAATTGTTTGATCCAGCCATTCCTAGTAGATTAGATACTACTCCATATTATCCTCTGGCCAGCCCCTTCACCCGCCCGATTCGCAATGCGGCCCCAGCCATGGTTGCACCAGGCCCAACCACTGCAGCCTTCTCCGCATATTGATCCCATCATCGCGCCTTACCACCCAGCATCCACCTCGATGCCTGCTGAATGCATTCTGAGGTCATGCTGCCGGTCGCTGAAGCAATGACGTGAAGGGCGCCGTAGCAACCCATGGATTGGTTAACTTCCGGGGAATATACTTGGACAAGCAGACTGCTTGCATGAATTGAGCCAAGAGGGTATGAAATGCGGAGTGCAGGTTTTGAACTGCGTGTGAAGCACTGAAGCTGGGTATTAGGTTTGAGGGGGAATGGGCGGCGTTGGGCTGATGTGATCCGTCCGATTGGGGGCCGCAGGCAATCCGACGCGTTCCATTCCTCCTCCCGGCATGTCGCAGGTTTCTGAGACTCGAAAGGTTTCGGTCTGGGTGGATGGCATGAGACCCATCAGATTCAGGGTCCGATGTCCCCGCATCGATGACGGTGGGATTCCTGCTTTGGGAGGTCTTGTCTGGACGTCTCCAAGTGATGCATCTCATCTCATCTCATCCGTCATGTTTGGCCCCTTGGATTTCCCGCCCCTTGATTCATCCCTTGTTCCACTGCAACGGCCCCTTGCGAAAACGTTGGACAAGGAACCGTTCCGTTTGGAGGAGGGCCAATGCTGTCACTCCACCGTGAGACCCCCTTTCCTCACTTTGCTGATGATGCTGTTCTTCTTCCACCAGTAGGGAGTGAGTTGACTTCGTGATAAAGGCAAAATGACAACCACACGACCAGCAGCACGATCAGCAATAATGCTCGCAATGGGCCATAACAATAATCAAATGGCTAATACCCCTCCGGCTCACAGCACTGGGGCGGTTTCACACCTGGCGAATGGCGACCGGGCTGAGCTGCAAGCCAGACAATAGTCGATGCAAGATAAAGTCCGCGAGGGTGTCGACTGGCCGCCACTGGAGCATCGAGGATGCCGTGTGACGAGCGCTTGCTTGTCTGCGTCCGCTTGGGGTTATTTTTATTCCCGACCAGTGCTCTCGCATCGGCCTCCTCCTTGCTATGGAATTTCCTGGAGGTGCACCTACCTGGCCAATGGACTGGTCCATTGCTCTCTGAGTCACCTTCCTCAGGTTGTTGCTCTCGTCATTCCTGACCTTTTCCTCTCTTCTTCAAATGGTTCTTCACCTCTCCTTTCGTTAGAAACAACATTACTCGGACGTTCCCCGCATTCCTATCCATCGTTTCAATCCATTCTTGGGCTAAATATCCCGTTGGCTTTCGCGTGGGACTGGTTGCCCAGCATCGTATCTCTTCTTTCTTTGGCACCCTGAATCTCGACGTGGGCCGGGCCCAACACTCTTTCATCGTTGGCTATATAGCTGATCTCTTTCCTGACTGGGTGTCATTTTTGTCGTCATATTTGAAAGATACCAGGTATCATGGAGTTCAGCATAAAGCGACGTAGTTCTTCTTCCTTGCTCTTCGGATCACAGGTGTGTATACATGCAGAGAGTGGTGATGTTTTCTAATCGTTCTAGAAGTCCACCCAAGAGCAACCTACTCGATTCTACCATCTTGTTGACACCCCGGGTGATTACCGGCCACGGTCGCCGTTGATTGAGCGCCCTGAAATTTCTACCGAGCTAGAAGGTCAGATTCGACATGCCTGCACGTTACTCATTAAACAAGACCGGTCGTCGGGGGGCACCAGACCTCGCGCGGCGACAACCAACACGGTGATGCAGGAGTCTTCGATTACAGCTCGGGTGTATTCCAAGTTTATGTCGCCGAGAGTTGGAGCAGATGTGGCTGTTTTGAAGAACAAATTCGACTCCGGAGTTGCCTTGACTCAGCAGTCGAGTATGCAGGGCATGAGGAGCCTTCATTCCCAGGCGAATCACCAACCCAAATCTGAGAGTCTCGGATCCGGCCGAGCTACCTCGTCCCACTCTGTCAATAAAGCCACACAGTCCATGAGTGCTCCACCAAGTAGGCGAAGCATGGCGCGGCACATCATGAGCTGGAGCAGGAGCCGAAGTCGAAGCCAAAGCCAAAGCCAAAGCCAAAGCCAAAGCCAAAGCCAAAGCCCCGACGATCCTCTTGAAGAGGACGATCACCACCCCGACATTCTCACCGAAGACAACGTGGAGGTCTTCTTGGACCCCGACGCTGCAATCATGGCCAGCATTGTCCCCAGCTTCCATTCACCGCAAACACTCGTCAACAGCCCCCCCAGTCTCGACATATCCGAGAACTCTCCCACAAACCACCATTCCGGAGCATCTCCTGCAACCCCAACCGTCCAGCCCCCAGAATACACCAATCCGATAGGCCTAGACAGTATAGACGCCGACAATAAGCAAGAGCCAGGAATTATTATCGACAGCAGCGGCCTTGTACACATTCTGTCACCCTCCGAAGAAACCCAACGGGACATGAACATCCAGAACGCCGTCATGGCCAAAATGCAAACCGGAACCATTACCAACGTCAGCACCACGGCACTTCCAATCTACCCGGACTCGCCGGAACAAATCCCAAATCTTCGCCCTGGATCCAACGCGTCCAGATTGAAAACCTCCTGGTCGGCGATGAACAAAGCCACGAGTCTGAAACGGAAACCCCGTGGCACAGAGACATCGTCCACGGAGCCAAGTGTTTTCCGTAAATTGGTTAATTTCTTTTCGAAACGCAGAGCTGTCAATGTTGTTCAACCGGTGGGTACTTATTGATTTGATTACCCTGGATGGTGGATCATAATTATTCTACTTTCGTGTTCATTTCGATTTCCATCCCCCCCCCCCCCCCCCCCTTAAGTGGATTCCCTACATAAGAAATTGGTCGCGACAGCCAAGGATACATGAAGATGCAATATTTCTGTCATCTAAATATACGTTTGTCATATACATACTTTTTACTTTATATCAAGTTAGACCGGTTATCTTCATTACATTGCTTCCATGGTCGAATGTCTATCTACCTATCTACATAATGTGATTGAACCTGCTACATTCATATTAGCGAAGAAGATAATTTACCAAATACCGAAACAGTTCTCTCCCCTAAACATATCCGCAGCTCATAAAATAGATAGACAATAAATACATTCGTGGCTTCTGACACATCCATTCCCTTCCCCTTTCTCTTTATATACGGAGTACATAGTATCACATTTCGGAAATATACAAATCCAATTATTTGCACCAGTGGATGTATCAATTGGCCAGATATGCATAGATACCTATAGCATGCTTAAGTACAAAGTAGGTAGCAATGGCAACCCCTGAGTTTCGCGAATACGGGATAGATATCTATACAGAATTATTGATCCGTATGTAAGTGAAGAGTTAGACGAGATACGTGATCACGGACTTATGTCTAATTATTTCCAACTAAACTCCGTGCTCTAGGATCTAGCATACCTAGTTTATTTACCAGTAAAATAAGACTCTATAGAAGGAAATAAAAAAGTGATCTTAGAATACAGTGTAAATACCTCATTTCTATGGAAGTGAATCGCTCAAGCAATAGGATATTATATAAGGAGTCTATCTGCTAACTACCTAGATTAAAACCCCCATCTGGAATGCTGCTCAATCATCAAACTTTCAATAGTAAATTATTCGGATTGTTATTATTATTATCCTATCTTACTGTATACATACTATAATTGATCCCAGGATATAGATACCGATGACCTCTAGATATATTCCTACTTGGCTATTGCACAAATCTCTCATTCTGTGGATTGGATATAAGTACCAAGTCCCATTCTTTACTTACTTACTTACTCACCTATCAAGTTGATCCATCTAACCTTGGCAGCAAAGTGCCTTATTTCTATCGCTTCTTTACTTAAGACTTTATGCATATTGCAAGGGATTATGTACTAAGCCGCTCATGTACTAACTACTATGTGATTGATCTTCTTCGAAATGACCCCCAGAGAAAGTAAATGGACAAACGCTGCTTTTCATTCCCATTTTCTAAAGAAGATATTTGGGATTATACATAACATGCATAGTATGCGGGATGAGTTCTCTCTCGAATGAATCCCACATCTTGTATACCAAGGATGGGCGTTTCGGATCGGTTTACAGGGGTTTTGCTAAATCAAAATTGAGTACCTACCCTACGATAGCCAAATATTATCAAACGAAGTATATTTTAATGGTAAGAGACGCGGGATGTAACCATACCAGACCAGACCATAACCACGTCTTCCATATTGCAATGCTGGGAGACAGAATTTCCGAATGTAGGTACTAGTACAGACATTACAGCAGCAACGTAAGCGTAGAGATAGATGTATGGTATTAAACTATTCCCAGACTACGCCGTAAACGCATCTATTCTCCCATTTCCAAATATGTTGGGACACAGAGTCTTCGTTCCGTCTGTTCTCCAGATGGCCAGCGGATTTCCGTTTTGGCCTACTGGTATGAACTTAACAAAATATCATAAGCATCCATAACTCTGGTAGTCCAAATCCCAAACAGAAATTGCCCCCCATGTTCGCTAAGACTTAATCAAGAGCTTGGTATTCTTGCTGCTAGGACCTCACCAACACCATCTCGCCAAGGTGATGAGCCAACCCAGATCCCACTCACGCATGTTCATAAGCGGGGAACTCCGCATGACCAGCTGGTCCTTGTCGAAGTATGCCTCGATGACTCGGAGATGGTGCTCCCCGATGGCTGAGAGCAGCAGGACCTGTAAGAGTGGTTAGCGTTTAACGCTTGTGTTGAAAAGAAGAAGAAGAAGAAGAAGAAGAAAAAGGTGACTAGAAGCTTACAGGGGCATTAACATGAGATCGGAGTGATGGATCTCGCAAGCGTCCGTGCATGATCATAATGGCGGCATCAACCTCGGCGCGACAAAGCTCCTCATTCTGTGGCTGGGCGAGTTCACTCCACATGAGGGCGATCATATGAGGGGCTCCAGTTTTGGCATCGTACCAAACGGATTCAACCTGTCACTGGGAGCCCAAAGTCACACAGCCCATATCTTGGAAATTGAAGTTTCCCCAACTGGGCCGCCAGATATTGGTTAGAATCGAGGATCTGAAAAGGGAGAGTCAGAGGGATATAAGCTAACGAGGACATTGCAAAGCGAGGGGGGTGAGTATCTGCTTCTGGCATTTCGCAACGGCCAAGAGATCGGTTCAGACAGATGGCGAGGTGCTCGGCATTCTTGTAAGGGCATTCGTCGAATTCCGGCCAATCCTCGGCATCTTCGGGATACTCATACTCTGGTTCCTCGATGGGATACGAGTACGAGGAGAAGTAGAGGGGAAGGGACTTGGCCTCTAGGGACATTTTTGTATGATTGATCTTGACCTGCTTCAGATGGGCGGGTGACAAACGATGGCCAAATCCGCCAAGCTACCCATAAATTGCAGTTAGCGGCTGGCGGCGAGCTTTCTTCTCTACTAGGAGTTGATCGTCCATATTGATCTCTCACTGAGAAGAAAGATGGCCAAAAGGTCATAGAGGAAATGGAGTTGTTTTGATCATCACGTGGTATCCGGAGAGAATCTCGCTGCCTGAGTCAGAAGCGGGGAATGGCGAATTGCCCAACCAGAAGTACTTCATCTACGCATCCCATCTCTGCCCTGCTCAATGTCAGTGGAAGCAACCGGAGCAGACCCGGCCTGCTACTTCTCAGTATTTAAAGACTGTGTGGCACTATACCTTTTGGTTGTGGAAGACCTGTGAAGGCTGCCGATCAGGCCAGGGAAAACCAGTAGTTCAACAAGAGCCCTCATGCGTGGCAGGCGGATGTGTTGTACATTGGATGATACTGGTAGAAGAATACTAGAGTACTTGCTTCAACAGATTTGTGATGCCAGTGTTTCATTATTTCTAGTCCCAGTCGCCTTGTCGGTTTTCAAAGCGCTTGAAGTGTTTATATTTATAGTAGTATTTCAATTTGCAGGCAATACAAGATACAATCTTTGGACTAATCTCACCATTGAAAAGCATATAATCAACCCTATATGACTCAAACCAAATACAAGACTCGTACATACGACCACAGGGTGTGGAGAACAGGGCTTCCCGTCCGCTCAGCCGTACTTAAGCCACACGCCGGGAGGTTAGTAGTTGGGTGGGTGACCACCAGCGAATCCCTTCTGTTGTATGTTTTTGCCCCCCTGATATGGCTTTCGATTAGGTGAAGACAGCGCGAGAGAGAAAGTGTTCTGCAAAGACCACGGGTGTTGTAGAATTGGGGTAGATATATTAGGCGCGCATGTAGCGAGTCGGATACTGTTTTATGTTCGTTATCTCTCGTCTTTTGTTTTAGTGTTCTTTCTTATACTTTAACATTGTAAACAACAACAGCTGGATGTACTCCTTGGACATACATAAACCTATCTCCGTCTGAGAGTATGTACAACCAGGTAGCCTAAGAATCATGCGTACCGCCTGGAAGTTGTGAGTGTGGTACCACAAAGTATTAAGTCGTCACCTGGGCATGCATGCACAAGTAACCATCCTCCCCCCTTTCCCTCCTCTAACTTCTCCCAAATACCCACCATGTCCCCAGACCGGTTTAATCTCCATCCATCCTCCATCCATCCATCTACAATGACCCCCCCATCACAGCCCCTCGAATTCACCATCTCCCCCAACCTCAGCGCAGCCCTTTGCCGCTTCTTCCACTCCCAGCTCTTCATCACCCCCCCAACCCCCATCCACTCTTTCACCCACCAAACCATCATCATAACCGGCGCCACCACCGGCCTGGGCCTCGAAGCAGCACGCCACTTCTACCGCCTCAACTGCGCCCGTCTGATCCTCGCCGTCCGCACAGTCCCAAAGGGCCAGTCCGCAAAAGAAGACATAGTGCGAAGTGTCAAGACGCGTTCAGACCCCGCTTCCATCGATGTCTGGCCCCTCGATCTAAGCAGCACAGCCTCAACAATTGCCTTTGCGGACCGCGTCAAGAGCGAGCTGTCGCGCGTGGACGTCCTCGTGGAAAATGCCGGCATTAACACGGGGATCTTCGCCCTTGTGGAGGGCTATGAACGGACGGTTCAGGTGAATGTGTTGAATACGTGTCTATTGGCGTTATTGTTATTGCCCAAGCTTGAGGAGACGAAGAAGATGAAGAAGATGAAGAAGAAGAAGAAGATTGTTCTGGATTCTCGGCCTCATCTTGTGGTTGTCAGTTCCGAGGCCCATCGACTGACTTCGTTTCCGGAGATTAATGCCCCGGATATTTATGCCAGGATGAATGAGAGGGAGGTGTTTGGTCAGCAGCGACGGTATTATACCCATCCATCTGTGTATTCACCACATGTTTATGCATGTATTCATCTACTTTCACGAACAGAACAGAACAGAACAAAATAACCATGCATACGCTAACCACGGGAGAAACCACAGCTATCAAGCCACAAAACTTATCGAAATCCTCTTCATTCGCGAACTCGTCACCCGTCTAAACCAGAACACGAAGACAGAGACTGCAACCCCAACCCCCCCAGTAATCATCAACCTCGTCAACCCCGGCCTATGTTCAACCGCTCTCGGCACCGATGGCAAAACATCCCCTCTGCTTGTGCGACTTATTCGCCGCTTCATTGACCGCACCACCGAGGTCGGTGCCCGGACCTTTGTCCTTGCGGCTTCAGCCCCGGCTAGCTCCCATGGCGAGTTGCAGAGCGACGGGGTCAACCAGAATGTGGAGTCGTGGATCTACGAGGATGTAGGGCGGAGGGCGCAGGAGAAGGTGTTTGAGCAGACGATTGGGATTCTGGAAGAGAGGAGTCCGGGGATTGCATGGGGGGTTACTAGGTAGTAGGCCTTAAGGAGGAGGAGTCTTGGTGGTTTGGATGAGATTAAGTGTTTGGTGAAGTGGCTTTCTTGCTTAGCGTGATGTACTATGTGGTATCGTTAGCCAGATGGGGGATGGATTTATTATTGGCAGACTGGAGGAGAGAGTATTGAGAGAATCGATGAATAAATAGTACTCCTAGGTAAGAATCAGCTTGACCTTGGGTTACCTTTGGAGCAATCCACCTGAGTTAGTGATGATATCAGGGGTAGCATTGGGTGGAGGTGGTGATGGGGGTAATGTTATAAAGGTGAGGGGTTTAGGATATTCTGTTTTTTTCAATATTCCAACGGTCAAGAACCGTTACCTTCCACCATCTATCTATCTACCAACCTAGTATTTCCTTCGCAGCTTCAACAAAACATCATCCCCCCACGTAATACTCGCAATCCCTGGCGTCGGCTTCGACATATCCATCCTCGGAAACCCGCCCTGACCAACAACCCTCGTGTCAACAACCTCAAACCGCCCGAACAAACACGCAACAAAGGCAAAAATCGCCTTCCGGGCTAGATACCGTCCCGGACAGACGTGTCGGCCGGCGCCCCAGGGGCGGTACGCGGGGTTATTCTTCAGCCAGGGGGAGTGGAGGAAGCGGGTTGGATGCAGTGTTTCTGGGGAGGAGCCCCAGGTTGATGGGTCCAGATGGAGGTGGTGGTAGAGGAGCTGTTATAATCCATGCGTGTGTTGCTTTTTGTTAGTTGGAGAGGATGGATGGATGGATGGATGGATACATACCATAACTTTATTTCCCCCTCGTAAGATCTTCCCTCCGATCACGGTATCTTCCACAACATGTCTTACCATAGGGGCAGTCATGGTCAATCGCAGGACCTCGCTGTATAAAGAATCCAGCTGCGGACAGTGCTCTGAGAGATACTGGTGGTTGATTTCAATCGTCCCGGATTCTGCTCGGAGGGTTAGGGCAGGTTGGATTTCGGCGGTGATGGCTTGCAAAAGAGCTGGGTCGGCGAGGATATGTGCCACCAGCCAGAAGGTACTTTTGTAAGTGTTGCCGAGGATTCTATGCCATTGTCGGGGAGTTAGTACTTAGTTTTCTTGCTGAAAAGAAGTCGGTGTGTAGAGAAGAAGAAGAAGAAAAGACACGCACGCCCAAGTCTGCAACATGAAAATCCACCCCAGATCCTCATCGTGCACGCCTTTCCCCCTCAAAAGCCCCTCCACCCGCTCGGTCCACTCGTTCGCATGTCCCCGCTGCGCAGATGGAACAGCAGCATACCGTCGAAATGCGCCAACAAGCGTGCGCTGCGCAGCGAGCATATCAGCGCTAAACAAGTGCGGGACCCTGAAGACGAACTTCCAATTCACCTTCTCCCACACGAGATAGTGTTCCACGAAATCGGGCTCGAGCGTGAAGATCAGGTCGCCGTAGTAGGCCCCTAGCAGGGATTTTATCTGTGCGGTTGTGACGAGGGTGTGGAGGGACAAGGGGGGCGTGCCTGAACCTGAACCATCGGAGTCCAGAGCGAAAGCGAAAGCGTCTTGAATGCGCGGCAGCACGTCTCGGTCAAAGAAGGTGTCCAGCATGGGACCCGGGGACAGATACTCGCGGTACATTTCGAGGATTGTCTCTATGGCGTTCAGAGAAGGCGATGTGTCTGTGCCTGTGCCTGGCGCGTCCGGGTCAATAGCAAGTAGTCGCGCAACAACAGCTCGTGGAATTCCCAGTTTCGTATAGATCTCGACCACGAGCGGGTCTCGCGATATGGCAGGGTTACGGGCGAGTTCGGTAGCGTGGGAGGGGTTGCTGATGAGGTAGAGGGTTTCGCCGGCGATGGTCACAGAGAGGGGCTCGTGAGGGTTTTTGGAGGATGTTCTGAGTGAGAGGTTGGTGAGTAAATCCAGAATATATGAAGGCTGGTGGGGGGGAATTACATCGCATTCCTGGCCCTGCGGTCGAAATCAAGGAGAAAGCCGATATGTCCTGGAGCAGTGGCATGATAAATTTAGTAACGAAAGCCCCATCGATATCTTGATGGGCTCACTGTCGAGGTACACATACCGAGATCTATTATCAAGGACCGCCATTAGTAAGCCCTAGCTAGCAGCGCCATATCAAGGCTTACATACAACAAAACAAAAGAAATAAGAATAAAGATAAAAATAGAAAAGGAGGAAGAAGAAGAAGAAGAAGACATACACGGAATCCAATACGGGACCTCCCTCGGCTCATGCGGGTACATCGACGAGCGGATCGTGAAGCGCCATATGCGCCAGGTCAGGAGGGAGATGACCGTGATCAGGCCGATTTGAAGGATGTTTGTATACAAGGGAATGGGGAGGCTTATGGTGGGAGGCGAAACGGGCATCCTCATTGTCCAGCAGGTTAAGATGAAGTCCGAGGAATTGGTTGCCACTGGGGAGTAGATTAGTAGTTAATGGAAGGACTGATCGATGTGATCCACCTCTGCCCCCTATGGGATATATATGTACCACGCCTGGCTTTGCATTTGAAGTTATACACAATATCTTGGCGGGTATTGGCAGGACGGGATGCAGGCAGCCTCCCCCCGAGGGGCTTGGCCAGGCAGCAAGCGTTGCAGGGATTGTTATTATATTCGGATTTCCTAGTATGACTTGGCAAGCCTCTCACAGAAGCGGACCTGTAATTTTAATCCAAGTTGTAAAACATAATGGGCCCGCCAGACATTGTACGTGGGTAGTAGACGATTAATTAATTCCCTTGAACGTGACACTCCTTCCATACACCGCTAGTTGGTCTATATTTAGGTCCTCCCGGCCATAGTCTTTCAGCAGGAGGCTGTTGCAAAGGAAGTGAAAGGTGAAAGGGTGGAAAAGAAGCGCGCTTCCTTGGATGATGCGTCCCAAAGTCACCCCCGTGGAGTAAAGAGAACCCGAGTAGAAGCATATGGCATGGAAACCTCCTCCCACGACCACCACAGCCTGGCACCGGGGTCAGCCAAACCGAGTTCATAGTACCTCAGCACATAAACAACGATAACTTTGAGGAAGTAGCTCGTGTGCAGTCTTCCGGGGCTGTTACCGGTTAGAAGAGAGTCATCAACGTAGATGAAGGGGGGGGGGCAGCAAACGTACCAAGCAAGAGACCCATATCCCCAATTCAAATTATATTCCGAGACATCTGCATATCTACAATGTGGATCATTCGACCGTCCGTTGAGGAAGCGCGCACCGTCAAAGTGCTCGGGGTCGAGATAGATGGACGCGTCGCGGGCGAGGTTGTAAGACGAGACGCAAAGGGTTGAGCCGGCGGGCACGCTGGGGGATCCCGTTGAGAAGGTATAGTCTGCAAGCGCTTTTCGGCGGATGGCCACTGGACCAGACCAATGGCATGCATGTCAGTTGCACTCTCCGTCCAGAGTACGTGATGGGTGAAGAGGGGCCTACCTCGATCAAGCACATTCATCCTCGTCGTCTCCCTCAGAAAGCTATCCAACAGCGGAAGCCCGTCAATATGGTTAGCCAGATCACTATCATCCGCGTACTCTGCGGCCTCGGCTCGGAGCCGATCCTGCCACTCGGGTCTTGCGCTGAGCTCGAGAAGTATCGCGGTCAGGTTCACCCACGGCTGGTGCGACGCGGCCAGCCACAGACCCAGGGTCGACTGCGACAGTCGTTCGGGTGTCCAGTAGTCGCGATTCTCGGCGGAGAGCTCGATGAGGTCGTTGAGAAGGGTTAACTATTGACAAAGGTTAAGGACGATGCATGTGGTATGAACCAGCTCTCGTTAGCTAGCTGGTGGGAGGAGGCCAACCTCTTTGATCTCTGGTGGTTCATTCCACTCCTCAACGCCCGATATCAGGTCCCTGAGTCGGTCCTGGGTCTTGTGTTTTGCCTTTCCGCCCCAGGCGAGGAGTGCGTGTATGACCCTGTTTCACTCTTTAGCATGCATATTTGGCAGTGTATAGGGATGGCACATGGGCGTACGGGGCCATAAATCGCGGCGTGAGCTGGAACACAGCCACGGTCCTCTTGAGCTGTGGGAGGCGGACGAGGCCATTGCGAAAGGACAAGTCGGACCCTGCGTTCCCTCGCAGGTTAAGAAATGCCAGTTAGATAGCTCTCTCCCAGACGTACATAGATTCTCCCCGAATATCCACAGCCCCACAAACTCTGCCATAACCTGCTCGCTCAGCACAGTAACCGAGACGGACCGCGTGTCTGCTAACCGCAATGTCAGAACGTAAGAAGTAGCGTACCAAGAATCGATCTTGATCTGGATCAACTCAACCCACCAAGGCCCAGGGTTCCTGCACGCCCACCACCCACCTTGCCGAGCTCCGTTGCGAGAACACGCGTCACTTTCTCAATGAGATACGGATACAGCGTGGGTAGCTTCGCGGCGCCTACGACGAGCATGGCACGGCCGAACAGGCGCGCTTTGCGCTTACTGACCTCGTGGTGGTCGAAGCCATTCAAGCTGTATGTTAGACCGATCATCTGGATAGTAGCAATGTCAGACCATGCAATTGCCAGGCAGTGAGGGCCTGCTGGGGTCTAGGAAGGCGGTTCATACGTCTGCGTAGACGGCACGCTGCGAGAGGGCGCTTGCCTCGCTGAGCTCCATCATCATCTTCTTGGTTGGCGGGATGAGAATAGGCTTGGGGGCCCAGGGACGGTAGAAGTGGCGGTTTCGCTGATGGGTTAGATCTATCTGTGCTTGTTTGATCGTGGTGGGGACGGACTGATCATACAAAGTCATAGAGGATTTCATGGACCGCAGATAGACTGAAAACCTATTTGTCATTAGCAATGGTTCCTGGGGTAAGGTAGAGTGGTCTTGAGGGGGTCCAGACTAGATGTAGGCTGTAGTAAAGCTCACTCAGAATCAAGAACACGCAGGCTACCGTGAAGAGCCATGTATAGATCGTTTCCTCGGCCATTGTGAAAATGCTGATGCTGATGCTGATGCTAATGCGTTTGCAACTGCAACTGCGACTGCAATTAGTGATAGCAGGAAAGGTATGCGAGAGAGAGTGTGTGTGAGCGTGTGTGTTACCAATTAGTAAATGAAGCGGTTAGGTCTTCGCTCAGGTAACACGCCTGAGCCGGTGCTCCACCATGCGACATTCCGGGACAACTATCTGGCTGATGTATGGAATATCCTTGCTGCATGTACAGTAGTATGGATATACGGATTGAATGTCACCCCCGCGAGCCGCGCCAATGGGGATGATAGGAAGGGTTTCCCCCCGTCCACCTGGTCTTGTTGTTTGCGTTGCACGCCTCCGGACTGGGAGTGATACAGAGCCCTACAGAGTCCTACAGAGTCCTACAGAGTCCTACACAAGAAAGTCTCCGCGTTTTGAATCAATAGTAGCAAATACCTTGGCCGTTACAAATATTGTATCTTCTTGAATTTCATTCTGAACTGCAGCTGTAGTAGTACCTACGCTAACGCCATTCCTCCTCCCTCTCCGCGCCGAGCAAATGATTCTGGGACTGGATATTCTGAAGTTCCACTTCCTGCAGCAAGTCATACGTCCGTCTGATCCCTCCCCCTTCTACCCCTTGATTGTGCCGACTAGCATGGATATGCAAGCTAATCGGCGAGGGCGAGGGCGAGAAAGCGGGCGAGAAAGAAGCCGGATGTGCAGTCGCGCGTCTCCGATACCAGCTCCCCGCGCTATCCCTCGACCGAGACTTGGTGTATTGAGATCTCGTCCAGTTAGTCAAGGTGCCCCACGCCCACGTTGTCAGGCGGATCAGTGGGTGGCCTTTTGTCCGGATGAGGAGGGCCATGGCCGGCATGCAGCTGGCCGTGACCCCTACGCACATCTCCAACAGGGCCGAGATCAGCACGGGAAGCGTGTGATAGCTGAGGTCGTGCAAATTGTGCGCAAGGCGCTGCTTGTAGTAGATGCTTACAGCGGAGGCGATGCAGGCGCTTGAGACAGCGTCAGCCAGACGTTTATGGTTTATGGTCGGTAGTGAGTGACACGACCGGGGAAAGGAGAACTCACACAAACCCCGTCGCGAAGACCGAAAGCACAGCCAGCTTCTTCCTTCTGGACAGCTGCAGCCTCATAACGGATCCGATTGGTAAGAGCAGGATATACGTGTCGAGAATGAGGTTCCCCGCCGCGACGGGCATGATCCAGCTCTGCATATGGGCCTGTCGGTCGGACATGAAGCAGTCGAGCCAACTCTGACCAGGGGCGGGCGAGGTCAAGGCCAGGATCACGCTTAGAACAACGGTGTAGAAGGTCCAGTTGACAAATAAGCCGATGTAGATTGCAAACCGCTGGTATTGCAACGGTCGGAAGATGTCCAGGTACATCAGCAGGAAGGTGTTTTTGACGAAGGCCCAGACCACTAGCGTGACCCAGTTCGTGAAATAGGAGGACTGTTGGTTGGGTGAGCCATACTGACTTTGGCCAGGTCATTCAGTAGTACTCACCATGATAAAGGCGTTGCTCGTGATTTGGGCAATGGATATGTCCCAGACATGAGTCCCGAATTTCCCATGGGTGACCGCTGTGAAAGTCGTCAGCAGATAGGTAGATATCTTCTTCGTCCAAACAGGAGCATAATACCAAATATGCAGATGCCAAAGTAGCCAAGGGCACCAATCTATCCCTCGGTTTATCAGGGGGCCCGGCACTTGGTGAACGGGTTGGACGTCAACTTACAATGCCAATGAGAGCCGACCCTACCGTAGCATTAGTGAACCTGTCAGTAGAACTCAGGCAACCGGAAGAAAATGAAAATAGAGAGAAATTGAAGAAATACAAAATACAAGACGCACAATCTTCTGCCTTGAAGACCTTGCGGATCACAACGTGGGCGTAGAACCGCAGGGCCACTACGACGAGCATGATGGTAACCCCAACGCCTCCGATAATGAAGAGCAGGTACCCATCAGACGGTGGATTCTTGAGGTTGGGAATCACTCCGTGTGGCGGTTCACCAGCTGGAATCTGGGCCAGCTGGTTCCCATTTGCTGTCAGTTCGGCGAGCGACATTTCTCTTCAAGGCCGGTGGACGCTCTGCTCACAGAGTCATGGCAGTCGGTGATCGGGAGAACCTCATGCTGTTATATAGTACTAGTATATAATCATCCATCTCCCATCTCACATCGCACACATCACACACATCACACATCACACATCACACATCACACTAAGATGTAGCCTACTCAGCTGGTAACTTCCGTGAGGGTCAAGCCGAGGCAATCTCCCCTGTTCAAGTGAATTTGTGGAACATTGCAAGCGACTCGCACAAATAACAAAGAGGAAAATACCCAAGCAAACTGCTGGGGTTACAGTTGAAACAACTTATAAGCCCCAGCTCATTCCCTCCTCTCTGTTCCCCCTCTCTCTAAAGTTCTCAACCATCACGATGGCTTCCTACCTCCTTTACGTTGTCGGCGCCCTGGGCATCTGGATTGCCTTGACCCAATACTCCTGGCAGCAGCCTCATGCAACATGCCTTGAGCTTTCCACCCTCGTCGAAGGAAAGGTCTTCACTCCGAAAACCTCCACGTACAAGGAATCGCTGTCCTCGTACTTCAGCTTCCAGGAACGAAGCCTGAAGCCCGCCTGCATCGTCCGTCCAACCTCGGCCCAAGACGTGTCCACCATCATCAAGGCCCTGGCTACCGCGCACCGCAAATCTGGTGATAAGTTCGCCGTCCGCAGCAATGGCCAAGCCCTCTTCGCCGGCGCCGCCAACATCCACGACGGTGTGACCATTGACCTCCGCGCCATGCACGGCATCCGCATCAGCGAGGACCGCTCGACCGTCGAGATCGAATCCGGCGCCGCATGGCGACAGGTCTTCAAGGAGCTCGACCCGCAGAACCTCACCGTGACAGGCGGACGAGCCGGTGCCATCGGCACGGGAGGATATCTCCTCGGCGGAGGCCTCTCCATCCTGGGCCCGGCCGTGGGATGGGCCTGCGACACGGTGCTGGCGTACGAGGTCGTCCTGGCAAGCGGCGAGATAGTCACCGTGACCAAGGACACGCACCGCGACCTCTTCCTCGCGCTCAAGGGCGGCTCCAACAACTTCGGCGTCGTGACCAAGTTCACCATGACGACGTACCCGTTCCACGGTCTCTGGGGCGGATTCTTGGTCTACCCAGGCGACAATATCCCCGGGCAGCTCAGCGCGTTTTCCGACTTCATGGCGCCGGGGAGCTTCGATGCGCATGCGGACCCGATTCTCAGCTTTTCGTGGACATCGGAGTATCGCGTGTTGATGGGGGCGAATGTCCTCTTGTACGCGAAGCCCGAAGAACGCCCAAGATCATTGAGGCCGTTTGTTGACGATGTTCCCGCGCTGTTCAGCACGTTGCGCACCATGTCCATGCTAGACTTTGACAATGAGGAGGACAGTCATCAGTTTCCGGGGATGTAGTACGTCTCCTCTCTTTTCTCTGCTATTCCATGCTATTTAATGCTATTCAATGCTAACTGGGACAAAAAAACGCAGCACACTGTACTACACGACCACCTTCGCGCACTCCCCCACCGTTTATGCCCCCATCATCTCAACCTTCAACAAGTCCATCCCGCTGATCTCCTCCGTCCCAAACATGAACTGGCACCTAACGCTCCAACCCAGCCCCGCCCTAAAGGGCACAGACAACAGCCTTGGCCTTGACCCCAAGGATGAACGGCTGAATGTCCTCATGCTCATTGCGTTCTTCCCGGACCCGCAACACCAGCACGATGTTCGCCAGGCTGCGGCTCGCGTGCTGGATTCTATTGAGGAGATTACAAAGGCGGCTGGCGTGTATCGGCCTTTCAAGTACATGGGCTATGCAGATGAAAGCCAGGATGTGATTGGGGGGTATGGGAAGGAGAGGAAGAAGAACCTGCAGGCGGCAAGTCAGAAGTATGACCCGGAGGGATTGTTCCAGCATGCTGTGCCAGGGGGATTCAAGTTGTTTCCTTAGATAGGAAGGTCGCTTTTGCCCGTGGAGCGGAATCCGGGTCATTCCTTAGAGCCCAGGTAGTGTTAGGTGCCACTGTCGTGCCCGATTAATCAAATCTTACGGTCTCTCACTGGTGTAACCAAGCTTGTGTCTCTGTCCTTCAGCTAGCCTAATCTGCTGCAAAGCTTGTAAGGGCACCCGAAGCGTAAAATACGTGATTTACTCCGAGTAATTCTAAAACAGGCCGCAATTTTCCTTTGTTGGTTTGCTTTATCGGAGATACCAGTTAGACCCTTAATTTCTCGCTCCACTCTCCTCTCTCCTCTCTCTCTCTCTCTCTCACACCAACTCTCCTCCCTCCCTCAACTGCGTCAAATCTCCCCCCCCCCCAAATTCCTTTTCTGCGTAACCCATCTCCCAAAAATGACTTCTTCCCGACCAACCGTCCTAATCACCGGCTGCAGCGACTCGGGGATTGGCTCAGGCCTCGCTCTGACCTTCCACCAGCGTGGCTACCATGTCTTTGCAACCGCCCGCGATCCCACCAAGATGTCTTCCCTACGGGACCTCCCCAACGTCACTTTCCTCACGCTGGACGTTTGCCAGAAGGCTCACATCGCAGCTGCCGTTGAGACCGTGTCGGATCATACCGGCAAGCTCGACGTCTTGGTCAACAATGCGGGCCGTATCCATTTCATGCCGATTCTGGATGACGATCTCGAGGCTGTGAGGGACCTTTTTGAAACCAATGTTTGGGGGCCGTTGGCACTCACGCAGGCGTTTGCGCCGTTGCTGATCAGGGCGAGGGGTACCGTTGTGTTTATGTCGAGTGTTTCGGGGTCGATTAATGTTCCATATATGGGTATGCCCCCCCCCACCTTCCCCTTGTGTACGTAGGTGCCTGGATATCACTGATACGAACATGAACAGGTACATTCGCTGCCTCAAAAGGCTCCCTGGACCTCATAGCCGAGACCCTCCGCCTTGAGCTCTCCCCTTTCAATGTGCGTGTCCTCACCATCGTCGCCGGTGCCGTGCGCAGCCTAGGTCAAACGCACTTTGCGGACTTTGCCCTCCCGTCGGGTTCGCTGTATAAGGCTGTCGAAGGGACAGTCGCGGCGCGGGCCCGTGGCGAGGATGGAGTGGTCAGAGAGGATCAAGTGACTTTTTGTCAGAGGGTCGTGCAGGAAATTATGAAGGGTAATGGGGGCCGGCTTTGGTATGGGGGAAGTACGGGGATTCTGAGGGTTTTGTGTGCAGTTTTGCCGCAGTGGATGATGGTGAGTGCCTCTCATATCCTGTTCTTTTCTTACCCCCTCCCCCGCCTAAAAAATGCTGTTGAAGTCTTTGCTGACAAGGTTCTCTGGTTGCAGGACCGTGTTCTGTCTCGGGGCATGGGGCTTGATGTTTTGGCCGCGCAGAATCAAGGTTGATGCTCGGTTTGGCTGGATAATGGTTCGCTTGGGTAAAACTCCTACTACGTCTGGCCTACATATTCTACATTTGTATTTCATAGTAAAATGATAAATACTGCCACATTTCGCCCCGTTTCTGTTAGAAATATGAGTATAAGCAGATAAGAGTGAGAGTAAGCTAATATCTCTGATATATATATCGATTCTAACCCTGCTTCAGGTCATTACTCGAGATATGCACCTACCCAAGGTACTAGATCGGTACTATATTGTAATTTAGATAGTACTAACTGTCAAGATCTTTCATATACTTCAAAAACTAGGATTTTCTTTTTCTTACAGACAGGCCCGGTGTAGTACCCCCCGAGTCATTCTGCGTGTGTCGTACGGACTGAGCGATCTCATTTCCGACTGGCGAACCTGGGATAAAAAGGCCGTAAGTGACCCTCGCCACAGCCAAGCAACGCCTCTCATACTCAGCTCTTTCTAATCACCATGCAGTGGCTAGCCCTTCCTCTGGTACTAATTGCTCCTTATCTTCGCTCTTCTTTGTTCTCGCCCTCGCCCTGCGCGAACCTCGCCATTCTCCTCCCAGACAAAGTCTTTTTCCCAGATAGCGAGACCTACGCGGCGTCACAGCGCTCGTACTTCGCTCTCCAAGAGCAACAGCTCGCTCCCGCCTGTATAGTCATTCCCTCTTCAGTCGAGGATGTATCTGTTGCCGTGAAAACGTTAGCCGACCTCCCAGACTCAACCTTTGCCATCCGATCCGGCGGGCATTCATCGGTCCCGGGCGCTGCGAACGCCCACACCGGCGTTACAATCGATCTGCACCGCTTGAATGACATCCACATGAACGGTGACGTGGTTTCCATCGGTTCCGGCGCCCTGTGGACCGATGTGTATGATGTTCTAGTTCCTCGAGGCCTCGCTGTCGTGGGCGGACGAACCGGAAATGTCGGCGTCGGCGGCCTACTCACCGGTGGTACTAACTATACGGTCCATCCCATTCATATATCTCACTAAACTGGTTCAGTATCTAATGCAGTACTTACTATAGGCGGCCTCTCGGCGTTTTCGCCCCATCGTGGCTTCGCTTGTGACAACGTCGTGGAGATGCAAGTTGTCCTGGCTTCGGGCGCCATCATCACCTCCAACACCACACATCACCCCGACCTCTTCGCTGCCCTCAAGGGCGGGCAGAACAACTTCGGCGTCATCACGCGCTTTGACCTAGCCACTTTCCCCCAGGCCGATCTCTGGGCCGGAGCGATTGTGTATCCCGCGTCGGTGGATGCGGCTCAACTCGACGCGTTCCGGCTGTTCAAGAATGCTTCGGCGCAGGCGTTTGATCCGCATGCGCAGGTGGAACTGAGCTTTCTGTTTGAGTCCCGAGAAGATTCCCTGGCTGCGTATACTTCCAACAACATGTTTTATACCAAGCCTGTTGTGGATGCGGCCGCGCTGAGGGTGTTTAGTGACATCCAGCCCCAAATGTTTTCCTCAATGCGCGTGTCGAATTTGTCCGATTTTGCGAGGGAGTTGGCAAATTCTCAGCCTGTCGGTCAATTGTATGTTGTCGTCGGATTTCTTCCCCCTCCCCAACATCTTCTCCCCTACCTGAATGGTTGAAAACGGGCAGTACTCACATCTAAATCACCAGCTCAATCTACGCAACCACAACAGTCCGCCTTTCCTACACCATCCTTCCCAGAATTTACGAAATTTGGAAGAACTTCACCCGGAACAGAATGTCCAGCATCCCTTACCTCTTGTCCGCTCTCACAATTCAAGCCCTCCCTCCGATAATCCCAACCTCCCCAAACGTCCTCGGTTTCGCACCGGGTACGCACCCAGAGACCGACTTCGTCCTACTCCTCGTATCCAACTACTGGTCCGACCCGGCATACTCGGCGACGATGTCAAGCCACACACGAGCTCTAATCGAGGAGATTGATGCCGCCGCTCAGAGCGAGGGCGTTTCGGAGCGGTTTCGGTATATGAATTATGCTGATCAGTGGCAGGGGGTGCTTGAGTCGTATGGACGTGAGAGCGTGCACGAGCTATGGCGGGTTTCGAGGAAGTATGACCCACAAGGAGTATTCCAGAAGAAGGTCCCTGGGGGGTTTAAGTTGCCGAAGGCTCCGTGAGAGATAGATGAGACAGAACAGTTTAAGTTTGATGGGAGGGTCCTTGCATGCTACTAGTGAATGAAATGGAGATTGACAGGAGCACCTTGGGATTGGCTAGCCGGAAGTAAGTAGGGTTCTATTCCAGACGTAAAGCGTTCTTGGAGGCGAAAGAACCAAAGCAACCAGGGCAATGATGATGGATATATTCACCCAATCTTACCATGTAGACGGCGATAGATCTATATTTTCCTTATAGTAAATGAGAGCATTATGGCAAGTCAAAAACTAACTCAGGATTCTTTTTGACGGGAATAGCGAGTCAACAGCAGTGGATCCGTTAGGGCCAGCAGCCCATCTAGTTATTGTCATGCAGTAAGATTTATTATTATTCATGACTGAAAAAGATCGAAAATCGAACGACTGAGAAAGAAAAAGATGATGTCTAGACTCCACACACAAGTCGGTGGGTGTGATCCATAAATTAATGCACACTGGAGCGACATCTTCGGCCCTACGCCCTACGCTCCCTCCTCCCCCTTCTTTGGGCGTTTCTGTACTCCGTACCTATTTTTCTCAGTCTCACGCTGTCTTCACCTAATCAAAAGCCATCCATATCAGGGGGTGCAAAAACATACAACAGAAGGGATTCGCTGGTGGTCACCCACCCAACTACTAACCTCCCGGCGTGTGGCTTGAGTACGGCTGAGCGGACGGGAAGCCCTATTTTCCACACCCTGTGGTCGTATGTACCATTCTTATATTTGGTATGAGTGATATAGGGGTGATTATGCACTCTTCAATGGGCTATGTAGTTGGGTGAAAACAACATGATATCGAAGGAGTGGGTGGGCCCTCATTCCTCGTTACACTAAATAAACCTAGGTAAACTATATTTATTTCTTAGCTCGTATATCGTACACTAGATAGTTGGGTGCTCGCTCCACTTTTGTCTGTCTTGATTATTCTTGAATACTTGAACACGTTCAAATCGTCTTCGTTAAAGCAAACAGATGAACGGTGTCGAATCCTCCCAATCGGGAAAAGCAACACCGAAAACAGATAAGTAAATCTAAGATAAATAAGTTAAGTGGACAATTTCTCTCTCTCCTTGGTAAAATGTTGATTCATGTGTGTGTTTGTGTGTGTTCCTATTATTGTGCAGGTTCCAAGATACCTACCCTACCCCTTAACACCGGAGCCGCAGCTTCGCGTAGGAATGCGTATACCAGGCAAGAAAATGAAATCCAGCAGCTACTAGTAGTGAGTTATCCCAACAGAAACAGATGATTTGCATGTGGGGAGCAAGCGCTGCTGAACACTTGCATAGTAGTCTCTCTTGTCTCTATCCGGAACCCATATGTATCCCATGGAAACTAACGCAAGTCCCCTTAGCTGACAGATATGGTTCTCTGTTGTGGCAACATGGATACACCAGTTTTGAACCACTGGATGTAGCCTATAGCTTTTGTTTTGTGGCTTGCTTTCAATTATTAGAGAAAATGCATGAGGAGTCTTCATCTGTGGGGATAGCAGGCAAGAAACTGTGGGAACCATAGAACATTAGGCTTATCAAAGAGGCTAGTCCTTTTTTGCTATTGCAGGCCATGAGGGTAAGATGATGTATTAAAGCATTGTAAATCTCTTCACCTAAACGCTTTGGACTAGGAATTTCGAAATCAAACTTAAATCACACAGGAGGACGAACACGGTCGTTGTACATGAGAGGCCACAAGTCTTGCTCTTTGGATACCAGTGACTCCTTTGATCATTTCCATCCGCGCGATAACCCATTCGCGGAGAGCATCGCTTGCAGTACATGCCGTTCCTGCAATGTAAAGGGGCCACAACAGGGGCACAGTATGAACGGCTCTCAGATTCCCAGGCCTAACTGGCTTACCGCAGAAGTGGAGGACATATAGCACGCTGTAACATATATGGCTTGCATTTTCATATATTTCCGCGTCAGAATTTCGGAGTATAGCTCTGTGTGATATAGGTAAGGAAGCCGATGATGAAACGGGAGATGGTGCCTTCAAGAGTATTGATGTAGCCTCCACGAGGGTCTGATGAAGAATAATGCGCGCACAGCGCAGCAAATTCCAGGTATGAGCGATATCAGCGCTAGGATATATATCGTATCGTCCGGTGTACGCTAAAATAGATTCGTCTGGACTGGTCACGGTCTCATATCCATTTTCCGATGGAAGGCTCTCAGACCAGTACACAAAGTCATTATCGACTGACAACAGTTTGGAGATAAGTTGAGGTAGTTTTGCCTCGTTTGTAATCTCCTCTTTGGCCAACGCCAAAACGGAGCAGGCTTTGACTATTATGTTGGCTAATCTGGTAGCAGGTGCTTCTTGCGCTGTTTCATAAAGACGGGCCTCGATGATCCAGTTTACTAATCTTAGTGGTGCCCGCACCTGACGTTGCAGACAGTTGATAAGCTACTAGTCGATTAGAGATACAGCTTACATAGGGTGGTTCATGAGGGACTCACAATTTCGGTGCGCAGGCTGAGAAATATAGATCGGCCAATCCTATTCTGTAGCTGGCTTACTCCTCGAAGCTGTATTAGTGCTAAAGCGCCATTCACATGCTTATCCCATGGGTGCAGATCGTTGTCGAAATTCAGAGTGACTGTCTAGTTGAGGAATGATATGATTAAGCTGGGTAATTTCTACGTTGTAAGAGAAGACTTACTTCGTACAAGGCTAGGAGCATCACGCTGACTAGCATTTGGTCAGATGCCGCTTCAGCCGGATCGGCTAGAGCAAGTCGGATATCGCGGATAGCACGAGAATACGACTGACCCGCTGCTTGAATCAACGTGGACGCATTCCGCAGATTGGCTAGGCTAGCTGATCCGACAGCAATGGCCAGATCGGCCAAGTAGCCGTGTCCTGTCACTCGGGCGTGGATCGTGGCGAGACAGTCAGGATGGCTGGAGGCATGCCCAGCCCCATTCACGAGGTAATGATAGAAAAAGAAATGTAGACCCTGTTGTTCTGGTAAAAGCCTGACCATCATCCAAGGGTCATGAAGAAGTGGCGCAGTGGACTGATGAACCGTAGTCTTCTTTTGAGATAATTTAGAGCTTACGGAGACTGCCTGGTTGCTGGAAATCAACTGAACAGGTAAGCCATTGTCACAAAAAAACCCATTTCTGTCCAAGGTCTCCGCGGTTTGATCCCGGAATTCGAGGGAGTGTTGGTCTCGGTATCCATCACATCTAGAACCGGCCCTGGCGCATTGACAGCATGTTGGTCGAGAAAAGTCGCACTGGCCCCCCACATCCTGTTAGTCAAGCTTCAATAATTGTGCAAGAGCAAACATTCGACACCTTTCTTCTTTTGACTCGACATTCCAGACACGCTCTGCTGGGCTTCCCGCGATAGACCATTTTGTCTCATGGCTTGGGTTGTGAATCAAGCTGAGGTGAGTCTTCCAAATAGATCGAGCGGAACAATGTGATTCGTCCTTGCTTTGTAAGCCCGATTCTGGAGATCGGACTAAAGAAAATCCCGTCGAGCTGGTTACTGGATTCAGAATAGCCTTTCCACCTATGTGGGTACTTCCTTGCTTTGTAATCCAGATTCCTGAACTCGAACTAGATAATTGTAGATTCTTGTAATTTGTCCGGACAGCCGGTTGGTCAGTAGGCGAGCGCGTCACGTGCCTCATCATATTGGCCACTGTGTTGTTGTTTTTTTCTTCCTGTGTAGCAGAAGCCTTCTAGCTAGTTAATCAATATTACTTGTTTTCTTCAGCTTCGTGTTCTAATAGGTTATAAACCTGGTTCTTTGCTGTAAAGTACTGTTATATTTGTTATTAAATATTATTTAAAGTAATTCTATAAAATTTTAAGTTATTAAGGATTTTTATAATACTTCTACAGAGTTGTAATTGCAAGAATACTGAATAATCTTTTTTCTTTTTTTTATAATATTAAGAATCCTGATCCTGATTAGTATTTATAATCTATAACCAACTATTTCATACTAATCATTAACTAGAAATTAATTTGAGTCAAAAAAGCTATAAAAAGATCTATAATAAAAAGTAAAGAAGAAATTATATTATTCTTATATATTAACAAGAATAATATAATAAATATAAATCTCTTAATTCAAATAAATCAAATCTTGATAAAGTTATTAGAGAATCTTGCTGGAATCTTAAATAAAATAAAGAGATATATTAATTTTAATATATAGGATTTTATAATTAAAATAATGCTAAAGAATATTAGATTATAAGATTCAATAAATAAAAAATTAGATAAATCTCTAATTGTATATATAAACCATAATATTTAGTATACAGTATCAATTAATCTATAGTTATAGCTGATTATCCAGTTAAATAAGAATATATTAAAATAATTGATAAAATTGAGTAATTTAAAAGACTATACTAATAATATTTATAAAATAACCAAATATTTTATTTTTAGTTATAATTATATTATAGTCCAGACTGCCTGATTCAAATTTATTAGAATATTAATGTCAAACCCTAGGATCGCTTCTCCCTGTTCCTGTTAGCTTAGCTCCTGTGTATAGTGCGTACCTGTGAACTGAATCAAGGTAGGTTAGGTCAATGACTATTCTAAAGCGGACTGATCTTGAACAGAAGAAGAGAAGTAAGGCCAGATAGTGCCGCGCAGCTATCTGTAAGTAAGTGCGGACGAGTGTTGTTGCTAAGATTTACCAAAACATATGGTTACTTAAAGACAGTGTTATTGAGCACGAAGAATAGAACTAACTAAGTACGTGAAGGAGTGTCCTTATATATCTGTCCCTCGTATACCATTCCGTATACCATCGGGTCTATCATATACCCGCTTGGTAGTCATAGACCATGATGGTATGTTGTATACTATATGCCTGTCTATATACCATAGTCATGTGATCCGTGGCACCTAATGGTTCGGGTTAGGATTCTCCTTAATAAGAGTTTCCTTCTGTCTGGATGTGGTCTTCTGCCTGGTATACCCGTCTTACTAGTTGTCCAGCTAGCAGGGGTCTGTAACATCACCTCCCCTTCTTTGAGGTTCTTGTTCTCAAGAATATAAAGGTGCGTGTCCCTCGTCCAGGTTGGCTGAGTCTTTTGGTTTTGTTTTCTCCTAGGATGGATCATCATGTCTCTGCGTAATCATTATAAGGAGCGCTGTCAGCAGGCTGACCAGATTGTTTGTAATGGTATCCAGGTTGACTTTCCTTACATCTGGTGTGATTCCCACAGTCTTCCTTGTTTTATGGATTCCAAAAACTGAAATTGTGCGGCCTGCACTCGTCGTGGTTGAAAATGTGAAAAACAATTTCACAGTGACTCTGAGTGGGATAAGCTTCAACGTGATGAAGAAAAGATAGCTCAAGAGATTAAAGAGACTGAAGAGCAGATTGAGCTGTTATTTATGAAAATGAAGCATTTGCGAAAACATCACAAATTTCTTAAAGATTGTGGTAGTCGGATGTTAGATCACGACTTGAATGTGTTGGAATAGCTGGATAATGAGGATTCTCCAAGTGCTGAGGATCTCCGAGAGCTCGAGCGTCTGGCTGACGAACATGATGCTGCTCAACTTGCCGCTGTGTTAGATAATCCTAGTCTGACTCAGTTAATTGGTTCCTTTTCTTTCTGGATGAACTTCGATCTGTCTGTTAGTAGTACTGCTTCACAAGCTGGTAACAGCCTGTCAAGTTCTTAATAGGTTTCCACGTGTTTTTTGAGATATCATATCCTTCCTATTTCACCAGATACTGCAATCTGCTGCTAATTTTCCTGTAATCTAAGATCTTTTTAACTTTATATTCTTATTCTGTATTATTATCAATCTCCATATTTTCTATAATTCTAGTATTCTTTAGTGCAGGTTCCAACAATGAGATATAGAATACTGAGTGAATTCTGTTCATTGATTTTGGCAATCTTAACTTATAATTGACTGGTTTCTTCTTGTCTTTGATAACAAATAGTCCTAGCTTATAATAATCAAGCTTTTAACTTAGTTATTTTATCTTGATGTTTCTGCAGAGTAGAAATACTTTCTCTCCTCTTTTAAGATTAGGTTCTCTCCTGTATCTATGATTGTAGTATATCTTACTATATAAGTTTATAAACTTAATATTTTAAAATAACTGTAAGTACATGTTTCCCGTAAATATAACAATATTCTTGACTATATTAGTAACTTACTACTTTTTTAATAGCATTTCCAGAAACCTCGGGTGATATCCGTAATTAATATAAAACAGTAAGACTCTAATGATTAAGTAACTAATATTGTTATATAAGAACTGTATTATTAGTAATAGATTTACTTAATTATTTTATTAATAATTTATATAGTATCTCAAGTATTGCTTAATTATTTAGTTAACTCTTTTTATTTACTTATTTGTCTGCAGGTGGTAAGTCATTATTATTTATTCTTTAATTCTTATAAGATCTGTAAATGATCTCCAGAACTTTAAGATAAATAACTTATCTTAATCTGATATAATATACTTTAGCATTCTATAGTATATAATAATATTTCTTAAAAATAATTCTGCTATCTGTATTACTGTTATTATTATCTTACTTAATATAAGATAAATATATTTAATAAGATGATTAGTAATAACTGTGATAGTATTAAACCCTTCTAATTCTAGTAATAGACTAATAAAGTCAATTATTATCCATTTTCATGGCTGTTATGGCACCTTTTGTACTTGTATTTATCTGTAAGGCTGGTATCTTATAGGCTTGTTTCTAATATAAGTCTTATATTATCTAATATAATCGCGTATTTTCTGTCTAAGGTTCAGGATGTAATAATTTCTTGTGATTAGTTCAGTTATCTTTTTCACTTTTAAGTAATCTTTAAATGGTCTGTCATAGTGTTTAGTCATAATCTCTATTCTTATTGCGGTTAGTATAAAGATTAATCTATAAAAGTATATTAGTTTATTCTTATTAATAGTGATCTTGTCTAGTGAGCCCTTGCTCATCTCTTAAAATATTTTATTATTTTTTATATTTTCAGCTAATTATTTAATTAGGTTGTTATCTATTTCCAACATTACTGCTAAGTTAGTCTTATTATAACTGATCAATCTATCTGTATTCCGTTTCAGGATGGCTGGTTTAATAGTCTTTTTATCTAGTTTGTAGTCTGGCCTGCGGCTCAGTATATCTATATATTTATTCTCTACTCTCTTACAGTGTATAATTCTGAAGTTATATTATGACAAAATCTTAGCCCATCATGCCTGCCTTCTGGTTAATTCTTTGATTGTTATGAAGTAGGTTAAGTTCTTATAGTCTGTCTTTATAATAACAGTATGCTTTATTTCTTTAAGGTAGACTTTCTATTGTTTGAATATTATTATTATAGTTAGTAATTTCTTATCGTGAATGTTGTAGTTGAGTTCCGCTTAAACTAACTTTCTTAAGTAAAATATAATCAGTCTTAGCTTTCTGTCTTCTCTGGATTGTGTTATACGCATACTAACAGCATAATCTAATATATTAGTTTTAATGGTTATCTCTTTTTCTAGATCATGTTATACAAGTACTAGTAATATGATAAATTACTACTTAATCTCTTTAAACATGTTTTACTGTGATTCTTTTTACTGATACTTTTTTAACTTCTTTATAAGCTTGAAGAGTAACATTATATAGATAATATATCTATCTATAAATTATTAATAGTAATTAACTAATTTAATAAACTATTATAGTTCTTTCAGATTTCTGTATTAAGACTAATCCTGTATAACTTATATTTTAGCTTACTTAGTATAGATTCTCTCTGTGGATATCTAATATTCTAGAAACTCTGTTTTCTATATATAAAATTCATACTTCTTTAGCTTATATTATAATTAATATAGGTATAATTTATACAGAACTAGTCTTATATATTTTATATATTCTTTCTCAGTTTTTAAGAAGATTAATATATTATCTAAATAAATAATTATAAATTTATCAAGATATTCTCTAAGAATCTTATTAATATATTACTGAAATGATACTGGTATATTAGTAAGTTTAAATAATATAATTAAGTACTTAAAGTATTTATATTTTATTTTAAATATGGTTTTTTATTTTTTACCTTCCGTGATGTGTATATGATAATATATATTTATAATATTAAGTTTAATAAATTACTTTATTTCTTATATCTTGTCTTGGATTTCTGAAATTAAAGATAACAGATATTAATCCTTGATTGTGATAGTATTTAATAATCAATAATCCATATATAGCTGTAAACTACTGTTCTTTTTTAATATAAATAGGACTCCATGTTCTGCTGGTGACTTTAAAGACCTGATATTATCTTTAGCTAGCTAGTTATTAATATACTCTTATAGTGCTTGCAATTTCTTTTTAAATATTA